ATTCGCCTAGGCCTGAACGCGTTTGCAAAGCCTTGGCGGAGAAAGCCAAAGCGTAGTTGGCCACAGTGAGCTCGTTCTCGTTGCGGCTCTTTGCACGACACGGCCCGAGCATGCTTCTGGCACGGCCGGTATTAGTTGCTGCGAGTCGCGAGCTGCAAGCCGACGTTAAAAAGGATATGTTTGAACTACGAGGGTGTCAGCAAGAGCCACGCAAATGCCAAATACCTGTTCACACTCGGAGCGGACAGGCGCGTTTGATCGAAGTGCTGGATTCGCTGTTAGACCGCGTTTCGGTAAGCGCTTCTGGACCGATCTTTTACGATTGCAACTCGATACTGACATGACAGCAAAGAAAGGTTAGACCGACATCGCGTAGCTCCCACGAACTGCTATAGCTCGACACTGACGTAGCGTCGAGTCAGAATAAAAATGGCATACTAATAACAGAGTGTACATACCGAGTTGCCAAGGTAATCCGTATGGCGTTTATTTGAGCTCTATATCACACAAAACAAGGAGATAGAATCAAAGAGACTCCCTTTTCGACGACAGCGTTCGTCACTGCTGTGTCGGAAAACAAGGAGATCGAGATGACAAGGGGAAAATATTGACCTCTGAAATTTAGTTCAGGGATCAAACTACTCATCCGGTAAGGGTCCACAAGGGTCGCGCGGGCATATTCCATTCAGCAGGCCAGCCGGTCATGGACAGACGGTCTTGGCCAAGGACCGCCGGAGCAACGGTGCGCCGAGTCGATGTTGCTGCTAGGCCTACTATATTCTGCCGAGCTCGCTCGGTCGGCAGAATCGTGGCTGTTGTAGCTCTTCTCGTGTGTTTGTGGATCCTGCGTTCTTGATCGTCGTGGTCTGTTTTAAGTACTCCTTCCTTTTTTCTTGCTGGTTGAAGTCGGGACGCACGAGAAGAGCACGAAGAAAAATAAATGTCCGTTGGTGGCCGATACCAAGTAACTGAGCGACGCTGTCGGCCTTGTTGATTTGATCGTAAAAAGTGCGTAAGACAGCTTCGGAGCTGTCGTAGGATTCTGTCGTAACCTGCGCAAAGGTTACGACAATTTCGTTTCGAGAGCACGGGTTTTCTCTCAAATTTGTCGTACGCACTTTTTTCGTCGTGAATTCGCTTTGAGAATCCGGCCTCGGAGCTGGTTTTGTCAGTGCTGCCGTGGTTGCCGACTTGCCGTGGTCCCGTGGTGCAGCGTGCGTGCAGCCCTTGCACATCTCAAACGGCCACGTTGTCACAGGTCGTAAATCGTCGACGCGCCACCAAGTGGCAACGCTCGTAACCACAACATTCACGCCGTAGCCTTTCCCGACCGGCACAAGTGACGTCACGAATGCGCCCAATATCCCAAGACGCATCGCGCTCTCCGATGGCCGATTTTTGAGCGCGCGCCCAATCGGGCCCATCAGGGTGAAAAATATAGCCCTCCGTTCAAAATACAAACGCGCGATTATGATTTATGAATATCATTGATCATATTGAACCTATTTCTGACCATAATTGGTGTATTTCAAGTTTCGCTTCAGTATCCCTTTAAAGGAACACTGACACCCCCCAAATTTTTTTTTTTTTTTTTCATTTTGTGCTAGGCGCTTAATTATGGTGTCAGAGGACTACCCAATTAATATTTTGCAACAGAGTAGCGTATTTTTTTAATAAAGCCAAAAGACGCAACTGTTCGAAACCGAAACCGAAACCCGACGGAGATCGGAGAAGTGGAAAGAAGAGAGTGAATGGCGGAAGTCACGTGGCTACACCCGACCGTGCGTTTTTTTTTTTTTTTTTTTTTTCTCCTCTCCGTAGCAGACGACACGACATGCGGCGTACGGGTACTGTTCGCCGTGGCGTGCGCTTCTTTTGCAGTTATGTTTGTTCCGCTCGTTGTTCTGTACTCCAAGATGAGTTGTTTAGTACATTGAGGAGTTGGAGATGAGTAGTGAGTGCCCGTGGTGAATTTCCATGGTCGGCTCCGAAAAGAATACACCCAAGATGTTGCGTGAAGAGCTGGCTCACATGTCCTGCGTCCGGAAAAAAGGGCATTGTGCGACAGAGTTTCCGAAAGATCAACGGGATCGGGACCAATGGCTGGCTGCAATTAATGTAGAACATATACGGGCACCTCGGAAAGCGGACGCTACCTGATTTATATGCTCCTTGCATTTTGTGGAAAGTGATTACATTGAGTTCGCAGGTGTCAAAAAGGAAATCCCATACCATTTAATTTAGCGAAGCGTCGTCCACAACATTTTTTTGCTATTTTTTGCTTGTTTCTTCAGTGATAATTGTAAAAAAAAAAAAAATATGTAAACATCAAAAAATGAATGAAAAAAAAAAAAAGGTTTCACGGGGGATCGAACCCGGTCCTACCGCGTGCGAAGCGGACGTCGTTTCCACTGAGCTACTGGAGCATTTTTTTTTTCTCTTTATTGCATGGAAGCACAGACGGGTGGGCACATGGGTCATAGTTGCAGTTTTGAAACGAGAATGCACTGAGATTATACAAGCTTATTCAGATACATTTTCACCAACACTTTTACAATTCAGACAAATTTGCACAGCTCTTCGGGTGCGCAGGACTGAATCGGCTGTATCAGAAATCAGGAAACGAAAGGCACTTTTCGAGTCGCCAGTACCATCTTGGCTTTTCCCCGAGTTCATCAAGGACACTTATTACGTGATTGCATGTTTCGATAAAATTTGATTTGGTAGTCCTTGGTGGATCAGCGTTTCTGTCTATCATGCGAGTCTTCCAGAGACTATGCATACCAAGCAACATAAAAAAATCTGCGGGAAATGTGTCTGGATCTTCCACAGGAAGAAAACGAATAGAGTATGCGTTGATATACAAGTCCTTTTTGATAGTCCTTTGAAGCACATCCCAGAAAAGGTTTTAAGCTTCATACTAACACACTACCCGTAAAACCATGGCTACGTGACAAAGGAATTTTTGTACCGTGGTCGGTCAACTGTCGTTTATGCAACACGCCAGAGACTATTGAACATTGCTTTATTTTTTGCACAGATGCTACTGGAGCATTTCTTCAGTGGTGGATCTCTTTCCTGACTAATAATTCAGCCGGTAAACTGTAAGTTGGAAAGTTTGCTGCCGATTTTCCTCTAGCAAAAGCACTCCCGGGTCGAAGTCGGGAAGCACCACGCATTGGCGACATTCGCACCTAGTAAAGAAATCGTACGCGCGCATATTCAACTCGAAGTAGACACGTCGTGCTTGACGTTTGCGCGAGCGATGTCTTCAGCCACGGGAAGGGAGCGACGTCTCGGCGACGTCTTCGTGCAAATCGGCTTGGTGGTCGGGCGTGTCGTACGGGATGAATACCAATTCTTTTGATCAGTCCCAAATTTCTCTTTTAAAAGTAGACAGAATTCGCCGGTACCGCGAACGACAGTTCTGAAATAGAGGTCCCACGCCCGTCGTCCGCTGCCATCGCCGTTCCCGCGAGTCCCACGATACGCGAAACGACGAACGCACAGAATGCTTCCGGTTGTCTGTGGAACTTTTTTTTTTTTCAATCGACGTATTTGCAGCTTTTTAGAAGCCACAAAAAATGGGTTTCATATTTTTTTATATTTTTAATATTGAGTGTGTGTTTTCAGTGACCCACGACTTTGATTAAATTTGGTGGTCGCATCGATACCTTAGAAAACGGCCCGTGACCGCGGAAAAGAGAGTGAGCGAGACTCGAACCGGCCAGTTCTTGATCGGCGGTTTTCGGGCGGAAAGAAACCGAATTTCGAGCCGCAAATTTTGTTCTGGGTAGTTGAGCTCTCATATGTCACGTACAACTAAAAACCTCGGCGAGCATAAATACCCTGTCAGGTTCACACGATGCATCTTTTAGGCGCGCAACAGTTTCGCGACACTCAAGTTTCGCGAAATGTGCTCGTCCACACGTACCGCTTCACGTGCAACAACGATGACGTTTAGACTCGCGAAAATAGTTCGGGTGTTGACCATAAAGTGGCGCTTCAGTTGAAAGCTAACATCATCATCATCATCATTAGCCATTCGGCGTCGTGTCATTTACTTCCATTTACTTATAAATTGTCATTTACTAGTTGTTGAATTGTCATTTACTGCCATTTACTTTATTTACTGTTGAATATGTATAATTTGGATGGAGGTTGACAAAGAAGAAGACTGTTGTGGTAGTAAATGAGAGCTGTACGCTGTGCTGGTTTTGAGACTGTGTACGTCCCTTTTTGTTTTCTTGTCTCAAGGTTTTATGTCTTAATAATGACTAAAAATATACGCGAATTATCATCATCACCAATTACGTCTTCGTCCATCGCTGGAGTTTTTTCCGATATGCTACTCACTTTTCCTTCAGTGGTGCTTGACGTGCTTGCGGAAGCGCCGGCAGTATCCATCGTTCGTGGTTTCGGTTTTTTTTTCGGATTTGGCTCGGCTACAACACGGGCAGTGAAGTGGTCTTCTCAAACACCTCGCTCCCCCCTCAAAGGCCACGTGAGAGCGTTTCTGAGCGGCCATTGATTGACAGGACTCGGCAAAGTTTCAGCAGAAGCTCGCTCCAGAAGCGAGGTGTGAGCGCAACTTTTTTTAGATGCGCGCGTCCTTTTCGGACTCGTCCAGACGGCGCAACCATTTCGCGAAACTACGTTTCGCGACACTAGATGCGTGAGAAAAATGCATCGTGTGAACGGGCCTTTAGAATCGATAGTATCTGTCTAAACAAACCCCCTGTCCTTATCCCCTGCTCGAATTTACTTTTAAAATCCCGCGCCTTCAATGGTGATGATGATGATCGTAAACTTTTTAAATAATAACATATTTGTTATAATTTATGGTTTATGATAACTTATCCGCAGCAAACACTAGTATCTAAAATATTCTATTATACTTTATATTTAGTATGCTTTTTAATTGGATGTGGTAGATGCCATAGACTCTCAGAAAAAAAACATCCGTTGCTAGCGCCGACGTTGAACATACCGAATCCAATGTTAAGTGGGGCAATTCCCGCTCCAGCGAGGCGTGTGGGTACACAGGCTGCGGATGGGCGAAGATCGCAGGAAGTCGCTTTCGGGAGGCAACTTGAGAACCTTTGATTTCTGTTCCCGCGCACGGATCGAAGTTCTTTATCTTGTTTTCATATGATGACATTCTCTGCAAGTGGACACACGACATTCACGCGTTCTCCTGGGCTGACAAGAGGCAAATCGCAGTCGTGAAGCGCATATGGCCGGTCGGAGCGCAGCCGAGCGTTGAGTCGAGGAATCTGGATCACTTGACTGTGTTTGTACACAGGCTCCGAGCAACAAGCTTTCGGGACCGCTGCAACACTACGCGTCAAACCACCTGACTGTGATCTAGCAGAACTGTTTCAGTGACGTTTGATGATCGCAGAGTAGCTTCAGTTGTTTACCTGCGTGCCCTTACGACGGCTAATATCGAGCATCCAAACATCGATGGAATCTAGTCTTTTTGGTAAGTACCGTGACGTTTCTGCGTCAGTATTTCGCCGTTCCTCGGCCACTCCTCGTTTCTCCTGCAGCAATGTATGTATTTTCGTGATCCGCTTCGAATACCATGTTTCCGGGTGACTCTCCTAGCGCAGCAAGCAAAATAAATATTTTGGTGGACATCGGACTACAGTCATCATTTATCTGCGATAAAAGATAATAATGTGCTCGAACGTTCTTAATCTCATTGTCGGCTAATGAAGTTATTGTTGTGGACAACACGGTCAGCTACACTGAAATATGCCTCGCCCAGTTCATGTCGCGCTGAAGTCGACGGCCGTCGCAGGTAAAAAGCTGTTCTTTTTTTCTTTTTCTTTTTTTTCTTTTTTGGGAGATTGTGTTTGACGGTGTTCCTGGTGGTGTCGTGCTCACTGCAGGGTTCGAGCCTGTTGAATCTCTGTCCAGTCCCCAACGAAACAGTGAACCAAGGACGGGGCCGAATGGCGCGCATTGTGGTTCCACGAAATACTGGTAGGTCCATTTCGATTCCGTTTTAAACTGTTTAAGCCACTGGACATCAGACACACGGCTTAGTTCGATTGTTCACTGCATGTGCCAGGTTGTGCAGCATCAAAGAAACATAAAAGAGATACAGCATAAGCCCTCTACCAGTAAAGGAAACAGGGTGTATACAATCTTACATGTGACGTCACGCTAGGGAAGGGCGGGGCTTTGCACCATGCTGTTGGTGGACTTCACACCACGCGGATCCGCTTACTAAGGCGTAGGATGCTGCTAACTGCCCGGACATTCGCTGATATGCACCGTATTTTCATTAAACGTACCTAGTTTTGTTAGATGTGAACTTGGAAAAACGAGCCGAGCTTTTGACGATGTTGTTTATTTAGCCAGTACGTGCAGAGTTTTTCGGCGTCAGTGCAATTGCACTACAATCAGAAAGTTTCACGCAAACAACTGTCAAATCGAAAAAAAAAGAAAAGCTTACTTACGCGTTGCGAAATTTGTTCAGTGGCTCTAAGAGTTGCTTGTAAAAATATTTTTACTATTTTGTGAAGTACTGGTAAACAACACAAGGTTACCGTCATAATCTAAACACTGATGCAAGGATAAATAAAATAATGGACAAGACAACTCTCATTGTCTCAGGGCTTATATTATGATGTTTCCTAACCGGCTCGCCTGCATATTTTCGCTCGTTGTAAAGGTTACCGTCTCACGCACGGCACAAACCGATGGTGAGACCGATTGCCGAGATACCGCCACCCCGGTGGCGGTGTCGTCGTCTGGCCGGGCTTGTGGCACGACACTCGCCCGTACTCATCCGGCAACCCCAAAGGTGCACTGGAAGCGTGGAAACGGCGTTATGTAACGAACAGCAAAGGGCATCTACACCACGAACGAGCAAACGACGATAATGGTAGAAATGTGCCGTTGCTCGCCGCTATGAAATGCATCCCACAAACTCGGTGATCCGTGGCCTCATCCCTTTCCTGCTGCTCATACTTTCTCTAACTTGACGGCTTCTCTGTCTCGCGGGACATGCCGACGAAACAATCATTGGGATACGTAGCAATTGCTACAGCCGAGTGCAGTGCAGTTTACCGGTTTACCAATGCTCTCACTGCGAAGGGCCGTCGAGTCAACCACCAGCATGGTGCTTACCGGCGTTCGACGTCATCATATAACGTAGGTGCAAGGCATGTATAGCGTTCAGTCCAGACAGAACGATAGCAGGCCCAGTAGAGTGCTGCCCAGACAGTACCATAGTCGTCTCTAGATTTTCGTCCAGTGGGCCGAGTCAGGCCCAAAAGGGAGCGAAGTTCCGTCCAATTCTAGTGGATACTCATTCTGTATGGACAGAATGCTAGACACAGCCTGAAAGAAAACAATGTCAGGATTGGGAACCATGTGAAGTGAACCACGTGAAGTGGCTCACAATCATAGCAATGTTTCCTCACGGGGTGGGGGATATTCACAGCCTGAGGAGAGTGGGTAGTTTAAGAGGAAAAGCATGCCTGTTTCATGCGTCATGAACATGAAATGTTTATTTCGAGTGCTACCGGTAAGCTAGCTCTTTCCTGCTACCTGTAAGCGGCTTGTGCCGCTGCTATTTCTAAACATAAGGAAATACCGGGTGAAACAAGGAGACGGTAGGCTCTTTAAATCGACCGGAAAATTCGGTTTCTTAACCTATCGCACTACGACTTTGTGCAGCGTTGCCCACACATGGTGCATTTTTTTCGTAAAATTTGCAAAGAGCAGACTTACCTGAGGAAAAAGTAAAGAAAGAAAAAGGCTTAGCTCCTATGGAAACGCAGCGACGCCACCGGTCTGCAATCAACACGGCGCCGTTTTGCACGGTAGACAAGAGATGGCGCAAGCGGTCGCGACGCCAACTGCCGCCAACGAATGAGCAGACGACGCCGAGAGCCGGGGTTTTTAGCAGGCAAGAAACTGCAGTTGCTTGTTGTTACCGCGCCTGTCTTTTTTTGTTTCTGCGACTGTCGCCGCCTGCGGAACGCGCGCCGCTTTTGAGTTGAAAAGATTGTCTGCTAAAGAGCCTTTGAGGAATACCTCGGCCGGCTCTCAGCGCCCGTATGCTCGTTCGTTGGCGGCGTTCGTTGCGCCATCTCTTGTCTACCGTGCAAAACGGCGCCGTGTTGATTGCAGACCGATGGCGTCGCTGCGTTTCCATAGGAGCTAAGCCTTTTTCTTTCTTTACTTTTTCCTCAGGTAAATTCGCTCTTTGCAAATTTTACAAAAAAAAATGCACCATCTGTGGGCAACGCTGCACAAAGTCGTAGCGCGATAGGTTAAGAAACCGAATTTTCCGGTCGATTTAAAGAGCCTACCGTCTCCTTGTTTCACCCGGTAGAAGTAAGGTGGCATGGACAGTTTTCCTGGCTGTAAACATCAAATGGTTTTTCTATGCTTGTTGAATGACTTTACTACACTAACCCATTTCGAACCATCCGAGAAACAAAGATGATTTCGGACACACTAACTTGATCTTGACTAACTTGACTAGTTCCTATTGTCAGACCCTAGTGGGCAGCCATAAGCACAATGTTCTCAGAGTTGTGGCTTAAAACGTATGCAGTCTATTACAAAATGAAATGCACTTTCTATGTTTCTCATGGCAAGCTCTTGGTAACCTTGCCTTTGCACTAGTTTCTTTGGATCTTAGTAATGTTTTGATTCTTTTGCTTTCACCTAATTTAGTGCATGTGAACTATTGTGGCTCTCCAGACCAATGTTACTTGATAGGATAAGTTGACAAGCTCCAAAAAGAAAGTGGCACGCTGCTGTTCACTGCTGCATAGCGGCGCTCGTGTCGGAGCCCGCCCCGCCCGCTCGTCTGGCTTGCCTCGATACCCTTGGATACGCCGTGATACACATAGCTTTTGTGTAGTGTGATAATGTCTGGATTGAGACAACATTTCCTGGGTCTTTTGAGGTAAATGCACGCCCGCCAGGCCTTCATATTTTTGGCAGTTTTTGACATTCGGCACCAAGGTAAGCAACTCGGAAGAATGGCTGCGTCTATCGTGGTTTCCAGCACGTGGACCGTTGTGTTTTGGTCGTTTGCAAACTAAATACCGTGAACTTCCCTCTTTTTGTGTTCTGTGTTTGTGTCTGAAATTCAAGCATAACCTGCTGCATACATTCTAAAGCCGCATTAGGAAAGAATGCCAATTTGAAGACATCTTCGTCATTTGAAGGAAGCAGGCTGTTTTTATAATTGTATTCGGCTACGTCGAGGCCTACTACTAGAACAAATGAAGTGGTGAAAATGGGCGAGTTATTCCTCTCGTGTGTTTTTTACGTGTGTGATAACCTCGGTCCCACGTGTGTGTGCCATTTCGGAGAGGTGTAACTAAGGGGCAAGAATTTCAAGACATCACGTCCTATCAGTTGATCAGCGCGGATTTGTGTCATATGTGTTTTCTGTGAAGTAGATATTAGAGCCGTTATTTTTACAGAACCTGATACAGCTTCGCAGCAACAGTGAATAAATTGGGAGAAGCTTCGTTGTCTATGTGAAACAAATTAATTTGTATAGGCATATATGCATGCACATGTGCCTGATACAGCAACATGCTTGTTGTGTTAATTTAAGTTCGCTTTATGTCAACTACTCTTTTCTTACCGTTGCAGTTGTGCCTAAAATAAATTAATGATAATGTTGTTTTATTAATTTCATAACGCTTCTATTCTCTATTTCAAGTCAAAATAAAGAAATGTTTAGCTATCTTACTGAGCCCATGAGAATGTGACATTGAAAGGATGGGGTGCAAAGACCACTGTGAAATCCTCACTGCCCAACTACTCGGCTTCTTTGTTGTAACGCGAATGCACTTCCACGCGAGACACCACTCGAAAGTAAGAGGTGACTGAGAAGGTGGCTGTAGCAAACAACAAAAGCCGGGCTCCTGTGATCGCCAACTACAGGAATTTTCAGCCTTGGTGTTTTGCCATCTGATTGCGATTTTTTCATGGAAAAAGAAATAAACATTTCACAGTATTTTTTTTACTATTTTAGCCTTACTGAAAATTTGTTGCGACAAGAAATGTAGAAAACATATTTTGTTGGTCTTCCTGTGAATACCTATGTGGGAGCACTTGTCGAAAACTGGATACGGCGCTGACAGTGCATGCCAGTCCCTGCTTGTGGATGCTGGTCATAGACGAATACTGTAAACGACTAAATTTTCGCGAGGACCTAATTTTCGTGAATCGCCTTCAATTCGCGGAAAATAGTCCCACGAACAATTCGGGCAATATATGAAAGCTACGGAAGCTACACTCGATTCGCGAAAATTAGAACTTGCGAATAATTTCAAATTTTCAGCTTTGGCCCGATTTGTGAAAATTTGAGCCCGCGATAAGTAAGTCGTTTACAGTATAAGAAATATCAACTATGACATAAATCCCGTATAACACGAGCAGAAAATCACATTCAGAAGCTCGACTTAAAGCTAGGCACCTACCTACGTCCCTATCCGTTGCATTATACCATCTAAAAATCTAAAAAAACCGTAAGCGTGCTTATTTACAATCATGTGGCTGTAGTGGAATCTACTTGCAGAGTCCATTTCTTAAAAAGAAGTGCGCAATGGATGTGCCGCCGACCGCCTGATTTCGCAATGAAAAGCCAGCGTCATGAGCTTGCCCAGAACTTGATCGGCCTTGCGAACCGGGCAAGCTACCACGACAGCATTTTCACTTGCGTGCAAATGGAGGGGGCCAGCTTTCCGAAGCACGGCTAATGCGAAGCTTGTCGACTGAGCCGATCTAATGACGTTGCTCCAGGCGGGGTGAAGTTTGTGGGATCTTCAGTGTGTGCCTTTTTTCATGCAACTCATTGTCCAGTGATTCATCCAGGCAGCCAGAATATGGCTGTACGTGCTTCAAACTGTAGCAGCCATTAAACTTAGTGGATGTATGAATGTTTCATCAATCTTTCTCAATCCTTATTCTTGACAGTAAGGAGTGGTTCTCACTCTTCGAGTTGGGGAACATCACCCACAAGCTCCACAACAAGGCTATGTCATTGGAGCTGGCTGACTGCAAGTTCAGGAGCATATGCTGGAAGGCAAGCCACTTGTTTCAAAATGTCTGTCTAATATCAGATAAGGGGGCAATGCCCATTGCCCTTTTATTATGGACTGAGTATAGGCTAAAACATTTCTGTCTAATTACTTCATTTTACAAACATCTTACAACTAGAAAAGAAAGCAGTCCAAGCCAGGCACCTAATTATTTACTGCCCCACAGAATTTTGGATGGACACAAAGGTATAGATGGTGGTTTGAAGGTATGGCATAAATAAATTTCTTAATGTATCATGCAAAAATTTTTCACAAGTGGCTGAAGAATGTGCATCAAGGGTATAAAAATTTCGTTGAACAAAATTACCTGAGTAAAGACTTAAATAAAATACTATCTACTTGAAATCCCTACCTATGGCAGCCGTCTACTAACCAAAGGTGTCCGATTGGCGCAACAGTTGGTAGATGTCGGCAGTGCTAAGTGGGGGTCGGCAGTGAAGACATCGCGAGGACCGCGTTTTTCAGCGTCAGCTTCAGTGATGACACCACTGTTGTCGGTGGCTTATTTTAAAGGTTTCCCTCCTTGTTGAGGCGCGTCTAACAGGGGAGCCCGGAATTCACCACCGAAACTCTACCCGAAAACTTCAGTCGACGTCTTTCGCCCTTCACTCGCTCGGTGGGTGCTAAGCACACCATGAAGATGACTTACACCCCAAAACAGCATGGATGAAAGTTACAGACAAGACCTGTGATCTTACAAGCCGCCATCTGTCGGCGGTTGTGCCAATCAGACACCTTTTTTTAGCAGACGGCCCCGTAGGTAGAGATATCACATTTTTTTGTTTTTAACTTTTTACTCGGGTAAATTTGTTCAATAAAATTTCTATACCCTTTATGCACATTCTTCGACTACCTCTCTACAAATATTTTAGCTCAATACGTTTACAAACTGATATATGTGGTCCCTTCAAACAGCCATTAATCTTTTTTACTTCCTCTACTTTGTGAATTAGTTAGCAAATCAACCATTTTTCAAATTCCCACTTTCAAAGTTTTTTGTTATGAAGTTGCATGGGCATATGGGCGAACATGAACATTCTTCGAGTAGCGAACCTAGATCCTGTTGGCTCTGTTGAGCTATGGTGACAAAGGTTGAGCTCGTAAAACATCGCTCTTGTTGCACTTGTAGCTTATCTTTCACCCCGGAGCTTTGCAAAGAAGCTTCTCTGCTTCCCTTCCTAATGGCACCCCCTTTTTCCTCGAGTTTCTTTAGCAAGGAGTTTTCAAACCGAGTCTCTGACGGGGGCACCAGTACTTTCCAAAGCAGTGCACTGCAATTGTCAGAGAGAATATGGTGACTCTGTGCAGCGAAATGTAACTTGTTATAAATTGCCTGAGGACTGTTCCCAAATACAATTGTAGAAGAACAGGATGCAACATATTAGCAGAAATCAATAATAATGTCCAGTAACTGGTCAAGCTTTTCTGGTGCAGCACCAAGCACGAAGACTGCTGACGAAAATACAGGGTGTCTTTTTGTTTTTAAGCTTAAAAAAAAAAAACCTGAAAAATTTTTTTTAACAGTCTGAGACATTTATGTCAAAAAATAAATTTTACGAGAAAAATATTATTTTTGAGCAATATTGACGGCAAGGGATTTATTTAGAATTCTGCGCACAAAGTCCAGGTTGTCATGGAATGGTTATTCGCTCAACAAGATGGTAATTCACTTTTTCTACCTCATTGTGAAGGCGAAGCCGATCCACCTCTTGTCTATGTCCCAATGCAAAGGAAACAGCCGACAAATCAAGTCCAAGCCTTGGAATTGGATTGGATTGGATTGAGGACGAGACACTAGGCTAAATCCAGTTAGAGCTACTAGATTTAGTAACAAATGGAAAAGCCGCAGACCCCAATCCAATCCAAGCGTTAAGCCAAAAGTATCCGAAAGTGTGCATTTGGCGGCCACGTTGCCGTTCGGTTTTTGACGTGTGTGGTTGAGCGTAGCATCGTGTTTTCATCGTGTTTCCGGAAGTGGCTTCTTCACTGAGAATGTCGGCGGTAAAAAAGTGCTCGTTTAATTTGGACTGGACGAACCCAAATATTTCGGAATATGCAAGTTGGATGAAGCCCGTGCAAAATGATTCTCACAGTGCTCAATGCCTTGTGTTGTAATGGTCTTTCATATTTAGCTGCCTCTACAGTGGTCAGGGAATTTCACCTGAAATTGTCAGGGAAAACTTGGAAAAGTCAGGGAATTTCAAAATAAAATTTGCTAGACACCCTGAATCTGTTAATTAACACTTTAATTATTGAAAATAAACACATGGTTCTAATTAGAAACTTGCTGAGTGTCAACAAAAACTACTAGATCAGTCAGTTTGAAGACTCGGAGCACGTGGGAAGCACGGTGGAATGCTAAAGTTCCCACTCGTGCATCAGGAGGAAAGCTACCAGTGTGATAACGTGCCCGCATGGTTTTTCCACTTCTCATCCTAGCCCCAGCCTTGTGCCTGTTGCACCAGTGGTAACTTTAGCACACTATTGCGCTTCCCACGCGCTTAAAGGGATGGTGAACCGTAATTTGGATTTAAAAAAAAAACAATGCTGGAGATGTAAGCGCGACGCTACAATCCCTACATTACTACTAGTAAAGCGATATCTCAAATGGATGGCAGTATTTTTGGAAAAAGAAGTCGAGATTGAACCAGGCCGACGAGGCGCGTGACGTCAAGATACCTAGTTTCCTCCTCTCTTCGCTTCGCTCCCTCAAGGCCACGAGGCAAAGAAGACGTGAGGCCGTTCCCTCTCCTTCTCGGAAAAACATGATGTCAACATTCCTGCCAAATGTGCCTCTTTTTTTTAAAAAATATGGTCATCCGTTCGAGATATCGCTGTATGAGTGGTGTTTTGGTGTTTGTAGCATCCCGTTGCACGCTTTTGCCGCATGTTTTGGGGAATCTAGATTTCGGTTAGCATCCCTTTAAAGTATTCATAAACAAACCGATTCAGTGGTTTTCGATGGCTGTCAGTAAGTTTCTAATTGAAACCGTATGTTTATTCTCACTAACTGAAAGGTTGGTTAAAACATTTTAGTCAATTATTTGATTAATCTTGACGATTTACCGCTCATGTCCCTCTGGCTGTTTAACTCACCTGCACAAACTGGATTAGGGTAGCTTTCACGGCTTTTTTTAAAGAAATTTGTTAAGCTTAAAAAGAAACGTCCGGTATATTGCTTCCTATGAGGCTGTGAAGTAACAGGTAAGCACAACTGAACTGGCATTATCTGACCACTTGTAACTGAAATGTTTCTCTTAATTGTGCACAGCCAGTGGTGACACTGGCTGACTGGGCAATAAGAAAGATTGCTGTTTCAGTATCATTAATATGCTGAGAGGTTTCTGCTATAGTCATATATCTCATATAGATGACAAAACCTGATAGGTATTCATTGATTTCATTTCTTGATCCTGGTTTTTGTGGCATAAAAATTACTATCATGTGGCACTTTCAGTTAAGCCTTTATGATATGCGCTCTCTACAAGCATAAAGCATGTACATTCTGTAATTAAGTTTCTTTTGCTCTGGTAATTGGAAAGATACAGTTGCTTTAACTCGTTAAAAAGTGCTAGTGTATTCACTCCCCTAAGTCTCTCAATTACTATTTTAAAAAAAAAGTTGTTTCCTGGTTGTAAAAGAAACTGTTAGTTGCAGGGTAGCCTCCTCAATTTTCTTAGGCTTTTTTTTTTAATGTATCCTTTACAAACTTAGGTATTAATGCAGGCTAGCTGGTACAAGTTCACAATAAACGGGCCAACTGAAAGCCTTCTATGTTTGCCCATCTTTGTGGTTAGTTTGCTTACTCTTGGTCATTCATCATGAAGTTATAGACCATCCACCAACAAGGCATTATGGTTTCTCTCTAGGGTGCTTCCACTTGACATCAGTGTGGAAACCTGTTGTGGTGTGGAAGGTATCCTGTTAAAGCTCACACTCTGAACATGCTTTGCATCATCTAGCAATTACAGAACTGTATCATTGCCACCAAAAGCACTGCACTTCAACTTACACTGACCAGCCATTCCCCTCTGTAATATCCTCCAAGTCCCTGATGTTTGCTTGTAAATACATAAATGTAACATCAAATATATATTATTGAGCCCAATCGTGTGGGTACCTTGGAACTTTGTTAGCTGCCGTGGATGGACAAGCAGGGGCATTGATTTTGTTTTTTATGCTTTCTGTTTATATGTGCTTCGCAGGTATTTCTTGAGTGCCTTCCAGACTCGCGAGATGACTGGATATGTGTAACCCGGTCCATGAGACAGAAGTATGAATCGCTTCTTGAAAAGGTATGCACGTCGTCCTTAGCAGAGGCTCCGTCCATTTTTCATCATGATCGACTATTTTGTGCCTTGTGGAAAGGCCGACATGCAGGCTTTGTCCATTGCCAGCACAGCAATTATTGGAATAAATCTAGATAACAGCGGTCAAAGTGGCCAGATTGAATTTTGCAAAGGTCTGTTTTACAATAGATAAGACTATAGAATCTGCCAGTGTTGAATCTGATAACAGCTAATGAAATAGAAGAATTGGTGTTGGAATTTTGTTGAGGTTTGTATGTGGGCATAATTTGGCACAAGCTTCTGGTTTGTCAAACTAATTTTTGGGTGGATGGGAGCAGCAGTGCTGCAATTTTGTATGCCTTTGGTAACCTTGTTAAGGTTAAACAAAATGCATACATCATTGGGGTGTTGGCAAAAAGAATTAGTAAGGAAGTGAGCTGTTTGAAGTGGCACATAGTAAAACTGGAAACAAAGAAAAACGCAAAAAGGAACAACAACAATTAAGAAGCTCCCGTAATAAGTAGTCTAATTAAATAAAACTGCTCTATCTTTCTCCAACCCCCTGTTCTGAAATTTATTGAGTTCTTTGCACAAATTCTAGTCCACTTTCTTCACACATGTCGGTGCCATAAAAAGTTCACTTTCCTAGCCAGTTGAAAGTCTCAATTTTGGTTCTATGCCTTGTATTAAGAACACCATGCAGCGTGCTGCATGCTGAGGGTGACTTGGCAGTTGGGTGTTTTCAGCTAGCTGACAAAGTTTTGTGAATTACGTGGGGTTTGGAGAATACTGAATGTGCAAGAGGAAGTGCTGGCCTTATTGGGTGCTTTGCTACTGGCTAATAAACACTTGCTGTCTTCTCATTAGACGTGCCAGAATCCAAGACTAGAGCCTGAGGATCTCGATCTGTCACATAACAACCCGCTCTCCCAAGAAGAAAGCAGTCCCTGGCACCAGTTTTTCGAGGATAGTGAACTTCGGGTTGTGATCAAACAGGATGTCATCCGGACGTGAGTTTCACAAGACTTTTCTTTGTCTATAGCCATTTTGTTTCCACATAATGAACAGGTACAGATTTTGTAATTTTTACCAATTGAGAAAATTAAATATTTTTTGTGTTTATTTGTATTGGAAGGATTGGCATATTTTGTTATTGACCTGTCGCAGAAGTTAAGTCAATGATTATTTGGCAAAAATATTTATGAAACGACATGAAAGTAAAATCAAGCTAGGTGAGAACTTGACGACTGTATTTAGCAGGCATTAAGAAATGTTATTTTATATGGTTGTCATAAGAGTCAAAGGATTGTGTAGGGTAGTCGGCTTCCAGGCAGAAAGCTGTCCCATTGCATCATCAAATTGTTAGTGTTCTAGAGTTGATGTTAGTCAAGTTACTTTCTTGAGGACCAAAAAGTGTGCAGCCTGGTTACTGGAGCATGTAAAACTTATTTTTTGTGTTTTTTCTAAATGTGATTTAGCATATTATTTTGACATTTATTTTACCAAGGAATTATTGTAATTGGTACTACCTGTTTAGCATTTGTAAGACTGCTACTCAAAAGTAATTGAGAGTGTGCACAACAGCCGGTATAATGAAAACCAACTGCCCTGGCTATAAGCTTTTGAACCCGAAACATCATAATAATACTATATGTTTTGCTCAATATTCAAGAATGTTTTTGGGTTGGAGTTTGAAGTCGGTGCAGAAGCCAACATTTTCTTGGATTGGAGTCCGAAATCAATGCAGAAGCCAAGCTGCTGTCCTTGTGTGTCATAAAAGGGCATTATTTGCTTGCCTTGGTAGGATTTCTTTTTTCAAATTATTTGAAGGTAGCGTGCTTGGAACAAGATTGTAGTGTTTTGTATGGAATGATTTGAATCTGTAGAAGCAAACTATAATCTGCAGATCTAACACTTTCACCTTTCCTCATTCTTGTATGAAGTACTTGCAGTTTGACTAGGTGACACCTACTTCTATGTTTTCTAAACATGGAAAGAAAACAAAGTACTTAATTAAAAGGTCATTTCACATATGTGCTAGTGCTGTATTTCAAAGACATAGTATGTGAAATACTGCAAATGTGCAAAAACGAATGGTAAGAATTTTATATGACGGCAATGTTGGAAGGAGATATTTTTATCACTATGAAACATTGCACCGTAAATTTTCGCTGCATAAATTGGCAGTGAGAAGGCAGTACAGAGATTTTCTATTCCTTCACAAAGTTGTTCATGGCAGGGTAAATTTGGCGGCTTTATTACAAACTCTTGAGTTTCACGTTCCCCCTTGCCCGAGTCTAAACATATAAACTTTTATCCATCATTGCTTGTCTGCTGTGATCCCATTGTCAAGGATACAAATTGCTTATGATTCTCTAAAATTTAACCTCGACATCTTTTCATCCACTCATGAGTTTATGTTAAATCTACATGACTGGATGTCTGCGAACTAATCAGTAATCAATTTTTGCATTATGATAATGTTGCATGACTTTTATTGATTTAACTTTGTTGTTTCTGTATTTTTAGGTTTTACTCCATGTGTGTTTAGTGCACCACACTGTAAACTGAGAGGTTGTTTGTGGGCACGAAAAATTAAAACAATTTATTATTATTATTATTATTATTATAATAATAATAATAATTTTTAGCAGAAAACAAATTATTTAATGCCCGTCTACAACCATCAGCCAGTCAAAGACCCATGAAGAAGCCAAGGGAACTTGACGGGAGCGGTCCTCAAGCCAAATCAGGTCACCAGCATTTTGTTGCCTCTAGTTTCCCGGCAGCCTTCCGCAGCATCTAAATTCCCGGCTTTCGCTGCCGCTTCAGTCGCGCAGCTCTAGCTCACCTAGCGCAATATATTTCGCGGTGAGCTGAAAGACGTTTCTCATCTGCACGAAACCTCTTGACCTATAGCAAGAGGGCTAAAGCCAGCACCTCTCGAAACATCATGACAGCGGCAATCGACTGGTGACCACCGAAGCTCAATCTTTGTTTCATCAAGCCCATGCTAGAGCCGGCTGATCGTTAGTTGGTGATCACGTTCACCACAGTACCAGTACTCTGATTTTGCGGGTGAGCCTGGAAGCGTCTCTCTTGCTTGCTTTTTGTTTGATCATTTTTTTCCACTTCTATCTTCACCTTCTTCGTCCTTGAGTAAACACTATGGCAGGACCTGAGATTTGTGCTCGATGCTCCGATTCCATGCCAAAGGACGGTCGCTTCATGAAATGTGCAGACTGCGCGCTTGCCTACCATTTAGGAAAAAAATGTTCCGGTGTCTCGGAAAGCACGTTCAAAGGGATGTGCGCCGCAAAACATGAGAAATGGCGCTGTCCCGGATGCCGGGGAGGACTGTCTAAATCAAATCTTGACGGCGATCTCACTCCGTCATCTCAAGCGGATCCCATTGCCTTTTTGGCAGAGCTATCGACGGTGAACAAAAAACTTGACCTTCTGCTTGCGTGGAAGGACACCGTTGATGCCCTTCACGAACTACACCCAAAGGTCGACGCTTTATTATCGATGAAAGAGGCGGTCGACACAATGCGCGACTCGGTCAATACGATGCAGGAATCAATTAGCTTTGTCTCGTCACAGTATGACTCCCTTGTGACCTCAGTTAAATCTCAGGCCACAATAATCAAAGAGCTACAAGCTGAAACATGTTCCTTGCAATCCACCGTGTCTGAGCAGGCACGTGAAATCCAACAGCTAAAAACATATCAGAATGATATGGAGCAATTTAATCGTCTCTCCAATTTAGAGGTGCATGGCATCCCATTTTCACCCCAGGAGAACATTATGGATCATCTAACAGGGCTCGCACAACAAATCAATATTGAGGGTTTTCATCCTTCACATATCGTTTCTGCACATCGCCTGCCGGTGAAGTCTGGTGCAGTACCACCCGTGCTAATCCGATTCTCGTCTGTCTCCATTAAGGAGCACTGGATGGGCTACCGAGGACGCCTGGGTTACTTACCTCGTGATGATTCTCATCCCCGAGTATATTTTAACGAAAATCTCACGGATTCAAATAGGAAGCTATTTTGGATGGCGCGGACCAGAGGGAAGGAAAATAATTTCAAATTTGTATGGGTCCGACATGGCAAAATCTACGCTAAACAAAGCCAGAACTCTCCCCTCCTCCGCATCACTGACACTGGTGCACTGGATCAAATCGCTTAAACATCGATGAGTAGCTCTTCTACAACTTGTTACTCCATTCCAGATTGTAATTCATTTAATAATATTTTAGGTCCAATTTCTAATCATTCATTAACAATTATTCATGTAAATATTAGAAGCTTAAGAAAGCATTGGGAGGAGTTCCGAATAGTCGTAAACAACTTAGATCCAGCTGTAGATATATTTGTTCTAACCGAGATTGATGTGACAGCTTCTCAATGTAATCAGTTCGTCTTGAATGGGTATAATGAATTTTTTTACACGCGTAATATTCGTAGGGGCGGTGGTATTGCCATCTATATTAAGGACAAATGGCTGCCAACGAGTTCAAGTGTGTCTTTTCAACATGCAGAATCAATCGCAATCAAAGTTACGTACTGCACATTTTCTTTATTCTTGCTGGCAGTGTACAGGCCACCTTCGGAGAATCCCTCGCTTTTTCTAGCAGAACTGGACATTATCCTCAAAGAGTTGCGGTCAGAAGGGCAATTTTGTTTAATAGGAGACATGAATATTGACACTTTAAAGCCTAACAAATCTACAGTTTGTGACTACCTAAGTTTACTGTCGGACTATGGAATTGAAAATACCATTAACATCCCAACAAGAGAAGAAGTTCTATCTGGTAGACTAGTAGTCTCTTGCATCGATCACATAAATATAAGAGCCCCAGATGCACTTGTGAAAACCGCTGTCATTCATCAAAAGCTTTCCGATCACTACTTGGTAGGTTGTCACTTGGAGCACCAGGGTACCCAACAGAAATATAGTAGAAGAAACCAAACGTCCGTAATTATAACAGATACTATTAAATTTGATGCTTTAGTCGCTGCCTTCAACTGGAATGACTTCCTGCAATCTACAGAACCTTGTAATGTATACCCTGCTTTTGTTGCAATTTTTCAGTCTTTTTATGAGGCCTCCCAGAAAGTAGTCAATTTCAAACAACGATCAGATAAGCCCTGGCTCGACATCAATATCATGAGAGCCATTAAAGATAAAGAGGCGTTATGGATACGCTCTCGTCGCGCTCCTAGTAATTTGGAGCTAAGAGCAGAATTCTGTTGCGCGAGAAACAAATTGAATGCGATGATCAGATCCTCAAAGCGCCGTTACTTCCAAAAAAAGTTTTTTGAGACGAGGCACAATCCACGAGAAACCTGGGACTTAATAAACGCATTTCGAGGGCGGGCATCTAGGCAACCTATAATTGCATCCCTAGAGAAGCATTTCGGTTTGGACTTGCAGTCAACTGTGAATGACTTTAACAAGCAATTTGCGACATCATCGGGAATTTCCAGGGATTCCAGAGTGACATTCATCACTCCTAGTCATGTTGACAAAATATCTCCGTCCGCTTTTTTGCCCCCAATAGATGAGCACACATTGCGATCAATTGTATTCGGTATAAAGCGGAAAAAGTCTCCAGGTATCGATGGCATACGAATTGGAGACCTCTGCCGAAATTTTGAAACTATCAAAAACGTCATTCTTATCATGATAAATGGTATCCTGTCGTCTGGCAACATTCCTGCTGAATTAAAAACCGCACTCGTAAAACCACTCTTCAAGGGGGGAACTCCAAGTCGGATGGACTGCTATCGACCTATCTCAATCTTACCGTGCATTGGCGAGATATTGGAAAAACACATGTCCAATATAATGACTAGTTTTGTTGACACCTCTAAAATTTTATCAGAGAACCAATACGGCTTCGTAGCTGGACGAGGCACTCAGTCCTTACTTGAGGATTTCACCGATCTCATACACACTGCATTTGATAATAACCTATTTACGTGTGCCCTTTTCCTAGATGTTGCTAAAGCATTCGATACGGTCAGCCATAAGTTGCTTCTTCAGAAACTTTATAACTTCGGCTTCCGCGGTCCATTTTTTGCATTAATAGAAAACTTTTTTTCTGATCGATCGCAAATTGTAAGTGTTGGAAATTTTCAAAGTTCGCGCGTAATGATAAAAGCGGGAGTACCTCAGGGATCAGTTCTGTCACCCTTACTTTTTAATTTGTATGTGAACGACATCTCAACCATAGTATCCAACTGCAGAATATTTCAGTATGCAGACGATACTGTTCTCATATCTCGTCATCTGAATTATGACGAAGCAATACATCTATTGACAGAGGACGCGACGCAGCTAATGGACTGGTTTGACGAAAATCTAATTAGAATTAACATGTCCAAGACACAATTTGTCTGCTTTAGAAATCCACTAAAGAAATTGAATCTGCGCTCGTCGGTTGTCTTACACAAATCAAACTGTCGCAACTGCAAATGTCTGCCATTAGAATGTGTTAATAATGTGAAGTATTTGGGCATACATTTCGACTCGGATATGTCCTGGAACACGCATCTCTCACAAATATGTAACAAACTTCGGAGTGTTAGTTGTTTACTCTTTAATCAAAAAGTGTTTATGCCATTTACTATTAGAAAGTCAATCGCGCATGCTCTAGGCTACAGTATACTCAGGTACGGCATCACTCTGTTCGCTAATTGCTCAGAACTATGGCATGACAAGATCAACCGTATTCTAAAAGGCTTGTTGAAAAGCGTTGGATACCAAATGAATTTCACATCTGACATAGAACTCTTTGAAACTCTGCAATTACCAACTTTTTATTCTCTATTTCTACAAAGCGTTGTGCTTCGCCACTTCTGGAGCGATGACTTTAAGCGTCCCTTCATCTCTCAAAGGAATTTTCGCCACGTAACTCGCTTTGAAACCCCGCGATACTTCACGCGTTACGGTAAGAGAGTTCGCTCATATTACGTTCCTCTCATTTTCAATAAGCTTCCAGAACGTATTCTCAAGGCTACGACGAGAAGAAATTTGAAGAAAATGTTAACTAATTTCAACATTGCATAATTTAGTATACTCTCATTGTAATCAACTTTTTTTTTTTTTTGCATATCATTTTACGGAAATGTGATTGCTCCCGCTCAAGAAGAGTTATATACTCTACGACATTTCTTCCGGTCTACTTCAGCCCATTTGTGCCTGTGCGTGTGTGTGTGCGTGTGTGTATCTGTGTGGGCGTCTCCCGGCCTGTCTTCAAACTGCAATCACTCCCGAGGCAACGACCTGGCACTGCTTCACTGTGGTTTAGCGGTGCAACAAGAATGACATTTGTGCGTGTATATATGTGTGCAGATACGTATGTGGAAGCAATAATGTATTGCAACCAAATGATAATCTAAACATTTTAATAGACAACTTAGCATACTGGGTCTGGGCCCATAAGCCCATGCAGGCTTTGTCCAGTCCCGCTAATTGAACTTCTTTAATCTTCTCCCCATCGCCAATAAAATTATTATTATTATTATTATTATTATTATTATTATTATTATTATTGTTATCATTATGATGGATGACTGTAAAAAGCATGTTTACATTGTAACATATTCACTGTTAAGTGACATTGGTACCTGATGATTAAAAACATTGCAGGAACATACACCTCCAGGTTACGAGTCAGAAACATGTGGCTAATTATAATAGCATATATATTGTAGGAAAATTTTTTTAAATGTCGTAATTTCTTCTTTGATGACGTCTTAAACAATCCTGAGACTGAGGGAAAAGAATGTCAAGTTTCCAATATGAAAGTTTGTTGTCCTACATATATTTCATCTGTGTGCCCAGTTTACAGGTCGTGTGAATTTTGCAATAGGGATGCTTAGCCAGCGGGAGGTCAGTGTGTGTTAATTTACTGAGCAAGGTCTATAACTATTGCACCTTAAAACAACAAAGATGGACCACTTTTATACAAATTCCCAATCATGTTTTAGATTTTTAATACTTCCCTCAACACTGGCTTTTCTTTTTTTTTTTTTAGCATTTTCCTCTTGACATGGGTCTCTGTCATGCCATTTGTGAAGATGTGAATGGTGGCATTACTGATTCACCTCCCGCTTGGCGAGAGAGCTTCTTTAGCCAGTCGTTTCGTGTCTCCGCCACCGGGAACTAGTGGAAGACGATTCCCGTCGCGCTCGATTTGCATAAGGGTACGGAGCAGTACACCATAACGGCCAGTCGTTGAATGCTTCCTTGATGTAACCATCAATGTCAAGCGTCGTGGTCAAGCAATATTATGCACAGAAAAACCACACGCTCACGTGCGCAAAGTACTGGATACTAGCCTCCTCAGGCTACCTGCACCTGAAACCGAGCGGTGAAAGTGGAGATGCTAAGCAGCGCTGCGGGAGCAGTGGTGACTATGTGAACTAAAACAAACACCAAACAAGTAAAACAAAAATTGGCACGCTGGGGTAGGCGCGGGTGACTTGGTCGCCCATTTATAGAGCAGGTCGGGGTTGTAGCACTATCAATGCCAAGAGCTTATGCCAAGAGACACACTTTCATGCGTTCCGGAATCAAAAAGAAGCAAAAGCGTCTGGAACAAAATGGTCAGATGTGTATATATTTTGTTCCGAACACTTTTCTTCACATACCCCACAGTGCGTGAACGAGACGCTTATGCCTAACGACTTCACTGGGACTGCACTGTGGATTAACACAAAGAACAAAGTGCAGGTTGGTGAAAATACAAGAATCAAAGAAAGAATAAAAACACTTAGAATCAAGAACGGGAAAGAAAAAACTGTGCCATCTGTTCTTGTCACGAAGTGCTTTAATGCGAAAGCATTAACAGTACCATGGAGCGAGCCGACATCATTAGCCGCGCCAAACGGCAGATAGTTTCGCAAAGCCACGATCTGAGGCATCTATCGCAGCTTTGAAGCCGTGCAAAAAGCCACGCAAAACGGCAAGTAAATGAAGCCGAAAAAGGCCGCCGCGCGTCAGTTTCAATCAGCGCCACCCCATGGAATTGTGTGCCCGCGCCGCCAATGTGCTAAAATCGGCTGGCGCGCTCGGGCGGCCGTGCCGCCAGCCGATTCCTGCAGCCGATTCTGTGCCGCTAACAGAGCGGCGGCACGGCCGATGTCAGCGAGGCGGGGCAACTTTCCGAGGATGCGCGCAAGAACGACATCCATGCTTTCGCATTCACAATCGTTAGAAGTGCTTAGGTGTACCTCGGGCCTTTTATTCTTTGATTCTTGGATCAACACAGGACTGCTCAATTTTAGAGCGCAGCTCTTAGGGGCCCGTTCCCGGCTTGAGCGGCGTCGGCGTTGGCGTCGGCGTAACCAAGGTCATCCCAAGGTCACGTGACCCCCAAGGTCATGTGACCCCTCTCAAGGTCACGTGACCCCCTGAAGGACACGTGACCCTGGGGGTCACGTGGGGTCATTTTGGGGTCGTGACCTTGAGATGACCTTGGGAGGGGGCACGTGACCTCGAGGGGTCACGTGACCCCCGAGGTCACGTGACCCCCGAGGTCACGTGACCCCTCCCAAGGTCCTCAAGGTCACGTGACCCCAAGGTGACCCCCACGTGACCTCAGAGGGGTCACGTGACCTGGGGGGTCAAGTGACCCCCCAGGTCACGTGACCCCTCTGAGGTCACGTGACCCCCAAGGTCACGTGGGGGTCACCTTGGGGGTCACGTGACCTTGAGGTGACCCCCATGTGACACCCAAGGTCACGTGACCCCCCTCCCCGAAGTCACGTGACACCCCCCCCCCCCCCCGAGGTCACGTGACCCCCCGGAGCATATTAAAGAATTAGGGGAGGAGGTGGAGAAGGAGGAGGGGTCTACCATCCCCTCAGTACCCTTCACTCCTCCTCCTCAAGAGCTGCGCTCCAATTCGGCGTTACAGGGATTTGTAAACGGCTTTCACTTTTTTCGTTAGAGAGGTGGCATGCAGGCCTTCCACAAGGTTTCATTGTATATTTGCAGATTTCCTGAAATAGAGTTCTTCCAGACTAGCGATGTGCAACAGATGATGGTAAATGTGCTGTTCCACTATGCACGGCAACACCCCCAGATCTCCTACAGACAGGTGAGTGCATTTCATATATCCACTTTCCCTAGCTTGCTTTAATAAGTGTGTGTGCTCTCGCAGAAAAACAAAACAAAAACACCTTTTGTATTGTTGCTTTTAGTTTTCTTAACACCATGGTCAGAGTAAGTGAGGCTTACCCTTGTTCTGACATCTACTGCCACTGTAAATTTCCCAGATATGGTAGACTGTTGTTAGTTTAAACTCGGATCAGTTATATTTTCCATAATGCGTAATTTCATAATGCATTTGTATATTGTTTAAAATTTATGTGTGGAATTCAATGAATCAGTGATGGAAGTGCTGCGCCATTTGCGCCAAAGTGTCATTTTGGCAAAGAATTGCATCTCACCTGTGCCAAGATAAGTTTAAGCAAATAAATTAAATTATTTTATTATTGGTTGACCCTAATATTTAGAGAAGGAGGAGGAAATGAAAATGGTAGAGATATATATTTCACAGTCTCTACTCAACGTTTAGGTTGTTTCATCTTAGGTGAGAGCAGAGTTGAAGGCTCGAACACATACAACCACAAACACACATAGTAAAAGCGCAAGTCACGTGACATTAATTGCATTTGATTGGCTTAGTCGATGAAAGAACATGTATAGAAAGACGGAACAATGCCTTGGTGTAGCGTTTCAACATTGTTTGGTTGATCCCACTGGCTCGTAATTTTGGAATTGCTTGTCAACTACGCTGGCGAGTTGATGATTGACATTGTTTAAATTTTCAGACAATGTTGGCGATGTTAGGAGCCAAAAGTGGCGAGAAAACATTGCAAGATAGTAGGATGGTGGCTACTGTGTTAAGGCAGAACCCAGGCTCTTGTATTTCTAATGAGATCACCTGATTATCATGTCTGCCATATGCCTCCGTGCCGCCTCTCACCAGCTTGCGCGTATCGAGCTTCGCACTGGAGTGCTAGGGCTATTGGTTGACATAGCTGACCGCAAGCACGTAGCCAGGGGGGGGCTCGGACCTCCCCCCCCCCCCCAAAACCCTCAGTTTTGCTGGGACCTCCTCTTCCCCCTCCCCCTCCCCCCATCTGTGGTGTTTTGCCATGGGCAGGCCCCCCCGAAACGAAACGCGCCTGGCTGAGCGCCTGGTTTAGCGCTGTATACTCGTAAATTATGCTTAGTTTTATTACAAGTCTTCATTCTTTAGTCTTGATTGTATAATCTCTCATTTTTAAATGCCGCGTCAAGAAAAAAAAAAAAAGAAATTCCGCCTTTTTACTTTGGTGAAGAAGGAAGACCAGCGAAGCTGTACTATGGTGGGAATTAGGTATGGCCGGCCGCAAGTTGGCAAGGCAGAGTGGAAAGGTTACCGCCATCTATGAGCAACTGCGGCAACCAGACAATTGGCAAGCCGGTTGTCTGGTTGCCGCCGTCGTTCATAGATGGCAGTAGCTGTCCAGAGTTTAGTGTTATCATTTGTTTGCTGACGGACATGAATAAATGTAGTTCCCGTGCAGCTGTCAATCAAAAGAACAGCGACTTCTCTTTCACTCTGCTTTCAATGCCGCTAATAGCCAATTCACATGACGGACCAAATCACGATTTTCGTTCGCAGACCGTGTACCACGTGACTGTAACATCACTGATTCCTGCGATGCGCGCTTTGTCTGCAGATGCGCAGACTGATAATGTCAAGCACCTTTTCACTCGCACATTTTTGGCTGGAGATTGACTTGAAAAGTGTTTAGTCTGGCAACGGTACAATGTTTTCTTTCTTTTTTTTTTTTGTTGTACTATTCTGCTTTTGCTGATTCTTTTTGTTGCGTGATTCTTGGTTCCACACGTGAAAGGAACTGTAGAAGCATTGTCCGGCTGACGCGATGCAGGTTACGGTACTTTGCCGGGTCCGTGTCAAGAAGCTTCCATCAAAACTCGTCTAGCACGCCACGATAATTCTTGCACATCCAATGAGCCTTTCACTGAGCAGGACCGTTCTTGTGACTGTGGTGTAGTTGAGTGTTGTGCACAAGCGCGGAGTGCGTGAAGGCTTTGGCGTATAAGCAACCCCCAAACGCCCATCCACGAACAGAGAACTTTGTTGCTTCTACGCTGAAGCCTTCTTGAGCAGGACCTTGCCTGTGTCACTGTCATGCCTTGGGTTAGTAAAGCTAGTGGTGCTTGGCACGAAGCCTATCACGGTGTTCTATCTCGATCTGTACGTAGCAGCGGTGCATGATTTTTTATCGCAGTATCAGATGTCTATTTCTTTCTTGGCATCTGCTCCAAAAGCATCAGTGGCTGCTCCAAACGAATCAGTTGCCTGCTACAGAACCTGCTCCAAAGGTATCAATGCATCAGAACCTGCTCACTGATGCATTGATACCTTTTTAGAAAACTTTGGGCGGGTTCTCAAAGCCATGATAGCCCTCCTTACTATCGAACTGATAAAACCACACTATACCGTTCTCGAAGGTAAGAATAGAATGTTTCCGAGAACAGAATGCTATGCTGCTCTCAAAGAATCTAGACAGCTCCCTAACTGCTGGAGTCACTGTCCCAGCCATAGCCATAGGAGTTCATTTCCAATGCTGGAATTGAGCGAGAAGCCAACAATCGAAAGGTAGTTTCAGCCATGGGATAGGATTTTGATGTGTAATCAGTGGTTTTATTTTTAGGGGCAAAGCTCCTTAGGGTCTAGCCTTGCCCGTCCGGCGTCCGTGCTCACATCGATCTTGCTGGTGCTCGTGCTTGTGCTCGTGAGCTCACGTGCTCGTGTAAGGGAAAAAAAAAAAAAAAAAATGATGAAAAAAAAAATGTTTGCGCAGTCGACAGGATTCGAACCTGTGCGGGGAGACCACAATGGATTTCTAGTCCATCGCCTTAACCACTCGGCCACGACTGTGGGACAAGTAGGTGGCTCTGAGATGTGGTAGTAACTCAAGAGCTGGGGATGTCACGGATGAAACGGATGAAACGTTGCATGTAGCCACTCAGCGTCTATGCAGGAGAGGGCGCTGCGGTCAAATACGTATATCATCGCGTTAAACTTTGCATGCATTGGCTCAACGTTTATAGACGAGAGGGCGCTGTGGTCAAATGCTCAAATGCGTATATAACCACGTTCCATACCACACATTCTCTTTCTGACATGGATGAAAACGAACTAAAGGCTCGGCATGCTGCGGCTCAGCGTCTACGCAGACAAGCACCACCGGAGCTTCGCCCCAATCAACATCATTCACCACGTGGAGTTGCGGTCATTTTTTTTCATACTTGTGTACTTCTTTCCTTACACAAATTGCTTTTCTAATATAAATGTGGTTCATATATTTTTCTGTGGGTCAAACTTCTTAAGTAATCCAAACAGAATTTTCTGGTCCCTTCAAATGTAAATTAATGAAAATCTCTGTAAGGCCCACTTCAAATGCAGAGATAGATAATTATAAGATAAGGTGAGCAATCTTTTTATGTGTACCAGGAAAGTGATAAACAAATTCAGCAGTCGAAGGCTGATACGCGGACTGGGCATTCGGGACATGGGTAAACACACATACCTCAATGCTGTTCCTTGATTCTAGAAGTATTATCACAAATAATTTTATCAGTCAGTGTAAAAAGATTATTTTTAAAAAAGTAGTTTCTTCATTGTCATTGAAACAAAATAAACTTCGAGAGAATCCATTGATTCAGTGCAATTGGGAAATTTGAGGAGCACCTATCTAATGCATCTCATGCCATGACCAGTGTTACTATCAATATTTACCTTCCAGTTTCTGCATACAAGACACTGGAAATAAATTCTAAAAAATGTCAAACAGTCGCTAGTGAAATAGCTGGGACCCGCAATCTCAGGAAGAATCATAGCGGTTGTTGTGATCGGCACTCCATGTGTGAGCGGGGCGATGCATCCTCCCTTGGCGACAGCCGATGGCAGAGAAAATCCATCACTGGAAGTGTTGACACGATCACCATTGACGGCATGCTGCGCAGAAACTTCCAGCTTCGCCATCCGCAGTAACTTCATGGGCCACTTCCACGTGCGAAATGCGAGCACCGTCTTGTACTTCGAACTTCGCATCGTGTGCGACCACGAAACAGATGGGCACACTGCATGAAGCTACTCAAAGGAAGTTCAGAAAACAATCGTAAAGATGGCAAAAAATGAAGCGGAGCTAACAAAGCAAGAGCGCAAGCAAGCAGACCACTGCCGAGAGCAGACGACGTGAGCTGCAGCAGCAGGAGGAGAGCGCTCCATGAGCGGAGAAATCGTGTCCCAGCCAATAGAAGTCGCGCGCTCTGTCCAGTCACGTTCTTGCAATGAACCTTTTTTGAGTAATGAGCGCCGTCTGTGGAGTTGTCTGCAAACTACAATTAAAGAGCAGTCCTACATGCTTCTGCCCGTCTAAACACATTGGCATTGTGCCGTTGTATTGGTTTTCAGTGCTTTTTATACCCCATACTACCAATACTAAAACAAAGCCGCAAAATAGACTATAAATATGCGGGAAGATAGATGCTGACAATATTGCTGTCACCATTTTTGCAGGACACCGCGTCCCGGTGTCCTGCGAAAATAGCGACAGTGGGAGTGTACGGATGAGCATAAGTTTACTGGAAAAAGGTCCATTGCGACATGGAAGAACAGCTAGCATGCCGTAACCATACAGCCCACACCATTTTGTGAGCCTGCAAATAGAAGAAAAAGAATTCACCCTCAAAACAAGACCAAGATGGCGGCCGTTGGCCAAATGCGTCGGGAAGGGCGAGCACACGAAATTGGTGTTGATTTTGACATTTGTTCGTCACTTGGACGCTACCCAGGCCTCGTAAATATTTGTTTTTAGATATTTCCTTGTTGTGTTAGGTGCTGATAATTACAGAGAAGGTAGTTTATGAGATATACAACCAGAGCTGGATTAAGGCATTTCGGGGCCCTGGGCTAAGGACGCTCAGGGGCCCTAATGATGATGATGATGATGATGGCGACGATGATGATGATAATGCGGTCTGGTTAAGGGCCACCCGGACTCAGCTTCTCGCGAAGTGGAATCATGTGTGCATCCTTCGGCATAAACAATCGTGCACTTGCCTAGAGGACCACCATTGTTCGTAAAACTAATGCTCCGAAATAGCCTCAAAATAAAAAGATTTACCTTTCCCGTCTGGTTTAAACTAGGGAGCACTCCGGCAAGACCATTGCGGAGGCGGCATGCAGCTTTGTTCCCTTCCCCAGCAGCGTCAGAGGCCGCACTTTCAAAGTGTAAGCGCTGCTCAAAAACACGTGTTTTCGCGCGTGAGACATGAGCCCGAGTAGGGTGAAGAGAGAGGTGTTTATGACATTTCCCTTCCTGATAAAAAAAGAAAAGAGGAGCGAAAACCCCAGATCGTGGGGCCCCTCACGTGTTTTCTTCGTTTGCTCGAAGCCGCTTTCAAAAGAAAGCGGACAAGCACCATCAGGGGCCGGTCACCCATCCAAAGGGCCGGCTTTGTACAGGGACAGGGGTGTGCTACGCGAAGTGCACGTTCCCTCTTCTCGAATGCTGCGGCAAAGCAACATCGCTTCCAAAATATTTTTAAATTTCGGCTTTTTTTTTTTTTTTTTTTACGAGCTGCATGGGGGCTTTCAGAGAGTCGGGGGCCCGGGGCTGCAGCCCCCTTAGCCCCTACCTTAATCCGGCCCTGTATACAACCCAAAAATATGGTTTCCTAGAAATAAACTTTTGCGATTTTTCGGTTTTCAAAGTCTGCGTTCCCCCCTAATATTTGCAAAGTGTTGCCATTCGCCATCATTGGTATTTATTGTGCTCATATTGAAAGCAGCCTTTGAAAGTGAAGCTCATTATCCTTGTCGGATCCTCTGTTTCAGGGCATGCATGAACTCTTGGCGCCAATTATTTTTGTTCTGCACAGCGACCAACAAGCATTCCTTCATGCCTTGGAGCTAGGCTTCATCAAGTGAGTAAATCACCTGGCTAATTAAGATTCTAAAGATTGTGTGGAGAGACATTGACACCCCCAAAAATTTTTTATTTTTATTTTACAACGGAGTTGTTAAGGGCAAGTTTCCCCAGTTTCGTGTCTGTGGACAAAAAATTCTCGGCGCAAAACTCTGGACAGTTACTGCCATCTATAAGCGACGGCGGACACCAGACAACCGGCTTGCTGGTTGTCTGTTTGCTGCTGTCGCTTATAGATGGTGGCAACCTTTTCAGCCTTTCCACTCTGGTTTTCACCGGAGTGGAAGGGCTGAATTTCTCTAGGCGTCTTCCTTGAAATCATCCTAGACATCGTCCAAAGGGTTGTCCTCGAGGTCGTACTAGAAGTCATCCTTGAGGCCGTCGTAGACGTCACCCTCGAGGACGTCCTCAAGGTCATCCTAGAAGTCATCCTTGAGGTCGTTCTTGACGTTGTCTTCAAGGTCGTTCTAGAAGTCGTCCATGAGGTCATCCATGAGGTCGTTTTTGAGGTCTTGCTAGACATCGTCCATGAGGTCGTCCTAGACGTCATCCTTGAGGTCGTCCTAGACATCGTCCCTGAGGTTGTCCGAGACATCGTCCCTGAGGTTGTCCTAGGCATCGTCCTCTAGGCGTCATCCTCGAGGTCATCTTAGAAGTCGTGCTTGAGGTCGTCCTAAACGTCGTCCTCTAGGCCCTTGGGCTCGTCCAAGAAGTCGTCCTTGAGCTTGTCCCACCTTCTTTCTTCTTCACTAGAGTGGAAAGGCTGAAAGTCTTTTGCCAGGCGATTTATTATGGTGTCAGAAGACTACCCAATCCATATTTTGCTACAGTGTCACATATATTTTTAATGAAGGCAAAATACGCAGCTGCTTGAAACCGAAACCAAAACTGGCTTGGGGGGGAAGAAGAAGTGTAGAGGAGGGGAAAGTTACCAAAAATCATGTGGCTGTGAAACTTTTTTTTTTTTTTTTTTTTTTTTCAATTAACGTATTTGCAGCGTTTTAGAAGCCACAAAAAATGGGTATGGTATTTTTGTTCATTCCTAGTATTGAGTGTGTGCCTTCGATGAACCATGACTTTGATTATCTTTGGTGGTTGTGTCTAAACCATAGAAAATGGCACATGACCACGGATAAGAGAGTAGGCGCGACTCAAACCGGCCAGTTATAGATTGGCGTTTTTCGGGCGGCAAGAAAACGAATTTCAAGCCGCAAATTGTGTTCTGGGTAGTTGGGCTCTCATATATCATGTACAAATAAAACATTGGCGAACATAAATACCCTGTTTCCCTTTAACTATTACTATAAACTATTAAGACGAAAGGAAAGCTGAGACACTTCTTGAAAAAAACGAGTTAGAGGTGAATTCTGGCATATTTTTATCTTGTGAATCTGAATGTCACATTTTTTTTCGCCAAGATGTAACTGAATGCGAGAAAACACAAACACCTCTGACCAGTCATGACGTCATACTAGGATCTCTGGGTTGCCAAGCGCGTGTCGCTCATGTGGGCAGCTCGTGCAATTGCAAGCTTGCCAGTTATATTCCCCCACACTGACACCAGTCGTGATGTCTATTTCTGACCTTTTTCAAAATAGCAAAAGTGTGCGTGCATAGCTTTGTCAGGCGCTGAAGATACGCGAGAGCAGAGATTCCGAAAACTCCTAGTGCGACGTCCCGTCCCGGGAAGAAGGGGCTTCAACGGTACTTTAAAAGTTCATTTATGCAGCTTTTGTGCACCAAACTGAAAAATAATTTCAATATTCGGGATGATGGAGGCCGAATGAAGGCCATTGAAGTGTTTTTTTTTCTCAAATAGAAAACCGCTTCAGCTTCCGTTTAACATTTTTTCTTTTTCTTTTTGGGCGTTTGGCCCGGAAGGATTGGCGGGGACTTTAAAAGCTTTGCCGATTATCGCACTTCATGACTATGATAGCACCATATGCTTGACCCGCAATTAATGTAATTTTACATGTATTTCTCAGATTAGCTAGGATCTTTTCATTGATTTTATACTATAATTTCATAAATTGTTAAATACAAATGCTGCAATTAGCACCAGTGATGATAAATTGCACACTTTTGATTGCCATGCTTGTTTGCACATTTGAAATTAGATCATAAGCAACAAATTATATTAGAGCTTGAAAAACTATGTATTGAAATATCTTAATTGTATTATTATTATTAATGCAAATTGCAGAATGTAATAAACATCACAATCACAAAAATATGCCATTTAACCATAATAGTCTTTCCAGAAAGGTCTCATTTTGTTTTCATTTTAGCATATGAAGACCTTCGACGATAACTATGTCGGAGGTTTTATAGCCAAACATAGGATGTAATATAAAGCCCTATGCGTCACGCGTTGCTTTAAAAAGCACACACACTTCTGCTATCTGACTTGATTTCCGTCTATGGGTTTTTGTAGTGAGAACAGCGTTTCTTAATGTATACATTTTGTGAACATATTCTAGACTCATCACTTGCGGCGATATATTGTAAAATTTAGATTGATTTCGTTATTCTTGCGCTAGGAATAATGTTAAAGCAATTAATCATGTAAATACCCAAAAATTTGTTAAAAGGCCCCGCAGTTTATTATTTGTCGTGACAATTATCTGGGCGAGAAGAGGCGGTGAGAACACACAAATAATATCAGCACTGATTTTTTCAACAGATACAATATTCTATGTTACCAATAAGGTATACGAAAGATTCTGTCTTTAAAGAGACACTAAACTCTCCAAAATATTTTGAAGCCTCTGGATCGAGCACGCGTATGTCACAAAATAAAATTTCCGCGAACAACTTCTTTAACTTAATAGTTACGCTGTGAGACACATCTTGAATTATGAAAAAAATTTGGAAATTAACTCTTGTACCGAGAAATTAAATCCAAACGAGAGGTTAGTTTCGTTCCAGAATTAAAATGTGCCTCCTGGCATAAATATTACATTACACACCTTTTATTTTTTCTTTCCAGGGTAAAGATGTGTTGTGATCAAAACACTCTAGTTTTCTCATATAAGCAGAAATAATTTGTGTCGCTCAGGGAAGCCAACTCTCTAGACAGGCTCAGCAACTGGTATACCAGTTCGCTTCTCCGACCCTCACTACAACCACCATTTTGCAAAATGAGTAGCGCCATCCATGGTGAATCAGAGTCGCAAATATGAACTCCAATCTAAGCCAGATAGAAAATATAAAAAAAAGGTTACGTTGTAAACTTTTTTTTATTGAAGTGTTATATATAGACATTTAACTGTATTACAATCATGTTCAGGATATATTTTTTTTAGTTATCCATGCTTTGATGGTATCTTTCAATAATCTGTTCAAGATATCACTGACTTAAAGTTGTGTTTATAGTATGCTCAATTTAATGGCATCTTGACTTAATTGTTGTCAAACATAATTTTATTCACCTTTCCAGGGAGCTTCCTTCGAATTTGCGGTGAGTAATACTTGCAAAAGACTGTACTTGTGTCCTATTCTCCAGCATACTAAAGAACTCTCCATTTTAGGGAGGATATAAGGGAGCTTCTGAATCCAGACTTCACTGAACACGACGCTTTGTAAGTGTCACCGCTATCTCCTATTCTGTGGCATTTTGTGCCAGCGTTGCTAGTGCCTCCTGTCATGCACTAAGTATGTCGCTTGATTCAGCTTCCTGTTTTGCCAAGTGATGGAGGCAGTCGAGTCATGGTACACCTGGACTGAAAATTACACAAAGGTGGGTGGTGGTCACTTGGAGACAGCCCACTGTTTCTGCTGGTTCTGATTCGCTACTTCCAGTTGGTGTAATTTTCAAAGTTATAACGACATACTAGTAGTTGCGGGGCTTTAACCAGTTATGAAAGGAACATTAGAGACATGAAAACGATGTGGTTTTTAAAAAGCGTGAGCTTGTGGGGTTTGTGTAGAAATCATCCAATAAGTGCATAATATCTCTCAACTGATCCCATAGCTTTTTGTTTTGGTTCTAAGTGTGTGATACACAAATATATGACCTTTGTGATGATTTGAAGAAAAGTGTCTTGAATGGCTTGCAATGGTCATTCTGCTGCGTGGCATACATATGTTGCCGAAATTAATGACTTGGTCAAGTGCCTATTTGCCAGTCAGTTAAATATTCTGGTGGACTTCAAAGTGCTAAATTCATTTTGTGCTACTCTCCATGGTATCCCCATTATAGCAATTGCATTAGTGTAAGCTTCGGTGATATATAAATGCGTATGCTTGAAGAAGAGCACTTTTGACAACTGGCTTTGCATTACTGCAATATCCCGATTGAACTCCCACCTTCACCTAACCGCAAGCTTATAGAGGCTAGCAGTATTCCATTTTCTTCCGAAAGAAATACCGTATTTCTTTGATTCTAGCGTGACCACGAATGTAACGCAAGGAGCAACTTTGCATTCTGCCCTGCGAAAAAAATAAAACCACGTATGTAATGCGAGACCAACGGAGGTGCAAGAAAGTATGTTTATTTGAAAGACATTACGGCCAACACTTGCCATTTTTGGGGAAGTTCTTAGTCACTCGTCGTCGTCATCGTCCCAGGTTGAGCTCTGCGTCCAGCTGCAGCGGAATTGCCAAGCTCTCCCCCCAACAAAATGGCTTTTTTCTTGAAGCTCGTGCTGTCGTGGGCACATAGCGTTGCCATCGGTTTTGGTAGAAGGTTTGACATTGTGGAATTGTGAGAAGAGGATGTTCCAGGACTGTAGAGCAGTGAAGAACAACGAAGTCAACCAGAACTACACCAGGCATGCCAGATTTTATGAGGCAGAGAACACAACAAGCAGAACCATGGTTAAAATGGCTAAAACAACATTTTGATGGATTTTGATCTGGATTCGAGTATTTTCATGGATAAAATCCATATAGGCATACATATGTTGCCAGGACAAGCTTGAAAAACCGCGGGTACACAGAATTATTTCAAAATGGCCAGCCAGTTTCGTGGTGGCTCGATTATAATGCGGAGGCCTACATTAGGTAGTAAAATAGATAAATGGGCTAGTTGGTACATCATTGAATGGAAAGCGCCGAATAAACAAGGACCAAGAAGGGGACAGAGACGAAGCGCACTCAGCGCCGCATAAGCTGTCTCAATTGTGTTCAAAAATAAACAACAAAAAGGGAGAGGGTAAGGTGTGTCAAAAGAAACACGCTAATCAATATGTGGAGTGTGCAACGTCAGTGGTGTATAACATACCATTGAGTTGCGGGAAATCGTATGTCGGCCAAACGGGGCGGTGCATAAATGAAAGGGCCAGAGAACATGCCTGGTCAGTCAAACAGTCCCCGTCGGGCAATCTTGCGGTGCATTGTGATAGGTGCCCATGTAGCCCGGAATTGGAAAAAACAACAGTTCTGGGCAGATACGAAAACAAAACAGCGCGAGAAATACACGAGGCATTCCGCATAAGAGAGCAAGGGGTGAGTCTGTGTATTAGTGCGCCGTCACTGCACTTAACTGATAAAGAGTTTTTCTTTTTGAGCCAACACCCTGATAGACGGTATTAATAGTCAATGTTGTTTTCAATAAACCTTCAGTTGTGAGTGCGCTTCGTCTCTGTCCCCTTCTTGGTCCTTGTTTATTCGGCGCTTTCCATTCAACTACATTAGGTAACAAAAATTAAAAAAAAAAAACTCGCGTTGGTTTGAGTAGATACGGTGGGTAATAATGTGAAAAACTGATTCAGGTTTCATGTATTGCAGACATGTGGGAGTTATTCCTGAAAGTGTTTAGCACTAGGCCTGGAATTACTCCAAAGCTCCTTCCAAAAGTTGCTTTATGCAAATGCCAAGTCAAAGGTGTTCATGAAGAAGCAACTTGGCCCAAAGTATGCTTCTGTTTTCTTGTATGATCTTATCTGGCTCTTCAATGGTTTGCAGCTGGACCAGTTCAGCTTCATGCCATTTTCCAAGACAAACCTTTTGGGTGTTCACAATGGGCTTGGTGTGAAGCTCTGCAAGATAAACCAAGCAATGCTCAAAACACAGGACCCTGCAGTGTTTGCCCACCTGGAGAACATGGAGATTCCCCTGCATGTCTTCGGGATGTAAGTTCTGTAGTCATTGATGAGGTGATAGTGGCAGAGAGGTGCTTCTGTTGCCCCACCTCCAACGCAAGCATCCTATCTTCGACAACTCTTGGGCATCTCGTGCACCTCAAACATGTTTGTGCAGCCAAAGCACAACAGAAGGCATAGAGTGCGTGCGTGCTGTAGGCCGGGTTTTCGAAAGACACTGCCTGCCGTTCTCATTTTGCCAGTGACTATAGTTGGCTTTAGCACTGAGCCCCATTCAGTTTGTTTTCTTTTTGTACATATACTATATCTTTCAGTTTAACAGAAGGGTCTCTGAAATGTAATCAAGGTAGTTGGCATCCTCTGACTATATTGTTGGAAAAACACAGGAGCCTCAAGTCGGCATCTTCCACATAATGCTTTAACCTAACTTCTCCTGCTAGTCATCAAGCTGCCCCCAGGCCAAAAGGGACCATTAGTGAAAATGTGACAGTGATTATGCTGCAGTGCATGCCAGCTCCAAAACCAGGTGTACCAGTAGCTACACACAGTACTTCATTGACTCCTGCTGTCAACTTTTTTGGGCTCACTCAATAAAGAGCTTTCCAAAACTGACAGGGCATCTGAAGTATGACAGGCCTTCCAAGTTCTATTAGAGGCAGCAAACAAAACCCCCTTGTTGTCCTGCAGGGCACAAAGCGTGCCTTTTTGTAAATTTTTAGATTCTTTGGCCATTAAGGCAGACATTGAGAAGTGTCTACCAAATTTCAGACATGCCTAGGACATTAAAGCTTGCTTCTGTTGTGCCTTGATTTGCAGACGATGGCTGAGGTTGCTGTTTGGGCGCGAGTTCATCCTGCCTGAGCTACTCATCCTTTGGGATGCCATCTTTGCAGACAGCCTGGCATTCAACCTGGTGGATCACATCTTTGTAGCAATGCTCACCTGCATTCGAAAGTTGTGTGAGTAGCTTATTGGTAGATTGACTTTATTGGATTTATTTATTGGGGAGGTTACCACTAGCAGGGGTGGTCCAGTTGTGCCATTTGGGCCATTTTGATAAACTCCCGCTTGCCTGCGCCTAGCTGCTCCCAAAGGAAAAAATTGCACCAAACTTCGCCAAAGTGAAATGAATCTGCAAATGAATTGGTTTTTGGAAGAGTTTTTGTTTTTGTCTAGCAATTGTGGGAATTCAGTGAGGTTTGGCCATCACAATCCAATCAAGGTTTCCGGCTCCGCGGCATTGTTTCACACCAATTTTACCGACATTCCTAATGCAACGCAATTTTAACAATCTTAGTCATATTTCGAAGGGCACTACTAAAGATTAACAAGTGCAAGTACCTAATTGTTTTCTGTGTGCCCACGTTCAGAGGCGTGACACTGTTTTATATAAATGTGCTCGCACATGGTTCCCATTTCATTACCATGCTCGGTTGCGACTGCTTGGTTACGAGTTGTTGCCTTTTTATGTCGAATGATGTGAATTGTTGATCATACTACTCATTAAAACCTCGAATAACGAAAGATATTCTGGGTTAGGGAACCCAGAATATCTTTATTGATTATGCTTTTGTCTACTAACTTTAATTTTTGGGCAATTTGACTGCTATTTAAACCGAGGAAGAGCAAAGCAAATCAGACATTGAATGTTTCCACACTGAGAAAGTGTCATCGTAAATAAAATGTTTGTGCACAAATATGTTGTCTTTTGGAGTTATGAGGTCCAGACAGTGCTGATTTTCGTGTCATGTGAGAAGGCTTCGTATAATGCCAACTCTAGATAAGGTAAATTGGCATTACACAGTCTTCTCACATGACACGAAAATCAGCATTGTCTGGTCCTCATAACTCCTAAAGACAACATGCTTTGTCAGGCTAGATCTGGACCGCGGTGGCATTCCATCCGGCTTGCAGATGGCCGCGGTCTTTCGAGTGGCTTGCAACTCGCTGCTGCAAACGCAAAAATAAATGAGCATAAAAGGAAGAAAAAAAAAAAGGTGGCGCTAGGACGCACTTTGAAAGCGCAGGCGAAGATATAAGAAAGAATGAGAAAAAATCTATGTTGAAATGCAGGTTCTCTTGCCACATTTTTCATAAATTGTCATGACCAACGTTATTATTTATAGTTCCCTGTTTCATGTCTGTGCAACTAGGATCCGTGTCATAACTTTTGCATGTTGTCATTATCAAATCTAGCAACCTCATTAGTCTTCTTCTGCCCTATGTTAATATGTCAAAGTTTATATGATGATTTATGCCTGGTCTAGTTGTTTTTTTTTGTATTTAAGCACTTATTTAGGTCTATTTATTCTGTATTTCCTTATTTATGTAATCTTATATATTCTCTGGCCCTTGAGACTGCAACAGGTCTCCTATCCTGCCCCTTAGCCCAGATGTTTGGAGACCCCTGATTTAGAGGGTTCCATTGGTACTCTACATGGACTTCTCAATGGTGATAGTTAGCACGTGCTTACATCAATCCTGCTAACCTTCACCCACTACACTAATGGGAACAAAACATGAATATGACCAAGTTTATGGCACAGCTTTACAGCAGCTGAAGGGCAATTTGACTACCCTAAAATACCGGGGAAGCACCCACCCCACTTTCACTTAGAACATCTCTACATGGGCGCTTGTCCGGTCAAATCAGTGAAAACCAAGATGAAAGGCAATAAAGAACTTCGAAGGCAGAAAGCAAATTTATTTTCACATGACATCCCCGTCATCGCCACTGGCGGTCTCATGGCCACCGGAACGAAGTGAATATTTTGCCGGCCCTTTGGAGGGTGCGGGCGCTTAGCGTATAATTGGCAGAATTTACAAATTTGGGAAACGTTAATAGTGGATGCTTGTATAAAGTGGGTACTTTCAAAATATTTTATTGTAGTACGGTATAAATGCTGACATTGGGATTTTAATTATCATACAACTGATTACATGAATGCATATTGGTGTCACTAATAGAAAACTGCACCAAATTTCGCCAAACTTACACATGAGCTGCTCCAAAATGCACATGTTTCTGATACAAAGGTGCTTCAAAACAAGATCTTTTTTCTGCTCCGAAAATTGCTTCAAACTCAAAACTTGCTGGACCATCCCTGCTTTAGGAGTGTGCAAGCACCAGTTTGTCTTTAAAGTATGACTTCCGTGTGAGTATTTACAACACAATACAAATAAGAAAGGTTTTCTAATATATAGGTCCAAGATAATCAAATTCCATATGAATATCTAAACTGTGTGTGGATCAAAGTGTGAACTGCAAATAGAATATTTATATAGTAGTAGTATCTTTGCTAGTAAGCAAATTTGTCACTAAAGCTGGGAAGAACAACAGCTCGTTCCAATGAAAGTTTCTAATGCAGCATTAGAAAGGAAAAGGAAGTCAATCCTTAGCTGTAAAGTAACTAAGAAAGTATTTAATGTTAGTTCACTGAGTCAACTGCTGTGACACAATCTCTTTATGGTAACACCCATTGTACTGATGCTTCATAGATAACTTGGGGGGATCGGTGGCCAAGTGGGCTAGCGCACACCACTTCGGAGCATGTGGAGCAAAAGCTCGCGCTGCACAACCCAGGATTCTGGGTTCAATCCCTACCCCTGCCCGTTTCGATCTGGATGAGTATCGTACCGGCGTGCGGTCTTGTATTCCTACTGCGTGATGCACGTTAAAGACCCCAGGCTAGCGGTTTTACTGCACTGGCTAAATTTCTCATCTACAGCTGGTAGACTGGTTGCCCGTTGAGGCAGACCACGTCCTAGGCTGTATAAACATGCACATAACCCTCTCTCATCAGGTCAAGCGAGTGGCGCATAAGTTTAACGTGCCAGTGGTGTTTTCAGCACCCCAGAAGCTGTCACGCCTGTGCACTGCTGTCAACCGAGGGAGGAACAGTGACTTGCAATGTGATGTCAACCACCGCACTCCTTTTGTACCATGCGCAGGGGGGGTTGTGTATCAGATCCCCTTCACATGTGGTAGGGTGTACATTGGACAAACGGGGAGGTGCGTGAACGAGAGGGCGAGGGAGCATTCTCTTTCTCTCCATTCCTCCCCCGCTGGCCACTTAGCGGTACATTGCAGTAGGTGTGGCTGCGTACCTGTTTTTCATGACTTGACGATCCTGGCGCGCAATAAAAGTAAGACCGCTAGGGAGATTGAAGAGGCATTTTTCATTTTATCTAAAGGGGAAGGGAAATGTGTGAGCGCACCGTCGGTGCACTTGGAAGATGATGAGGTCCTTTTTATCAGGGAGAATGGCAGGCATGTGTGAGGGTGATAACGTGGTAGAAATCCTGTCGGTTGGGTTGTATAATTTTTTGTGTCTTTATTGGTTCTTTCCTATGCTCTGTGTTTATTTTTCTGGTTCGCCTGAAAACTAAACTTTAGTTGACAGTCAGCGCTTTGTGCGTGTGCTTCTTCCACTTGTCCTTTGTTCAATTTTTTGCGCTGTTTTCACGTTTGACACAACCCTATTTTTTTAATTCTTTTTTGTTGATAACTTTACAAATTTTGTTTGGCTTTTCAGTGCTGAATGCAGATTATGCACAGTGCCTGAGCTATCTAATGAAGTACCCAGCTGGCAGGAAAGTCACCTACATACTCCAACTGGCCCTGCACATGAAGGATCCAAAGGTAATCCATGGCTGCACTTGATGCCTGATGAGATGAGCCTCACATGGAACATGTACCAGCTATTATGTCTAAGAAGGAGCGTGTTGGTCCTTGTGGTCACACCTGGGCAGTGGCATACTATATCTGTCTCATTGGTGCCTCTCTGTAATCTCTTGAGTAAGAGCTTGCAGCTAATGGAGCTGGTGTCCTTGACCCATCGCATTTCCTTTCATTAGAAGTATGTGAAGCCGGCCGAGCAGGAGTTGGATGTCTATGGCTTCAGTACCGCTCCAAGGGGTTCAGCAAAGTATGCTAGGCAGATGGACTGTGGCCTACCAACTGCTCCAGTCAGGTAAAGTCTCCCAATTATTTGAACTTTTTTTTTAAGTAATTGCAGGTTTTAGGGATTGTCAGAATTTTGTTTGGCACAGACTCTAAAAAAGCCCATAATACTCAAGCTGTGTATTTGCCTAGTTTAGATTCGTAATATTGGGTCAATATATTATAGATCTGGTATTAATGTAATCTCTAAGTGGCAGTGACTTAAAATCATACTTGAAACAGGAAACTGCTTAAGTTGCCTGTGTACTCCTCTTTCTAGAATTTTCTTCTCTTCTTCTGGCCTTCGTTTTGGGGCATGCTTTAATTTCCTCTGTTCAAAACTCTCCCGTGGAAGCTGCATTCTCTGCTCCATTCATTTTCTTTTTATAGGTGTGCCCAATTTATTAGTAGATGTTTGTTGGTGAAGACAGAATACCAAAAAATAAGTTATTGTGAACTAAAGCGAATTGGTGGAGACAAAATACCAAAAAATAAGTTATTGTGAACTAAGGCAGAGTAGACTTTGCTTGGATTTATTATTGTCACACCATACATTATCATCATTACATTATGGGGTCTGTGGCAATAAGTAATACGAAGTCGTGTTAACTCTTTTCATACCGCTAATAAAAAGAATTAAACATATAGTAAATGATGATACATGGAAATGTAGCCAATAAGCTGCCCTTTAGAAGAAAAAAAAATGCTTTCACTAATGTTGGAAAAACATCTGTATGCTGAACACAAAATTTGTCTGAAAATTTATAGCAAAAAGCTTGAACTGTAGTGACTGTATCAAATCATACCTTGATGTTTAAAAATCCTAAATATACAATCTGTGCCCCATACACAGCATTTGTAACTTTTGTAATTTACAGAGCACAAGATGATGCTGTTTATTTTGGCCCGTCGGCAAGTGTGCTTCTTTGGCATCATGCCATTTCGAGACACTGTTGTGTACGGAGGTGCACGTCCTCCAGAACTTTTTTTATTTGCACAAAACCTTGGTTTGTTATTGGGGAGGCGATCGATCAGTCACGCCTCTAGCAGTATGCTTCAGCTGTGGGGACAACAAACCGTATATTATTGTTTGTTTTTGATCCGAGAAATCGAAGATGACGATTCGAAGGCCGTTCCTCATGCGACTAGGGCACTGGTCAGAGCGAAGCGCTCGTGCCCAGACCGTGCTAGGCAAGGTTCAATTTCTTTGTTATGCTGTGTTAGTAAACACCTGGCTGTGGGGACAGCAAGCTCGATAAAGCGCTTCCTATAGTTCGATCTCCTGCCCAATAGCACTGCTCTAACTTGCCCTCTGCTCGTGTTTTTATGGCTTGCGGTGCACAAAAAGTGTGTGGCCCAGTTCAGGACAGCCTAGAAAGCAAGAATGACGCTCTCCAACGAGCACCTGTCGATATTCTGCATCTCGGAGATGAAACATCGCTGTAGGAGCTCAAATCAAATGATCCAACATTGTCCACAGTCCTCACTGCTGCTGACATCTGAAAAATAAGCAGCGAAAGCAGTTGAATCGTGCGATTGAGGCTGTTTTTGTGGCAGTCCCGACTGTCAGCAGGTTGCCATGCCTGACAGGTGCCATTGCTGTGAAGAGATTTAGGTATTTCTGATAGCTCACCAGCTTGGGAGAAAGTGCAAAAAGTGATAGGATCCAAAGCTGTGCTTTCATGACTGTCCACAAGATGGTGCAACGTGTTCCTGCGTGCCAAATTCACATTTAGGCGGTGCATGTAAACCACAGATCGTGGGTGATTGATGGCCGTGGTACGGAAAGAATTAAATTCACGAGTTGCCATCTGTATGACGGGGGTCGTCATCTGTATGACGGGGGACGGGGGTCTCAGCCTACGAAGGTAATGCTCGGTTCATTGGTCCTTTCTGTTAATGGGATGTGCTTTAGCCTACCGCTGTATGCTTTTGTTGTTCTGCTGGTAAGAAGATAGTGTTGTACTTTGCATCCCTCCAATAGGCCCACCACCCTGGGCATTTCAACACAAGGCTTCCGGGCCAACAGTGAACCAACAACCCTGGAATCTGACTCTGACGTGTCTGACGGTAAGACGGATCTCCCAAACATTAGGGCGTCCCAGGCGGTCCTTCTTCCGTAAAACGAGCCGGAAAAATTGGTGCTTGCACATAGAATACTCGTACCTTCACTGAACATCCACTGAGCAGGTCAGTTTTTACCGTGTTAAATTTCAAGGCACTGCACCTTGCAATCTTCCTCTTAAAAATGAGAGCAAAGACTTGCCAAGTGGGCAACAAGGTTTGCGACGCTATTTACTTGTGGCCCCAACTCCCAATAGGCGCAACAAGCAGACTACGTACTCCGTTGTCTGCTCGCGGCGCCCATCGGGAGAAGGTGCCACAAGTAAGTAGCTTCGCTAACTCGTTTGTCTGCTAACGTGCCCAACCTTGACTTTGGCAAGTTCATTGCTCTCATTTTTTAACAGGAAGAGAACTGCGCCTTGAACTTTCACAGGGTAAAACTGACCTGCTCTTGCGCAATCGATTAAAGTTTGAGCTTTCTATGCGCAGGCGCCGAGTTTTCTGACCGTTTTTGCAGCAAAAGGTTTACTTGAGACACCTTGCAGTTGATTTACATTAATTGACTAATTGATTAATTTGACTTGCCGTTTAATTTGACCCTGGTTAAAGGTTACGGCAAAAGCCCACACATTTTTATAGAAAAAAAACAAAAAAACTCTTTATTTTAATCTTAAATTATAAAATATTGGTTAATTTAACCTAGAGAAGACCGGCGGTGGGCAAATTACAAGCACGATTGGTCGTACGTGATGCATAAAAACAGGCCTTTTTTCTTTTTTCGCATTATGCAATGGGCAAGTTGCAAGCGTGATCGGCTGTGCCCGTCGGTGAAAAGGCCCGTTTGAAAATTTTAAAGCGCACGCTGAATTGCGAATAGAGAGAGAAAAAGAGAGCACATGTTGGGACAAGGGACGCGGCTGGGTCTCAACACAACACTACCTTTGCAATACCGCTGCAGAGCGGTGTAGCAGAAGCAGCGGCAGCAGCGCTGGCTGCTGGTCACTGCTGCCGTTGCCGCACCGAACACGCTAAGGACAAACACGGCCGCTGCCACCACCGTGCGGCGGTGTGCGACTGCTTATTTGAAAAATGTTAGCCCACCTGATCTAAAGCCCTGGTTATTCGGAATTTTGCACGCACCTTTTAATTTGACTTTTGGATAATTTGACCCAATTTCGCACGTCCCATCAAGGTCGAATTAATGGAAGTCTACTGTGCATATTTGAACAAGGTCCATGGGAGTTGGGAAGATGCTTACCTATTTCTAGCTCCGATAATTGATATGCTGTAGAGAAATTCACTTATTGTTATGTGTGGACTTCCTAAAGTAAAACATGCTGAACTGAGTTTAGTGTTTGTAACAAAGGAACAGCCCGTTCAGGGTGCCATCACGCGCAGTCATACACCACATTTGTAAGACCCTGCATACCTACAGGTTATCTGCAGGCATTTACTGGTATTTATGACACGACCCAGTGAGTCAGATTTTGCAGATCCGGTGTGACGCAGGGATCGCCAAGATTCCCACGTTGGATGGGTGTGTGGAATGCTTGAGATGCATAAGGCGGCATTCTGTTCAAACATACACAGAATGGCTTGTGCCAGGTAACCTCCGTGGTGTGAGCTCTCAGACGTTTCTATCTCCAGGAACCTCTATCTTTCTTGATTGGCAGCCTTCTCAGTCTTGGCACCGATACAGTAAAACATTGTAGAAGCTAAACAGTAATTCACATGCTAGGGAGTGATTGGCTCATTGTACTGTAATCGGTGGCTCAGATCTGCTAAAACAGTGCGTAAACATGTTACACAAGGGCAGAGACGGTTACAGAAATAGCTTGGGGAAACCCATCACGGTACTCTGGAGAACCCCTGGGAACCCAGTTTGAGAACCCGTGCTCTGTGGAACTGCAGCCTGAAACTGTTGCATTAAAAATGAGTGTCATTGATCGAGAATGCCACCAGTAGTAAATTTAAGCTTTTATTCCACGATTGTTGACTTCTGGACAGAGGCCAGCGCGCCAGCAGGTAGAAGCAAAGGCAAGTCCCCGGTCAAGGGGCAGCGCAGGCCGAACCAGGTGTGGTCTTTCAAGGGCATCAAGAAGACTGCCATCACTCAGAGCCTGAACCTGCTGGCCAATGGGAACGGAGACGCACTCAGCGAGAAGGAGATGGTGCAGTTAAATGCGTCCAACCGCAGAGTCGGCGACCCGAGCACCTCTTTGAGAGACGCTCATGTGAGTTGCGACTGCAACGCTCCATTAGTTGTACTGCAGCTCCTGTACACAACAATAAGTAGTAGTATCCTTGTGGCTGTTTTATTTCTAGTTTTTGCAGTTTTCTTGCAATTCTTGCCACTGTATTTGCTCAAGTACTATAGAGCCACACTGTTTGTGAACAAAGTGCTCAGATGCGTTTTTCTTCAGTACTGGCAGGGACAAGGAACACATGTCTACAAGCTTTCAGCTAAAACACTTTTCTTTTCTACCTTTGCTCCAGCAAGCCTTGGTTAGAGAGAGGTAGAGAGAATATGTGGACCAAAATAAACCTTACCATAAATGGTGGGCTAAAATGGTAGGGAGAACTGATAGGCTAACTGTGCAAAAACACATCATGTTCAAATCCAGCCTCAGAAAGGCTGTTAGTTGTCAGTCCGAAATATTAAAGACAATGTCTTTCCTAGTGCTTAAAATGCCCTCCAATCGCGCAATATTTCTGAAAGTTGGAGACGTCTGCCTCGTGGTTTTTGATGTAAAGTGCAATGGGGCTGGCCACGTGCTCTCATTGTAGTGTTCATGGAGGCAATCATTGAGACAGCATTACATTAGACCTGTTATTATTATCTGTGCCTCACATTATTGGAATGGCATTTATCCTTTCTTTAGAGCAGGGGTGGCCAAGCTGCGGCTCGTGAGCCGCATGCAGCTCTTTGCGTGTTAAAGTGCGGCTTGCAGCTCCTTCCCTTACCCTCCCCCCTCCCGCCCCTTTCCTTGCCTTCCTCCCGGTCACACGAGGACTTCCCAAAAGGAGATATGAACCGCGTTTTAAATCGAAAGACAGGTGGCGGTTTGGTAGTCTTGTGTTACTACCACCTTACGTACAGTTGAACTGCTTTTGACCAGGTTAGATCCAAAGTAATTCAAGTTTTATTGCTCTGAACAAAAGTTTGCCCCCCCCCCCCCCCACCCTCCCCCGCGGCTCTTGGAAGTCTCGTGGCTTTGTTTGCGGCTCTTAGGCCGGGTCAGCCGGGCCACCCCTGCTCTAGAGCATTAAGTAATGTGTATAGTACAATTTTTCCTTGCACACAGTGGAGGAGGGCATTCAATTTAATGCAGTTTGATCTTGCAGGCAGAAACCCATTTGTTGCCATACCAAAGTGTAGTTGGAAGAAAATATCCCAGCCAAGGATTGTTAATGCAGTGTTCTGGTGCATAAAGGAGCTGTGCAACAATTTCAGGGCTTTGCTTACTAAATAATTGTGGAAGTTGATGCCTGACACTTCTGAAGTGAACTACAGAAAACAGATTTTGCCTGGATACCCTAGTTTTTATTTTAAAAAAAATGAAAAAGATCCATGTTTTTGCCACCTCTCAACTCGTACATCGTCTTCCGGGTCACGTGCGCAGTGACGTCGATGGGGTAGATGCGGCGTTCCGGAAAAGTTATCTTTTTAGAGCCATCAGTGAGCAGCGAGAACTCATCCACTCGTGACCGCGTGACCACGTGCTGGCGGGCGCAGCGCGAACAATATGGTGAAAGGAGGAAAGTCTCATCCGGGTCCGGCCATACCCGTCCGGCCCTGTCCCCCTCTGCCTCCGGCTTCTGGCAGCTGTTTGTAGTAGCGGATAGAGCTGACGGTTTTGTGGACCTAGGATAGATGGCGCCACTAAAACTCAGTATAATAACAGTTTTGGCAGTCATACCAGGGTTTTGACACATTTATATTTATGAGCTTCTTATAAAAGAAGCTCAAGTCGATTACCTCGGAGCACAAGTTCTCAGACTTATGTATCTCGAGAAATCCCATCTCTCATGTCTGATAGCCAAGAAACCCCGGCAGCTCTTGTCATTGATGCAGTAAAGCGGTGCAGAAGCTTGCAGACCTTATACATACTGCAGTCAAACCCGTTTATAACGAACGGCAGGAAACACTACGATCAGTTCGATATAGCAAGTAGTTCGATAGAGCAAAAACCATTTACAACAAACTTCCGCGACGCGTTCGTTGTCAGGCCGAGAGCTTCTCTTTCTTTCTCATCTCTTCGTTCCGCCTTGTAACAACGTGCTGGAATTTCTTTTTTTTTTTTTTTTGCATGCGTGCAGATATTTTTTTTTTAGCTTATCTTCTTTTCTGATTTGCTTCTCCTCGTGGGCAATCGCTTTTGGATGAAAATGTTTTTTTAGGGGCAAAGCTCTTTGGGGTCTAGCCTTGTCCATCCGTCCGGCGTCCGTGCTCACATCAATTGAACTGCCTCCGGGATCAGCCCACTTTAAAACAAAAAATGTATGCCCGCACGGGGGTTCGAACTTAGCACCGCTTGCTTACGAAGCAGACGTCTTAACCACTATGCCACACTCCAACGTTGCATGTATCCGCTAAACAGGAGAGGGCGCTGCGGTCAAATGCATATATAATCATGTTAAGCTTTGCATGCATTGGCTCAACATTTATAGACGAGAGGGCGCTGCGGTCAAATGCTCAACTGCGTATATAACCACGTTCCATACCACATATTCTCTTTCTGACATGGACCGTTGACTTAAGCGGTGGAGACGCATTCCCACGGCTTCTAGCGGATCCAAGCTGATCCGCTAGAAGAACCACTGGCTCTGCATTTCACCAACCATAAAGCAGTAATAATGAAGTCGAAATGCAACCCAGAACCCAGCACTACCTATGAGCAATAAAAAAAATATCGGCACCATCAGCACTACCTATGAACAATAAAATCAGTATCATCAGCACCACCAGAGCTTTGCCCCAATCAGCATCATTCACCACGTGGAGATGCTGCCTCTTTTTCTTTTTTTTTTTCTGTGCGTGTGCTCAATGTTTTTTTTTTTTTTTAGCTTTCTGCCCTTCTGAATCGCTTCTCTTCGCTCAATTTTGTTTGCGGCTTGAGCTTTTGGAATTTTCTTTTTTTCCTCTTTTTTTATGGGGGGGGAGGGAGGGGAGGGGAGGGGAGGGGAGAGGAGAAAAGAGGAGAGGAGAAAGGGGGAAGGAACAGGCTAGAAGACGATTGTTTGCACGTTTTTGGAAACCTTCCCGGGTGAAACGTTTGATATAGCCAATGTGTTGTTCGTTATAAAAAGTACTTTTTACATGCATTTTTATTTAAATTTTACATGAGTTCAATACCGACAATAATTCGGTATGCGTGGGTTCGTTCTAAAGGGGTTTCACAGTAAATAGTCTATGGCTCGTAGCTGAGCATTACTAAGCTACCAAATCTCTTATTGTACCACTTAAACTGGTTTCATGCTTTACTTGGGGGCAGAGACAGTCGGGGAAATTTGGGAGCCTGGGAAAGGGTACACCGGAGAACCCCTGGGTTTGTAGGAACCCAACTTGAGAACTTGTGCCTCAGAGAAACTTCCGACGAGAGTTGCGAATAAGGTGATGGGTGGCCGAACGAAGGAGGCAAGCAGACATTCCAGCTCCCTCGAGATGTGGTACATTTCGCTCGCAGAGGGCACCTGGCACGGAGCTGTCGGCCCTGCGGAAGGAGGTGCGCGAGATGCGGTCTGTCATGGACACCTGCTGGCGCCAGATGAGCTCTAACCTGAGCCTGCTGCAGGACTGCGTACTGTCCCAGAGCCAGGAAAGGGAGCACGACATCGTCCTGGCTTTGGCCAGGCTCAAGAGGGTGAGCTGGCCATGCCCCAGTTCGTGGTTGAAATGTAGGCACCCAAGACCACAGGTTGAGTGCGCGTGGCTAGGGTGCCTTCGTGCGCGCTTTGCTTGTTCATTGTGGTGATGGAAGTGCTGTGCCATTTGTGCCAAATTACGCCACGAACGAAATTCTGCTATGTACATCTTGTGCCAATGTGACACTTATGCTAAAAATTGTGCCACTCCTGCACCAAAATATATAAAGCCCCCCAAAAAACTTTACTATCAAAGAAGGACCTTCAATTATTCTCAGATATAGGAACTAATTGAGTGATGCAATCACATTTTCCTTTTTAAGTGATGTGCTAACAGATGTTGGCATCTGCTTCAAAAGTGTCAGTGGCTGCTCTATAGTACCAATATTTCGCTTGCTATAAAACCCTCTACAAAAGGTCCGCTGCTGCTTCCATCACTGGTGATAACATCCAACCATTTTGTTGCAGATGCTTTTTTTTTTCTGTTCTGGAGTGCGTAAAAGAGCATCTCTTGGCACGAGCTCCGGGCATTGACTGTGCTACAGCGGCACTTTGTTGCCGGCTATTTCTTTGTATTTCCTCAGTGAGCACGTGCTGTCAACATCGGCAAAGTTCGTTATCATCAAAAGTTGTTTAAGATGATAATTTATCACGATGCAGTGTAGTGTCTCCATCCCCAGTGTAAATGAAGAATGTTGTAGTCACCATACATCTTTATATCGAGAACAATTTGTTGTCAACTTGCCCACTAAATTTAGCGGAAAAATCAATGTCACGCGATGCCTCGACTTGATATTGTGACATTGCATCGCATGGCCACATTGCCAGGTCGCATGATACAGTGTTGCAGTGTCAAGTTGTGGCATCACGTGCCATGACATAGTGCCACGAGACACCATGAGACATGACGTCGTGTCGCACCATGACTGGACACTGCAACATGTGGTCAGGTGATGTCACGGTGTCCCATGACACTGTGTCATGTAACATGATGTCCCATGATACCACAACTTGACACCATTCAATCAATAAACAATATGTCCTTCACTTCCCAAAACGACTGCTTAATGTCTTCAAAGCAAATTTAAACAATCGCTCCTTAAATACTGCCTTGCATGCTTTATAAGACTTTGCAGGTAAAGGTCACAGCCAATCGTTCTATCTCATACTATCGTATCAAAGATATAAAAGGGACATTGAAGGCACATTAAGGGGAGGCACGGCCTAGGAATCGCGATTTTTTCAAAAAAGTCGCATTTTTGGAAAATAGGCTGACCAGCTTTTACAACTCATAAAGAATGCTGTCCAAAAATTTTATTCCTGTAAGTAAAGTATTTACTCCGAAATAAATTATTTTCGAAGTGCTGGCGGCTGCACGTGCGCGCCAACGACGCGGCCGATTACGAAAATGTGCCATTTTCAAAGCGCGCTCCCTCCGCGTTTCTTAGGACTAGCATGGACAGGCCCCCCTCGTTGGAATGAACGTCTCGCCCTCTTTCGTTCTGTTCGCAGCATTGTTCGCGATATTGTGCTCACAGACCATCAAACCCCGTAGAAAACATAGCTGTGCACGCTCTTAATGGTCAAGCTGGCGAAACAAAAGCTCTGATTCGCTAGAACGAGCCACGTGACGTGGCTCGTCCTAGCGAATCAGGAAGCTCTGTTGGAAATGGGCATACAGCCAGGGAGCTACCAAGCGTCATACGGAGAGAGGGCCACCAAGATGAAGGTTGCGAAGGCCCAAATGAAAGCGCTCGAGTCCTCCAAGATGTCCCACAAAAAAAGGAAGATGGAAGCTGTGGCCAAGGCACAGAGGGACCGTGCAGAGGAAGGAGTGACATATGCCCCTGGAGCATTTTAGATGAAATGGCAAGCCCCATCTAAACTAAAACACTGTTCAAACCCGTTTTTCTCAGCTTCATGTTTTCACCATTTTTTCACAGCTCTAAAACTATCGTTTGGTGAGTTAAGCGCCCCCAAGTCTAATGTATGGCTTTTTTGGCATGAAATTTACTGGAGAACTCGGCTATGCGCTTACTTTTTGCAAATTGTTATTTCTTCACACAAAAATGTTGACGTTTGTGAAACAAGAAAAAAATTAAAAATTCATGCCGTTATTGAAAGTCAATTTTTACGTAAAATATGGCCTTAAAAATTATTTAAAGCCTACTACCGATTAGTTTAGTCATTCAGCGTTATATCCCAACAAAGAAATTGTGCCTTTTTATTCATATTTTGAAACAATAGTTTTTTTCCTTTGACACTGCTACATGTACATTTTTTTCAACGAATAAGGCTGTAACTTGTCAAAAAATAAACCATTTGGGTTGAAAGTTGGTGTAGCCTCCCAAGTTTTGACGTTTAACATACCCTAAAAATTTCATTGACCTGGCACAAATACTTAAAAAGTAGACCCTCCAAGGGAGTGCCTCTCCTTAAAGAGGCAGTTATGTTTCATGGCACTGCCTGCAATGTTTTCTTTTGTGCTTACCACAGGTGCGAGACACTCTGAAAGGCGCGATCGAGTGCACAGACTCGAGCCAGGAAGAAGAGGATGGTAATCCAGACTATGTGATGGAGGAATGGACTCTCGTATCCTCCGACGAGCCGGGGAGGATTGAAGGGGCGGCCGTCATGCGAGACGCGGACAGCGTCTCCCTGGGCTCCTGGGGGAGTGGGGACCGCACAAGCCTGCTGCTGAGGGACAGCGACCCCCACACCCAGGAGGTGAAGAAGCAGTTCCTTACGGCCCTTGTTCAAAACCAGAAGGGGCCGTCCCCCGGACACGTGGAGCAGGCGGCGGCGGCCACGGAGGCCCCCAGTTGATGAGGGGGCTCCAGTCCCTTTCTCGTGTGCCCGGTATTGGCCACGCCGGTCGACACATTGCTTCGCAATCGTTTCGGGTGGCCGCCCTTGGCTCAGGAAGGGAAAGATTTTGACTACAGGCTATATATATTTTGTGCAGTTGTAAAGGTTTTTTCTCTGCCTGGTTTCACTTCTGGGTTTTCGATCTTCGACAATGCGAGCCGGCGAAACATGCTTGCCGTTGCTGGAGTGGAGTTTTGCACGGTGACGACTCTTCTCAAACTTTTTATCTCGCCTTGGCCAAGATTGAGACGAGAGCTCGTATTATTATTTTTGTTATTTTTTATTAGCCGGTGGTATTGAAGCGAAGTAGACTGTCCCCTCTCATATTTGCTTTGGTCGCGTAACATTGTCGGACGGTTGTGTTGATCGAGATCTTGACTACAAGCTACTGGAGCATTTATTCGGAGGTACGGGGAATGTTGAGCATATCAAGCAAAGGAGTATGAATGGTATTTTATACATACACTTCTATTATTTACTATTCCACTTTCAACTTCGAGATTTGTGTAGGAGTGACAAAATATAATGTGTCGGCAGAAGATGAATTTTGAAATATACTGTGGCACGTTGCAGGTTTACGTTTATTTATTTTCTGCAGACCTTGAGGTCCTGGAAAAGCACTTCTAAAAGTTGACTGGATAATTGTGCTTGTCACTGGTTGCTATGGGGCATCCGTCATGTTAAACAAGAATTTAAGAACAAAATGTGTACTTGTGGTGGAAATACCTTGTGAAATCTCTCGCACTTGCTTAGACTAACTACATTTGACAGCAGTAGCTTTTCTTTCTTTAAGAGCTGTCAGTGCCGTGACCTTGGGTCACAGTCTACCCTGAATATTGTCATTTCCAACACTCAGTCTTCAGGCTGAGCTAATAGTGAAAGCTCAAATTTGACTGGCACATAACTGTAGATGTTCAGAACCAATGTCTAGCTCAGGGGTTCTCAAACTGGGTTCCGGGGAACACAGGGGTTCCATGAGCTGGCCTCATGGGTTCTGCAAACGCCCAAATTGCAACCCCCCCTCCCCCGCCGCAGGCTGCGCGGCAGGACCATGCAAAGCGCCTTCATCTCACTTTGTACTGACATCGCGATTGATATCGTGGGGATATATGGGAAGCAGCACAAGCAAAATTGCCTACAATTGTGCATCTGTTGCTTCTCGTTCGGCAAATATAGAGGGAGGGGGAGGGTTCCGCAGCAGTTTTTGAGGCTTTCTGGGGTTCCGCGAGACCAAAAAGTTTGAGAACCCCTGGTCTAGCTTATTATACATACTTTACAGTGGTAGCTGTTAGTGCCCCTTCCTGGCAGAAAATGCTCATGCACGAACGCACAATCCCACTCTACAGCAGAGGCACTGCTCTCCCTCTCCGTCGTTCCCCCACACATACGTACATAGCCACTGCAAGAATGCTCTCTCTCGCTCCCCCCCCCCCTTATCCCCTGTAGGCCACCGCTGTTCCGAAAAATCCACGTGATCACAGGGACAGCGCTCTCTGCCTCCTCATTGTTCTTGCTACATCCACATACCCTACGGCAATGCTCTCCCTTATTCATCCCCCACCCCTCCGGCAGCCGCCATTGCAAAATACCCACATGGTTGCGTTTACTGCGGACACGCTTCCTCGTCTCTCCACTACCGCCGCCCAGGTTCCGTTATCGCCCCCGTTCTGAAAGGGTGTTTCAGCCAAAGAAAAAGCCCGTCTCTTGTGTCCTTCTCCCTCACATGCAACATCTCGCACAATGGTTCTACCAAAGCACATATCTCTTCACGTGCGTCTCCGACATCAATTCCCCTGAACGAAAAGAACGCATTGCAAACATTATACAGCACACCGGCTGAAGGCAAATCTCCTTCCACATACCTTTCCACAGTGCAGCAGCTACCGCTGTCAATCACAGTACGCTTTGTGTGATTGTTTGCAATTCTTTTTTTCTAAGTACCTTTCCAGTTTTCCATTGAAGTAACTGCTTTCAATCTAGATTATATCTTATTAGTTCAAGAGGAGTTGGAAAGCACACTGCTAAAGAGGCATCCAGCTGTTTGTGGACACTGAAAATAAATGAATGAATGAATATTGCCATGTCTGTAGTAACTTGTAAAATCTCGCCATGCTATCGCTACAGCCCGAGGGAAAATATTTTTTTGGTGACATTATTTTATGGTTATCTCAAGTGGCCCGAACTCAATCTTGAATAAAGATGTGCATATCACCAATGGAATGTTCGACTTGAAAGCATGCATGATTCTTTGTGAGAGTAGCAAGTGTTTGCTATATTTGTTGCCATTGAGCTTGGTCAGTTTTCTTTGCTAGGAACATGTATCCATTAGTAAAGAGCTGCCCTGGCATCCCTTTAGACAGAAGATATGTTCCTTTTGCCTCCCATAGGAACACATGCAAAGTGGATTAGCAGGAAAGTGGATTCGAAGGAGATAAGGGGCTTTATACGAGGCAAAATCGTGTACGACAGAAGTCTGAGGAGGTCATGCTATATGTGGATTGCCCTTACCTCAGTTACTACTGTTCCCAGTAGTGTTCTCTATGATAGTAACTCATTCGGTATTGGGATGTTGTTTTTCACTCTACCTGCCAGCGTTTTAGTTTTACGGGGCTGCTTAGGAATGCTTGGAACACTCGGGTTACTGTAGTTGCATGGTTTCCTATTCTACAGAGGCACACAAATTCTTTGCTGAGGTGTAGCTTTCAGGATGTGTTGTGCATCAGGCACTGAACTTTTTAAAATCGGAACACTGATCCACGCTACAAGTCCCCTATTAGCCTTGTGAAACCACATACTATTACAGTAAATTTTTTTTTGATTGAGTGAAGAATCTGTTTATGGCCTTATTCCAAACCTTTGTACTAGAAGTCTGTCTAGGAGTCTCTTTGGAACTTGTATGTACCTTGTCCCTGCATCCCCAGTAACTGACACAGCACATACGGGTCTAGGTTGTCAGAAACCCCTTCATCACTGGACAACTGGTGGAAGGATGATTCACTGTAGAGGGTGGTTCACACTTGCAGGTGATGGAAACAGCATTTGACCTTTTATAGCAGATTTTGTAGAAGGCAAGTTATTGGTTTCGAGCAGCCACTGATGCTTTGGAGTGGGTGCCAACATCTCTTAGCATATTACTTCAAAATGAAAAATTGATTGCATCGCTAAGTGGAACAGTCTTCTTTTTAGAATAAGGCTCAGGTCAGATTAGATTATATTTACAATGAGTATTAAAATTGTAGAGCCCTTTCACTTCACATCAAGATGGAGGACCAGCGAAGCTGTTATTTTTTAGACGTCTAGGACAACGCCTAGAAGACGACCTTAAGGACAACGCCTAGTGGATGACGTCTGGGACAACCTCAAGGACGAATTCTAGGACGACCTCAAGGACGACTTCTAGGACACCCTCGAGGACACCGCCTAGGACGAACTCAAGGACAACTTCTAGGATGACCTCTCGGATGACTTCTAGGACGACCTCTCGGACCACTTCTAGGACGACTTCGAGGACGATGCCTAGAGATGATAACAAGGGATCAGGACCTCACTATCTAATAATGCCAAGGAAGGCTTACTCATGGTGGTTGCCCCCTTCATTTTTATTTAATCATACTTGCCACAATCAATGGGGAGTTTTCTGTCCGCGGACACATTTTTTCCCAGATCCTAGCACATAACAGCTTCACTGTAAAATACTGAAAAAATAAAGCATAGCACAACACTTCAGTTGAGATGAAGGCTATCTCCCCCGTTCCCTTTAACACTGAATGGTTAATTTGCCTGGAAATAAATTTCCAGCAAAATGCCAGTGATTTTTTAACCTCTTCCTTCTTAGCTTCATGGCCGCTAAATCAAGTGGCTGTGAAGTGCCTGGGCACCGGGTACGATGACTCCAAGCTTCCACCGTCCTTCTTAAGCACACCGTGGAACTTGTTATTCGCAAGCGATGATCAGTGCCATCGCAAAATCAAATATTCGTCAACGAGTGCATACGTCCGGGTGACTCAGTGCTCGTGTCCACCGCGGCTCCTTCTCTCGGCTGGGAGAACTTCCGTTTCCGGCAAAGAGGCATACTTTACGTCACAATCACATTATTTCTTGTGTTGGTGGCCGAGTCCGGTCGAGTCGAGGAGGAAAGCAGACACGAGTTTTAATCTTTTTGTGTGCAAAACTGGAGGCAATAAAACGAAAACGGATTCCTGCTCTGGGTTCTATGGACATTAAAGATGAATTCAAGTTTTCATTTGAAAAAAAAAAGCTGGAAAATTATTTTATAGTCCCTTTAGGTCAAAGTGCAGCCGACACTACGAGCTGACGGACAAATCAAATGGCATCAAAAGCTCAACATTTTTGTAGTCATCTAAATGAAGCAAGCGCAGCGAATTCCCCGTGACTGTTTTTGTGGTTGTGTGTGCACAAGCCTTCGAATGTGCTCTGACCTAAGATCAATCATTTTATACGGTCAGCAGAGACACTGCGAGACATATTTATACACTATAAATTCTTTCCTTCTAATCGACCAATAAAATTTTTTTTTTTTCCTCCCGAGCAAGCGAGGTGCAATTTTTAGCAAAAATATTACATTTTGGCGTAAGATGTAGCAGGATTTTGTTTGTGGTGCAGTTTTGTGCAACAATTCCATCACTGCACTTGTGCCGATTCGTGGATTGAACTGAATGAAGCTGCCTGCCTGCAGAATATTCAAAGTAGGGCCCACAGAAAACAAACACCCAGGAGTCAAAAATTGTGTTACCAATTTTTATTACAAGAAACAATAAATAGTTTTTTTTGTTGTGCTTACAAGTATAAGCTAGTCAATTTATCTGTGCAAAATACACATCACTAAGTTGTAACATGCATTCTTATGTCGTGACAGGGAAGAATTGAGATCTTTCGTGGACCTAAGTGAAAATAAAATATAGTACTTTCCCAACAACCTTGAAGGTACAGAAGTTAGTCACAAATTATAGCAAAGCAAAGAATATTACAGCAGGTAGTGAAAAACAAAACAGTTGCAAAAAAATAAGTGCGCAATTATAGACTGCCTTCAAAAAGTTCAGCTACATTTATAATTTATTTGGAAGTAAAAAAAAAAGTATAGTATGTATATATAGTATTTATATATCTTGCTTTTCTCTCTGCTAAAAATAAAATCGCACACAGCCAGTATAATTCATCCACATACTGGGAATGTGGCATCCGCATCTCGCAAACCCTTTCGGCATATGCCCAACAATCCTCGCTTTCCACTGTCAATCAAAACTCGGGGGAGAGAAGAAAAAAAAACAACTCTTCCCATTGCTTGCACGACACACTGGGGTTGATTGTTCAGATACCTGCACGACACCTACAATCCTACCACACACCATCACACTGCGAAACGAAGTCAACACAAATAGGCATTGCACACATGCAAAGTGCCCCAAAGTCTGGAATTTCCATTTGATCAGTACTATACGTTACATACACTCGTTCTAAAACAACAAAAAAAACTTAAACATGCACAAAGCTTTTTTTTTTTTCTTTTCTTTCTAAATTTGGCACAACTGAATTGTTGCAGCAGCTCATAAATTGGGGAACAAATAAATATACTTAGAAACGAGTTAACGAGCAAACTGTGCTCACAGGGCGTAATACCACACACTAGGGGGCAGTGCAAAAACAAGAGGAAACCTGATGTCGGAAGCGTCCCCACACGTCTCTCCACTAGATTTCTTCGAAGCGCCAAGTGCTACCTGCGATGAGGTTGGTACATGTCTATGCTGCTGCTGCTCTTTGCAAGACATTAAACTGTCACTCTGGATATTCGGCATTGGAGATAAGTTGACACATTCGCAGCCGCTGCCATCACAAAGACGGCCGTCGATGCACTCTCCTCCCGACCTCGCGGGACCCGCCTTGCTTTGCAAATCCGTGCAATCCTGACCATTGCCACGACCCTTCACTCACACGATCCAGGCGCAGGAGACACCGATTTTAAAAAAAAGAAAAGGTCCTCTGGACGTTTGAGGAGCGACATCTTCAGTTTATTGCGTGTACTTCTGCTGGGTTTGGGAAAGTTGGGTCGATTTCAAAATGACGAGTGGTGAACGGCATATCCTGGGTTTCATATCGAAAGTCCACTGTGATGTCCTTCACTTCCAAACATGGTGACAGGTGGAGAGCAGGCTACATAATTCGGCTACAAAAAAAAAGCATTTGATTGAGAGTGCCTCTGCTTCAGAATTAACATTTAAGTTAATTTAAAACTAACTACCAAGCCCGTAAATTGTACCACACATTTAAGCTCGTGAAATTTGCAAAACAATCTTCATCTTTATTCAACATTCATGTAGACCTATAACTTGATGATCAGTGGGCACATAAATGCTACCACAAATAACCAAATCTTCCAATTCATTTTAGCCAATAGCTTAATTTTGTAATTTTCCAAAATTCATAAAAAAAAAAAGAAAAGAAAAGGACACGGTATATAATTTTTTATTACATCGCCTACATCTGCCGATTTCGAGAAAACAGTGACAATGTTGTGCCATTAAACCACGAAAGAAAAGGCATTGATTGAATGAATCGTCCGAGCTTCGCGGAGATCTAAAAAAAAAACGAGATCACAAAGCAGGTGAAGGAGGCAACTGGGAAACACCACTGCAAGCATTGTGCTCCCATTACTTTGTGGACGCACATACCCAGAGATTGTCTCTCCAAGAGTTTACATCTTTGGCGGCTCGTGTTAAAACCTTGCCCTGAGGCATGAAAATAAAACCCCGCTCGGGTCAAGACTCGCCGCATTGCTCTGCCGGAACGGGGATACCGAGATCCGAGGCGTATCCGAGAAATGCGCTCGTGCAAGCACCGCTGCTCTACCTCCCTGTTCGAGCCAAGGTGTGGTGAAAAAGAGGTGCGAAGAACGGTGTCGAGCCAACGGTGTCAAATGGGATGCGAGTTGGCACCCTTCTGCAGACTGCTTCCTACTACTGTAGTTCCATGAACATTCAAGATTCGTTTCCCCTCCCACAGCCCAATCCCACTGTGAATTTTGAAACTGCCGAGAAACAGTAGCTCACTTTGATACACCCTACACCTTTTATGATGTGAAGGCAAACTGCACAAAAACAGGCACTGGTTAGTTTATAAAAACTAAATGAAATTAAAAAAAAAAAAAAAAAGAAAGAATAGGGCAAGTTGAGAATTTTTGTTGCAAATTAATGTCCTCTGAATCCAAAAATATGAAGCTTGAGAATATATATAGGGTTGTCCAAGTCACCAGGCTCAATCTAAAATGGACCGCAAAAAACAAATAACCTGCACATAGCAATTTAAAATTTCCGTCAAAGGTGTATTTCACAGGTCGGTTTTTTCTTTTAAAATTACAAAGCGTAGTTCTCTTTCTGTAAAAAATAAGGCCAAGAAAGTTGCCAGGGTCTACGGCGGGCAGCGACGCAGACGACAGTGGTTCAGTAGCGGGTTGTGTTTGGCGTTCGTATTGACAGAGGGGGTCGGGAGCAGCGTCTGAAGGTGCAGCCGACCAGCGAAAGAAAGCAGACAACACGCAGACGTGTTTTTTTTACTTTAAATTTTGCTTTTATTGTCCGCATTCAGTTTTTTAACCGAAGGTACATTTCAAAAAGATTATGTTCATTTTAATAAACCATGGTGGCCGCGAGCCGTTGCAATAAGGAGGTAGTGCCATCTATCAATGTGAATGCCAAACACAACCCGCTACTGAACCCCCGTTGTCTGCATCGCTGCCCGCCGTAGACCCTGGCAAGTTTCTTGACCTTATTTTTTACACAAAAAGGACTACGCTTTGTAATTTTACAAGAAAAAACCGACCTGTGAAATACACCTTTGACGAAAAGTTGAGATTGCTATGTGCAGGCGTCGATCTTTACGGTCCATTTTAGATCAAGCCTGGTGACTTGGGCCACCCTATAGTATGAAACAACTGTGCTGCACGAAGGGGAGTGAATGGTTATGCTCATATTTTTTTCCCCAGGATTTAAGGTAAAGTGTCATGTAGTCTCAAAGGATTAACTTTTGAACAATTTACAATCGAGTATTTTGTATCGCGCACCAAGAAGAAGAAAAAAAGGGATGGGTTTAATTGTCTCTTCTATGTTTTGGTCCTTATTAAAGAGCCTCTGACAAAGGCACTTGGGCATGCCTAGATATTTACAGAAGCAAAACCCACGAGGTCCCAACAGTCAATCAAAAAAATATTTACAATACCCAATCCGGCTTGTCTCCGCAAGAACACTGCCGGACTGGCTACCTTTGTGCTTTTCCCACTCTTTTTTCCTCAGCCACAACCTTCGGCAACACAGAGCTCGGAACACTTAAAAATAAGTCGTCCGATGCATACTTTTATTTATAAATATATAATAGAATCTACGAAACAATTCTTGTGACCGCCAGAAGCCAAATAAATGTTGATTTAAAGAAATTTTGTACACACAGTTCCCAGAGTGAAACAACTCAAGGGATTATCAGAGTTGTAAACATTACGTTCCTCCACACTGATCTGATTTCAGTTTATCTTTGTTGTTACAAAGTTACAAAACTCTGCAGAAAAACATTAATGGGTAGTCTCGACACCATTATCTTGTGCATCGTGCAAAAAATAAAAACAAACAAACTATTTTTTGGGTTGTCAGAGGCCCTTTATAAGTGATGTTTGTTACCATCATGCTCATTTCAGTCTTTAGTTGAGTATTCTGTACGAGTGATCCCTCGCAGGAAAGTTTAATAAAAAGAATGGCCAACTTGGACCCTAGAAAAATAGGATATTTCGCTCCGACAGGTCTTCTCTCACCTTACGCAGTGCTAGTGCACCAGGTGATAATTTTTTTGAGACACAGTTCCTGCATAAACCTGACGACCTGGTCAATGATGCAACATTCTCAGCAAAAAGCAGCACAAGGTAATCTTTCCTCCAATTCATTACACAAATATGAGTTTCTTTCAACCCCTTCACACAAATGAGCTTGCCAAGCCATAAGCTACACCGGAGCTAAACATAAACGCTGTCATGACACCAAAAAGTGCACCCTGTTGGCTCCCCCTTGTTTCGAAATTTGACTAAAGCATATGGAATACAACAAGCATGAGATTAAACCTTAACAGCAAGCAAAAACACAAAGACAAACAGAAAGGGTACGCAGGACGAGAGGAGAGTACCCCTTCTGCTCGTCTTCATGCTTTTGTGCATCTCTTTGTTAACGTTAGTTACAAACCAACTCGCCTGCATGACCACTTTAATGAGATTAAGCACTGTTTGACAGTCCCATCTGGGCATTCATTGTTTTTAGAGGCAGCCAGATCTACGCTCTTCAGGGCTAGGTATACCTTGCCGCCCTGGCCAAAACCAAGAACGAAGGTGCCTGCACGATTTTAGTTCCTAAAGTGTCGTTGAGCCACTTCCAAGACAAGCTTTGCTCATCCAGAACGAGCGCCCAGAGGCCCCGACTCTCAACTCCACCGCAGCTGCCGGCTCCCGGAGAATATGGCGTCCCAAAAAACCATCCCAAATGCACCATTGCCTCGAAAACCGTCCCAGAAATTTCGATGCAATGAAGGGGGGGGGGGGGGGGAGGGGAGGGGAGGAGGGGAGGACGTGGACACTAACAATGAGAGTTGAGTCAAATATTTTAGTAGATGAATACACCCCGCTCCACATATCTGCATTAGACGACACGCCTACAGTGCCAAATTCTCCTCTTGTGGTGAGAACACCCCCACGTTCGAGAAAATGAATGCGCATCGTGTTACTCACGTTTTTTGCGCCGCAGGAGAGGGCTGCCACCAATGCACCGATACCAGATTCGCTGAGACGACCGTCTCGAGAAGAGTCCACAACGATAGATGGTAGCAGCCACCTCTCCCACTTTAAAATGGGGAAAACCCCCCGGCTGTGCATGTCCAGCCGCTTCAACAATACAAAACCTGTCAGCGCCGAAGCCATTGGCATTTTGCGAAGCGAGATGTGTTCCCTAGTAAAGTATCTGGCCAAGAGGAGTTGGGTTGGGGAGGGGGGAGGCGGAAGCAAACACACAAAGAGATGTGGGTTGATGGATGGGCCACCTGATGGAGATGGGCTACTCGGCATTTGGCGAGGGAATCCTTTGTACTTTGGGCATCTTGAGTAGCAAGGGGGCCATGCTCAGGTTCAGCTTGCGTTTGCAGCCCCGGGAGGGGGCCTTAGCCGACCGGGCCGCCTTGGCCCCGGCTTCCTCAGTGCACAGGCTCTCGGGGTCCCCCAGGCAGAGCGCAGACACGCTCTCCGGGGGTGCGCAGTAGCAGGCCGGAACCAGCTTCGGCTGCGCTTCTTCGCCTGCGTGGGACAAGAAAGCCCCGCATACCGTTAGCGACTGCCACGTTTGCCCAAACCTAATGTTACTTCCCAATTATCGCCGACCAATACTGAAAAAAACAAAAGCTCTATTTCTTTTTTGTTCTATGTCGAACCTTGATGTGACGACGGTCCTTAGATGTCTCTGGTCTACAAACTGTCCCATCTCCCACTCCAGTAAATTTCTCCACTGCAGGTGCTGCTGATTGCAGCGGCAACGAAAATACTTTTTCCTTTCTTTCGGACTTCCCATTTTTTTTGTTGGAAAATGCATGTTTGGTTTTGTTAGGTTAATTTTGTCCAGAAACTTTAGAGCTTTTGAATAACTTTTCTGGAGCCGAATTTCAGGAGGATTTCATCTCCTAATGCACCCCTCCCCTCAATTCTTTTCCCTTTCTCCATTCTTTCAAGTTGCATTTGCACACAATTCAAACATCCTTTCAACAACGTTATAAGAAAAAGAAGTCTCAGATTTGGCTGCTTTCGAAGCTTCTATTTTAGCTCTGCGACCTCAGGAGTTCTCAGAAGTCAAACTGCAGTATCTTAGACTGACAAATAGATAATCTTGTATTAGACATCCTATAGTCACATTGCCAACAGCAGCCATCGCAGACCCAATGCCTTCGTGAAGAAACTCCACTGGAGAGTACTGTGCAGGACAAATTGGTAATGGCTTGGAGGTATACTCAGCAGAACTACCAGTGAGTTTGCAAGGATGGATTGAAAAGAGGACCACATGCCATAAAAAATCATGAGCCATTCCATTCCGTAAAGGTGGATGACCAGCGAAGCTGTTTAGCGCAAGACGCAGACATGATACGGAATTTTGAACAAAGGTGCAAACAGATTTATTGTCTTGGTCGGTGGTCATCGATCAAGTGCAACTGGTCACCAAAAACATTTGCAGCGCACAAGTCCCCTTTGCAGGATCCCGCATATTGCCAATGTTGGTCAAGTCGTCATCGCAACGCAGTCGACCACACACACAACAACCACACCCAAACTGTCTGTACAGAAAGTCATTTTTGAATTTAGCGTATGCTCCATTAAAGAGCTGCTGAACCGAAATTTTGATTTTAGAAAACAACGCAGAAGCGCTAGGCGGGACGCTACAAACCCAAAAGCATCACTCGTAAAGCAATATATCCAACGGATGGTCGTAATTTTGTGAAAGAAGAGCGCGCTTGAGCAAGGCGAAAGTTGCGATTCTCGTTTCCTCCTCTTTTTGCTTTGGCTCCGCGAGGACGCGAAGAAGGGAGGAGGCAGGGCCGTTTTCCCTCCTCCTTAGCTATTCTGCAGGAAAAGCGACGTTGCAATTCTCACTCAATCTCATCCTTATTTTACAAAAATACGGCCATCCGTTCGAGGTATCGCCTTATGAGTGATGTTTTGGGGTTTGTGGCGCCCCGTTGAACACTTCTACTACCTTATTTCGTGAAATCCAAATTTCAGTTCAGTATCCCTTTAAAGTTTCCCAATTGAGCAGCATGGTACCTGTGTCTTTGTGATGTATCCTCCGTCCTGCGACGTTCGTCGTCTTGTCGAAGGAAACTAGACACGTGCGACGGGACTGCCACTAGGCGGATAGTAGACACGCGTGACGGGACCACCACTTTGGGAGAGCAGAAGGAAACTAGGCACGCAAGCGCTTGGAACGACGACAAAGAGACAGCGGTGCGAGCTTTTGTTGACGCACATGAAAAATACACGGAACCCTAGCAATGAACAGCTTTGCTGTAAAAAAAGGCAGCACTGTAAGACTAGCTTTTATCGCTGAGGTGACCTTACTTTTGCAAAAGTGGAATGCTAGCTAAATGCGATTACATTTAATTGCTGGGTTGTCCGAAAGACTATCAAAATGATGGTATAGTGGTTTTCAGCAGGAGTGTGACGACAACACAAAATTAAATTCTGGTGAAATCGCCCAATGCTTCCCGAAGGTCCAATCTCTATGCCAAAACCCAAGCGTGGACAGGGATGACCATTGCCTCGGAATCAAGTATGGTAAAATCTGGTTCGGGCTCAACGAAAAGCAGATGAATGCGAAGCCTAATATTATTTTGGAAGCTCGATGATAAAAAAACAAGTGTCAAAAATACAATTAATGACTCAACATTTGTTTCAAGTTCCGCTGGCATCTTGTACATAACAACTAACCAAATGTAAAACTCATTTGAACAACACAAGCGCGAACTCGCCTCGCCATACCCCGTCACACAAAAAACTGCAAAGGACGACGGCCCCATACGTGACCCACGGATGGCAGTTGTAGTTTCAACAAACGCTGCCAGAGTTCCATCGGAGTGCCCGACGAACGAATGGCGAGCCAGCTTGCTAGAGATGGAGTCTTGCCCAAGACGGCCCGAGAGAAAGCACCGCCAAAGCAAGTGCACGAACAGAGTCGCACGTCCAGTCTCTAATGCTCGCCCGCCCCAGGCCGTTTTCTTTCGCTCTGTCTTAGCCGGGGATGTTTCCATGGCCACCAACGAGACAAAAACGGCAGGGCGGTCCTTGGGTGTTCCAGCACGAGCACCTCAAGCTGGAACACCCGAAACACACGAGACACTCTGGTGTCTCATAAGTTTCAGGGGTGCCCGCACAGAGGAAGTATGGCGGAAGGCAACGAGTGTGTGCTGGAGGCATCCAAAAGAGATGCCCCGCTGTTCTTTTGCGCTTAATCGGTGAAGCATTGACAGAACACGAGTCCCAGCCGAACGCTGCAGTGCTTGTGTCCAACCTACGCCCCGCGCTCGATCGAGGAAGACGACGTAAAGTAGCCAGTTCACGGGCATTTTGTTTGGCCTACGAAAAACAAGCCAGACAAAGCGCCTACTATAGTTCGATCTCTTCGCCAACAGCACGTTGGCAAGGGGATCCTTGCTGACGTGCTGTTGGCAAGGAGATCCACTGCGGAAGGGGCCATCGCGGAACAGGGCTTCTGCCCAGTCTGCAGTGGCCACTTTGAGGCCACTGCAGACTGGGCTCTGGACTCGCCGACCTGCGGTCGCGGCCAACTCACCCAGTGCTACGGAGGTGGATGCGCAGGCCTCCTGCGCGTCGATGGGGGTGAAGTCGACCCCCTCCAGAGGCAGAGCGGGCTGGTCGGGGGCGTCCCCAAAGTGGGGAGGCTCGTGCAGCGGAGTCGGGGTGGTCTTCCCGCACGAGCAGGATGTCACGGCAGGCGACTTGGAGCGCCAGTACTGGAGCTCTGTCTTGCAGCGGCTCAGCTCCTGCAGCACCGCGTTCAGCTTGTGCGACGTCGTCTGCAGCTTCTGGTCGTAGTCGTCGTAGCGGGCCCTCAGCTCCGCAATGTGCCGCTGCTGGCTGGCCACCCGTCGCCGGGTAAGCTTCAGCTCCCTCCTCAGCGCCAGCACCTGGCCGCTGTTCCTGGGGGAGGGTGCATGCGCGGCACGGGCCACAGGGATGGTCAGCCTTCCAGGTGGCGAAGACAAGGTGAACGCGGCACTAATACGAGGCTTTGGGGTGAGCGCAGACAGAGGACATCGAATGAGGGGGGGGGGGGACCAGTGGCCAGGCGTGAACACGGAGTGAAAGTTGCGCTGCAGAACCCGGGGATCTCGGGTCCGATCCCCACCCCTGGCCGTTTCGAGCTGGATGGGCATTGTACCAGCGTGCAGCTGTGTATTTCTCATCTAGTGGGGGCACCAGATGCGCATTGAGGCTGACTAACTTCTTGCTGTCTACACGAATGCGCAACATAATTAGTACTTTTTGGCCTCAAACAGTTTCTTCACCCAACAGGTGTTAATTTTACCAAATGGTGCTCTCTAGTCTACTGACTTTGAATAGCCGCCAATAAATACAGTTACACGGGATCGAGGTTGAACAACCATGAATTTCCCCCCACTAGAGACACGCTAAGGGAATGAGTAAAATGCATCGGATTAGTTTCATTCCACTAAACAATTACTGAAATGCAGCGAATGGCACCAGTTGCAATTACTAAGCTTGCGACTTAGGTTTCTCGTGCAAGTTTGTCAACTCGCAAGTTTGTCAACTATGATAAAACGCTAGCAGAAAAACAAAGTAAGCCCACAGCTTGAGGCACAGTGAAACCGTAACCGACGCTCAAAAAGTAGGAGTGCGGCACGACTCCTAACACACTTTGTGTTCCCGGTGCACAGGGAGTAGCCAAAGGGGTGCCTCACTTTTTCATGCTCTCCCTGAGCTTGCGCAGCCGCTTCTTGACGGTGGGGTTGACTGGCGGCGCTTGTGGGGACAGTGGGGCAGAGGGGCACGACCCCTGGGTGCTTGTGGACGGGGGCATCTCCATCAAGGACAGCTGGCTCTTCAGGGACGCTGCTCCAAGGAAGAGAGCAAGAAGGGGTTCATTTACAAACATGCCTACACAGCTTCAGCATGCTCTCTCTCTCTCTCATTTGTGAACCTTTTGGAACGAAGTTGTCTAGCTAATGTTGCGACCATACTTTACTCTAAAAGGCTATAGATAATTATCTGGAAAATTTAAGCATGTCTCGATTATATCTGCTAAATTCTGAGACATACAGAATGTGTTATGAATGAAGTGGACATATGCTGTGGCAAGCTCCGTGTCACATATTTTTTCCCCCAAAATAGTGCCTTACTATGTTGAGTCAATTTCAATCAAAGGTACCACATTGGCACAGGATGTAGCAGTTAAATGATGTTGGTGCAATTGGGTACGACTAGTGCAGCTTTCCTAACACTCGACATGATGGCAGCCTGGTGTCTGTGGGGTGATTCCAGACTGGCAGAATGACTCCCTTGGCTTCTCATATGAAAAACCTAGCGAAGAAAGCGAACAAAAAGAGTCACAGAAGTTGATGAGGATCACAATAATAGGGGGTATGGCTGCACACATATGGCTGGAGTTGCACTTAACATAAAGAACATTGCTAAGGCACCCACAAAAGCTGATGTAAAGCCCCCAAAAGTCAAGGAGACTGAAAAACACATCGCAAAAACTATGTGTTGAGTGTATCTACCGGCATGTAAGATAGGCGGGTGGGGAAGCGACCACTGAAACCTGCCACAGGGGCGTGTCTGGATTATGTCCTCCTGGTGGCTTCCACTCGGCAGATACCTCCACCTTATGACAGATGGCACGGCAACATACAAAAGGCGGTGAACTTGGGTTTGCATGGAACTCCGCGTGAGGGCGCACTGTGTCGGCAATATCCTTTAATTTGAAGTACCGTATTTACTCGCATAATGAACGCACTCCCACGACAGGTACCAATATTTTGACTTTATTTTTCTCCCTTGCATAATGAACGCACCTTCAATTTTCGGCTCCGCGAGTCTCAAATTGCATCCAATTTAGCTAACCACCAAGCCAATTTTCTTTAGCCGCCAAGCAGTCAGGCCAAGTCAAGCCAAGCCACTCTTGTAATGGCTGGAAGTGTGTAGTTACGGTAGTTGAAGAAGTGATTAACCGTGAAAATAAGCGGCGCACGCATTTGATGAAGAATTGCCCGGCCCTGGACATCCTTTGCCTATCGGATGCATTGATGTCAACAAACACGCCGTTGTCTGCGGTCCGCTTTCGGACAGTGATATTGTGAAAGTTGTTAGGCCTAAGAATGGCCGCGTTGCTCTCCGTGCTGAGTCGGCTTCGTAGGGAACTTTTCCTCCGGCAAAAGAAACGCCGAAAGCGCCCTAAAAAGGTTTGCAATTTTTAAAACCTGGCTACTGTGGCGCACCCACGACCAGCCTTGGGTGCGCCTCCATCAGTGGAGACATGCCACAGTACCTTGCAGTGCCATATTGGCACCTAATATGACATTTGCACGAAGTGTGTATATGCAAAAATTTTACCCTGAGTAATGAATATAATGAAAAAACAAAAATTTACACATATTTTTGGGAGGAAACTCCCCAAAAAAACGTGTCAATTTTTTTTTTACTGAATTCTGGCAAAATAAAATTACCACACAAATTATCTATCAACATGTTTCCTAACTACAATGCACTTTGCATGCCACGTGAGCGCCTGGCAATGTGAAATCGTCTGCGAATTGTCTGACATACTCTTTGCCATTCGTTTTGTTTGTTTTGCTCCCAAACACACTTGGAGCCCACGAATTTGGCGGTAGCAGACGAAATCGGCATTTCTTGTCGTGTTTTGGCGCCTGTGGACGGCCAAGATTCTCGAGGTATAGGACATAACTGTTGTGTTCTGAACTGTCGGTCGCGCTACGGCCCGAAGAAACAAAAAGCGGCAATATTTAATCCGGGCAACGTTGAATCCGGGTGACCTCTCGTGCTGGGCATAGTGCGACCACAGTGTAATGTGACAGCGTACTGCTGGCTTCAAATAGCGTCGAACTAAAACCCGCCTGCTTGCCCGTAAACAGTGTAAACTTGTAAGCCAGCTCGCCGAACACATCTGCTGGTGGCATGGAATCGACGCTGTCAAGGCATTCAGGCACGCCTTGGCTGACTTTTCAGCTTGCCTTCTTTTGCCGCGCTGTGGGCCCCCTCGATTATTTTAGCTTGCGATATATTACTACGTGCAAAACAGAACCTATATATGAAATATATTATTAGTTTCCCCGAATAAACTTTAGTGATTCATGTGCAGTTTACGACATAAATTGCCACGAGGTCGCGTTGCCTGCAAACTTAATGAGGATATTTTGTTTTTCATTTGTTCTTTGTGTGGCGCCATTTATGTGGAGTGCTGCAAACTTTCCTGAAGCGGGGACACAATCAGGTCGCCCAATTGGCTCTAGTTTCCCTACTTGCTTACCTTACACCCTGGCATCTACGTATGTAACCCACTCCCCTCATAAGTGCCCTGGCCTTGAGGGTGGCTAAAGGACTAAATCGAGCAATCGATAAGTAACTATTGAGCGAGCTTACAGGAGAAGGAGGGGGTGTAGTCGAGGAAGTCTGCGCCGAAGTAGCTGATCTCCGGGAGGGTCGGCTCTATGTGCTCCTTGAAGTACTCCATGGCCATGGTGGTGAGGTCAAACAGCTCGTCGGTCACCTTGTAAGCACGGCTCAGGGTGGGGGTCACCTCCACGTACCACAGGATGCGGTGCACTTCGTCCAGGATCTAAAGGGGACCAGAGACGAGGCAAACCAGTTCTTTCCCTTCCTCTGCCACTGTGTGTGCAACAGCCGCCAACAAATTAAGACAAATCCAAGGTCTCCCCGAAGGTACCATGGGAATCCGGATACAAGACGTGGTTGCAACTGTAGTCATCAATGAGATGAGAACAGCAGGCATCGCTTCCTGATGCCCGGCCTATGCTGCACACTTCCTGCGTTTCGAAGTGCTTTGGCTGCGCATGCGTGCTTGAGGCCCACGAGATTCCAAAGCCTCAACGAAAGTAGGAAGCTTGCGCCGGACAACTAGAGCTGCTTCCTGCCCACTAATCTCTATCGTAGTAGGCTGGACTGTGGGTAGGGAGCCTGTCGGTGTCGCCACCGGCGGCCATTGTTTGACACCCGGCAATATACGCAAGTCTATGGGAGAAATGCGCAAAAGTAAGAATACTGAAGCATGTACGCTGTGCTCGGGAGGCGAGTATTTTATGGTGTGCTGCGATCCTTATGTCGGGTGTTTGGAGATCGGATTGGTATTTGTCAAGCGTTCGAACGCTGATTAAAAAAATCAAACGTACCGGAGCACCTACGGCTGAACTGGCAAGCTTGCTCTCGTAGTGAAGTAAACAAAGGAACTTGCCGTCAATGAGATCGTCCTCGGGGAAGCCCAGAAGTTGATGAATGACGAAGAAGTTTCATCTCGACAGCGGCTTTCTGGGAGTGAGCGAACTCCGCGTAGCAAAGCCTTCGAGCTTGTCGTCCGCTAAACCCAACTCAACGAAACTACCACCGACTCCGCGGTAACTCTAGGTAACTCTCGCCTCATTGAGCTGCACTACAGCGGTGTCACTCTCAACCAAAAAGTATTTATTTATAAGAACTGTGAGGGCGGTCAGTTTTAATGTTTGTACGCAAACATTAAAAGGAAAAGCCTCTCAGGCAGTCGTAGCCGCCCGACGGGTGTCCGACGTGCTACACGCCTCGCTCTGGCCCGCCGCACAAGAGCCAATGGGAGCCTATGTCTCAGATTTCAGTCACAAATGACATAGAGACAGGGGAAGGAGCTGTCTGGCGCAGCTTCAAAGCTGATGACGTAGGCTCGCTCCATGGGACAGTTAATGCTTTTGCATTAATAATGCACACACTAGACAGTGTTGGGCACATAGCTCTACATCAATGGATGGCTGAGATCTTCTACAACAGTGCCTAAACTAGAAGAACACTTTGCTTAAAGGCAGAGACGGCAGAAAAAATTTGCGAGCTCGGAAGACTCTCAGGAACCCAGTTTGAGAACCCCTGCGTTACACGACAAGCAATAACCCAGTCCTTCACGGCAGGCCGTCGCTTCGTCGTAGAGAAACATGAGCTTCGCTAATCGTTGCATGACGGCATTCCTTTAGCCACACAAAACGAAGGCGAAGGAACTGGCGTCGTCATGGAAGTGGGAAGCTCCTGAAAGTGACATGACGCCACCAAAGGTAAAGCCAGAAGTGTGGAGGGTCACGGCCCCAATAGTGACCAAAACCAACAGACGTCATTGGATGAAAAAGAGAGCTGTCTTGGCGCCAACAACTGTTTCGGTCACCCTCGGGGCGGCCCCGAGGGTGACTAAAACACCAGCTGGTGCCAAGTCAGCTCTCCTTTTCATCCAAAACCTCTTGGTTTTGGTCATTGTTGGGAGCTTGTCCCTCTACACTCCTGACTCCACCTCTGTTGGCGTCATGTCGCCTCCAGAAGCTTCCTACCTCCATGGGCTTTGCACTTGTGCACGCACCTCTCCTGGGAAGAAGCAGCAATGCTTGCGCTCGATGTGCTTGCCAAAGGTCATGTGGAGCAGGGTGAGGCGCATGTGCACAGTCTCGATGATGTCACACTCGCGTGACAGCGGGTGCTTGCGCCGGGCCGACTCTCTCCGGGGCATCTGGGCCTTGATGGACTGGAAGCGCTGCTGCATTGCCAGCCGTAGGCGCACAAACTCGTAGTTGAGCAGAGAGGAGGCTGCCTGGTTTAGGTGCCGGCACACCTGTCCATTGGGGACGCAAACGACACCAGCAAGGGTCGGCCTTCAGGTTTCTTCAAGTAAGAAGAAACAATGCACTTCCAAATTTAAAAAAAAAAAAAAAAAATTTTTAAATTGTGTTTTTCAAAACTGACAAGCACTCAACGTGTTGTGAAGTATTTTCGAGAAACAAGTCTCTTTTACCCCGAAATATTAATTTAAAAGCAAAATAAAATGGGTCTGCTTTTTCCTGTTCTTTTTCAGAATAAACCTTTTACACGCTGCTATTTTACAAAAGCCATGTCTCCGCCACTTGCAAACACACAACTTTCATGATATTCTTTTTCTTCTCTCTGGGAGGTACATAAGCGAGATATCTAATAGTTGAAGATAGAGTGAGTAGGCAGGTGAGCTGGCTGATGTTGCACATTTTTGAAAGACCGGAGATGACGGATGAAAAAGGGGTATAAACATGTTAAATATGGTGTCAGTTTATTCTCTATGCCTCCTATACTTCTTGTGAGAAATAATTCTTAAACTGAAAATTTTGAAAGTGCTGCTGAAACATCATAAATCATCCTAGAGCAGGGGGGCACAACATACGACCTGCGGGCCGCATGCGGCCCGCGAGCGCTTTTTTAGCGGCTCGCGGCCCGGCTCAGCACAGAAACTCACCTGCTATGCCATTCTATCTATTGAGCGCCCGCTCCGCTTGGCAAGCAGCAGTGAAACCCTCTGACCTACTTCTCTGTCTTTGGCAAAGTAACTACGATTTCTCAATTCAAATTTTCCCTCTTCACTAATCCCGCTGAGAACAATAAAACAGCATGTGCAGCTGTCCCTGTCCATGGTGTGGATCTGTCTGAACATGTCTGTACACGGAACGCGAAAACTTGTTGCTCTCTCTCAACAGATCCCTTCCCTCTTTCACCACGGACGCTATCAACCCTCTCCCTTTTTGTTGGGATAGTTAGGGGTCGCATCGTCGGATAGAAGGACTGTGATCCGACGATGAAACTGAAGCTTATCTGACGCTATTCATCTCAAATTTCAGCTGCATGAGTTTTACAAAAACTTGGACAAGAACAAGTACGGAAACCTAGTGGACCACGCCTAGAAATTGTCGTCACATTTCGGGAGCACGTATGTCTGTGAGCAAACCTTTTCACTGATGACTCTCAACAAGAACCGCCCTCGATCTTCCATGACGGACATGACATTGCGAGATGTGCTGACGACGGCAACGAGTGAGATGACACGATATCGGAAGCCTGACCGCAGCCAAAATGTGCAACACGTCGCACTAGGTGCGACCCGCACAGTTTTTAATAAACCAGCTCTGGCCCGCCTAAATTTTTAGTTGTGCACCCCTGTCCTAGAGCTTTCATTTACACTTTTCCGGATTCTACAGGCCTTCGAATTCATAGATATATGGTAATATTTTTATTTCAGTATTTGAATCAGTCTTAATACTGCCCATAATCTTTGTAAATGAAACTTTTAATACTAAAAAAATAATTAAGCTACATCAAAGCCAAGTACCCAGATGTATAACTGGTTTGAGTTGAGCTCTGTGTATGTCCTGTCTTGTCTGTGTGTAAGTGTTTACTGGTCAAGCTGTTTCTCTTAGACATATACCTAGATGCAGTCACACTGTTAAGACAGATAAGCTGTGCAAATTTCATTTGCATTGAATCAGAAATTATATAAAAAGCTCTAAAAGCAGTGTCCCCTTTTGACTCTTTCCTGAACCAAGGAAAAAGTAGGAATTTTCAAAGGATCCATGCAAATGCATTTATTTCCCTAACTAAATTGTGTATGGAGCAATATGACACTTCAAAATGTGGCTAATTAGTTGTCCTTTCAGAAGAAACAGCGGTTGATATAATGTGGAGAAAAATATTTTCAAATTTTATTTCTTGAAAATACAGTGTATGTGCGGAAGGTGTATAAACGCTGAAGCTTCTACAGCTATGTCAAATTAAATGTAAGAAAAATTTGGAATATAGAAATTGTGCCCCACACCTACACTAATCTGAAAGTTAGTGTACTGAGAGTTCGCCACTGTAACATGTGTGCCTTTCAACGAAGGAATGCTTATATTGGTGAAACACAGATAGTAAACACCACATCCCCAGCAGAATGCTTTCCTTGTGTTCTACCTTGGTTTTGTCATAGCCTCGATTGCAGTTCCCTCATATATCTAATCTTTGTGCACCGCACCTTGCTGGGGACATAAAATGTGCATGCCGGCTCAGGACAGCCTTGGAAATTGTAGCACAGTCAAACCTGTTTATAACGAACAGCAGGAAACGCCACGATCAGTTCAATATAGCAAGTAATTCGATAGAGCAAAAACTATTTATAATGAACTTCCACAATGCATTCGTTGTACAGCGAGAACTTCTTTTTCTTTCTCATCTCTTCGCTTCCGCCTTGTAACAACTCGCTGAAAAGTATTATTTTTTTTTTTTTTTTGCATACGTGCAGAGTTTGTGTCTTTAGCTTATCTCCCTTTCTGAATCACTTCTTTTTTTTTTTTTTTTGCTGTGCGTGCATGCAGAGAGTATTTTCTTGCTTTCTCCCCCTTTTGATTTGCTTCTCTTCGCTCAATTTTGTTCGCAACTTGAGCCTTTGGAATTTTCTTTCTTTCCTACTTTTTTTTTGGTGAAAGGAACAGGCTAGAAGACGAATATTTGCACGACAACCATCTACTAAGCAACGTCTATAACATCATTTGAAGTGTCTCCAGAGCTCTTGGGGACTAAAAAATATGCTACAATACAGCTGAATTATGTAAATAATGCCATCTATGCTGCAAAGACTGATGCAAGCAGTTAGTCATGTTAGACAAGTGGAACCACCGTTCCCACGACTATTTTTGACAGCCCACCAGCTTGTGATGAAGCTTAAACTGACGTTTAAACCGAAACTAGAGTTATACGGCTATCCACAAGATTGTGGAACATAATTCTCCGCACTAAATTTAATTTTGTGACGGAGCTTGGAAACCATTTATTACCAGTGACTGATGGCTTATCGGTGCGGCCAGGGAAGAGTTAAACTTCCTTTCACTTGCTGAGCTGGAAACATCAAACGAGTGAAAAAGCTTGTTGGGATGCTGAAGCACCTTATCAGCATTTCCAACGCATGCGTGCTACAGTTACTAGGATGCCGCTTCCTTATTTTCATTGCAGCGGCCTTTTAAGTTTTATTTCTTACCACAAATTAGGGATGAATGGAACAGCCTTTCTGAAGCACACATCAACTTGTTCTCAGCCAAGTTATATTGGAAAGAATTGAAGAAGTTATCTGTGAACTAAGTTTGACAATCTGCTTCTTTTGTATTGTATTACTGTTGCTTTTGCATTTGTAGATATATTACTGCTGAGTATTTTCAACATTTCACATTCTTTATTTTCATATAGCTTTGCATAGAATAACTTGTATAGACCATTCCATTTAGCGCTCTCTGGGCGGCACCATTTTGTTCGACCGCAGCGCCCTCTCCACACATCCGGGAAGTTCAGCGGGTTCGGTGGGGTAAAACGAGAGAGAGGGCACCCCACCGACTCTGCTAGCAGACGACAAACCGGGAGGTTGCCGTTCTCCATCTTTGGGCTGTATCGGCGGGCTCTACCGAACACCGAACTCTCGCTCGTGGCTGCCGTTGTGAAGTGGTTCGCGTTCTTAGAATAGTTGTGGCTACTCCAAAATCAGCCTATAGCTCTTTGTTGTTCTATTTTGCTAAATGATAAACTAGCATATCTTTTTTCCGTTACTTAAATAGCAGTTGAGTCAGCCGGCAGTACTACCCTCAACTACTGCGTGTTATTGCGGCAGGAGAGCACGTTTTTATTTATTATTTCAGACTTCCACTCATGGTCGCTAAAGGCCTACACCAGTACGAACTTTTGTATAGTAAAAAAGGTACAGCAACCGGATTTTCTTTTCACCAAAGAGACCGGCCAATCTGACACAGTTTTCCCTATTTTTGTTTTTTATTTGCACGCAGGTAACAGTGCGATTGGACCCTGTGAGTCTTTTTATCTAGCATAGTAGTACACAATAACTGGCATACCAAAATCTGCGCATCTGCGCTTGAAAGTTCCAAAATGACGCGATTTTAAACAAAGTTTGAACGCCAGCCGGACGCTAGCTACAGCCCACTCGGCGGAGCGGACGGCTTGCGGGGGAGAGGGGGAGTGCATTTTTTTTCTCTTTTACCCTCTCTGCTATGACCCTAATGGAACAGTCTATAGCACCTGCTGTCACAGTTTTCAAAATTACATTAGTGGTATTGATGAATAAATAGTTTGCTGACAAAGTGTTTGGTAAAACATTTGCTGTTGACTGGTAGTGAAACCTGAAATGACCATGGCGACAGTTCTTACTGTCTTAATGCTGTGGAGCAAATATGGCTCCTTCTGTCACTTGTTCTAGGTTGCACAGCCACATCACAACATATACTGAGGAAGAGAAGGAGATAAACAAGAAAGAAGACAAATCTTATTTTGAATACTTTAAGCATCAGTAAAAAATTCAAATAATGAAGCCCATTTGGCCAGATATTGTGAGTATTTATACAATGGCATGATTGTGCAATGCAAGTCAGATCTGCAAAACAGCATCAGCTGCAACATCAGTAAAATGGTTTGTCAAGAAATTCATGCCATTGCAGATGTTAGAACATCCCCCAAACACAAAAATACTTATGCAAGACTAGGGTAATGGAGGCGATTATTCCTTTCCATTACAATAATTTTGTCATTGGTGTCATTATAAGGCTAACAACCATATCCAAGACCTCTTACATACAACTTACCTGAAAGAAACCCACCATACAGTAACAACAAGCAACTGCTCGAAGTTGGAATAGTTTTGTGGAGATCGGGAATTTGGCACCCCATGCTCAAACCAGACTTGCTTATGTGTCAATCAATCAATAGGTTACTTTTTTTTAAATATTCTTTTTGCCACATTTTTTACATAATGCCCAATATACTCCTATGCAATGACCAATGCCAAAATGTCAAGAGGGTGAGCACATTCTCAATGTTTAAGGTATGCACAAGTTCTTTAAAGGGGCCCTGAAAATCATATTTAAGCGTCTACCTTTTATGCGGTTTCCACGTCTCTTGGGGTTCGGGCAAGCCAGCGGCATGGTGTACAGTTCTAGTACACCATACCAGCGGGCACGGAAAGAGTAGATAAATATCAGTGCGCCATATTTTAACCGAACGACACGGAAACCTTTTCCACTGACGAGGGCGACCCGCGCTACCGAAAGCGCGCAAAATGTGACGTCTTTGGTCCTGGGCTTACTACTGGTCAGAGCCACTAAAAACTTCTTTTTGGTCGAAATACAAAATATAAGTGGCGCGAAACGTTTCAATTATTTATAAAAGTAGTTTTTGTTCACTATTATAGATGAAAAAAAGAAAGAAATGCAGTTTACAAAGTACGGAAACAAGAAATTACCCGTCAGCATACCCGCTGCCAAGCGGTGGAAAAGGCGGCGCATACTAGAAAGGAGTAGTGGGATAAGGCACCGACACGGAAAAATCCCGGATGTACACGGTGGTGCTGCAGTCGTATGGACAGGAAGATCCGACCGGCTCCGAGCGTTCCAAAGGCCTTCGGCGAGAGGCTTTGTCTTGCGGTTTGGCCGTTTCGCGGTATGGCAGCGCGAGGTGGCTCCCATTCTGAACTGATCTTTACCCCGTGTTTGCTGTCGTTTGTGGCCAATGAAGTGTCATGCCGAATTAGTGTTTAATCGCGCAGCAAACGCAATGAAAGCCGCTTTGGCTGCCCACTGCATACAGCCTATCCAGAACATGCTTTAGTGGCGCCCTCAGGCGCCGTCGACACGGAGTGCGGCGGCCGTGAGCGCTCGATGAGCTCACTATTCCTCCTCTAGTTCACGGCCACTCAAGCCAGGACCTATGACGTCATGAAGGAGGTTATTTTTTGCTTGTTTTTGTAATTCTAAATTGCCTATAACTTTTAAAATAAAGCGAATTTCGCGAAAAGAAAAGTTTCACTAAGTTACTACGTTCAGTGCGCTCAGGTTCGGTGCAAATTAAAAAAACAGTAAAAAGTCCTTGCAGGGCCCCTTTAAATACTTTTTAGGGCAAGCAAGACAGCACTTTGGGCAGTCTTGAAGGGACACTGACACCCCCCAAAATTTTTGCTTAATTTTTTGCCAGGCAATTCATTATGGTGTCAGAAGACTACCCAATCAATATTGTGCTACAGCATCACATATATTTCTTATAAAGTAAAAAAATGCAACTGCTCGAAATCGAAACTGGACAAGGGAGGAAGAAGATATATAGAGGAGAGAGTTGGCGGAAGTCACGTGGCTGTGCAACATTTTTTTTCTTCAATCAACGAATTTGTGGCTTTTTTGGAGACCACAAAAACAGGCTATCATATTTCTCTTCTAGTTTTAATAATGAGTGTGTGAATCCGATGACCCACAACTTTGATTATATTTGGTGGTTGTGCGACCACAAAAAAGAGAGTGAGCGCGACTCAAACCGGCCAGCTCCCATTCAGCGGTTTCCGTGCGGAAAATAAACAAATTTCTAGCCGAAAATTCTGTTCTGGGTAGTTGGGCTCTCATATGTTATGTACAAATAAAAACCTTGGCAAGCATAAATACACTGTCAGTGTCCCTTTCAGACCTAGAGAGGACTATCAGACAGCTGCTTACAAACTTCAAAAATATTTGCAAGCAGGCTGCAAAAAATATTGCATTTTTAGAAGAAAGAAATGGGCCACTAGTTACCATGACAGTAACCACTAGGTACTTTGCTGCTGACCTGACCTGACCGGACCTAACTTGACCCGACCCCCCCCCCCCCCCCCCTATAAAGGGGCATTCACACGAGGGAGAAATTTCGGGGGATTTCTCCACGGCATGCGCATCTCGCGACGAAAACGTCAGGCTTTGCGATGTGCAGAAGCCTCGCATTTTCGCCTCGTGATGTGCATGCGCCGGGGAGAAATCCCAGAGATTTCTCCCTCGTGTGAATACCCCTTGAAAAGAGTGAACTCTCGATATGCAGGTCATGGAAGGATCTTCTATCAATCCCACCAAAAAAATTGAGATGTATAAATTTGACCATATAGTATATAGTACATTTAAAATTTTTGCAGCAGGGAGTTCCTTAGTGAATTTACAACCTTATTCTTATTTTAGAATGGCACAGGTGAAGTCATTTAGCATGGAAAGGCATAACTGATGCATCAATTTTATTCTTACATGTTGACCGATTTGCAATTCACGTACCAACAAATGGTTTCCAAGGGGCTTGGCTCTCTACCCTTTGATAATACAATCTACATTCCTCTCTACACAGAGGTCTTCACTACATTCGTGCCTTATTAGCTTTTTCACCCTTATAAGAAGCCTACTAGGTTGCCTGCATTCCATTTAGCATGGGGAAAAGCTCCACATGCAACCTGGTAGCTCAGAAAGACAGTTCCATTGTGTGTGTACTCATGCACCAGAAGCAGCTTGAAAACTATGGCATTGCACTCACAGATTTCATCATTGGCAGTAGAAGCATTAACAATCCAATATGGTAGTCGTTTTCAAACTCGTGAACAGCTTTGTGAAAGATAGACTGATGACAAGAGCCACAAGAGACGTGTATGTGGGAACGAAATGGCCAAAGAGTCGCATTCCTTATTTTGTTCCTTAAAGTGTAGAATTTCTTTTTTAAATAAGAAAGTTATTGCTTTTTTGCTTGCACCAGTTATAAAATAAAATATATTTGTGGAACTTTAGTGTCACTGCCAAGAGCAGAAATGCCGGGCCCCATCTCTAAAGAGAAGGGTGAAAAACCCACCATGCGAACAGTGCCGACAGTTGCAAAGCTGGCGTGCCGCAAGATGTTATCCAGGATTTCGGAGGGGAGGTCCACCAGATTAAGCACTCTGTCCTGGTGCCCTGCTGAATCCATGGCCCTTCTCTCCTCCATTACAACCTGTGACTAAGCACTGAAAGAAAAAGCGGCGCATAAAGTTTGCCTCGCAGAGCTAGTCTGGCGCATTCGTAAGCAGGGCAACTACACTCTGCTCATCGAGAAGATGCGGCCAAGATACGGTTGCCTTTGACACTTCTACGAGATGGATGCAGGAACGCATACAAATCCTCCAACACTGGACCCTGGGCCCTCTTAGAGTGGGAGTTGTAAACGTCGCTAAGGATGTGGCACAAACCTGAAGCCTAATCAATTTCTCGGCCAGGCAGATCTTGAGGGACCAGGAAGGGAGATGGCACCCAACTAACACAAAACATGTTCAGGGTTCAGCCTTACATTTACCTGTCCCAGGTTGACCGTCTTACGACTGTCGGAAGAACAGCCCGAAGTGCACCCAAACACACTGTACAAGGCTACACGAAGCACAGCCTCCTGTGCTCTGCAAATATGTTCTTATATGCTCATCCCGACTTTTTCTTTATTTGCAACTATCTCTAGGAGACGTTCGTGGTAAGTAAACCATGTTTGTCAGGTACCCAAAGACAGGTTCTTTCAGTTACTTCAAACCAACATCAAATAGTGATATTCGCTTTATACACCACATGATCAGTGCAATGATTCTAGCATATATGTTCGCACAACCACTACTCTGCTTCGGGAGCTTTCGCTACAAAAAAAAGTACACAATTAAGAGGAGCATCTCTACGCGATGATAGATTCACAACTCCACGACAAAAAAGCCCGACCACGGTGATCGACGTAAATATAAAGCTGGAATTAAGCTTGCAAATAAACGCGATGGCATCTTGCTTCGGTATCAACACGATGTTTTTCAATGAAACACGTACCACCCGCTCGGGTACAAAAGTGGAGGTAGCTAATCGATAATCAATCTTCAAACTACTTCTAGCGCCGCCGAGCACCAGCCAGGTAAGCACTTAAACAGAGCCCCAAAGAAAAAAAAAACTATAAAAAAAAGATGCGGCACAAACAAAAACTCAATGTTAATAGGCAGGATAAATAAGATCATTGCGGCACCGATGCGACCAGCACCGTACCTTACTCACAAAGCAACTTTTCCTCCCGTCCCAGCAAAACAACAAGAATGGCGCTTAGCACAGAAAGAGAAAATGAAATCGAATTGTTTTATTTCGTCGGACCGGCAGAAAACGGGAGACACAAAGGTTTGGCGGCGGAACGGTTCGAAGAAATATAGGCGACAAAAAATTTTAATTAATTTAGCATCCATAGGCGAGTTTTACAACTAGGAAAAGAACGCGCTTTTTGCTTTGCAGGCCGAATGTTCCCAAGATGCTATGAACACATCGACCGAACTGACAGGGTAATAAATCACCTCTCCGACTAGAGAACAATGCGTGATTATATATTTCTTTTTTCAGCTTCCAGTGATTAGCCCGATGTGAGACCATCTTTTGTCTGAAGGTCAGGGTTTTTGAAGGCAAACGTCCATAATTTTTTCACCAGGAAACACATTCACACTAAAGTAAGTTAACAGAGCGAGTTGTCGTTTACGAAGAATACGATAAATAAAATAAGGAGCTTTCGTTATTTTGGTATACTATGAAATGCACAACCCGTAGTTAATATACTTTTTTTTTTTTTTTTTTTTTACCTATTTTCAGCGTTTGGTTTGCACGCAAGATCAGAGAATGTTCGTCGATGGATTATGAAATTTGGCATAGCGCGTTTCCAGGTTAATCAGAGGACGAACTGGCGTCCAGGTGAACTAAATGCCGTCTTAAATAAGAAGATCCGAGGAAGATTTACCTCTAGTGCGCCCAACTACAGCCGTTGCAAATTCAGTCACTTTGGTTACATCTCTCACAAAATGCACTCGCGTGTGCGCTACACAAACGAAATAAATAGACAAGCAAGAGAGCAGACGCTCGATGAGTTCGAGAGTAATGTTGCTATTTGAGAAAAAAAAACAATATTAAACAATAATAGTATCTTAACTTAAAGGCAGCGCGTGTTCGTTAAAGTAAATATTCATTTATGTTGTTCAACTTAATTGTATTGTTTAGTAATCGACCAACTTTGATAACTCCGGATGTGCGCTTAAAGTACGACCGGAGTAGAAAAGAGTTGCTTGTGGTGATGTCATTGCAGACGCTTTTTGTTTTGTTTTTTTATGAACTTTATTAACCACGTGACGGAGCTTACTCATTTACTTCTATGCTTCCATTGGTAGATTCTGATATGAAAAAGGAGGTTGTATTGGAAGGAAGCAAACAGCCCAAAGCAGCCGCGTGCGTGCAGTATGGAAAATGGAACCTCGACGGTGCCTCTCTGAGCTGCTAGCCTGCTGAGGGCTATCCACGTCCTACAATGGTGTTCGAATCGGTAGCCGTCGAGCTCGTCAACTACGTTCTCGGCGACTATGTCGAGAACTTGGACACATCTCAGCTCAAGCTGGGAATCTGGGGAGGTGAGTCGCGCACACTTCAAAAAAACTGCCAGTACCGCGTTGCCGCTGGCGTGCTGCTTCGAACGCCGCCCAAGATAGTGACAAAATCGGTAGTGGTAGAACTTGGTGTTGCTGAACGGTGTTGTAAGGCGGGTATTTGGCGGCCTACTCCCTCTCGTTCGACGTGAATTCTCACTCAAAGGTGCGGTTCCGTGCCCAAGCAGAGAACGCGGTCGCACGAGTGGTTCGAGATCTTCTAATACCGTTAATAACTGTTACTAGAAAGTGTCCACAATCGAATTCGGTCAAAGAAACAATCGTCGGTGATACTTCATGTATTTGACATTCCATGCCAAACAGAAACACATCCCGTAAAAATACGACTCCCCCCTCCCCCTTCTTTTCCCCGCCGCAATTTTATTATCTTGTTTGACATCGCACACTCCATGGAGCACGTCAGATAGCGCTATCTAGTTTTTCCCCACTGTTGAACACACCTGATTTGCAAAAGCAATTCGTATGTCGACCCCCACCCCACCCACCACCACCAACGCCTACCAATTTCATACGACAGCGTCGGTTTGCGTTCGTCCTGAGCATATGTCGTTGATGCAAATTTTGTAAATGTCGTGGAGTTACATGCTTTAAAGAATCGAATAATATATATATAGACACACACACACACATACACGTCCAAGGAAAATTGCAACCACAAATTCGTACACAGCTGGACGTGTCCATGTGGAGTGGATGAAACGAATATGAGCTTGTAAGTTGTTGGCTGACATTCTAAATACGTAAATCAGTGTATGACGGTGAGTGGTCGTTATAGTTTGTCTGTGCGAACGTGCACATACGACAGTGGCATTTGCACTTGATGACACACACTTGTTGAGCTAGACATAAGTTATGATGTGTTCCTATTTATATATAATACATACCAGCTGCTAAAGAAAGATCAATTATTTTCACTAATGCTGCACACGTTTTTTTAAATATCCATCTTTTTTTATACAACTCAAATGGTAAGCGGGTAAAGCCCTCGATCATTATGTTTCTTTTTCTTACTTTTAGTTACCATGGTGAATGTAGTATCGTGTTGGCACTATCCTACATTTTCACATATTGTGTTCACATCAAACCTGCACCCCATTTCTTCTTACAATTGGGTAAATGAAAGTCATCATATACCATGTTGGAGTCTTATTCCTTGCCATAAGATTCTAAGGTTGCTGCACACTAAACTCATTGCTTCATTTAACTTTGTGCAAACTATAATTCTTTATATTTTAGGACAATTATCACTCGTGGCACAAGTTCTAATCCTAGCGTAAAGCCATCATAATATTTTTATTTTGTAATTTTCTGAAATGTGTGAACTTCCTTCATTGTATTGCAAAGATGAACTTTTAAGATACTAAAATCAAGCTTACTAAAATTTAACTTGCATTTACTGTAGCTTCTGTTGAAAACATTGTAGTGGTCAAAAGCGGAGAACAATGCAACTCTAGCGGACAGCACATTTGCAGCACCGAAAGACAAGATACATTCAAGAATCAGATCATACGATTTGACTATCACAACAATTTCACAATGCAAAATGTGACATTGTTTTGTTTTTAAAGTTTCAACTGTCGCATTGAACATTTACTAATGCAGTGCTTCTCTCAACCACTGATATTGAGGGGACCCCTTCTGGATTGGCAACCCCATCCCCCAAGAGGGAGTGGGTTGCTAAAATTCAAATCAAATTCGAAGGTTCTATGTGCCAAACCAATAAAGGGCATCTGACATGCCCCAGCGGGGGACCAAGGAATAATATTGACCACCTGGGATCTTTTGACATGCCACATAAATTTAACTTCTCTGCAATAAGCCGCCGTCAGATTGCAGGCATCTCGGCCAGGATTCGAACCCGCCACCTAGGGATACGTAGGCCGGCGCTTTGTCTTGTAGCCACTGAGGCGGCAGGGGGGTATTAGACAATTGCAATGACAAAATTATAAATGATTAAAGCTAAATGCGTGAAAACCAGGTTTGAAGTTCTGAAACAAACAATAATCAAGCCTACTCATTTGGAAAACATGGTTTGGTAAATATAACTTTGTAAAAAAATTAGCATAAAAAAAAAATTGAGGAAATCTGAATGGTTGTATACACAAACTCAACTCTCCTACGTCACGCCGCGGTGGTGGCACGTCGGACGCACTTCCGGTCTGGGGCGGTGCGCAGAAGTCGCCGTGCCAGACGTGCATTCCTGTGTTCTTTTCGGAGAAACCAGACAAAAAACCTGCTTTCTCGTGAAAATGCTGCGACGGGGATGTACCAAAAGAGTCTGGAAGGGTTTGAAGATCAGTTTTCATGTGTTTCTGCCCGCTCCGTTCGTCTGAGTACGGGGATAATAGCCGGGTAAAGGGTAAACCAGATGCTGTCGAACTACGATTGCTTGTGCAGGCAACACTTTGTGGTCGCCAGATGTATTTGTTTTGTTCCGACATGAACGAGAGAAAACCGCCAAGGTGTCCAAGCCACCCGCGCGTTCAGTGCGTCTTCAAATTCACACGGCCGCCTGATCGTTCGAACTTTCGTCTGCTCTTTCGAACTTGTCTGCTTTTTGCCGTCTGCTCGTTGAAACAAAAGCGGCCCGTAGACCAAACTTTGACCCGTTGATTGCAATAAGAAGTAATTTCAGGCCTCAAACGGCTTAAGTAGGCTCGGTGTAAACAGTAAGAACATACAAGATGTTGATTATTGGTACCAGTGGCCATCACCGACTTGTTACGCTTGGTCTGTTTCCGCTTCCGAATTTCAGTATCGACGTCGATCATCGCCGCTACCTTCTACACTTTTGCAGCACGAGCGACGTCGCGACTGAAAATATTTAGAAGATTCTCATTGTGGTTTTGGCGTCCATTCTGTGGCGTTCACGCGAATTAATCGCCGCACGTCAAATTATTTACGCAAAGTTTAGCGGTGTAACGAGCTTTAATAGTTTCTCTCAGGCGATTAAAGTGGTAAGATATTGCTATGAGGACGTAGAGTCTAAGATTCCAACGTGAAAAACAGGATGCAGACTCACACAGACGCCGACAACGTGACATTCCAATGGCTTGAGGACGCGGGACACGGTGCTTCTTGCCTGCACTCCATTTCGCATGTGTTCGAACTGTCGTCTGCTCTTTCAAACTTGTCTGCTTTTCGTCGTCAGCGCGTTCAAACGACAGCGGCCCGTAAACCAAACGTTGACCCGGTAATTGCGATAAGAAGTGCAGGCCTCGAACCACTTTTGAAGGTTGGTTGGGGTAAGTAGGTTAAGTGTAAACAATAGATACAAGAAGATGTTGATCATTGTTACCAGTGGCCATCACCGATATGTAATGCCCGATTCTACTTGCGGTTTTCAGTATCGACTTCCACCATCTCAGCTACGGTCCACGCTTTTGCAGCCCGAGCGACGTCGCGACTGCAAATAGCGAGCAGAATCTCATCGTGGGAGTCAGGCTTTATCGCCCATTCTGCGGCGTCCACGTGAAATGAATCGCCGCAAGTCACATTATTCACGCAAAGTTTTGCCCCGTTAATTTTGCTGAGGCCGCTCAAGTAGTCAGACATTGTTAGGAGGGCGTAAAATCAACAATTCCAACGCGAAAAAGAGCACGGGGACTCCCACCGACGCCGAAAACAACGCAATGCAGTGGTTTGTTTATGGGCGACGGCGGGCTTCTTGCCCACTGCCCAGCGCGCATGCGCGACGCCGGTGGCGTTTGCTAGGGCCGCTCCGGTTTGTTTGTAAACATGAGTTGGTGTATAGGTTGCGTAATATTGATTTCCGCCGCTAAATTTAGCGGAGAAACTGGATCGGTATCTAGGTCACAAGACTGGAATTTTTCCGCTAAATTTAGTGGGTAACTGAATTGGTGTATAGGTCACGTGACATCAATTTCCCGCTAAATTTAGCTGGGAAACCATATTGAGTTTTCGGCCACGAAACATAAATTTTCTTGCTAAATTTAGCAGGAAAAATCGGTGAACATGTAGGTCATGTGCCGTCAATTTCCCCAAGGTGTATAGGCCACGTAACATCGGGTGACGTCACGTGACACCCTTTTCCTGCCAGACTTAGCTGGGAAACTGAATTGGTGTGTATGTCCCGTGACGTCGGGTTATGCAACATAAATTTACCCACTAAATTTAGCTGAGAAACTGAATTCATGTAGACGTCTCATGATATTGATTTCCCTGCTAAATTTAGCGGGAAAATTTACGGACAGACGGACGAAATTTAGGGATTAGGGGAAGCATTAATAAGCACCTTGTGTTTTAAAAATATCTTTTATTGCTCAGTTTGATTGACGGTTGATGGCTTCGGGGTTCCTAATTTCTCTCCAGGGATCCAAAGGGTCCGCAGACCCCCATTTAAGAACCACTGCACTAGAGAATTCCGGGTTTGATGAGAAAATGTGTTATGTTCACCTAAAATAGATTATGTTGAAAATGCAATTCAGAACCAATCAGTGAAAAACTTGTTTAACCATCTAGCTGTGCTTTCATGGTAAATGACACTGTCAGTGGCATTTGACCAGCACGGTATGTATTTATAAAAAAAAATAGGGAAGGCAGAAGTATATTGAACATACCTTTCAGTGTGGCTAGCCTTGTATTTCTAGTGAACCTGTTTGAACCCCTGATAATTGTAATTGTGAATAAGCTCGTAACTGAATGCAAAAAAAAGAAAAATTGAAGACACCCTTTGTAAATCTGAGCAATGAAGTTGTGAAAACTTAAATTTGTCACCATGTTTCACTAGAATTTTTTAACAAATAACCAGATATATTTTGTGGTATTCAAAAAATATTGCAATTTGTAGCTATTTAATATTAAAAATGAATGTCCTCATTTCACGTTCCAACGCCGCTATCATTCCAACTGTGAAACGATTTGGAATTTTGTGCTTGAGTCTGAAATTCTATAAAGCTATCTTTAAATTTCAGATCTACACTGTTACTTGCATGACTAATGCATTATTACCATATACTTATTTATTTATTCAATGGTGCCGCAGCTCTCCACTGAAAGTCATAGCAGGAGTAGTATGAAACATAAATACGAAAACATAACATACTGAAGTGCAGCAGTAAAATTTTCAAGTGAAGAAAGCTTTACTATGATTTTCATATCTAAGAACAATGAAGGAAGTTTATTATTTTGTATCACTTGAAGCAGGTTGCTTGGGCTTAAACAAGATACCTGTTTTTGTTTCAGATCCTCATTTTCATTATGTTCTTTTCCTGGGGTGTTTAGAAATGCTATCTTCAGACAGCTTTGTGTGATAAGCGCTGGACTCGGAAAGAACAAGTGGTCTTGGTAAAGAGATGTCAAGGGGTCAAATTGCATTATCATGTCTTGTAACATATGGCAGAAGCGCTCTTTGCCCTTATGTTTACCGCAATTCTATCTCAATTCAGTGCTCATCATCAACCAAGAGCAGGTAATTTGTGAATAAAGCAGGATGCACAATTTTTCTGTGTGTGAACACAGAAAGGTTCAAATGGGTATGGAAAGCAATGCTCTTCCACTTGTTTCTATTTTAATAGATATTTTTTGTGACCTTAACACTTTTTGACAATCAATTGAACCACTAGTGTGTTCATAATTATAACTTTGCTTGTCTTTTTTTTTTTTTTTGCTTTGGTGCTGTTTGGGGACACATCAACATAAAAATGATTATTATTATTATTATTGTGAAATACAGTCACTGGCATGCCTGTAATAGGGATTGGCTTGTTGAGTAAATTAAAATGATCCTGAAGTTGGAAGCTAACACTCTCGCTAAACTGTTAAGTGTGGAACACTCAAACTGCAAAGTTTGCATATTTAAAAAAAAACACGAAAGTTTTGTTACATATGGTAAAAGTGATTCCATATGAGCATTTCCAGTCCTTGAGTAGAATTTATCCTTTTCCTTTAGAAACATGAACTTTGAGCAAAAGTTTCTCTAAGCCTTCTCTAAAGTTTGTGCACTTTCATACTTCAATTTATTGAGGAAACTACTAACATGTAGTGGAGGTATCTCAAGATCTTAAAATCTTCCTTTTTTCCCCCTTTACAATGCAACTAAATATTTTTATCTTCATTGCTGACCAACCAGGGCTAACATGCTTGTCATGAAAATCTCATCATATGGCTCGACTCGCAGAGACGAGCCACTTCACAATGTTTTCATTGATTAGTATTATTCTCTTTTATAAACATATTTATGCATTTGGCAACTTCTTGTGAAATGTTTGTTGTGTATTTCTTTGCAGGGGACATCAACTTGAAAGATTTAGACATCAAGCAGAGTGCTATTGATGACCTTGACTTGCCATTTCGTGTTGCATATGGCCACATAGGTACGGTGTGTTCAGCACCCTTCAAAAATCCATTTGCTTAGTATAATTTTGGGACAAATTAAAAGAGTGTGACTGACTTTGGCCTTTGTCCTATGTGTGTTCCAGACAAGCTCACTCTCAAAATCCCATGGCAGTCTCTCTACAATGCCACCTATTCTGCCATCGTAGAAGGCATCTACCTTGTCATCGTGCCAAAGTCAGGTGGGCTTATAGATATAGAGTTCCTTAATTAAAGTATTACATTGACTTAAAAAAAAACGACACTTTGATTATGTTCTTATTTCAGGCGTGAAGTATGATGCCACAAAAGAGAAGAAACTTCAGCAAGAGGCAAAAGACAGAGAGCTGGCTCGAATCGAGCTGATCAAGCGGCAGGAAGCCGAGAAAGGTGCCTTTCTTTCGTTAAGTTTGCTGCCTTTTTTTTTTTTCTTTTACACAGAGTTTGTAAAATGTACGTGTCATCAAATGAACATGACACAATGAAAAGGTGTCTCGAAAAACGTCTGACGGCTACTAAATCTGGAGGCTCACGGTGGGCTGCTCGAAGTTCAATCTGTTTTAAGTATTATTTTTATTTATTCATTTATTTATTTATTGGTGGAAATGGCCGGCCACTTGTGAAGGGGCCAAGGCAAAAGCAATAAAAAAATAACGAAGCAAAAAAAAAAAAAAATCGCATAAAAGCAGAAATATGTACAGCAAAGCAGTCCCTAAGTAAACATGGGTAGATCTGTACACATGCAAAGGCAAAGCTACCCCCACTTACGCACACAAAAAAAAAATTAATACAGAGCGTATTAGTTTGGTGCTTTCAGTGGTGAAAGCACTGCGCCATTTGCGCCGAATTGTGCCACGAGCTGCTACATCTCGCGCCAAAATGCCATTTTTGCTAAGAATTGCGTCAAACCTTTGTTGAGACAAACTTGTGCAAAGCAAAAAATGAAAATATTTTATTATTGCTTGATTCTAATATTTAGAGAAATAGGATAAAGGGAAATGGTGCAAATATATATTTCACTGCATCTCTACTCACCTTCTCCCCATATGGATTATTTCACCTTAGGTCAGAGCGCAGTCGAAGGCTCCAAGACATACAACCATGAACACACATACTGAAAGCATAAGTCTTGGGCCATTTGCTGTACTTGATTGATTCAGTCGATGAAAGAACACATACAGGAAGATGGACGAATGCCATGATGCTGCACTTTGATGCTGTTGGTTTCATTGACTCGTAGCGTCGGCTGCTCTTCGAAGGTGAAATGAGGTTTAGAAACTGCTCATCAACCCCATGGGCCGGTTGATGCGCTCGCGTGTTAATCGCCGACATCGTGTAAATTTCCAGACGGTATTGGCGATGTCAGGAGCTGAAGTCCCAAGAAAACATTGCAAAAGTAGGATAGTGGCTACCCTGATAAGACAGAACTAGGGTCCTCTACTCCTGATGAGATCACTTAATTATCATGTGTGCCACATGCCTCCGTGCTGCCTCTCACCGCCTTTCACCAGTTTGCTCGTCGGGCTTTACCGCTTTGCACCCTTCTGCTAGGAGCGGCGGCTGACATGAGTGTGGGGTGAGTGCCTGGGTAAATGCGAAAGTTTCTGAGATTATGCTTAAAACTGTTCCAGGTACACCAATTTTAGGTTGATTTCTAATTTTAAAAAGCTGCTACTAGAAGCGGGGGAAAAAAATGTGCCTCTATATTTTAATAAATGCGGTAGTTAAGGTAGTTCCCACACAGCTGTCGATGGAAAGAGCAGCTAACTTTGACTTCACTTTGGTCCCAACACAGCTAAAGAGCACTGTCACTTTTAAAGTAATAATGTAGATTTCCATAATATTTGTGTTTTTTTACAGTTTATAATATTAGTTTTTAGTTGGATAGACTTTTTAAAATGGGGTTGCATTTTTATTGATAAACATACTTTAGCAGATATGTTGGTTTTTGTAGTCATTTTTGCAGAAATTATATTCAAAGGCTAAATGGACTACCGGGTGTAAAAATGGGAGGGGAAGGAGGCTTTATCCCAACTGTAGTGTTGCACTACAATTCATTTTTCAATCATTATTTGAGTACCCATTGTAAATGGAACTTACTCTGATCAGAACCTTATTTCTAAAAATAGGTTCTGTGTTCATTTCGCCTCCTATCTATTTTTATTAAAAAGACCCTCAGTCATTATCATAGATTAACTTATTTAGCGATCCAATCACTTCTTAATTTTCGAGTGATGTGCTAACAGATGTTGGCATCTGCTCCAAAACCGTCAGTGGCTGCTCCAAGCCAATATTTTGCCTGCTACAAAACCTGCGACAAAAGGTCAAATACAGCTTCCATCCCCGCGCTTAGATGAAAACCTGCATTTTTAATGTGCATGTACTGTACATGAGTGTGAAAAGTTTGGAATTCAATTAGCTGTCTCAAAGAATGTATTGCACTAGAGATGAAAGCAGCTAGTATATCTGCAAATGTTTGCTTTCCTAGTTTGTCTTTTTTCCAGTGTTCCCCCCCCCCCCCCCCCTTTGTTATCTCTGTATCTTGCTAACCAGCTGACTTTTGCCTATTACCTTGAAGCAACTTTCTTCAATATAAAGTTAAATTTTGTGTAGCAGGAATTCTCGGGAATTTTCTCACTAATTCTCGATCGCAAATATTTATGATAAATTCTGGACGTTAAGCACACATAAAAATTGTGTTTTCAAGTAGCAAAGGATCAAAACATGCAGAGTGTGTATGTGAAAACTTGAGAGTAAATATTTGAGAGAAATTTCTCTGGTTGGGAAAACAAAAAGCTCGAGGTACACCTAAGCACTTCTTATGAGTTGTGAATGCGAAAGCATGCACGCCGCTCTTCCGCTCTCTTCTTTCGTCTGCGGCGTACTTGCATGGATGATCAAGCGCATGCGCTGTCCTCGGCGTGCTGACCTTGGACGTGGAGCAATGGAGCCACTGCTTCGCGGACACGCAGCGCCATGGGGTGGCAGTCATTGAAACTGACATGCAGCGGCCAATGGGAGCCTCATTGACGCGTGCCAGCCATCGAGATGGAAGCTGAAATACATCAGCTTTACTCCGCTCCTTTGGGATCGAGGAGATTATGTGCCGTTTGGCTAGGCTTTTCTCACGGTTTCATAGCTGGGAGCTGGCTTCACTTGGAGAAAGGATTTAAGGTGCCGTTTGGTACGGTTTGGTACGGCTTCAAGGCCGATGACATCGGCTTGCTCCATGGGACGGTTAATGCTTTTGCATTAATAAATAAAGGACAACAACCAACCAAGATAGAAAAATACTGCTTCTCAACAGCCATCGCGATAGTCATCCCTGAAGAACCAAGTAGGCCTCAAAGCGTAGGGTCCCTATATTTTTAGGATTTGGTTGGTTGTCATCCTTTGTTTATTATTTAGACTTCAGGGTAGATATGGCAAGTCTAGTACTTGTATTAATTTTCAAACAATGGAGGCTCTGAAAATAAAGGGTTTCCTAATGTATATGAAATGGGGAATCGGTGAAATGAGAGTTACTATGCAGGCGAGCTGGTTAACGGTCATAGTGAAAAAAATCTTGAGACAAGGAACGAAAACAAAGGGGGCAACCACAACGCATGTTGTGTTGTGGTTCTCCCCTTTGTTTTCGTTCCTTGTCTCGAGGTTTTTTTCACTATGAAGGAATCAGTTCTGGCTTTGATAAGCTGTGTGATGCTTGAATATTCCTAGCTTTGCTTTTTAAATCATACAATTAAATTACATTGCAAGTAAGCTAACTTTTTGCTTTCAAAGCACTACCCGTGCGCGACGTATCAGCTTTTCCTAAGGCTAACCTGATTAACATATTGGTTGTGCAGACAAGCCCAAGGAGGACAAACAAGACACGTTCATGGAGAAGTTGACAGCGCAGATTGTCAAGAACCTCCAGATCCGCATCCGCAAAATCCACGTCCGCTACGAGGATGCATTCACCATTCCCAAGCACCCGATGTCAATTGGCGTCACCCTGTACAACCTGTCTTTTGACACCACTGATGAGAACTGGGGGCCCTGCGTCCTGGATGCGGCTGCCAAGGTGGTGCACAAGGTCAGTTAGCTCGTCGTTTCTCTGAAAGTGACAAAGAGCAGTGACGCTAAAGTGTTTTAGGAACTTATGTTGACTGCCATGTAGTCTGCCATGTAGTCTGCAAATTGGCCATGTAAGAACTTTGGGACACAAGTGGTCTCATATTTTGCAGGCTTGAAATTGTACCATTTTGAAGATTCACATTCATTTGTGATTGAGTGAGGTTCAATTATTCTGCGTCCTGTGTCAGGCATGCAAATCAATACCCATTTTCACCTCAAGAAAAAAACAAGTTTTGTGCATTGTTCATACGCGATGCGAAGTAGTTCTTACGAGATTTGGTTGTCAAAGGAAAAAGCGATGCTTTTGGTGGTTGGACTGTGTATGTCTTGATAAGATAGGATGTGTCTAATCTACATTGCACCTACATATATCTTAATTATCAACATGAAGGGGGAAATTAGTAATGCTCTGCAAGGAGCCAGATTTTTTTTACTACGGTTCTTGAGATGAAAACGGGTATAATAGCACTTGCCACGCCAGCATATGGCATCGGCAGCAAACTAACGTATGATAAAACAAAAATTTGTTGAAGAAACTCTGCAGGAAGGACAAATTTTTTAAAGGGGCAGTGGAACAATTTTAATATTGACAAGAATATTAAGTTTTTTGTTTTTTTTATTTTTACACTGTTTATCTTACCAAAGGGGGTGGAGAAACCGCCTAATATTTTTTAAATATTGCTATTCTGTTGCGTAATAGCAAAAAAAAAAAAAAAAAAGAATATTTCGCAGTCTGCAGCTGCGGTGTGGTGGCCTTAGGAGCTAAGGCGTGACGTGCAATGGGTATAATGTAATAAGTTGGCAAGATGTGCCATTATGTTCTCAATCTAATGCTATATTTGATAAATATTGTTGTTTCAACATGAATAAGTGTGTCAAGAACCTCTTATCATCGACAAAGTTGTACTATAGTCACTTTTAGTAGTGCCATCTGCCCGAGGTGAAAAAAAACTATTCCTCACTTGAGCTTCATACCATTCTGCTACTAGGTCAGTCGATCTTTCTTACCGAAAGGCAAGCTCTTTGCTTCCCCCCCTCTCCCCCCTCTCCACATCGCTCAAACCAACCTCCGAGGTCGCCATTGAAGTCGCAAGCAGGGCCGTGCGCGCTGCAGGCTTTGATAGAGAACCCAACTGGATCTTCTTTATCCCCATTGTGCATCACTGCACACGAGACTTGGAAGGCAGTGTGAGAATTGAGTGGTTTGTAGTGATGGACTGAATCTGCCAAACTTCAGATTCTGCAAAGTTTGATACATGCCGTTTGTGTTTTGCGCATGTGCGAGAATGTGACGGCGTAATGCAGCAGCAAATGAACGCCGTGCGGTTACCATCATACCTTGAAGTACATTTAGCGGTTATGGCAAGGTTTGGAGTAGGTGACATGGTAACTGTGTGCTTGTCAGTCTTTGTGAGGGTGGTTCTCTTCACTATTTTCTGCCTCAAGAAGATTGACCAGGAATCGAAGCAGTCGATTGCGCAAGTGACAAACGATGCGGTACATTCTGGATGACGTGATTTTCATTTCTTCTTTCCAGTGATGCAACGAGGTAGTTGCAACATGGACTGACAAGTACTTTAAAGCATTTCTCGCACTTATAGCAATCCTGTTTTCAGCTCTCAAGTAGTTCATGCCCAAACAAAATGCTATTGCTTTTTAAGTAGCGTTATTTCGTGGTTTTTATCTATCTGCTAAAACCAAACACAGAATTATCATGCTCGACGTTGCACATCCGACATTCCTACCTTTTCCCATCTTCCTAAATGTCCGTTTGTGTCCTAATATCAGAAACCGGCATTTTAAAACTTTAAAACGAGATGCTGCAAATATGGGACACGTCACTTTCATGCAAAGCTGGTGTTAAGAGGGCGCGGTACCTCTATTTATTCGTCCGTTTCAGCCACCAGATGGCGCGCGGCTCGAAACGTGGTTGAACGCGCAACTTCTAGATGGCGCCAGTATCGAGGTGTGAAAAGGCCCGCGTTATCCGCTGCGTGAAATAGATCCCGAAATCTGCCGTGTTCTCCCGGCGGAGGAAGTTTCTGCATCCCTCGCGCGCGCTTGGTATGTACGCGCGGTGACCGAGTCCGGCCTCTGCGCTGTGTGATGCAGTGGGTGGCGCTCGTTTCTGTTCGGAGGTAGGAATAAAAATGCCGGTCTCCTTTTTTACGACGCTCGTTTCTATAGCTTGTTTTTTTTTCTTTTTTTTTTATCTCAAGTGACCTACAGTACCGCCTGATCGAAATCGTCCTTTGCGGTGAGCGATTGAGAGTCAGGTTAGCATTTTATTTGGGTCAGCACTACACGTTTAATGGAGACCTCGGGCGGCGATGTAAATATGCATTGCTTCCCAAAGTGTGTCCAAGGTGCGCAATGACAATTGGAAAGGGTATTGAAGGCGCGCGACCGTCGGTTGGTAAAATACGTGCGTTAGATTGACTTATTCAGTCTAATCATTTTTGCCAACGTCTTTTATCTGTTTCGACAAATGACATGGTCGAGTCTATTGATAACCTTAGCTAGATTGGACGTACGGAGTGTCCGGGCTTTAAATAAATTTGCTTCGTTTATGTGAATGAATAACTGTTTTCTCTTTTCCGTGCTCGGTGCTATGCAAAAATCGCTGAGATGTTATGGTAGCTCAGTGTGGCGGCGTTTTGCACGCTGACTCGCTATTGCATTCGCTGTGCACAATATGTGTTCAGATGGAATGTGCCAAATCGTATTTCCGATCGATATGATAGATTTACTTTGCTACAGTGTTAATTATATTTTCCTGATTTAAACTGGTTCGTCCCTGATCTGAGCCTAAGTTTAAATTCGAAGGGCAGACAGACTTAGCGTCGTAACAGCCGTAATGCGCAGAAAGAAATTAGTACCATGAAAAAAAAAAAAAAGGATACGAGGTGACTCAGTGTTATAGAAGTAATGAGTGTGCAAAGGATGGGATACGGTCCATTCGTCACATGCACACTCGTCACAGGACGATTGGTCACAGGACGATTCGTCACACAGGAACATTCGTCATAGGATGACTCGTCACGCGGCCAACCGGTCTCACAATAGTTCGTCCCCCCAAAAATGTATTGTTCAATTTGGTTCGGGCGGACAAAGGCGAAGAATTTGTAAGGAACGTTTTAGCTTCTGATTCGGTCCCGAACATTGAATGTTGGTTGGGCCTCAGAAAGTCGGTCACCTCTTATCTTAGCATGTCTTTCGCTTCTCGAGGTCAAAGAATTTGCAACAGACGTTCTAGCTATCTGGGTCCGTCCTGAACGGTGAATACGGAGGCCATAGAAGAGCGACTATTTTTGAACTACATTCAAAAGGATGGAGGTGATCGCAACAGAGAGAGCCATGATGCTGCACGAGGGGTACTCGTACACATTCGGCAGAAGGAATTCCGATACTTGTTGGTTTTGTCGAATAGGTGTATGCAAGGCAAAACTAAAAACTAATTTGGCTGCCAGTCGGATTATTGCTCGTTCAAGCCTGCAACTGAGATCAACCTGCTGAAGACCCGTAATATAATGAAAGGAAAAGCGAATGAGTATTGTAATATTAGTTTATATAACCATTGGTTTACGTGACAGTGGAAAATTGTGAAACTCCTCATCAGGGTATGTAGGCAGATGTTGAAATTTACAATTTACTATCGTCCCCTGCTCGATCAATGAGACCAGTTGCCCGCATGACGAGTCATCCTGTGACAAATGTTCCTATGTGACGAATCATCCTGTGACCAATCGTCCTGTGACGAATGCGCATGTGACGAATCGTCCTCATCCTGCAAAGGATGCCATCGTACGTTTTTTTCTTCTTTTTTTGTTTTTTTAACTCTCCGCATTGCTGGGAAACGCTCAAGGTACCAGCAAAGACAGCGAGCTGGCGTGAAATTTCCATCGAGCGGAAAACGAGTGTGACTTTTATTTCATCATGCGCTTTCATTTTGATATGGCTCAAAATGGGCGCGAAATAGTAACAGGTAAGGCAACAAAATTTAGATGTTAGGTCTGGAGCACCGCCATACTCAGCCGTGTTGGGGGCATCTCTCGCGAGTCAATACGGCAAAGGTATTGCGCGTCGAACTGTACGTGAGAGTTATCCATTTCAGCGAAACCTTGATTTCGCAAAACTATTGTGGCTCGAGTCGTGGCTTCCAGTACTTGAAAGCCACGAGCGAGAAATAAATGACAGTTGATTTTGAAGGACAATCGCGACGTGGAAACCCATAAAAGAGAGTTCCAATAAGACGAGAGCTTCCCCTTCTCTTCAAGTGCGTGGGTTACGCTCTCAATCCTGCACCTCGCAACAACTTTTTTTTTTTTTTTTTTGTCGAGGCGCTATTTTATTTTTTTTACTTTTTGTCTACCTTGATACCCCATCAGCGCAAAAACTACCGTAAAGAAAAAAAAAAATAGTGGGCATACAACGACAACGCACCCACTGGGACCCGAGTCAAGGCAAGAACAACTAACTACTAAAAGGGGAAAAAAATCATGTTCGCATACACAGACAGAACGCCTCCATCGAAAGAAATGAATCATGCGCTTGTTCTGCCAGTCTCGTTGTGCGTCTGTCAAAAGCCACAAAGGAGGAAGACAATCAGCGCCTACACCACTCCCTTCCACTCCCCCCCCCCCCCCCCCCCCCACCACCACCCCTAAAAAGAAGAAAAAAAAGGTTTCTTGGGCGCGCGCGCGGTCGCCCAAGCGATGACCTTGGAAGGGTATGCGATTGTAGCACGTTTGTCCCCCGGTTGTGCCCCTGTCTCAAATGCCACGGTCCGTTTCTCCCAAGTGCCCGTCTTATCTTCCCGAGTATCAACTCCGCAGTGATTCTGAATCATTCCGATGCTTTCCAACGTTGCAAAACTGTTAGACGAATATTTGCACAGAAGTATACTCTGTTCGCAGAACTATCTACGGCGCTAAAATTCAAAAGCGCCGAGTTGGATTGGGGAACTCGTGTAGGTTTAGCTCATCGTTGGAACATTCTTATTCGCTCGATGAACTCCACAAAACGTGTAAATATTAGAATGAACTTTCCAGAGAACGAGAGTTGTTGTCGGGGTTCCAGGCGACCGGACAGGTCGCAATTATTGGCTGATTAAAAATTTTATTTCATAATCACAATCGTATCATCAAGGGCACGCCATTTCCTCATCACTTCTTCTACGAAAAGAGTTGCTGTATTCGTAGCACACACAGACGGAAACGGTTGAGACTGCCCAAATAATATCTTCTTTTGGCAGGTACTGCGCAGCGATTACACACAATGCCTCTAACATAAACATGCTGCTCCACATGTCTATTCACAAGATGCAATACATCGTTCTCCCAACTTTGTTGAAATGGGCATGAAAGCGCGTAACCGTCACTTTTTTGAAGTTCTACTTAGAGGTGAAGTGTTTACCGTAAAAAGTCGTTAATTATTTATTTTTTTCCGTTTACTACAAAGCTCGATTCCCTTAAATTTTTGTTTTTATATCGTCTCTACAGCGCTTTTACGTCGGTACTTTCGTGTTAGAGGACATCACATAATGTGCGAAAAAAACAACAAAAAAACGGTAGGATCGATGCTGCATAGCCTTTTTTTTTTTTTTGTGGACATCAAGAAAAAAAAAAAAGATAGTAGTTGTCTTCACTTCGCACTGCATGTTTTGGCACGGAAGTTCCTATTTGGTTATGATGTCTTTACTTTCTTAAAAATTATATACAGTAATTTAAATTACCGAATTACAAAAATGTCGAAATTGTATAATTGCTTTTCGTTGGGACGCCATGACGACAGCGACACTCGTGTTCCCTCGTGGTTTTCGCCAGCATTTCTACGATGAATTGCCAGGATCGCGAGATGCAACAGCGTGACACTCCGTCTTCTGTGACGTCATTTGTTGCACTTCGGGACAACTTTTGATGTATGGCCAGCATAAGACGCTAACCACACCAGTCGGAGACGCGCTGCAGGTGCCATAGTACTGCTCGTAAAAGTAGCTGTCACGTGCTTTGCTCCGCGACTGAGGGTTGCCAAATTACGGTGAAACGGAGTATAGACAAAACAGACTGGACGACATTTACCGGGCATCTTTAGAGCTGCGAAGCTCAAAATCACGCGTACTCATAAGATTTTTTTTTTCTCGCGTGTTTGTGATTTTTATGATGTCCTGCAAGCAAGAAAAAAATATATATGGTGAAGTCACTCCGAGGGGGTAGCGATAACTGCGAGCCACGAACATGAAGGACTCGCTAACATCCGTCAGGAGTGTGAACGGTAAATCGTCACGCAAACATATTCTCACAAGCTGCAAATATTTATTTGGCTTAGCAAGTAGAATACTAGTATACTAACGACATGTGATTATTGTACACAAGATACCATTTCTCGGTTCTTCAAAACCATTTCCCAAGTCTGAACGGTCGCGCTACGGGCCGCGGCTAGCCGTGCCCTCGATAGGCTACGGAGCTGCGTTGTGTCGTCTGCTACTGTACCGCCAACAGGAGAGCGATAGCTCTGTGTGTTCCACAGATGCGTGTTGCGGTATAACTCTGTACGTCTGTCCTAGAGGAAGACAAAGAGATAGGCTCTGTGACCCCCTCCTAAGCTAACAAAAACAAACAGAAGTATACTCGTTTGGACTGAAAGGTTTACAAAATAGTGACCAGACATTGGAAAAGCATATGTCACAGAACTTGGTTTATGAAATGGCATCATTGTTTCGAGCAAGAAATCACCTGCTCATTACTGGGACGATGAAATCGTCACTATTTATTGCGTCAGGTATATTTGCGCTCATGAAGAAAAATCTGAACACATCCTTCTCCCAAAGTCCTATGTCGAATAATAAACACTTTTTTAAACATCTATGCACAAATAACTCATTTTTTTCTACACTTGTATATGCACGTTAATTGACGTCAAACCGCATTTTTGATTAGATCTTGATGTCTACACCAACTACATTCATATTTTTTAGGGCTTTATTGAACGATAACTTCAACTATAGTTAATGGAACACGATGGCTCGATCTCGACAAAAACCTCAACGTGCGAAGCTTCCACAGACGGTCGCTAGCGAGTATTCTCAATGTGAGACTTCAGAAGCTTTCGCTTGCCATAGGGAGCTTGCTTTCGACTACAGCACTGCACGGGCCCGGAAAGCGCTGCTGTGTGGAGAGGTTGACTTACAAGATGACGTGTTACGTGGTCACGTAAGATGGCGTCATTTCGTGCAGCGTGATCACGTAAGATGACGTCATTTCGTGTAACGAGATCATGTAAGATGACGTGTTTGTGTCACGTCATCACGTAAGATGACGTCAGTTCGTATGAACTGACGTCATCTTACGACAACGCCAACAACATTAGTGCCGTCCGGAACCATTGACCTTAGAAACGCGCTTCTTCGCTTGAAGAGCTGATATGCGTTGATTGTTATTTGTTTCTTTTGCCTACTACAGACCATTCAAGAACTCTCCTTCTGGGTGCCACCAACTTCGTCTACTGGGCTGTGAAGCGCGTTCGAGCGTGCGCAATACCTCTCTAGGCCGAAAGATTGTACACTGAGTATGCGTTCACAGCTCAATGACTTTGGCATTTTTCGTCAGGATAGATGCTCCCACGAGAAGAGCGTAATGGATATGTGAATAGAATTGGAAATTTGAAATGTTCTTGCCCAATCGCATTTTTCTTTGGTTATCAACGCTTTTTAGCGTCATCACAAGACGTTCAACCCATAATACACTGGTGATTAAAAAATAAGCACCGAAAAACATGCACCGATTTTCGCTCAAAAATAAACACCGGAAAAATACATACCGTAATCATTACCCATGTCACCTTTTTGGGTGATATGTGAATTTCCAGAAGAACAGCGAGTTATCACCCTCCCCTAGGAATACCCTGACTACAGAGCAGGCGACCCGTTTTTCCCCGCGTTAGATTGTGGTGACCACGAACCGTACGGAGGTCACAGGACGTCCGTGAAAAATAAAAAGGAGGCAAACAACGATCTACTCTGTGCACGCTTCATCCCCAATTTCCACGACCCCAAGGCCGAAGGACGTTTGTGTGAAGGATAACAATAAAATAAAACTTTGCGTCAAAAAAAAAAAAAAAGCCCGTTTTTAAAAGAAAAAAAAAAAGTAGAAACAAGCACAACGCGTTGACGGACCGCGAGGTTGTGGAACACCTCGCGGTCCGCTTGCCACAGGACGGTTGTCTTCGACCCATAGCTCCAAGGTGAATTTGCCACTTGCGAAAACACGGAGACCTACCCAGCGAGAACCAGGAAAGCAAGACACGCACACTGACGCCTCGGCGTGCAGAATGAAACAGGATACGGGCGCGGAACACGGCCGCGGAAGAACACCTCGCACAGTGCCGATCCGGCCGATCTCCGAACGGACGATTTCGCATTTCGTGGACAGCGAGCGCCACCGCACGGGAGAGAGAGGTACCTTAAAAACGACGAAAACAAGCACCGACACCTTGGTTCTTTATATTTGCTGTAGTTACGGAACAAATCGACTTACATGAATAATTTGAATATTATTCGATTCCATAATAAATTTAGAAGACATTAAACGCAATTCTTCTTATGTTTGAATTTAGATAATTTTGTAAATTCGCTCCGAACGCAAGAGTGCCGAAATTGCCGATTTTGACAATTTTCATGATTTTTTTAAAGAATATAATTAAATTTATGACGAAACATCTGTTGCGTTTAGTGTCTCGATAATGACTCAATGTCTTTAAAGCCGAAATTTTCAAGAAGATCCGCGCAGCCGTTATTATGTGAGAATTTTTTTAATTTGGTGAAAAACCTCATGTATTCTCTATGGGGCTCTGAGGTGCGCCCCCTCTTAAGTGACTGAAATCGAAAAGCATTCATATTTATAATAATATTGTTATCTCTTCTGGTGAAAGCTCAGTAGTCATTACATTCATTTTCGTGCACGAAACAGTGACTTTTTGTGGGCTTCTCAAACAATCGGCATAGGAGGTTTGGCGCATAGAACATTCGGACCTTGAACAAACAACAGGGTACTTGAATTTACCTGAACGCAACCTTTACAGAAATTACAAAAAGGTGCGTCTGCTCTCAGGCATCGAACCTAGGCCCTTTGCATGGGAGCCAGTGGAGAGAAGATTAATTTTAATTTGATTTTTTTTGGAAACTGGAAGAAATCTCAATTTTCAATTTTTTTATTTTTCAGGCATGGGTGGACCACAAAAACATGCAGCTTTGAAATTTTTCAATCATTGTTCTTTTCAGATTGTAGACATCAACAGCTTCGCACTCTACTGGAACACCAACTCTAAGCTGTTTCGGGACGAACCACCATCAGTTCTTAGGGTACTTCCTTTTTCCCACCTCTCGTCTGATCGCTGAGCTGACTGCAGGAATTTTGTTTTGTGTTTGGGGCATAGCTTGACATCCCTAAAAACAACTTTTGCTTTCAGTCTGGGGTTGAAACCCAGGGTATTTCTCTTTGTCTACATTTTTAATGACATGTTATTTTTTTTACAGTGATAGCTGTTATGGGCTCATTCTCCCACGTAAAATGATGTTATTGGTATTGTCATGTAGCTCTGTGACCATCGCAGAGTCATGTGATGCCATGATGCCTCATGACATCATCTATCCAGATTGCTTTATAGTTAAACAAATGTGTGTGTCACTCTGAGCAGACATTGGCAATGGCTTATGTATCTTGCGCATAAGCTGCAAGAGCAAGATACATGCAAGATACATAAAGAAACATTAAGGTTCAATAAAGTGTTGCAGCTATTGCTGTGACTACTATAGATTCACACAGCACAGCTAATTTGTTTTTTAAATTTGTTTACTCTAGTAGGAGCCAGTTTTTCATGCTATTGTAATTATTTTAACATTGGTCCTTGTATTGGCAACCACTGCACCAGCTCTAGGTTTGTGGCCTTTTTTGAATGTTCACCCCCCTCTGATTACCAGAAATTCTTTTGTACATATCGTTTCAGGCTCTCCTTGAAGAGAAGATCAGTTCTGAAGTTGTGAAGCCAAGTGATGTCTCCTACAGTATGTGTACTTTCTTTAGCCATACTACACTAAGAAGGTAGTTCCTTGGCATACTTTTGTTTGTCCCACTTTTTAAAGCTGTGTGGGTATCTAATGACCAAGAACGGGCTTTAGCAATAAGTTTACTTTGCAACCAGATTTTTTTTTTTTTTAATTTGTACTTGTTGGGGCAATTTGAGTTGGTTCCTTCTGATCTCTCTCGGGCAGTGTTTGACCCTGGCACTGTTGGAGAGCGCTGCCGTGTTTATTTTGCCACATCATCATTAAATGGGGTAGAACGATTGTTCTGCGTGCAGAATCCCTGTCGCAAAAGCCCTGCGTCATGAGCCCCATGTTACGAAAACCCCGCATTCAATTGCCTTGTCCTGTATTCCCCACATGCCAAAAGCCCTGTCCTCGCTGCCCCCGTCCCACCCTCTTTGCGCTTCAACCAGCATTGTTCCATGTCTTAACTAGGGCTGGGTGTCTGTTAAAAGTTTTAACTTGTAGGAAATCGCGTACCGCCGCCGATTCGCCGTTTCCCACGTGGTCCGTCAACAACCCGAGTCCAGCCTGGTTCTTTCACGGGAGCGGGATTCCGCTCCCAGTTTATTGGTACAATAACACACAACGCTACAAAACACTCAATCTAAAATACAAATACAAGCTACATTACACAACTATTTACAACCGCACGTTAAGCCCAGCGCTAAACACAAAGAAGGCCTTAGGCCTCGCGTCCCGCGATATCCTAGATCCGGTCGCCACCCACTTGCCTGCGTCTCGGTCTCGTCCGGAGTTCTTAGAGGCCTCTCGCCCCCTGCCCCACCGAGTATATATCTATCGATGGGCGAGGAGGTTTCTCCTCGCCTGCCACGGGGGCGCCTGCAGCGCCCTCCAGTGGCTAGGAGAGAAAGCGGCGCGTCGGGAGCCGAATTCGAGATCCCGATCGACCCCGCGGCAACACGACCATGTGATCGTGTCGCGGCCAAGATTGGCCGAATGGTTTGATGGGCGCCCTCGTGAATTCACGGTGCGCCATAAACTTTATAATTGGCCATTCTTGAATTGATGAATTAATCGGGCTCAATCATTTCCATGCATTATATTTAAAAATGTTAAAACTGATATTTTTTTTGTCGTTGCTGGATATGTGATAAGCGGTGCAATATAAATTTTTTTTATTTCTGCTCAGCGCTGTCGACGCATTATTCGAAATGGCTGCAAGTTCGCGTCTCCCCGTCTGCAACCACTACTGTCGTCATCGACACAATATGCAATGTTTGCCACTTTCGGAATTCTGAAAGTCATTTGCAGCAACAGTGGCACATCTTTCGTTTCAAAGGATACATGCTGGCTCTTGGAGGTTAACGGCATCCGACATATATCAAGCGCTCCTTATCATCCGGCTACCAACGGACAAGCCGAAAGAATGGTTTGGGAGACCAAAAAATCACTGTGTAAGGTTTGCGAAAGAAGTCTGAACTGCTGTTTGGCAAAATTTCTGTTTACACAGCACACCATACCAGGCTCAACTGGGGAAATTCTAGCAGAGTTGATTGGACAAAACCTGTCTTTTCCGCTGGACAGCATTCATTCGCGGGATAAAGAAGATACTGAAGAGTATAAAGACTTAAACTTCCAAAAGTCGGAACCCGTCTTCATCAAGGGCTTTGCGGGACAATCAAGGTAGATCGAAGCCAAGGTGTTCCACCAGCTTAGTCCTCGATCATCTAAGGTAGAATCCTCAGATGGTCGCATACAAAGAAGGCATGTTGATGGCATGTGAAGGCGAGTAATTCAACACCAGGAACGTCGCAAGTCAGTTTCATTCCAAGTTTCACACCGCAAACACGGCAGCTCAACTGCACCTCAAGTTTCAAGCTATCCACATATTGAGTCGCTTGAAACAGAAGATGTAAATGTCCCAAACAACAGATGCACGGAGGTTGGTTCATCAACGATCACCTCCGAGTCACTGTTGACCCCAGCACAAAAGAGCAACGTATCTCAGGATCTGGTTGAAGTTAATCTTGACTTGTCAACATTGGGTCCTGCTGTGCCATCTTCAGCTCCGGTTCCTCTACCCAGGGCACACCCTCAGAAGATTCTGAAACCACCAGTGCGATATCCAGACTGAACGGTCTCATCAAGAAGAGAAAAGTGTTTGTGCCTGACTTCATTGTCGTCTTAAGAAAAGATGAGCACACAAGACCGGCTTGGACCACTCTCCACTCACACCCGCCACGCGGGCGACATGTTTGCTATGCCAATTGCAGCTGCACTCTGTTTTTTTCATCTTGTACCTATGTAATGCACATATTCTGCAACCAAACATAAGATAAACTTAAACCATGGACATGCTTAGAATGATGTACAAGTGGCCACTTGCATAAATTTGCATAACCAGTGACGCAATTCGCTGTCATAGAGATTCACCCAGACGCAGAATTATAGACTTTATCTACCTAGAACGAAACAAATACTTTTAGAATGACGTAAAAAGAATAGAAAATAGTGTTTGGTGGCTGCTCGTAATAAGCAACGGCCATGAGCTGCGGGTCAACAGTTTTAACAGAACCCGCTTTGTCAGAACTGCAAATTCGCGCATACTTCAGAGTCTACAAAGCTTTGGTCCAAAGCTTGTTCATAAAAAAATTTTAGCTTTATATGTTTCGCCAGCGACTGATATTTTCTGTTTCTTCTCACTTCTAACATCACAACACGTGAATGCATATACAGCACGCTTGAAAAACGGGAAGCTTTACCCAGTCATTCCTTACTTGAGTCCCGGGTACGGCATGATTACGTTACACAAGCTCGCGTGCATACTTACGGTCTTATAGTTAAAAGCAGAATGCTCCGCTCTAACGCTCGGGACCCAGCTATCTGACACAGGGGTTTCGCGTCATGGGCTTCTGAAACTGAGTTTTTTTTTAAAGTGGGGCAAAAATGGCGGGGCGCTGGCCGTGGGCCATTTGACACAAGGCTTTTGACATCAAGTGCTTCCGTGCACCACCCCATTGAAGGCCTTCTTCATCGGATGCCTTCCTGTTTCCCCTCAACAGTTCTGGGTCCAATCTCGTCCGTTGCCAAGCTCACCATGGACACAAAGCCAGAACTGTCAAACTACAATGATCCTGGGATGACCTTGGACATCCTGGTGGCAGAGATCACCATTGGCATCAGCAAGCATCAGGTTAGTTGCTGTTTCATGCACTCCAGGGTCACCTATTGGCTGCTGATGAGGGGGGTTTGCTCTTTGATTTTATGACCTGTATACTCAACTGTCTTGTTCCCCCTGCTCTTAAACAAAACATTAAAAAAAAAAGTTTAATTTTTTTTTTGTGTTTTTTGAGGTCTGTTGACATGCTCTCATTAGCCAAATCATCATTCTTTTCTGCAGAATGTCTTGTGCACAATTTCTTTGGTTGGAAAAGCCATATCACCAACCCACAGCACCACTAGCGATGACTCACCCCTGCTTTATTTTTAGTGTGATGAGATCATTCATATTTGATAACAAAAGTATAATTTGAGAATAAATTATTAATGCAAAAGCATTAACTGTCCCATGGAGGGCAGCCGGCATCGTCCGCTACCGTAAAAAACGGCAGGGACATTTCCTTCGCGCCGTCGCAGCTCTTAAAAGGGCTGCGACGCGGCTTGCGCGCCAGATAGTTCCAACAAACGCCACCCCACACTCCCGGCGCTGCTCCCGCGCGCCACTGCAGCAGTGCACACCCGCCGCTACCCAGAGCCCGGCCGGCCTCTGCAAAATATAGCGGGGCGCACAGCTTGGGGGGGGGGGTAGGAGTATGCAACATGTATGAATGCTTTCGCTTTTTTACACGTTGCAGTCTTAAGTGTCCTCCCTTAATGTTTTGGTTGCATACATGATAATTGTTAGGGTTGCAATTAAGCAAGAGGCAATCCAAGTAATCTATTGTCATTTTTCTTCTAGTTTCGAAACATGCTGGCATTGTCAGAGTCACTGAACCGGATGGCCATTGCAGCTCACTACAGAAAGTACAGGCCTGACGTCCCTGTCCACGGGAACTGCAAAATATGGTATGCAAGTTTGTGGCAGCCAGCTGTATGCCCATTTATTATAATGTTGATCTATTTTTCTTTATTAATTTTGGCAGACTTCTGTAATAGTCTGTTCAGAAATCTGTTGCCTGATACTGCGGTTTATTTGAGGTACGAGTTAATGCTAAAGAATCTGTTCATAGTATTCAGGTAGGCTGGTATGAAACATGAGCTAATCTGCCTTTAATGCGAGTCACATTTTGCATAAGTTAGGTTAAAAAAAAATGATGTAAGCTTGATCATATAGACTGACTGGTGAGCACAGAATATGTGGCAGACCTTGCGTAGAAAAAGAGAAGGGCGTATGAAAAGCACTGCCTACCGAAGATTCACTCATTTCTGATGCACGCCGCGAGAGACAAGTGAGACGGTGGCTTGTTGCTTTTTATGCAAATAAAATGCTTCAACAAAGAAGCGCGCGACCACGCCTTGGCCCCAAGGACTTTGCTTTTGCGCATTCCGAACACCGACACTGGATAGCTCAGTTGTTGAAGCACTTGTTGCACAATCTCAAGGTGGCGAGTTCAAATCCTGTCGGCGAGTGGAGCCTTTTATATAATTTCCCATGGGCGTAATGCTTTCCAGTGTCTGTGTTTGGTTACAGTCAGCTGTTAGACTGTCGTTGCAGCTGAACCGTTGCACTAAAGCGTTGCAGAACTCCATAAATTGGCCGACAAAACACATTCTGCGTTAAAAATGTTGTCTTTTTAGCCCCAGTTCTCACTGGCGTTACATGTTCAGTCTGCAATTCTTTTTCTTGTCTCTTGTCCACCAAATAAGGTCAAATGGTTTTAGTACCTTCCCTTTGGAATTCATCGATATAACCTTCATTGGCTTCATCAGTGTGCGTAAGTTTTTTTTTTTAAGTCCTCGCATCACTGTTCTGGAAAGAATGTTTGATATTGCAACATCTTTTCTTGGAGTCTTGCTTCTAAGCAAGGACAAAAGGAAAATCCTAACTGGAATGGCCTTTCCTAAGATTTCAAAAGGCAGTACGGACCCCACACCTTTGGAGGAATGTGATACCTGTACTACATGTATTCTTCATTTGTGACCTCGTACAACGAATGTCCACCTGGAATGTGTCCCCGCCTTTTCTGCGGCTCATTCACAGGTGGCGCTTTGCGTACGCGGCCATCCTGGAGGAACACGTGAGGCGACGCAGGCGCGACTGGTCTCCGCAGCACATACACGAGCATCTGGTGCGTGTTCGCTACTACAAGGAGCAGTACAAGCTCAAACTGCGGTCCAAGGAAACCGCAGAGAAGCTCCAGGTATGCCCGGTTCTACTGCTCTAGTGTCAGGCTTTTCCGCTTTCTCTGCACTGCCAGACAGTTTTATCACGAACGCTCACTCGGGGTCAAGCAGCACCACCTAGAATAACCGAGGCCTGAAAACATCCTCCTCTTCCTGCGCGGAACGGCGTAGCAGTCACCCGGCGCCAACTCGGCAGTTGGACTCAAGCCTGATGCCGGGTGTCCTTCGACGTGTCGACTGCACACGAGGCCCCGCCAAACGCCGACTCAGATCTCGCGTCCAATCTTCGCCTTAGCTCGATCTCGCTGCGAGGACGGCGAGATTCCAGTGCACAAGCTTTGATTATTCTAAAACGTGTCGGGTCAAGCTGCACTGTCTCAATTTGCAACAGAAAGTATAAGCCTTCGTTTATGAACATTCTGAGCTACTTTTCATTTTGGCTTGGGATGCTGAGGAGGTACTAGTGTCCATAGGTATGCAATTCCATTTAGTACTTCTCAAGTGCATGTTGAAAAAACAATAACAGAACACCTGGGACCGAGGGACGTAAAACAGAGACATTTTAAATGTCTGCATGTTGTTTGTTGTGGCAGTCTGATTTTGTTTACAAATGACTTGGCTTAGCATTGCTTTAATTATGAGTAGCTCCGAGGGTCATGCTTCAGCACCCACGAATAACAGTTGAGTGCATCTATGGGGCAGTTTACTGGGTAATGCTTGCCAGTCGTAGCTGATGTTTTTAATTTATATATTAGTAACATGCAAATACTATTGGATTTTCAATTTGAAGCGAATTCAGCGCGGATAGTGGTTTTGGCCGAATATTTCCGAATCAAATATAGAATAGTTTCTCCGAGCCTTTCACTACTGTTACACCATGCTTAAACGAAAGCCCAGCTAAACTCGTGAAGCTTGTTCCCAAGCTTCCCCTTGTTCATTTGTAAGCTAACTTTAATCTAACTGTAGCTATAGACTGCGACCTCGGAAAGCCCTATGCCTTGGGATGGCAAGTAAAGGACAAATTTGTCGTAAAATTAAACCTCTAGAGATGCCCAGCTATACCTAATTGAGTGGATTTTGATATCTTGCTAGTTGCAAATATTCTTTCTTCAATCACGAATTTGAAAAGAAAAAAATTGTGAATTATGAACAGCCACAGTTTAATTCTGCAAATTTTACTTCAATGTAGGTATCAACATTCACATAGTTTGTTTCTTTTTGTACACACCAGGCACGCCTTGAAAGTGCTTTTCTCCAAAGCTTGCAATTGCGATATTCATACTTTTCCAAATGTTAATCGCAGCTGGTTACCCTGTTGAGTGTGCTTCTTACCAAGCACCAATGCGCTGAAGAGAAGCAACACCCGCGAAGCGATCGGTTCCACGGGACATGTTCAGAAATAGATGTAAAAATTTGCAATTTATTTCAGTGAGTGGGGTCAACTCTCGATAATGTGAAACTTGCAAGGACAGTGAAACACTTTAAATAAGCATACTTCAAATTAAAAAGAAAAATACTAGAAAGCACTCAAATCACTTTTTTTTAAATTTTTTTATTCAGTGCTTACTGTGGGAGGTTGATTTTTGTTTTCCTGTGCCAACAGAGACGAACAGCATTTCGCTAACGAAGACGCGCAATATTAACTATGCTCTGCAAATCGCAAACCATTGAGGGTACCTTCAGCAGTTTCTTTGCCATAGAAAGCGCAAACATTGTAATCCGTGATGCTACAAGCAGTTTTCATGTCAGCAGCACTCGGGCACTCGGCACGGAAAGTGGCTTGATCGTTCCTAAACGTAACCACGTCCACGATGTCACTATCCGAAAGCGGATTATAGACATCGGCATGTTCATTGATATTGTAGTGACCAGCATTGCTTCAGTGCATTGGCAGCGTAGTGGCAGCTGCCTCGCGGAGCGAGCAAGGCAGGAGCGGGCGTGATTAACAAGCCACAGTATGAACACGGCAAGCTCGGGTTAGCAGCTGTGGCTCGGCGTTTGTCGGACTGGCCAACGTCCTTACCACCTTTTGTAAATTTGTAAAAAAAAAAAAAATAGTTTTTGTGGTTGAAAATCAAGGCCACGAAGACTACAGCATCAATATAGTTGATGGATGAAACATGTGATGGTGCTGGATAATGCCCCAAACTTACCTTTGTTGGCCTTATACACTGCGTGACTGCACTCACTTGTGTAACTTCTGTGGAAACGGTGCCATTACGCGCGTGCCCACAGCCATGCGTGCTTGGCTTGGCTTGGCTTGGCTTGGCTTGGCTTGGCTTGGCCTGGCCTGGCCTGGCCTGGCCTGGCCTGGCCTGGCCGCTTAATTGACTTGACCGCCTGGCATTCCCTCTTTTTGGTGGACCGCACTCACGGTCGATAAAAGCAAAGTGTGCACGAATGCGATTTAAGCTTGGTCAGCATAATCATGAGGTTCTTTCATGCTCCCAAAACGGCCGCACTTCTCAAGCTCATAAAAGAATCTTTTGAATGAATTAGTCCCAGATGTTAAAATTTAAATTACTGCACATTTTTTCTCATCGACTTGTATGTGTAATTGCCAGGACTGCATCTCTGCTTCAAACTAATCAAAAATTCAAATAAAGTGACTTGAAGTTATTGAGTGTCGACTGTACTAGTCTGTTCCAATCCTTGAAGGTGTGAAGGAAAATCGAATACTGGGACACATTATATAGATTGGCTCTGGTGTATTAATTAGAGCATGCAGAATACTTCTTCTGGTGGATCTTGATCATGCTATGAATTATCTGGAAGGGTTGTTTATAAACAATATTTCTGGTACTAATAGTTAGTATCTGGACTTTTTTTCTCTTTATTAAGCTATTCACTAAGTGAAGCTAATCAGTTATATGCCCCAAAAATAAATCTTTGCCTCTTTTTTTTTCTTTTTCTATGCTGATCCCAAATTACATTTGCTTATTCCAACTTTGACATTTAGCTGTTTTAGAGCGCAGCTCTTAGGCATCTGTTTCCGGCTTGAGCGTCGTCGTCGTCAGCATGATTGCGTGTTGCATTATGGGATGTTTCCCGTATGACGTCGCACGTGACGCCACGTGTGATGTCAAGAGAGTCACCAGTGACGTCATTAGGGTGACGTCACAAGGTGCCTAAATTTAGCGGCAATATTTCTCCGCTAAATCTAGCAGAAAAATTTCCCCGCTAAATTTAGCGGAAAAATTTCCCCGCTAAATTTAGCGGAAAAATTTCCCCGCTGAAAAAATTTCCTTATAAATTTATAGAAAAAATTTCCTCGCTAAATCTAGCTGGAAAAACTTCCCGCTAATTTAGCGGAAACATTTCCCCGCTAATTGTAGCAGAAATATTCCCCCTAAATTCAGCGAAAGAATTTCCCCACTAAATTTAGCGGAAAAATTTCCCCGCTAAATTTAGTGGGAAATTTAGCGAAAATTTCCCACTAAATGAGACAGGAGCAGAAGAGGAGGAGGCGAGTAAGAGGAGGGGCATACTTTCCCTTTGTACCGTCCCGTCCTCCTCAAGAGCTGCGCTCTAATTCGGCATTGCAGAGAATTGTGAACGTCTTTCATTTTTTTTAGAAAAGCAACAAATTCTTTTGCCAAAATTCTTGGTATCTTCGTTATAAGACTGAAAATATTTACAGGAACTTGAAAATGAACTGGATGTCTTCAACATTACCCTTGCAAGACGCCAGGCGGAGCTGGAGGCAAGTTTGTTCAATTCACACATTTTGTGTCAATTTCTGAATGTGCTATTAAAAATAAAACTGCTCATACAGTTTTTTTAGTGACGGTTTCGTGACATGTGGTGCGAGGTGGAGCAGACACGCTTTATACTTTGATTTTAGTGCTTGTAACAATCACATAGTGATTGTTACAAGTGCAAAGTCAAAGCCGTGGAAGGCACTCGTTTTAAGCCTTACCTTGTGTAGTGAGGACAGCATTCAATTTCTGCTCCTATTTATTTAATTCAATTATTTAGGAGCAGAATTATTCGAATTCCACTCCTAAGCCAAATTCCACTCCGCTCCTGAGTTGAGGTATTGGTCTTTGACTGCTGTGTGAGAGGGAAGGAATAAATAGCTTCCTGACTCTTAGAAAAAAAAAAAGGGAGATGAGCAAAACTACTAGTAGTCGTCTCCTAAGGTTGAAAAGATCTTTGAAAATTGCCAAATTAAACACCTGTTGTGTGGATATGGTTGGAGCAATCTGGTGAGTTGGGCTAGTTGGTACTGAGACATGATGAAAAGACAGCACACAAAGGACAGGACAAGGAAGGGACACACATAGAACACATGAGCGCTGACTCGCAACTGATATTTATGAGAGGGGAAGAAGAAAACAGCATTCATACATAAAAAAAAGGAAGAAAAGGACGAAGCACAATACATTCACACCACAATTACATACAAAAATGTTAAATCTATGAGGGTACACATACAGGACAGATCACAGGGTTTAGGTAACACTTGGTCGTTAAAAGGACTGTGTAAAAAGAGCACTTCCTTCTCATACAGCATTATCAATGGCTTGCTGACACAACACTCCCTTAATTTTAATATGTGGTACGCCTTCAGGATTTCTCTGGTAGTCCGATCTGGAAATTTTCCTAAAATCGTCAATGTTCGCTTTGGTGTCTATCGGCAGGTTTGGCAGTACAGTGGAAGGTGTCCTCTTATGGTGGACTCCTACAGTGGCACGAAGGGAATAGTATTGTTCTCGGAGGCGATTGTTGACAGACCGATCAGTTTGTCTTACGTAACTTTTACCGCTGTAAGGGTTAATTTATACACAACACCTTCTGTGCATGGAATGAATTGTCGCTGATGTCGCTTCATGCACCCGGGTTTTGATCGCTTTTCTATTTTAGAGTGCACTTGAGGGCAAATTCTGACCACCTTCTGAAGGGCTGAAAACACCATCGGAACCTCATAGCAATTCGCAACTTTTTTCAGATTGTAGGACATTTTGTGGACGTATGGAACCACCACCGGGCGCCGCCGCCACTCTTTACGGCTGTTTTTCTCTTACCCTTTAACCTTGCTTAGAAAAGGACCCTATTACCTCAGTTAAAACCTGCTATGGAAATCCTGAACACTGTAGGCATTACAATTGAGCTTTAAAACTATCTTTTACTTTGTGGCAGCATGACTTCACCTGTGCCGACCCTAGAATTGACAAAGCCATTCCCCTTTTTACAACTTTGAAATGGGTTGACATATAGCGCAGGATACCCTTTTTAAACCCGCAGAGAGAAAGACCAGCACAGAGGATTTTCATGAAAAGACAGTGTGAGATATAAAAATTGTAAGGATGTATCCTTGGAGTTTCTCAAAAATGAATTTAAGACCACAACCGCACTTGTCAAAGACACCCAAAATCTGCTCTACAAAATTGTCTTCTGTATTTTTAGAGTAAACGATTAAATCATCTACATATCGGAAAACTTTTTCTACTGGAGGGGTTTTAAGACAGTCTTCGATAGCCTGATCTACTCTTGACAAAAAAAGTATCACTTGGGATAGCAGCTACTATACACAAACTCAACTCTGTTACGTCATGGCGCAGTGGTGGCTCGCCGGTCGCACTTCGGGTCTGGGGCTGTGGGCGGATGTCCCCATTTGAGACTTGTATTTGTGCGTTGTTTTGAAAGGAACCAGACAATACCTGCATTCTCGTCAAAACGCCATGACTGGAGCTGTACCAAAAAAGTTGAGAAAGGTTTGAAGGTCAGTTTTCATGTGCTCGATTCGTCCAAGAACGGGATATGTGCCACGAAAAGGGAAAACCGGACGCCGTTGGACCATGAATGCTTGGGCGGGAAGCACTTTGGGTTGAATTCACGGATACTTGTGGTCATCAGATTTATTTGTTTTGTTCCAACATGAACGCCGGAAAATTGTCAAGTTGTACGGACCACCTGCGGACTACGTTTAGTGCGTCTTCAAGTTCAAACGGCCGCCTGATCGTTCAAACTGTCGTCTGCTCTTTCAAACGTTTCTGCTTGTCTGCTCTTTTAGACGACACCGGCCCATAGACCAATTGTTGGCCTGGTACTTGCGATAAGAAGTGCAGGCCTCAAAAGGCTTAAGTTTTAAGGTTGGTAAGCAGGCTCGATGTAAACAGTAGATGCAAGGAGATGTTGATCATTGTTGCCAGTAACCATCACCGACTTGCTATGCCTGATTCGCTTGGTTCGTCCGATTCTGCTTGCGATTTTCAGTATCGACGTCGACCATCTCAGCTACAGTTCACGCTTTTGCAGCCTGAATGGCGTCGCGACTGAAATTTGTGAGCGAAATCTCATCATGCGAATCGGGCTTTAGCGTCCATTCTGCGTGTTCACAGGGAATGAATCGCCGCATGTCATATTATTCACGCGAAGTTTTGCGGTTTAGCGAGCCTGGGTAATTTTGCTGAGGCCGCTGAAGTAGTCGGACAATGGAGAGTTTTAGTAGATCGTTCCCATGACTCCGATAACGATACCCGATACTCCGCCACCGCCTCCCTTGTGCATGCATAGTATCGTTATCGGGGCTATCGAAGGTATCGGAACGATCTACTAAAACTCTCTATTGCAAGGAACACGTCGAATCAACAATTCGAACGCGAAAAAGGGCAGAGGACTCACACCGACGCCAACATCGCACTTCAATGGTTTGTTTATGGGCGACGGCGAGCTTCTTGCCCACACTCCATCGCGCATGCGCGGCGCCGGTGGCGTCCGCTAGGGGCACTCCCGTTCCTTTGTAAACATGAGTTGGTGTATACACAAGCCAGAGAAATCCTGGAAGCGTACCAATAGAAAAATTAACAGAGTGTGTCAGCAAACCATTAATAGTGGTGTTTGAGAAGAAAATGCTCTTTCTAGACATTCCTTTTAGCGACTAAGTGTTACCTGAACCCTGTGATCTGTCCTGCAGGCGTGCTGTTATACTGTCGAGACCGGTTGTAACAAAGTCAACGGGAATCTGAAATCACTTTGCTATATCTGCTATTTCTTTATAACCAACTTCAATTATAATGAAGTGCAAAAGGGAATAGTAAATCATGATCGCTCTGCTGTAGCTGCTTTTTTGGTATAACCAACTTCAATATGAGCTGTCTCGACAGTAGAGTTAACATTTTTGGAAATATTTATGATGTGAATGTATTGGGGTTTGCCCTTTTCTTCCTTCTTTATGTATGAACGTTGTTTTCTTCTTCCCCTCATAAATATCAGTTACGAGTCAGCGCTTGCGTGCTCTATGTGTGTCTCCTCCTTGTCTTGTCCTTTCTGCGCTGTTTTTTCATAATTTATATGGTTGTGGGAACAGATCCTCGACTGGTGCATCTTGTAGGACACGTGCTCCACCTTGAATTAAGCTTTTACGACTTTTAAGACAGTATATGCATTCGTGTGTTTTTTAAGATTCAATCAGACATTTGCGTTCGACAATGACCGCCTGGCTCACAACCCCTTACATTCTACCGCCCCACATAACAATCTCCTCGTAAGCAGTCCTAGGCGGTCGTAATGCAGCGAGTCACACTCTGATGCTAATTTCTGATCCAGCGACCTGACATACGTCGAAACCAAGTACAGGAAATTTCACTTGCATATCTTGAAACAAGCCTGGTGGCACTACTGTAAATGCACGAGCTCAAGAAAACAAAGAATAGATAAAAAAGTGCGCTCTGTGTTGTTTGTTTCTTTTACTCGTCCGTTGTTTTTAGCACTTTTACCCTCTCAAAGATATAAAAGTATATGTGCTAGAGAAGGGGGTGGAGGTGTTATTCCTTCTCTTTTTCGGTGGCTTTAGGGGTAGGAGGTTTATGGAAGACCAACATTGGCCTGGCACAGGCCCAGTATTTGTCCCAGTTTGGACCGTACAGCTCAAATCTAGAGTGTAGGTTAACTTCCCTCTGTAATTGTTTACAGGTCGAAGAACAGCTTCTCAAGAACCCCCCCAAGCAGGGATGGTTTTCCTCGTGGTGGTATGCAGGTGACAAAAACGCTGCCCCCTCCGAGACCCAAGTAATCGGTGAGTCACCAGTGCTGCACTTGGCGTAAAATTCTGTAAGAACGCCCTCTAAAATGAAGGAATAAATGGGGAAAAACATGAAGTTGGCTATCTTTGAGAATGCCACAGCAGAACTTAATCAAAAATTAATTATAAACACCGGGATACCCGCTACACACCACGTGATGCGGGAACTGATACGGCAGATCGCGGACATGGCAAATTTCCGTTTCACGATGTGATAAACATGTATGGGAATTTGCTACAAACTCCTATGTCTCGGTAAAGGATACCGCAGGTTGCAGACGCAGCAGATTTGCATTTCGCGGTGTAAAGGACCTGCAGAAACCTGCCGATAACTCTCATCTCACAGGAACGGATACCGCAGATTACGGACAATGCAGGTTAGGTTTCATGGTGCAATAAACCCGCATGAACCTGCTACAAACTTAGCTGTCACGGGAACCAATGTCGCGCGCGCAGATTGCAGACAAAAACTCGGGATTCCGCTACAAACTCGCATGTCACTGGAACGAATACCGCAGATCACGAACGCAGCAGAATTGCATTTCACAATGCAATAAACACGCGGGAACAACTCGCGTGTTACGGAAATCGATATCGTGCGCACAGATCGTGAACAAAAATGCAGGAATTCGCTACAAGCTTTCACGTCGCATAAATGGATCCTGCAGATCGCAGACACAGCAGATTCCCATTTCACGATGCAGTACACACGCAGGAACAGCTCGCGTGTTACGGACAAAAACGTGAAGAGCCGTTGTGAAATCGCTTGTCAGACGTACTGGTACTGCAGATTGCTAGGTTGATGCGATTCTCTTCGGATATCACGTGACGTCCGATAGGAATTGGGGTGGGCGATATTTCTGAATTTTTATGTTAAAGGTATTTAGCCAGACAAATGGGATGGGCAATCCCTCAGGCAAGGGCATCGTTACGGAATTTTGCGGTATGCCCACCGCTCCACCTTACCATTGTGCTCTCCTAAAAGGGAGCAGTAATTTTTCGGAAGTTGTTTCTTTTCTAAACTGAGTTGTTTTTTAGGTCTCTTTGATTGTTTAATGAGGATGTCTGCTAAATTGACATGCTGGTATAGAGACCAAGGGGAAAAGTAGTGAAGTTCTGAAAAGACGGCACCTAGCAAACCTTTAGCAGGGTACTCGGCCAGCTTCACTGCTCACGGGAAAGTTTTTTTATGAAATTGGATTATATTCATGCTTTCATTTCCAAGCAACATTTTTTTCATGGTTAAATCGCATGTGTTGTAGTATCAGGTACTTGCTGCTGTCCAATTTTACATACATTAAAGCCTCCATACATAATTATGGTGTGACTGCCATAAGGCGCACTTTGGCAACTGCATAAAAAGATTTCTAGACTCACGGATGTTTCATTGGTGGCAAGTTTGGACTGCAAGTATCATATTATCTGAGAAAGCAGGAAAGATGGGCCTGTATGGCAGAGTGTTTAGGTATATTAACAAGCTGTGGTTTCATTAATGTATTTTTATGCTTTAATTTGTATTTATGTGCAGCTGAAAAGTTTGAGAAAGCAATGACTCCTGCTGAGAAGCAGAAGCTCTATGCAGCCATTGGGTACCAGGAGAATTCTGTTCCACCTGAATACCCAGTCACTGTAAGTTTTTTTTTAAGAACATGCAAAATATCTTTTTTTTTTTATGTCAACTGTGAGCATGGTTTTTTTTTTCCAGTTTGTGGCTAAGAAACTGAACTTCCTGCTGAAGAACTTTTCTTTGTCTGTCTTTGATGAGAGCAAAGGGCAAGTGTACCATGCCATATGTTCTTGTGGCATTATGAAGTAATAAAATCTTTGTTGCTTGTTTGACCGACTTTTGTTTATTGCAGCAACAGTGTCATCGTTCGTGTCATGCTTGATGACATGTCGGCAAGTTTTGAAGAAAGACCCAGAGCTGAAGCAATCAGGTCTGTAGCCCCTTGCAGTGATCCTTACTTCATTTCTCCTATTCTGCACAAGACAGGGGCTGTGTAATTTCAACCCTTGTACACATAAAACTGTTGTTTGTTCCTACTAGACCACTCTTCTGCAAAGCCTTACTGGCCTATGCCATTGGTTTTTAGGGGCAAAGCTCCTTAGTGTCTAGCCTTGTTCATACGTCCGGCATCCGTGCTCACACCAATTGCACTGCCTCCGGGATCGGCCCACTTTTGAAAAAAAAACTTTCGCCCGCACGGGGGTTTCAACTCGGGACTGCTTGCTTACAAAGGCAGACGTCTTAACCACTATGCTACACTCCAACGTTGCATGTAGTCGCTCAACGTCTATACAGGAGAGGGCGCTGCGGTGAAATGCGTATATAAATTTATGGCTGGCAAGTTTGTCTCAAGGATTTGACCCACCCGTTATGGTTGTGAGAAGACTGCGGAAAACCGTTAGTGGCGCATTCCTGGGGTTGCGGAGAAGTGGGGGCAGCCATTGTGAAACTTGGATTGTGTAGAGTTTTCACTTCTAATTATGGGCAAGAATAAACAGGGAATTCTGTGCTTCTATGCTATTTTCATATGCAAGACACGTTGCATAGGCAAATCGAAATTATTGTTTTTAATGAATTGTTGCCGTGTTAGAATGTTTGCTATATAACATTAAAATACCGTAGAAATGCCCACTTCGTTCAAGAGTCCACTATTAACATTTTCCAAACTTGAAAGTTCTGCAAATTATACGTTAAGCGCCTGATTTTACTGGAAAAGTGCCCATGTCTAGATTATCCCAATTTTCAGTGAAAGTAGGATGAGCACTCTTTCCGGTATTTTATGGTAATTGTTTGGTTGAGCTGTAGTTGCAGATTAAAAATGTTTCCCTTGCATGTTTTCCTTGCATGTTTATTTGCGCAGGCTGGAATCAAAGATCGAAAGGTTCCGCATCTTGGGCTTCCCAGAGTCGCCCTCTGACTTCTGCATGCTGATCTCCTCGGAGAATGTGACAACGGACGTCAAGCGGTCCCTCCTCACGTTTCTCTTCGAGACAAATCCATTGGACGAGAAATGCGACCAGAGGATTCACCTTTTTGCAGAGCCCGTGGAGATGATTCACGATTCCGTACGTAGTCCTAATGCTAATTGTATCGGCAAAGCTCGAGTCTTTGCTGCTACAGCTTACATGTGTTGGGCGACTTTGACCCAGAGTCACTCTTCACACTCTTATCTTTACAGGCCGTGGTCGCAGCACTTGCAGATGTCTTTCGGCCCCCAGAAGAAGTCTCTTTCGATAAGTGAGGGGAAATGCAACACTGCCTTCTAGTTTCAGGCTTTAGTACTACCGGTGTCGCAAATAGCGGCCAGGTTCTTTAAATCGATCGTAAAAATCGGTTTCTTAACCTACTATGCTACAATTTTGTGCAGTGTTGCCCACAGGTGGTGCATTTTTTCTATAAAATTTGCAAAGAGCGAACTTGCCTAAGAAGAAAAAGTAAGAAAAGAAAAAGGCTTAACTCCGATGGATACGCAGCGAAGCCACTCTGGTGAAGAAGGAAGACCAGCGAAGCTGTACTATGGTGGGAATGAAGTAATGGCCGGCCGCAACTCGGCAAGCCAGAGTGGAAAAGCTCAGAAGGTTTCCGCCATCTATGAGCGATGGTGGCAACCAGACAACCAGCAAGCCGGTTGTCTAGTTGCCGCCGTTGCTTATAAATGACGGTAGCTGTCCTAAGTTTCGTGTCATCATTTGTTTGCTGACGGACACGATATTGAGGAAACTACTAGCCTTTACCAGTTCCGCTGTAAAAATGCACCACCTGTGGGCAACGCTGTACAAAATCGTAGCACGATAGGTTAAGAAACCGATTTTTACGATCGATTTAAAGAGCCTGGTCGCTATCTGAGACTCCTAATTGGTAGTATGTTAATCAAGAATGCACAAATTGTAGTTACTTTATACATGTACAACATGTGAACAGGATTGGTGTTAGTAATCCCTCTGAGCAATGTTGCTACCATTAAAATATTATTTTGTAAATTACAGGGCACTTATTAAGAAATGCATGTAATGTAGACATAGAGCTAGCCTTTATTATATACTTATTGCTATTGAAACTTGTCAGTTCTTTCACTTGAAAGTGCATCTGAACTTCTTACTGTCAAAATAAATATAGTGGTGTATATAGTTGCCATTTTTTAATGCATGTCTAGGTTCTGATAGTGTACAGTTCGTAAACGCTAAGGCCTAACGGTTTGGATGCCATTAATGACTCTCTTTGTGGCTTTTTTTAGGTTGCAGGCACAGGCAGTTTCGAAGCTGAACGACATCAAGTCTATGTCGGCAACTGGACTCCAGCATGCCATTGAGCAAAAGAAGGCACTCGAGCTCCTCGTGGATCTTAAGCCCTCATACCTTATAGTTTTCGAGGGGGGTAGGAAGAGGAAGTGAGTAAAGCCTAAACCACGTGCTAACCAACACCAGGGAATCCTTTATTTGCAAAGAACTTCATCAAAATCTTTTCATTCTGGAATGAAAATTTCATACTGACCTGCAGCATTTAATATTTATACGTCAACCTCTGTGCAGCATGGTCACACTTAGGCAGTTAATTTGAATTATCAGAAAACTTTAGTTAGTCAGCTTTTGCTATATCTGTTGAAAACTTTTAGCATAAAATATGACATTTTATTTTCATGGCGCCTGTTGAAGCTTGATTATTGGTAGATATGTGCATTTGTTAGTATGTCGTCACATGGGTGCCCTGTGGATTAGTAATATCACGTACAGTGTGAGCGGAAATGCCGGAGCACGTGGCCTTTGATGCTATGCTACCTCGAGGCTGATAAAATTGTGCAGTGGAGAAGGGGCTGCGAGAGTGTGCGCTTACTCCAATATGCAAACCCTCGCTGCCTTCCTCTCCTCTTCACTCTTTTATCAGCCTCGAGGTAACTCAGCGTGTATCGAAGGCCACGCTCTCCGGTGTTCTTGCTCATACTGTTCACGATTGTATGTCCTGGATATGGCTTGTTACCTACACTATGGCTGTGCAAATGACTGGAGCAGTACCATATAAAAATCATAAACATTAATTTCAGATTGGTTAATTTCTGCGGGCCACCTGTTTGGCATACTAACTCGCATGTTTGACAAGATTCAAGCTTAATACTGGCCATACAAAAAAAAAACATTTTTTGCTTATAGCAGGTCACACAGACCTGCTTGCACAACCTTGTCAAATATTGCCATAGGAACATGGTAATGTTTTGCAAAATATCACAAATCAAATATCACAGTGTTATAGAGTCCATCTTGATATTGTTACAAGATAGTCATATTGCATTGAGATAAGGAGTGAAGGGGAAAGGCTGACCAACTACAATCTGCATAAATATCCACACAACCCCAATTGTTATAAAGGGAAAGGGTCATGATTGTGCCTGAGTTTAGATGAAACCACTTTATGCATAATTGATCTCCATGCTTTCGGACTTCAGGGGAAAACTCTTTATGGTGGTCAGCTTCGGTCAGCTCTATGTCCACGGCTTTCCAAGGAGTCGCAAGACCCCCACTGTCCAAGACCTGGTTAGATCTGGAAGCACAGAGGTAGCTCACACTTCTATTTGCTGACCTCGTTTCAATTCTACAACTTTTGTCGCTCATCTTTCCAACTTATTCCTCTTCAGGACGAAGTCTTGCAGGTGATGATTGCACAGGCCTACGAGAAGTACACCGTGAAACTGACAGCTGCGGAGGCAATCATCTGCCCCCCAGGTAAGAGCAGCAAAAGGAAATGCTTTGTTTTGATGCCAGCTTCTATTTCTTAGACATAAAATAAAAGTAAAGGTCTCTCAGGGTGTCATGAATGGGTGCAACACAAAAAAGCCAGAACAATAAAAATTTTCCTTTGTTTGAAGAGTTCAACAATAGGCAGCTCTAGGCTGGCTCAGTATTTTACTTGATATTCATCATGTGACTTGCTGCATGACATTATACTGTAATGTAAATATCCTTTCTTAAATCTCGATTATGAAAAAAATGAGACAGTCATTAACCATGTGGTTTTCTGCATAACATCCACAGTTTGATATTAAAAATTTTACTGAAATGTAGATATTAACATTCACAAAGTTTTTGTTTCTTCTTAAATACACCAGGTGCACGCGTACACCATCCTGCTTTGAGAGTGTGCTTTTTCTCCTAAGGGCATTGCTGCAATATTAGTACTTACCGAAGTGTTGATCACGGCAGACACGGGGGCACTCTGGAGAAGCAGCACTCGCAGAGCTCACTTCTGCGAGTGTTGCTTCTCTGCAGTGAGTGTAACGGTACTGGGTAAGAATCACTCAACAAGGCTATCCTGCCGCGATTAACACTTCGAAAAATATGAATATTGCAGTTCATCTTGAAGCAAATATCAAATAGCGTATTATTCGAAACTAATTTTCAAATATATGCAAAATTCTAACAAAAATCTATAGTGCGACTGTAAAGGTGAATCAAACATAGATTTGGTCTTTGAAAAGGGAGCTACAGGACTGTTATACTACTGTTGGTAGTTCGGGAAATTTGCTAGTCATCAAACCATTGTGAAGGTGTTGTGTGACTGAAGTGTTAACAACCCCACTTGGTTTAAATTAATCCTCATTCCTTTGCTGGGGCATACACTTAGTTAATTAAATATGTAAACCCTTAAAAATTTCAGCTTACATTGTGGGCCTTTAAGAATTACCTCAGCTTTCTGAACTTCGAGTGTTGGCTTTTTGTTATTGCAGGCAAGGACTGGAGGCCTGCTCTAAAAAGTGGGAAGTCCGACCTCCATGTTTTGCAGCCCACGGACATCATCGTCGACATTCAGAAGTGCATTGTTGCTGACAATGTTCGCTTGCCCAAGTGAGGACTAACACTTAAATATTTTCCAAGAGTTTCAGCTGCCATAGAAATATATTTATGCCCAAACTTTTAAGGGGGTCAAAAGCTTGATGGATGCAAAGGGGGAGGGGTACAGGCCCCACTTGTTCAGGTAAACACTACCTAGATGGCAAGGCCTGTGCCCTGGGTTTCTGCTTGATCTACCTTGATGAAGCACAGGGTAGATTGCATTCTAGTGCTGCATCAGTGTTTGGTAGGAACTCGTGTTCAGTCGGTGCTTTACCGATTGGATTGGACACAAGTCCTAGATGAACACTGACATAGCTTTTGGGTTCAATCTGTACTCCGTGCTCGATTGAAGTACCATATATAGCCACATATAAGTTGACCTCTTCAGAAATAAATCTATAAAAAATAAGCATTAAAAAAAAAATTCCTCAGCAAAGAAATTTTTTTTTTCTATTGGTCGGGATTTGGGGTGTTGACTTGCATTTGGAGTCGACCTATACAAGGCGATATACGGTAGATGATGTGGAAACTCCAGCACACAGGCCTTGCTGTCTAGGTGGCGTTGGCTGATTTGAGGGTCGAGTTTATAGTGGTGGGGTTCACAGTACCAGAAAATCAAACTTTCGAGTAGAATTTTAAAATATGTAAAGCTCTGTAAGATAAATTTGTTATTGCTGAAGTTTAATGACAAAGAGTAGGACTTGTTCTATACTTTTGTGCAGTTTTACCTACTAAAGGTGGCATTTATCAAGTTGTGTGGTGGGAAGATAACCAAGTGAACGTAATGTCTTGCCATGGGTGGGGAAAACTGTTTCCGCAGCAAATGGGGCTCACCCTCCGATATTTGACAAAATTTTCTCTTTGCAATATTATTTGAATGTGAGTGTCTGGTTTTAATTGGCTTTTCTACAACACCCGTTCGACTAAGGGTGCGGTGCATAGTAGTTCTACCTGCTGCTAAAAGCCGGAGCAACTTCCAGTTGATTCCCACTTTAACGCAGCACAGAAGTCGTTATAACATCGGTTGATATTCTCTTCCCGGAGGTCAGCAGGTCAAAAACGAGTGCTGTATTCAAAGCATTGCCTAAATTGTTTTATTTGACATTAGTTTAGTCCAGCAGCTTTAGTGCTTCGCTTCTCATCTAGATCCAAGACTGGAAATGATTCCTGCTGCCCAGAAATCTGCATGACACCACTGACCCATTGCACCGCCAACCCTTCTGTATTGTTAATCCTTTTCGACTGTCCCTTCAAATTATCCCTCTGCTCTTTGATTCCCCCCACCCTTAGAATGACAAATGTCCCCTTCTGGGAGGCAGGCTTTTCATTTCTGTGGCCTGCGCGAATCAATAAGAGTATCGGAGCAAGTCACATGATAACACTCCATGGTCGAGGCCAGAGAGGCCTCGTTACCACCTCAGCGACAGTGCCGTCCACGACGAAAAGTAGTTCTAGGTCTCTTTTTTGTACGGCAATAGGACTCGTGCCATTCCATCTCTATCGAGAACATATAAACATAAAGAATAAATATTGAAAAACTTATGACTTTCAGTTACAGTCAAACCTGTTTATAACAAACAGCAGGAAACGCTACAATCAGTTTGATATAGCAAGTAGTTAGATATAGCAAAAAATATTTACAACAAACTTCCGTGTTGAGTTCGTTGTAGGGCAAGAGCTTCTCTTTCTTTCTCATCTCTTCAGTTTTGCCTTGTAACAATGCAATGAAAGGTTGTTTTTTTTTTTTTTTTGCATGCATGCAGAGTGTTCTTTTAGCTTATCTTCCCTTCTGAATCGCTTCTCTTCGTGGGCAAACGCTTTGGGATGAAAACATCTTTTTTTCTCTGCGTGCGTGCAGAGTGCATTTTTTAGTTTTCTCGCCTTCTGAATCGCTTCTCTTCTTTCAAATTTGTTCGCAACTTGAGCTTTTGGAATTTTCTTTCTAACCAACTTCTTTTTTGGAGGAAGGGGCAGGCTACAAGACGATTGTCTGCACGTTTTTGGAAGCCATCCCGGGGGGAAAAAGTTCTACAGTATAGACCACTTACAACGTAACCGCTTATAGTGCAGGACCGGGTATAACGCGGTTTTTTTAAACCACCGGTTCATCTCCCATAGAACTCCATGTAATTGCATACCGCTTAAAATGCAGGCGCGCGAAGGGAAATACCGGTTATAGTGCGGTTTCTGGCACAGCCCGCTGGCCGCGCCGACGACCGGAGCAGCGAGTGCGCTTCCCTGTGCGACACTAGATAACGGCGCTGACGGCGCGAGCAGCAAACGGCACTCGCGTGGCAGTTGCTCCAGAGCCGAGTTGCTCGAAGAAGCGGGAAGAAGCGAAAGGCTTCAGTTGCCATAGCGACGGAGGGACGCACGCACGTGTCGTTCACGTGCGTGCGTCCCTCCGCTGCGTTGGAAACAAACAACCGCAGCGACAGACCAATCGCAGGTCGAGGAGAAGTGTTGCGCGCGTTACATGCCGGTCGCGGGCCGGCTGCTTCTATCCGCAAACACGGCGTCGGTTGTGATCGTCGTCGTAGACGGCGTTCATCTCTTCCGCGTAAAAGCGCTATCATTGACTGTGAATTTTCGTTGTGTGTCGCTATGATAACCCAGCACGTACTAGAAGGGGAGATCCACCTATTCGTGTGGCGATGTCGTGGCGGCGCTCTCAAGACGGCAGAAACGCCCGTGTCGTCGTGTTTGCTTACTTCGACTACAGTGGTGATTTCTAAGCATTTGTGTCCTCGAACATCGCCCGGATTTCTGATTTGGCGCATTTCATGCGTGTGCTCAAGTTCAAGGTATTACTGGCGCGTACCGTGTGAAGGATGCGAATTTTCACGCGTTTTCATCTCCGGAGAAAAGTGATTAGGGTTAGCAATCCTGAACGCTCGCAACGTCCGTCCGCAACCCGCGACGCCGTTAAAAGGCTGCGCCAGGCAAAAGCTACTCATTTCTTTCAAAATGTGTAACACACTTGAGACAGAACTGTACTAGTCCGGTGAAATAAAGACTTTCCTCAAACTAAGCTTTATTTTTCATCTAACATAAAATAAATTCTTTTCACAAGTGTAAGTTGTCTCATGGCATGTATTTTCAATATTTTGGCCTGAAAAATTGATGTTTTGGTTATAGTGCGGTACCGCTTATAGTGTGGATTTTCGCGACTCCCGCGACATACGTTATATGCGGTCTACACTGTATATAGCCAATATGTTGTTCGTTATAAAACATACTTTTTACATGCATTTTTATTTAAATTTTCTGTGAGTTCGATATCGCCAATAATTCGCTGTATGTGGGTTCGTTCTAAACGGGTTTCACTGTATATTTAAAAAAATTGATGCCTCATTATATCCTCTCCTGATTCGTTTCCTCTTGTAGTGTCATCACCGTTGGCAACCGTAGCCGTGTAATCGACCTTTTCCGCTCAAAACACCACCCTGGCGTTAGCACCCACCTGATATTAGCGGGTAAATTGAGTGTATGGTTGTCTCATGAGCCGTTCCCAAAGTGCTCGCTACACTAATGGACAACTATGTTGCGGCAGTGGACATTCATCTGAAGTTGGTGGGTTTTGCAGTAGACAACTCTAGGCCAGCAGATGACAGCCGGATCTTTGGCGCGGTGACACACCCACTCCTGTGACGTGTTGTCACGTGCCTCGCTCCAACGCTCTTATTAGGTTGCGGGGGCTGTAGCCTTCACAGTTCACCAAGTTATCGTGAAATGGAGTATGGCATTATGGTACCAGTACAACACAAATACTATAAAAAGACCACATACAGTAGACTTGGGTAATATGAACAAGAAGGGATTTAAAAATTCGTTCAGCTTATGTTCTGCTTGGAAGACACTGGGACGCTGCAGAAGTATGAATTTACCGAAGCGCATGCACAAAGTTGATAATGCTCAGTGTATATGTTTCGCATTGCATCTATGGAAAACCAACCAAACATTACACTTTGTTCAGCACATGCAGGAATTTGCATTGAGTGAATTTGGCTTAACAGGAGTCCACTGTATACAATGCAAATATAATACAAAAATGGCATTGTTCCTTTGGGTACCTTGAGGCTAACCAAAATGTGCTTTTCACTGCCTGTCTTTAGGGTGAAGGTGACGGGCAAGCTGCCCCTGCTGCGTGTGTCTGTCACGGACTTCAAGCTGGTGCAGGTGCTCAAGGTGCTGTACAGCATCCCAGGCATGGAGAGCAGCACCGCAGCCCCAGTCGTAGTGCAAGATGCACCTGCCCTGCTGTCTGCAGTAAGGCCTCTCCCCTCTGTTTTCTGTTACAGCAGAGCTATTATGGGCTACTTTCTCCAGTATAGTGTCCGCGGACAAGCGGCGTGTCAACACAAAACTTTAGACAGCTACAGCCATCTATAAGCGACAGCGGCAACCAGACAACCGGCTTGCCGGTTGTCTGGTTGCCGCCATCAGGGGCACATGTGTATTACGCCTGCAGAAAACGGTCGAGGCTTTCCTGCACGTGCTCTCTGCTAAATTGGAGCCACTTCTACCCAATAGGCTCCGATCGAAAGAGGATCCTGGGAGCTTTGTACGGACCATGTCGACAGCTGCGACAGCCGCCGCGTAGGATGTCGGTGGTGAACGGCATTCTTTATGTTTATGCGCACTTCGTCGAGGATGGTGGCACGCTTTTGTTTCGAGGAGATTGCCTTCGTCTTCCCCGTCGTGGTGTCGCTGGAGCCGGAATTCGCCATCGCTGAGTGGCGACGAGTCGCCGAATCGGTGCTTGAGCGAAGCTACACTTTGCGCATAGAGCGACCACACTGACTAGCGACGCCGACACGGAACATGAAGCAACTGCTCGATCGGGTTCACGTGGTTTGTGGACCGCGTTTGCAAAACGAGTTGCAGCCTGCAAGGAGTCAAACGCATTCACCGTCTGCAAAAGTGTCCGCCCCTCTGCCCGGTTTCTTGTCCACGCTGTCCACGAGACAACAAATGCAGGTGCACTTACTTCAATCTGCCCAGGAGGCGTCCGCCATTAAATTGCACGAGCTCTCCATGGTTAGAGTTGCTTCCTCCCTTACATTTAGGCTCTCTCAGTCTCCTCCGTTGGTACCACGTTTGTCGGTAGTCATTGTTACGTTGTTGCACTCCGAACGCCCCTATCGGCACGCTACGCTGCCTTTTCCGCGTGCGATGTGGAAAAGCCATTTCCCAGAGAAGGAGCGTGGAGCAGACTACGATACAGAGGCTGCCGCTTTACCTTAGCCGCTGTTTCGTTATAACTGACTTCGTTATGAACGGTTGCAACAGTACGCGGCAAAACATATTGTATAATTTAGAAGATTATATTTACCTACTATAAGCGGTGTTTATTTCGCGGTCTCATTTCAAACCTTTTTGAAAAAAAGTGTTTTTACCCCTTAAAGCCTGTTGCCCGCAAAATTCAAATGGTCGTTAACAAAATTAGTTATGGAAAAAATATCCTGAAAAAGTTACCTTTACATCACCAATAACCATACCTCGGCAAACCTCACTCATGAGGGCCCTCGCTCACCATCACTCACCCTCACTCACCGTCACTCACCCTCATCTTCACAGGTGAGGTGAGAGTGTGTGAGTTTCTGGATTCTGCTTAGAGCGAGACGTAGGCTCTGCTCACCCGATCGATGTAGTGTGCTGCACAATGCAAACGGAACAGCCGACAAATCCAGTTCAAGCCTTGGATTGGATTGAGGGCTTTTTAGTAGGCTAGATCCAGTTAGAGCTACTAGATTTAATAACAAATCGGAAAGCCGCAGACCCCAATCTAGTCCTAGCTTTAACCCAAAAGTATTGGAAAGTGTGCATCTGGCGGCCATGCGGCCATGCTGCCGTTCGGTTATTGACGTGTGATGGTGAGTGTCGTGTTTTCATCGTGTTTCCAGAAGTGGCCTAGCTCTTCACTGACGATGTCAGTGGCAAGAAAGTGCTCGTTTAAACCGTACTGGACGAACCCGAATATTTCGGAATATGCAAGTTGGATTAGCCCGTGCAAAATTATGCTCACAGTGCTCGATGCCTTGTGTTGTAATGGTCTTATATATTTAACCGCTTCTGCAGTGGTCAGGGAAATCTCTTGAAATTGTCAGGGAAAACCTGGAAAAATTCAGGGAATTTCAAAATAATAATTTGCTGGACCCTGTCTTAGGCGCCCGTTTCCAGCAGTCTTGCGCGTTGCATTAAGGGACATTTCCCATAATGCACTGCGTGAGGAGGAGGAGTAGGGGTAGGGAAGGGGAGGGAAGGAGGAGAAAGGAAGGAGGAGGATGGAAGGAGGGGAAAGGAAGAGAGGAGGGTAGGAGCTTGAAGGACGAGGGGAGGAGGACATGAAGGAGGAAGAGGAGGGGAGGAGGACGAGAAAGAGGGAGGAAGGGAGGAGAAGCAGATAGGACGAGGAGGGGGGAGGGCTATACCCTCCCCTCAATACCCTTCCCTCCTCCTCCTCAAAAGCTGCGCTCTAATTCTGCGTTACAGGGAGTTGTAAACGGCTTTCATTTTTGTTTATGACCTGTTTATTGTGCAAATTAAAAGTTTGTCATAAAAATCGGGGATGATGACAATCTCATTGTTGCATCCTGAATTCTATATCTAGACCTTCCAAACACGCATCGCAACTTCTCTCATTTGTGGTGTTCAATGGCAGTGGAGTTTCTCACACACCTTCATAACACATAGTAGTTGCAGTCCTGCACTTCTTAGATTGCTACTTGATTTGCCTTTTTCTGTTATAGGAATCTGAACTTCCAACCAAGATTGGCACCGAAACAGCACTCAACGTTTTGCCAATGTCTGACCAATCCAGCTCCACTGGGGAGTCAGTGAGCTGCAATGGCTATGAGTCAACTGATGTGGACCTCAACTTCGAGATCACTGAGGTAGGAATAGTTATGATGTACTGACAAAGTATGGAGTGTTTTTCTTATGCTTTACAGGTTTATTTTAAAAAATTAGTAAAAGCTACAGTAATGTGGTCTGTGCTGGAGAATTATAAGGCCAGGGGTACATGATATAGGGGGCTAATTGTCACAATAAATCAAACAATTAACTAAAACTTCTTATTTTGATTTTTAATTAGTGAAAATAAAATCGCTCGTTATAAAGTCAACGGGATGGCAAAAAACTTTGATATAAGTTGTAATTTGATAAAAGCAATAGAGCCAAAAAAACAGTGCCAGCAGCCTTGAAGGTGGATGGGAACAGTACAGTACACTGATCATATATTTAAGGGGGGATATGGCCTGGGAGGGTCAACTTTTGAACCCTTCACCCAATTTGGTTAAAATTTTGAAGGTTATTTCAGCACTATGAGGAAGGATAATCTGCAAACTTTTAGCATTACTGGTCAGCTTTACAGTATGCTACGGTTCTCGCACTTCAGAAAAAAGACACTTCATTAGGAAGTCTATCGTAGAAAAATAAAATTAGCTGGTGGCAAACTTTTTGCTTTAATGTGAAGAACAATACCCACAGTGCAACCTAGATAAAAAATAAATTGCAAGATATTCAATTATAACAAAAATAAGAACATCCCAAAATTTAAAAAAAAAAAATGTAAAATTTTTGTTTAAAAAAAAAATTTTTTTTTCATGAAGGAGTAGGTTTTTTTAATTGAGAAGTAGTCTATCTTGTTCCCCAGAAAATTTGTCCCAGAAAACCTTGAATGATGTCCCTCTGTATTCAGAATGTCAAACGATAGCTTTCCTAAAACAAGAATTCCTGCCAAAAAGTGAAACTGAGAAAAATGCGTTTGAAGTTTCAACTTGTTTTTTTTTCTATTTTCGGACGATGCCAGAAACTCGAAATTTACCCGAGTCATTGGTGGCACCTTCAACTACATGAGCATGAGGAGGGCAGTGCGTTGAGGCCCCCGAAGAGATTCTTGAGCTTTGTGAAACTGATGCCACAGTCTTTTCCAACGACGCCTAGACGTACCGCGAGTTCGTTCTCTCGAAACTTGCCGATTGATGGTGAGTGCGGTGTCGCGACGATGTCTCCACAAGTCGAGCAGCTAACAAACTGAAGGTTGATGCCAATTTCTTCTTGCAAGCTCAGTAGTTTTCCGTGGCACTTGAGGCAGAGTAAAATCGCAACAAGAGCCTGCATGGCGGACACATTGAGGAGCCGTTCAGGGGCTTTTCAACGGGAGCGTCTGTCAGCTCCGGGTCGTCCGTAACCCCCGCGTCGAAATCGTGCAGGCTGGGCTTCCTCTCGAACGTGGTCAGCACATCCGATTCGGAGATGAAGCTGTAGGCTCCGATGTCCGCCAAGCAACAGTTGAGCTTGGAGATTGTGACGACGGTCTCCAAGCTCAACTGTCTCCGCCGTTGAGAACGCCGGCCACAGCTACTGCAAGCGCTAACTTTGGAAGCAGGCATTTCTCGGCAGAAAAACTACCGGGAACAAAAAAGGAAAACGAATCTAAACAGCGTCGAACTAGCGATACGATCAGAAGCGAAAGAAGCTGCCGATAGCGCGCGCAGATGGCCAATCGTGAGCCCTGTTTCGGGTCACAACCAATGGGATTGCTGGTATCATAGTTCCCATGTTTTTTCTGCTTGTATGTACGGGGTTCTCCCGGGCCACAGATAGCCGCAAACGTAGCAAGCTTCTATGGGCAGAAACTAGAAGAAACGGCGCTTCCAACGAGGGTAAGATATCTCGGCTGCGTCGAACGAGCACGGAGTCGGCCTAATTTGAAAATGCCGAACTTCGCCATCTGCTCGCTCGGCGGGTTGCCGCGCACGGCCGCGAGCTTGCCGAAAATAATTTTTTGCGAAATGAATACTGCGCAATGATAAATAAAACTTTCTGAAACTATGCTTCAGAATATAGTGAACCCAAATATAATATTTTTTCAAAATGCATTTTTTCGGAAAAAAATGGAATTTCGGGGTTGTATCCCCTCTTAATCAAGCAAACTTTGGTTATGAACATCTCGCGGCAGCTTTACCGAGTAAAAAGATAATTAAGTGGAGTTTGCTGATAATTTCATCTGGACATCTGTTCTTTTCGAACTGTTCCAGATATTGCAAGAACATAGTCACCGCTGTTGCACTCCACTTTGTTTCAAAGCAGCCGTAGGATGTTTCGTGTCTCCGCAGTTGTCGATGTTTCTCGACAACTGGGGAGTGCGACATCACTTCGTATTTACCCTGGCCGCACGCAAGGTCTATGATCGCAGCATCCATGGCAAGAGCAACAACGGGAATGTCCGTATCGACAAGCGTGAACGAATCAAAGTTATCCTCGATGGCTTTGCCAACATGTTTTCACACACACCCTTATAGAGATTGCTGCACCTCTTGGAACTGTGCTCCAGCTTGGCAAGCATGCTCGCGAGAGAAAATTTGACGGTGGCAAAGCAGTTGGCAATCTTTCATCTTCGGTTCGCGGGCGCACTTTCTCTTGCTTGAGAAGCTTCTCGAACCCGTCCAATACCTTGCTTGTTCTGAAAAATGGCAGGCAATGTCGAACAGCCGACTCCCGAATCTCGAATTCTTTAGCGATTTCGGACTTAGGTCGGCCACTTTTCTCAACCTCCCAGATCTAAGCGACTTTTGGTAAACACTCCGAATCTCCCATACGACGTACATGTGCGTGTAGTACGCCGCAGGCACGTGCGTCGAGGGCTCGCAAAGGGATGATCTCCTGTGGGCTCCATCGCTCCCTTGACTCGATTCCGACAGGAGCCGGGCAGTGTCGCCTGCGAGCGCCATGAGTAGCATCAGAATGTGGACACTGCTGACAGTTGGTCCTGCTGCACTTCTGCTTCCTGCCCGCGTCGGCGCATCGGCATCGGAAGCGGTGCTCTTCGCACTCTGCCCTTCGTCACCCGTTTACTCCATTTTGTTGTTTGCAGTTTTCCCAGTTTGCTGTTTGCCTCGGTGGAGAAGGGGGAGGGAACGCACTGCGACCTTTGTAATAAGCGTGGTCGGCCGCCGATACACTTTGAATAATCTGGTTAGAAATGTGTGGGCATTTCGGTTGGGATCACATAGAGCTTTGATAAAAGTGATAATTTGAAAAAAGTGATTTTGTTGTAACGAGGGATTACTTCATATATAGATAAATTCACTGTAAACTTTGTTAAAAATTAACTGTGCACAAATATGTGATGCCTATGGAATTTTGAATGAGACAAAAAATTGGTAAACTTACGTTGCAAAATGTCCAGTTACGAGGTAGCAAGAGATTACTTTGCTAGCTTTGGTGCTATTTGCTTTCTAAGACATGCATTTGTGATTCATCTGCCTTACTATGCAGGCAGAAACAGAGGGAGAAGAGGAGACAGAATCATGGTGGGGACGTCGAAACGCTGAGCTCTGGCTGGAATGAATAGTGGGTAGATGCAAAGCTAGCTAGCTGCCTTAGCCTCTACTCACGCTTCGAACACATTCTATTGCTAAATGCCTGCATCCAGCGTTCCGTGTTAGTGTTCAAATATGTTCGGAGAGTCAGTAGAGATGAAGGCAGCTATCTTTATGTCTATGCACTAATCATTCCAGGCAGATTTCGCCGTGTGCTTTCTTGTCCTCTTCCTCAGTTTTTTGGGTACATATGCTAGGTCAGTTGCAGCTTTTTATTTTCAGTATTTTTGCATGAAAGTCATAAAACGAAGGGACTTGTACAAAAAACCTTTCCTGTCAGTCCCACAGAATTTGTTATACAAAAGCACTTAATTGCTCCGTGTACATGTATGACTTGTTTTGCTTGACACACGTGCTGTTTATTGCTTTCAACAGAGGTGCCGATTGAGTAACCAAGGGGTTATTTCAACAGCGGCGGCGATCTCTAAGGAGACGTTGAGCCCAGTAGCGCAGTTCCACATGTCCGCGGCAATGTTGGTGACGTTTAGGCTACATTGCTGCTGGTCGGTTCGGTAAATACCTCTGTCGGCGCCAATGGTCACTGCCTTGTCTCCCTTTCTTGATTATAGTGGAGAAAGACTCGTGTACCAGAGTAAGGACAGAGTTCATGAGCGTTTAATGAACACTTTTTGAAAGAACTACAGTATAGACCACTTACAACGTAACCGCTTATAGTGCAGGACCGGGTATAACGCGGTTTTTTTAAACCACCGGTTCACCTCCCATAGAACTCCATGTAATTACATACCGCTTAAAATGCAGGCGCGCGAAGGGAAATACCGGTTATAGTACGGTTTTTGGCACAGCCCGCCGACCGCGCCGACGACCGGAGCAGCGAGCTCGCTTCCCTGTGCGACACTAGATAACGGCGCCAACGGCGCTGACGGCGCGAGCCGCAAACTGCACTCGCGGGGCAAGGAGGTTGCTGGAAAACGCGGGGAGAAGCGAAGAGAGAGGCTTCAGTTGCCATAGCGACGGAGGGACGCACGCACGAGTCGTTCACGTGCGTGCGTCCCTCCGCTGCGTTGGAAACAAAGAAACAAACAACCGCAACGACAGACCAATCCCAGGTCGAGGAGAAGTGTTCGCGCGCGTTGCATGCCGGTCGCGGGCGTCGGTTGTGATCGTCGTCGTAGACGGCATGCATCTCATCGTTCTGCGTAAAAGCGCTATCCTTGACTCTGAATTTTCGTTGTGTGTCGCTATAACCCAGCACGTACTAGAAGGGAAGATCCACCTACTCGTGCGGCGATGTCGTGGCGGCGCTCTCAAGACGGCAGAAACGCCCGTGTCGTCGTGTTTGTTTACTTCGACTACAGTGGTGATTTCTAAGCATTTGTGCCCTCGAACATCGCCCGGATTTCTTATTTGGCGCATTTCATGCGTGTGCTCCAGTTCAAGGTATTACTGGCGCGTACCGTATGAAGGATGCGAATTTTCACGCGTTTTCATCTCCGGAGAAAAGTGATTAGGGTTAGCAATCCTGAACGCTCGCGACGTCCGTCCGCAACCCGCGACGCCGTTAAAAGGCTGCGCCAGGCAAAAGCCGCCAATTTCTTTTAAAATGTGTGACACACTTGAGACGTAACTGTACTAGTCTATTGAAATAAAGACTTTCCTCAAACTAAGCTTATTTTTTCATCTAACATAAAATAAATTCTTTTACAAAGGTAAGTTGTCTCATGGCATGTATTTTGGCCTGAAAAATTGATGTTTTGGTTATAGTGCGGTACCGCTTATAGTGCGGATTTTCGCGACTCCCGAGACATACGTTATATGCGGTCTACACTGTACCGTAAAATCTTGAGTCATCTCCCACCCCCCCCTGCCTCCTGGAATTCATAAAAAAAATGGGGTGGGCCATCTCTCGGTGGGTAAGCACAGAAAGTTTAGAAAAAGCAAAATAAACGCCCATTTTTTTTGTATGCATCTAGCGCGGCTGCTCAAGAGATACGTAAAACTCAAAACTCGAATAACTTTGTTTTATGCAAGAAATGCTCACAAAAAAATGTTTTACTATCGCAAAGTCCGTTGCTTGCATACGTGTGATGAACACCAGCGATCGGCATACAGCACAAACGTTTGTTTCACGAAAGCATGTTTCTAACATTGATATGTTCTCTTCGCTAAAAGGAAAGAAAAAAAAAGTCGACAAGAAAATTGAAAAGACTAACCAGGCGCAACGAGCGAGCGAGCAGACGAAAGAAGCAACGAAGAGTGATGCTGGGGAAGCGGGAAAGCCGGCGATCGCGTCAGCAATATTTCGGCGTCAGGCCAAGTCGGGTGCCTTCTCAATCGCAGGGATGAGGCTCTTGCATCACTTTCTTGTTCGGTGCATACCGTATTTACTTGCACATTGAACACACTTTTTTTCCCAAAAAATTGACACATATTTGGGGGGCGTTCGTTACACGGGGTAAAATTTTTGCATTTACACACTTCGTGCAAATGTCATATTAGGTGCCAATATGACACGGCAAGGTGCTGTGGCACGTCTCCAGTGACGGAGGCACACCCACGGCTGGTCGGGGGTGCGCCAGAATAACCATGCTTTATAAATTGCAAACCTTTTTAGGGCACTTTCGGGGTGCCTTTTGCCGAAGGAAAAAGCGCCCTACGAAGTTCACTCGGCACGAAAAAGCAACACGACCGACCGTTCTTAGGCGATATATATTGCTAGTATGCGGCGGGCACTTTCAGGTATAATCCACGTATAAGAACTCCTACGAAGTCCAACCCTCGACCCCCGAAGCCCGCTCGCATGGATCAAGTTTCGTTCACGGAGAAAAGAACTCGTACGAAGTCCAACCACCGACCCCTGAAGCCCGCTCGCACGGGTCAAGTTTCGTTCACGGAGAGGCTACCAAACACTCTCAGCCTACAGCAGAGTGTGCACCTCGCTGTGCCGTTCTGTTGCGGATTAAATAAACTCATTTACTCGGAGTATCTGAAATCAGGCCTAACCACTTTCACGATTTCACTGTCCGAAAGCGGACCATAGGCGACGGCTTGTTTGTTGACATCAATGCATCCGATAGGTGAAGAATGTCCGGGACTCGGCAATTCCTCGACCCAAGCTTCGTCGAGTGTGCGCGTCACTCGGTTTCACGGTTGATCACCCCCGTAACTACCGCAACTATGCACTTGCACGGCGATAACGGCGATATGTGTCAGGGGTATTTTGCACCACTGGAAATGACGTCCGTTGTTGATGTTGTAGGGCGTAGAAGGGCATAGGGTGTTTGTCGTCGATGTTGCCAAATCCTCAAAAAAGATCACCCACCGCCTGCGGGAGTCGAGCCTGAGTCCGCTGCGTGCAAAGCTGAGGCGTTGCCACATAGCTATGCCACAGCACTAACAACCGATCTTGTATATAGGGTTTTTACAGAGAGCGCTGCACGCGCTCTCTGTAAAAGTATGAAGAAATAGCCGATAGAAAATGCCGACGTAGCACTGTCTGTGCCAAGAGCTCGTGCTGGGAGACTCATTTTCACGCCTTCCGGAGCATGAAAGAAACAAATGCGTTCAGAACAGAATGGTCAGACATCCATTTTGTTTCTAACGCTTTTGTGCACATACCCCATGGCAACATTCTTACATCTATTGGTTGACAAGCTCCACGAAAGAGTGGCATTCGAAATCAATTCTTCTTCATGCCCTGCACACGAGCAGGTGCGGGTGGTTAGTGTTCCTAGCAACACCGGCGTCAGCACCTCCATGGACAGCGAAGAATGACCATTTTCAAAGGACACACTTTTCATGCCAACTCTTGTGCAAACTTTGTTTACCATGAAAACCCCAATAGCATTCCTTTCCACCCCAGGTTATCTGCATCCAATGTTCCACTGATCTGCCAGTTCTGCCCATTGGGTGGGCTGATAGTGTTGCAAGTTCCACCGAGCGCACACACCCCGAAATGGTCCCAGGCTTTCAAGGAAGCTTATCAACCAACTTTGATCTAGTAATGTTGCCCCACAGTGTGTGAACGTGACGCCGATGCCCAACAACTTCGACGGGACGTTTTGTAGCTATCGCTGTGACTGTACTTTAGATTGACACAGGACTACATTTGTTTGCTTTCTCTTTGTCAGTATTTATATTATAAAAATTTTGTCCCCACGATAACAGTGTATAAACGAAGGTGTTCAGAGAAAAGAGTAACATAACTGATTTCATTGTTTATTAATGTAGAAAGCTTGAAAGTGTACCTATGCTCTCACCTTCCTAGAAATAAAAGAAAACTCTATTACTGTCTTGATGCCAAGCTGTTTGGCAACTCTAATTATGTAGTTCAGAAGCCACTTGGCATGTTAATCTTTGTGTATCTATCAAGTGTACACTATATGAAATGGCACAAACATGACATTTTTGTACGGTTTAGTCATAACAAACACCAATGTTTAGTGTTCAAGTTGGTGCCTCAAATGAGTGTATTCCACTGCACTTGTAGTCTTTCATTTGTAGAAAAAAATATGGCATTTGTTTTTGTTCATGCTGTGTCAAACATTCTCACCTTCTATCTGTTTGCACATCACAAGTTGTTATTTTTTTACTATTTTAGGTGGTGCTTGAGATCTCCCAGTTGACAGAGGGAAAGTTGAGCCCCATCCTGTTCTTCCAAGCCAACAATTTGGGTCTGAAGATTGAACTGCGTCCACTGGACATGAGTGTCCAGCTTTGCTTGAAGAAGGCTCTCTTGCAGCATTTGCTCTTCTCAGGTATTTGGTCTCTCTCATTCACGTTATTCAAGGAGCCTGCAATAGTCTTCTAATCAGTTGTAATAAAATGAGCTTCCTTTGAACTTTGCAGCTCCCGGGCAAACTGGCCCTCTGAAAATTATTGACTCTAACGAAAACCCTGGCACTGGGAACACAATCTGCCTTCTTTATGTTCAGGTGGGTACAGCACGAACTGTGCTGCTTGGCATGTAATTTTGAGTTTTCTCGTCATTGAATGAGTGTGCGTAAGACAAACCCAAACTGGCCCTGTTCACGGTTGAAGGTTGTGCTTTTTGAATATTGTATATGCGGGGGATAAAGTTGCAGGAGCATAATGAAAAGTAGGAAAAGTTGATTTCATGCCAGGTAAGTGTACAGGTTAAAAATTCTTTCGAGTTTTGAGATAGCATGTAAGTAGTTTAAAGTATATGTACTACAGTAAAACCTCGTTAATTCAACCCCCGCTAATTCGGATAATTTGAACTGCCGATCCGGTCCCATCAAACGTATGTGTTAGTCAATGGCAGCAAACGCTCATTAATTCGGAAGGAACGGGGCGCAGTACGGTTAATTCAGACAAATTCGGCAGGTGGCACTAGCTACCGTCCGTTCCAAAGGGTATGACTGCTATTCATCCGAGGTGCACACATGGTTTTTCTGGTTTTCCTATGGCTCTTCGCTCTTCCGGTTCTCCGTGTTTCGCACCAGTTTTGCGTTACTCTCCTGGCATGGAAGCGGCAGAAGCATAGCTGCAACGGAAAAAGGGTAGCACAAGTGACCGACGACCGGAATGGCAAAATCCCGACACGCGGGGCTATTGTTCCCGAGCGTGCCAATAGCGAGAGTGACAGTCACGTTTTATGCCTCAATGCGGGGTTCCTGAAGCCCGCCATTTTAACAGCTATCTTATCCCTCCATTTTTCGCCGGCCACCCCCGCGTTGAAAAATGCAACGTGACAGGCACTCTCGCTATCGGCGCGCTCGGGAAAAATGGCGCCGGGTATTGTGATTTCGCCGCTCGGATTATTGGTCAGTTGTGCTACTCGTTTTCCGTTGCCGCTGTACTAGGCTAAAAATTTAGCGACGAAAGGGGAAACACTGAGGGCCTTGAAGGACGGCGTCTCTCGACAAGTGACGGAAAGTTACGACGTCAAGAGAAGCAGTTTGGCCACGTACGTGAAAATTGAGGCCGATATCGAGAGCGAGAAGTTCAGTGCGAAAAGAAAGTGGCCTTGGAAGGTGGTGCACCCGAAACTAGAAGAGGCCTTGCTGTGCTATATTGTCCGCGCACGGGATGCGTAGCTTTGACAGTGCGAGTGCGGTTGAGCACTCGACCGCGCTAAGGAAAGTTGCCGTCTCCACCCAAGTATCGCCCATAAAGCAGGCGGTAATAACAGATTTCTTCTCAAAATAAAGGTATGTCGCAGGGAAACGTTTTCGTGCTGTTTTCTTTGTCCTTTCGATACTTCAACTTTCGGGTAATTCGGACATTTTTGCCGGTCCCATGAGATTTGAATTAACGAGGTTTTACTGTATATGTCACCTGCATCCATGCCTTAGGGTAGTGGCTCCCAAGCATGGATGTGTGGGTGACCCCTCTGGGTCCCCGACATATTATGCAAACATCGTTCAAAAAAGCTTTGACATGCAAATCCCTAGGTTACTTTATCCTGGATATTTTAACATTACTGGTGGCGGTATGTGAAAATATCTCCAAGGAGCCAACCGATAACAAAGAAGACCGGAAAACTTAGTGGTAATGCCATGTTTTCATGGCGTTAGTCGCAGATTAAAAAAGATTGCAGGCAAGCAAGTGGTTCAAGTTGTATGCTCTGCACCAAACAAGGCCTGTTTCACCTTTGTGGCAAGGTAGACAAAGCCCAAAGGACCAACAAGTGACAGATCAAATGACCAATGGAGAAGAATGTTATACAGCACACAACAAAGTATGCTTATTTCCAAAAAGTGGTTGTCTAAAACACACCCTTTGCATGCGGTTAATGCTATATTACAGTGAAGCTGTTTATGGCTAGGGTTTCATGGATTTTTCGTATGCAGTCATTAAAAACTGTACGATCGCACCGCAACGCGTACCGCATGCGCACGCCTTCCCTGTATTAAAGATTTGAAGTAAATAACCAGAATAAAGCGTTGATGAGTGCTTGCAAGATGCCATTTCTTGATGCCATTCTCCTTGATGCTTGGGTAATTTAGCAATAGATCTATGTATTCAGTAGATTAGTTATCAATAGGCACCATTTTCAAGATCAGTAGACTCTCGGGTAGATACTAAAGATTTGTCAAAGATATGCTGCTGTGCGACCCACGTCGGCCATGTCTACGTTCGCGCCGCCCTCTCTTTGTCGTCGTTCCATGCGTTTGCGTGCCTAGTTTCCTTTCCTTCCACTCTCCCGAGGTGCCGGTCCCGTCGCACGTGTCTGGTTTCCGCCAGGTGGCGGTCTCGTCGCGCATGTCTAATTTCCTCTTGTTCCTTGGGGCAAGTCTGTATTGTGTGCTGAACAGCTCCACTGGTCATCCAACTTCACTGAGTGGAATGGCTATTAATTTCTTTTAGCCAAACCGGCCGATGTATCAACGACCGCACACAAAGGCATGCTGTATCCTGAAGAAACCTAACGGAGCACCTTGTAGCTCATTGTCGTGAACGTCAATGGGGGACAACATTGGTTGACATCGCCATTGCGGGCCAGCATCGAAATTAACTTGACGAGAATTGCCGGAAGCCCTAGCCATTCATGAGAAGGGAGAGGAATGTGTCAGTGCCCCTTCTGTTGCACATCACCAAAAAGAGAATGTTCCTGCAGGGGACCAGAAATGTTTAGAACTTCGATAAATGAAGGAGATTGACAAGCTCCTCTATTCCAACAGCTTGGGCAAATATTGATAGATGAAGAGGAAGGGTAGCTAGTAGAAGGAAAAAGATGAAAATGCTTCACTATACCAAAGCAGAATGGAAAAAGAAGAAAAGGAGGCAATAAGCAGTTGCTATTCCAGCGGTGTGAATGTATCATTTTTTTGTGAGAGTATTTTGTTCTGTTCTGTTCAGTTGACCAGCTTCACAAGGACAGATTGCTGTAACTCTGTGTTACTTTTTGTTTCTAACTTTTGTTTTCTACTTCTGCATGCTTCATTTCATAATCTAAACCCTGAGATCAACTGAAATAAAATTTTGGGACAAAAAAAAAAAAAAAATACTAGATAACACAACACGAGTTATCGTAGCCCCGGAACCCCTAGCCGGCGAGACCGGGTGAAGATCATTATATTGGGACCTGAGATTTCATGTCATATTGTCTGTTTTTTTCTTTCTCCTTGGTCCCCTTATCAAAATCTTTGTCATGGTTTAGATTGTGATGTTTTCTAGCCAGCTTGTCTGCATACGTTGTCTACCTGCTGAACCTGTTTCTCGTTTCTTATTTCGTTTCTACCAAATACATTGTAAGAAAATGGTGAGTTATGCTACTGTGTCATTATGCATTAGAAGCGCCAAAAGACAAGGACACAGTAAAGACGACACCTTTACTTTTTCTTTATCGTTTGGCCCTTTTAGTGCGCATCATTGTAAGCTTTGCTGTTGATCCAACTGTTCCTGCTGTACACCTTTTGCAGACAAACAAGAAGCACCCCGAGTTTGAGACGGTGCGGGGCTCGGTGCTGCAGAAGGTGACCCTGGACGTCTCTGAGCTGGTGCTTGTCTTGCACGAAGAATCCATGTCCTCCCTGCTCACCTTGAGCAACCACATGAGCGAGCAGCTGGGCAGCATCGGGGCTGAGGTAGAGCAGACGCCCAGCCAGGAGCTGGTGCAGGCAACTGCGGCCAAGCCACTGGGCAGCAAGCCTTCGCCAGGTCAGCTGCACAACATGGCAAACAGCCCTTCTAAGGATGCTAGTAGAGTGTTTGAGAGATTAAAGTGTTTTCGCACATTAGTATTTTTAGTGTAAGGTCCCACAACAAAGCTCAACTGGAAACCTGAGAAAATTCACCGCATTGGTTCTGAAGCTTGTGTCAACTTTATGGCTTTTGAATAAGTATGTGCATGTACTTCCTGCATCCTGTAGAATTTTTTTTTTTTATGGAGATTCTAAAACAGCATTTAAGGTAAAGAGCTTGTGAGGAATAGACTTACGAATCGATCGACATCCATACACATTTTTAATGGTGTATTCGGCTGGTCACTTTCGATCACTCCAATCATCCGAATCGTAGCTACTAGATCCCGGAGCGCCTCCGCATCGGAGCGAGAGAATCGGCGCGCCCAGCCGAACGCTCTTCAACTTTTCAGAGCGGCAAGCCGAGAGGACGGCGCGAGCCGCCCTCTAGCGGAACTTTTGGTCTTGGGATTCAAAGGGTTGAGCAGTATTCAATGATCCATCCATTCGTAAATCCTTGAAAAATGTCAACGCGGACGCTGATAAGGTCATTGCAAGCCAGCCGTGCAAAGTGGAAGTTCCTGCGAAGCTATCAAAAAAAGACAACATTACTGTTTGAAAACTCTCGTACTTTTGTACTTACCGCTTTGTTCGAGTAGGTTCGCACTATAAAAACATAGGCCTTGACCTTGGGTACCGTACAAGGCAACGTTAGGTACAAGGTACGTCAAACAACTCGGCTAACTTCGCTTCGCAAACACAATCCTCGTCGTCGTAGTCCGAGCTGCTGGTGTTGTCGCTGTCTGCTAGCTTCGCCTGCAGCACTGGCAGTGCCACCACTAACATTAAACATCTTTGTTTCAACGACATTTCACCTCAATTCGGGGAGCACAACACAACGGTGACGGCGTCGAGACTGACGGCTGTTTTTCGCAGCCCTCTTTTTGCGGAGTAGCTGCGTTCTCGCCGTCCGCTTCCGACACAAAAGCAAAATGGCAAAATGGCTGGAGTCACGTGACCGGTCGGCAGCCAGATCTCATGCGCGCTTCCACTTTCAAGTCGGAGCGCCTCAAACCGCTCCGATTCGGAGGCCGGCGAGAGTCGGAGCTTCGAGAGCGCTCCGAAAGAACCAGGCGAATATACTTGGAGCGCCTGGCATCGACCAGCCGAATGCACACTGGCTTTTCAGAGCGCTTTAAGAGGCCGAAAAACGACCAGCCGAATATACCATAAGGCGGGTTTGTTTTGCTTGGGGGAAAAAGTTTTCACATCCAATGCACACCAGTGAGCAATGCAGTACTTGTGTATCTGCTATTGTTTGGCAGTTTAAATGCCAACTTAGGAATCAACATAAAAGTCATCTGCCACTGTGTCCAAGCCATCAATGTAACTATACTTCGTTTCAGCTTCGGTCCAGACGCAGCCGATGCTACAAGCGCGAGCATCTGGCCCAGAACAGTGCTTGCACTGCACGAGCGCGCGTGCTTGGCAGGGATGCCGAAAGCCCGGAGCACACGCTTGTAGCTTTGGCTGCTTCTGGACCGAAGCTGAAACGAAGTATAGCAAGCTGCCATCGCACAAAATGACTCGCGCAAACAAAAGTCCATTCTTACTGTGTCGCCCTAAACTTTGCTTGCAGCTGGACGGAGGGGCACCTCCTCAGTTGTGGTCAACATGGATGTGTTTGCAATGCTCTCTGGATTCACTCTGGCGATCTGCAACCAGAGCAGGACCATCTGCGACATTCTTGTGCGAGGTGATGGGCACTACTTTGACGAGAATTTCTTTAAACTTCCACAGCTAGTTTTAATTAACCTTGCGAGTGTGGTTTCTTTTTTGAGACATTTGCAAACAGTTATATATTCTGTGAAATTAGTAGCGGTGACAGTAGTAGTCGGTTTTCGTGTACGATAACCTTGTTGTGTAGCTCGGGATGCAACGGGAATAGTATACAAGTAGAACTTCGTTGATACGTTTTTCAGAAGACCGCGGAAAAAAAATATCATCCGGGAAAACGTAACAATTGATAACGCACTTAGGGGGGCTCTACATGAGATAGGAAGCAGCTCTTATACAATGGTTTATTTGAGGTGTTTTTACAGAACTGTTGAGGACTTGGACATGTTTTTAAAAGCGCGTAATATCCGCCTGCCCCTTTGAGCTTTTGCCTCGATCTCCTTTCGTTTGGTGACGATGCTGTTCGAAGTTGACGGTGTGAGTCCGAGGTCTCTTGCAATATGAGACTTCCGGCTGGGATTACGATCCACCGTCTTAAGTATTTCAAACTTCTCTTTAAAACAGAGCGCCTTCCTTTTTTCGCGATGCCATGACCGTCATCAATGGGCGCATAGCTCATATACTCCAAAATACCACGGTTCACGCAATCGAGCGGAACAGAAACTAGAAGTGCAGCGTGCATGTGGGCAGACCTCGTGCCAGAGAAAGAGAGAGCTAGAGAGAACGAGCGTTTACCGCTTCGCCAGCCTCGCTCCCTGTCCGAGCAGTGCTCCTAGCAGGCACGTAGCCAGGATTTCGTTCCGGGAGTTGGGCCCGCCCATGACAAAATGCTGTATGAGCGGGAAGGGGGAGAGGAGGTCCCAGCAAAATGAAAGATTTTGGGGGGGGGAGGGCGGGGCGGGGCAGGGCTTCATGGCTCCCCCCTGGCCATGTTCCTGGCTGCAAGGTCCCACCCGGGCAAGATGGGGAACTGCGGCAGAGCTCAGCAAAGCCCAACGAGGAGACAGACGGAAAAGAGGGGTAAAGGAGTAAAGGGAAGTTGGGCATCTGCGTGCCCACGTGTGGTGTGTGACTTGCATTGCATGGTTTGCCTTTGCTCCGCTCGCTTCACTTTGAAACAAGCCTGGCGCCCGATGCGCCGAGGCGCCACGATGTTGACACTTTTGGACGTAACAACTCGGAAAGCAGACTTAACAGGCAGGAAACTAATACGTGTATCTCTGTGGAAGTAGAACGGGACCGGCGTTTTTGAACGTAACAGCCGGGAAAACTTATCAACAGAGAACATGTCAACGAGGATCTACTGTATTTGATTAGCAAAGCCTTAGTGTAGCCACATTCTTTCAGGTGTGGAAGCTGGAATGACAACATACCCGACGAAAACCATCTTGAGGATGAGTCTGAAGACTGTCGGCATACATGACCCAACACCGGGAACGGTCCACAAAGATGTGAGTGCTGCTCGCAAAGACTAATAGGCTTTGGTCTGATCAAGAAAAAAAGTTTTGTCTTTTCCATGTTTAGTTTTAGTATACTGTTCATTTTGGCTCAGGAGCACCAACATATCTTTCTTTTTATTGACACAAAAAGAAAAATAACTTTGCCTTCAAGTTTGCAGTTGAGCTTTCAGTTGTTACAAAGTAGGCTCTGGGATGTTATTATTTCTGACAAAGCTATGCTTGAGAATGCAGTCTGTGTTATGAATTTGTGTGAAGCTCAGAATTGATAGCCAAAGGGGATCAGTGAAGCTAAATTCCTAATGTGCTGCATGTTATGTAATTTGACCTGTCTAAAAGTGTTAGCCTCGGCCATAATTGTGCTTTGATCTTTCTGCAGATTCTCTCGATAGCTGGAGACGAAGTGCTCAACTTGGATATCGCCACCTACGAAGAATCTGGTGCCGAGGGCTACGTGCACATGGACAGGGTGGACATTGACATCAAGGGCACTTTTGGACGAATGCACTTTACCTTTCTCTACAGGTTCTATCTCGATGTCATGGTACGTCTCCTCTTCAAAAAGATGATGGGAACAACTTAGTACAGTAAAACGTTAATTCGAATCTCATGATACCAGCAAAAATGTCAGAATTATCTAAAAGTATAAATATTGAACGGGCGAAGAAAATTGCGTGTAAAGGTTTTCCTGTGACATACGTTTATTTTGAGAAGAAATCTGTTATTGCCGCCTGTTTTCTGGATGACATTTGGGCAGAGGCGACAACTTTTTTTAGCGCAGTCGGATGCTTCACTGCACTCTCACTGTCAGAGCTGGTGTAGCGAAATTCTCTGAGCATAGCAAGAGCCTCCGTGGCTTCTCGTACAATGCGACGCGGTGGCAGCTCCTCACACGGACAGTCGTCATTTTCGTTCAAAGCATGCCGTCGTCACGTAGGATAGGGCATCCTTGATGATCTCATGGCATTCGGCCGACCGACAACAACATCGTCATCAATCTCAAGGTGGTCAGCAAGTTTCACTTTGGCAGGGAGGACACCTTTGAAACGGCCGTCGTCGTCTTCAGCGATGTGTGGGGTCTCCACCGCCTGGCAAGTTTTGGACCAGGCAAAGCTACTGTGCTTAAAACAATTTGTGATAATCACCTGTGGGCGTGTTGTTCCACATGTACAACAAAATGTGCAATGCACTGAGAGGGAAACTTCATATTCCTTCGCAGCCTTGATGCACAGCAACATTTGCTCCAATACATGCTTCCTGTATCTGTTTTTCACGTACTGAATTACCCTTAATCATGAGTTGAAAGGTAGCAGTAGTGTTCGGAGGCAAAAACTAGGGATGGGCAAATATCCTGTTATTATGAATAGCCAATCGAATCCTGTTCTATTCGGCATTCGCTTCGAATCGAATTTAAGTTCGACAATATCGAATTATTCGACAATATTGAATTATTCGACAATATTGAATTATTCAACAATATAGAATTATTTAACCTTTCTAAATACGTCAAACCCGATTACCGTATTTACTCGCAGAATGAACGCACTTTTTTTTTCCGAAAAATCGATTCAAAGTTAGGGGGGCGTTCATTACGCGAAGTAAAATTTTTGCGTCTATATTTACTCGCATAATGAACGACCTTTTATCCTGAAAGATCGAAGTAACTTCTTATCTCTTTGCGCGCGGCGCCCGACCCCGTAACCAAACTAAGCTGTGCAAAAAAAAAAAAAAATAAACACTCTTCTTTGTTTTCTTTTTTCTTAATCCTTGTTTTTTCGTTTGTTTTTTTTTTGCCGCCTTTGCAAGCTGTTTTGTTTGCTTAGGCGTTGCTTAGGCGAGGGCTCTTCGCTTATCTTTCTTATCTCCTCGCGCGCGGCGCCCATAACCAAACTGCGCTGTGCAAAAGAAAAAAAAAAAAAAAAAAAGAGCCCCTCTTTTGCTTTTGTTTTCAGTTCCGTGGTTTTTTTTTTTCTTTCTTTCTTTTTGCAGCTTTTCGCAAGCTGTTTCGTTAGCTTAGAGGGCTTCTCCGCTCCTCTTTCTTACCTCCTTGCTCGAGGCGCGCGACCCCCCGTAACCAAACTGCACTGTGCAAAAAAAAAAAAAAAACCTTTGTTTTTTTTTAGTTGTTTTTTTTTTTTTTTTTGCCGCCTTTCGCAAGCTGTTTCGTTCGCTTAAAGCGCTTCTCCGCTTCTTTTCTTACCTCCTTGCGCACGGCGGCGCGCGAATCCAAAGTCCAGACTGCGCTGCGCAAAAGAAAAAAAACTCCTCCATATTTTTTTTCTTGCTTCCGTTGGATCTTTGCGAATTTTGTTTTAACGCCTTTGGCAATGCGTTTTGTTCGCCCACGCTGCCCATGCATTCGCGACCTCGCTGCACCAGGATAGAAAAGTGCGTTCGTTTCGCGGTTTCGCGCACGTGGGGGGAGGGGGTCAAAATTTTTACGTCGGAGTTGGGGGTGCGTTTATTACTCGAGTGAAAAAAAAAGTCAAAATTTTGAGAGTCGACTTGGGGGATGCGTTCATTACGCGAGTGCGTTCATTGTGCGAGTAAATACGGTATAGCGAACCTGTTTACATCGAATTATTCCTTATGTCTAACAATTTTTGTGCACAGTAATGTTGCACTGATGTATATAGCAAAAACTATGGTTACATTGAATAAAAATAACAGCCGCTACCAATATATCGAACTGCCCAAGAGCGCCCTCTGCAAGCTGGCTTTCCCCCAACGCGAGTGGCCGCATTTTGGGAAAGCCAGCTTGCAAAACACGCTAGCTTTTTTTTTTTTTTTGTACGGGCGGTTGCGTTGATTGGTTGACCGCCCAGAAGAAGAAAACAAATCTTTTGTGGAGGGAGCAGAGAGAGGGTGCTCCATGCTCTCCCTTCCCGCTCTGTCCGCAAAAGGAAACATTATTTTTTCTTTCAAGCAATTAGTGCGGCCGTCCGGAAAAAAAAAAAAGAAAAGAAAAGCCAACTTCCCACTTTTCTTAGGGGGAAAGCCAACTTGCAGAGCAAAACGGCGCTCTGCAGGAGAACGTGCTCCAGGTCGGACCTACTCTGCGCTCTCGGCACAGTTCTGCGCTAATGCGCGAATATAGAAGGCAGCGGCCTCAGCATTTTGGAGTCCGTTGATAGCATAGAAAAATATTGTTATCGCCGATGCAATGAAGAAAAAGCAGCTGAAGATGCAAGACTACTTCATTGTGTAATATTTCAGCAGAAAGTGGATTTTTGAGATTCAAATTCATTAAAACTTTTATATTGAATTACCCGCTATATCGAACTGGTAGACGTTTTTTTGCGAGTTCGATATAAGCGGGGTTTGACTTACTCTGGCTAAGATTTCCGGCCAGGTGGCGCAAGCTTCCGACCGTTTCGTGCTCCCGAATTCAATACACTTGAAATTAACAACTACAGAACTTCTAATACATAATAACGGCAAATAAAAGTTATAGTTTAAACATATTTTGTGGTATTTGTTTCTTGTACTATTCGATTCGAAATTATTCGGCCAGAATCATTTTTCGCTTTGAATTCGATTTGGACCCAAAATCCTCGATTCGCCCATGCCTATCAAAAACATGACCTGAATGCACTCCAGTCCCGACATGTTAGAGTGGGCGCTGCAATTATCGACAAACGTGAACACCTTGTGCTTCTTGACGCGAAAGCGTCTTTCTAGCTGGTGCAGCCAAGTTCGAAAAATTTCAGGCATCATCTAGACCTTTCGATTCGCTTGATAGTCCACAGGAAGTAGTTTGAGGTTTTTGAAATATCTTGGCTTCTTTGCCTTTCCAATCACAAAAAGTGGCAAGTGCTCCGTACCAGTCATGTTTGCACCGAGAACTGTGACCCTTTCTTTACTTCTCTTGCCGCCTGTGCAGGGGTCTGCTTTCGCTGTGTTGGTTTTGTCTGGTAGGGCTTTGTAAAGCAATGCTGTCTCGTCTGCACTAAATATGTCGTTCTGCTCGTACACAGCGAGGTGCTCGCAGTGCTCGACATTCTTCCAGTCATCGATTACATCGCCACTTATGGCACCTTTCTCTCCTCAAACGTTTCTGAAGACCAATCCGTGTCTGTTTTTGAAGCGAGCGAACCAGCCCTCTGACCGGCTGAACGAAGCAATCTTCATCTTCAGTGCATACTTCTCTGCTTGCGCGCAGATCAGAGGACCACTCAAAGGGCAGCTGCACTTGCCGTGCACTGACGATCCACCGCAGCAAGGCCTCTCCTAGTTTCGGATGTGCCGCCTTCCGCAGCCGCTTTCTTTTTGCATTGACCTTCTCGCTTTCGAAAGCCTGTAGGATCTCGGCCTCATTTTTTTACATACGTGGCCAAAGTGCTTCTCTTGACGTCGTACCTTTCTATTACTTGTTGTCAAGAGACAACGCATCTTTCAAGGCCCTTAGTATTGCTCCTTTCGTCACTAAATCCCTGTCCTGGTACTTCTGCCGCTTCGTTGGCGGTGCCGCCATGGAGGTTGCTGCAGTTGCTGTACGTGATGATGGCATGCCAACAGCGTGCGAACCAGTGTGCCAAACACGTGGCATTCCAGGTCAAAATTGGCGCGAAGCAGGGAGAACCGGAAGAGATAAGAAAAACCGGAAGAACCATCTTTGCACCGCTGACGGATAGCAGTCAAACCTTTTGGAACATACAATAGTTTGCTGCACTTGCCGAATTCATCCGTATTAACCATGGCGTTCCCAACTGCCTCCGAATTAATGAGTGTTTGGTGCCATTGACTAGGTAATACACACGCTTGACGGGGTCGTTTAGGCCGTTCAAATTTATCCAAATTTCTGAATTTGCAGGGGTTGAATTAACAAGGTTTTACTGTACAACCTTCTTTTGTGTGACCAGGTTATGAAGTAGTTGTTATTGAGGAAGGCTAACATAAAATTAGATCCTGCGAGACATCCTATGGATTTACCTGTTTTATCAGCATTATCTAGTTAATATTTTGCATTACTAGACTTAAAGTATGAAAGTTGAAGATGATTAGAGAAGTACTAAAAAGTATTTCCTGGGGAACATTAACATGTTGCTTCTTGCGACTAGTGTGTCCCTGAGCAAAGTGTTAGTTGCCATTCTGGGGCTTCCTTGGAGATTCCTTTCTCGGGCGGCTAAGAGTAATTTTTAATTTTAGGTTCTTTCCTCACAAGCGTGTAGATTGCTCGAAATATGGTATACTTCATCTCACAAGGTGTCCACAGTACTTTCGGGGTCATTTTGCACTGAAAGCTAAAAAGAAATAGAACTGTGGCTATTATACGAGCCAATGCCATAACCTGCTTGACCATGATGCACAGCATGCTTCATAAATTGCTGTGTGTTTGCAGAATTCAGATATAATGAAATGGGGCTATATGAAACATAATTTCAAGTCTCTCTGGCTTTGTTATGACCGGGTTCGACCACATGTGCATTTCAGAACTTTGTGGACAAGTTCCAAGCTGCCAAGAACCGTATTGCGGAGGCAACGGCCAGCGTGGCAGAAGCTGCTCGTGCAGGGGTGGAGATTGCCTACCAAAAGGCTTACAAAATGGCCATTGACATCCGCATCATGGCCCCAATCTTCCATGTGCCCCAGAACTGCAAGTCACGCAACATTGTGGAGATGGATTTTGGAGTGCTGCGTGTGCGCAATAGCTTCAGCCTTGATCCCCGGAGCACCGCTGCCGCTCCGTGCCTTCTTGAAGACATGGTGGTGGAGTTTGACAACCTCAAGCTCTCGCGGTGAGTTGGATGTGCACCGGTGAAAGACCACTGTAGGGCATTTATGCCAGTTCATACCTTGCAGGAATTTATTGTCCTTTTGTCTAAGCCACAGATTCTCAAACTGACTTACTCTGAACCCTGGAGTTCCCCAAAGCAGCCTCATGTGTTCACCAAGCTCCCAACCTTTCTTGATCGACTGTCCCTCCCCGTAAATAAGCTTAGTGTTTTTCCAGTTCAAGTACTATTCCAGTAGATCTGAACTATACTCTGATGCATAACTACCTATAATGGAGGTGCGAATAGCAATTTTTCTGTTTAAAGCAAATATGAAGCCAATAGTAGTTCTTTTGTACAATTAATTTTGAATTGAATCTGATAATTTTAAAAACTAACAAATAGTTTGCGGCCATTAATACAGTCATGGTAGAGAACTTTTGAGACTAGAGAACAAAACAAAACGGAATGCCCACTGTTCTCAGAGTGAGGGGCACTCTGAGTACTGTGGGGGCCAGCACCCCCCTCGCCCCCCCCAGTTGGTACGCCCATTTCAAACTTTAATTCAAACTTCGAATCGAATATGGCATTTTTTGCTTTGATATTTGAAAGTATAGAATATTTGCATAATTCTAATAACTAGGGGTGTGCGAATACTTGAATATACGAATTTGAATCGAATATAACAAGTTCCCAAATATTTTGATTCGCGGATCGAATTCCTAGTATTCGGTCACTTGATTCGGCCAAAGACGCGCGGTTGGCAGTGAACTGACAAGAGCCATTTTTTCTCTCGATGTTAGTGCAGTGATGTTAGACAGGCCATGCGAAAAACACCTCATGGTCCTACCATTCCACAAAAGTCAAACGCACAGGCTAGAGAAAAGAAAAGTAACGAGTGCCACAAACTTCATAGCACGCAGATTTACTCATGATCGTGAAGGAATCACAACTGAAACATCCCGTTTGCGCCGCTTCCAGAGAGGGATTGTTGGGAGGCTGGAATTCCACGCCAGCCCTAATTTTTTTCACGAGTAAAGCCCCTTGTTTCAAACTGGAGCGCTGATATAGAACACATTTGCCACACTCACGGAAATCGGCAACTACAAGATCACAAAAAGAAAACCACGAACCACGCCGATGAAACCAGCCGAGTTGTGTCATCGTTCTTTCGGAACCGCAAGCCGCAAATTTTGATTCGGAACGAAACGGAACAAAAAAATAGTGTGCCTAGATTTGAGAGGGTTTTCAACTGTTCGATAGCCGCGTTCGATTTGCGAACTGCGAGAGGGTGATGAAAAGACGAAAGCGTCGATTGGGCAGGCATCTTCGCTTTTCCATTTGCTCGCTTTCTTTGCACGTGACAACAGAACACATGCGCGCTTACGACCAATCTGCGCAGGAGCCGTCTCTGTGGTTTCAGTTTCGCTTGCTCCCTCTTTTAAATCTAGGCTCTCTAGAACAGGATAGATAGACAGAAGAATGGATGCATAGTGGCAGTTGGATGGTGACTTGCGCCACCTAACCACATGTTTTTACTTTCTTACTTCAGATTATTTATGCAGATTAGGGTATTTTGTTTAAGCCTGTTTACTCAGATCTAACAGCTATCCGTTTATATATATAAAATCAAACCTCAGGTGCCCTTTTTCTCCCTTAAATTGAGATCAAATATCACAAAATGTGGAGACCAAATATCGCAAAATGCCCCTTTTCTGAGATATACAAAAATATAAAAAGGACATGTCGTGATGTTAGGTTGTGCTTTTAACGAGAAAAAAAGGCACGCTTGGCTGTAACTTTGGGTTTTTTGTGACGCTTAGGGTAGATACTAAATAGATTATGTTTGCGCCATTAAACTGGATCTTTAGTGCCCAACGTCCATCAGCAGCTGCTTCTCTTGTTTTTTCTTTTCACCAGCACTTTTATACATTTGAGCTTTTGTTTCATACGAGATGCATATTCTGCACCAGGTGCATACTCTGCACATATAATAACTTCATTCAGAGCACACTTTTTGAAAAGTTCCTACGAGTAAAATCACTATTCAATATTCAATTCAATACTTGGCTTTTTTTTCTTAATTCAATTCGGTATTCGATTCGATAACTACTATTTGGTATTTGCACACCCTTACTAATAACTATGAACCAGACTCTCTCTAGCTTTTGCATTATTGTTTTAAAGGTATGTGAATTTTTGCACTGCTTTATTTTATCAATGCCAAGGCTGGGAAGCATTTCTCGGCTTTCTGTCTAGCCAGATGGGGGTTCCTCGAAATCCAAAAGTTTAAGAACTCCTAGTTTATACTTTTGATGGTGTTAGCATTATGTCATAGTACAGAAAATGCTGTGCAACGCTTTTGGCTGATATCATTGCACCATGCGAGCTATCTCAATGAGACCTCTACCTTAGAACTGTGTGTGGCGCATTATTGTCTGCTAGATTCAAGAGGAAGGTCCCAAACTGCAATGACGACTTCGACTACCCGCTTCTGCTGCCGGTGACCTTCAAGATGCACATTGTCAGAAACATGAACTTCGATGCACATCCTGAAGTTCCCGAGATGAAAGTGGCTGGTATGCTCCCAAAGTTTGAGGTTGGTAACTTTTTTTTTCCTTTTAATGTGTGCATAGCATGTTGCAGCAATTGTAGAATTAATCATCCTCGATCCGGTAACCCAACAAAATGTTGCTATTTGATACAGCTGCAGGATATTTATGTTTATGTACAATCTTCAACAATATGAAAGACTCATTCAATAAAGCAGTTTCAGGCGAGTGTGCTGGATTCAATTCGGCTAAACCCATATTCTTCAGGGTGACTAAGTACACAAACCGTTGTTCTACTATTCTCTCTCTGAAAATAAAGTGCTTCTGGCCAAAATCTGCTTAGCACCACTGCATAAACAGCCTTGGCAAATGGGTCTCTGGTAAACTTGGGAACTCTGCTGGGAAGGTTCAACAGTGTCCTCGCACTCTGGCTATGTAACAGTCTTCTTCCTCATTATCTTCTCGCGAGACACTGAGCAGCACAAAAACGAAAAACAATCCACATGCTGCACACACCTTGCTTTTCCCATCTTGTACACTAGGCTATTAAGTGTCCCATTCCTTTTCATGCTCCTCACCGTTCCCAGTTCATTCTGAGTGAAGAGGACTACTGCGCCATCATGCGTATCTTGGACGAAAACATGAACGAGCTCCCTCCGGGAACGCACCCCGTGGACAGGGCCGCCTTGCAACCGCCCGTGGTGATTCAGCCCCCCTCTCAGTTGACGGAGAAGTCCTCGCACGAACATTCTGACCCAGTGATCACAACCGGTGAGGGCCCCACTTGCTTAACAGTAATAATTTGTGCTCAGGCTCCAGTTTGAGGGCCTTTGGGTTTCGTGCAAGGGATATTACCCGTCCACTTGTGAATGCTACAGAATCTTGAGTATCCTACATAGCATATGCCATTACAAAACTTCATTAGCTGTAACGTGCGAGTTGTGGCTGCATAAAACATGCATAGAATTGTCAGCCCATTCAAATAATTTCAGATTTAATAAAGTATTTTTTAGCTTCAAATGGAACAATCTTTACAAATTCAGGAGCTCATTACAAAAATATTATGCAGTAGACTCTCATTAATTCAAACTCCACCAAGCCACACATTTTGTTTGAATGATCAGAAATTTATCTAAATACGATGCAAGATAAAATTATGATTTGCCATATGAATGGCTACATACGAAGCAGATATTTGATAATTTCCTCTACATGGGCCTACGGATCATAAGCAGGTATGCCACAGATGAAAGTTGTAAAATGTGTGAGAAGTTAATTTATTTCTCAAAAATGTTGTTTGTTGTGGATGTCTCGTGAAACCTGCTGTGTCTGTCTGCTCCCAAACCTTTAGAGTACATTGACCTTCGTAAGTACAGCAGTCAATGCATTGGTTTATCGTATCTTGGGGCATTCTTTAGATCGGTGATTCTCAAATGGGGGTTCCGCGGACACTTTGAAGTCCCTTAAGGCCTTCTCAATGCCCCCGAAGCGCTCAACCATCGGATCGGCCGAGCAATAAATCTTTCTCCATAAAGCTAAATAAACCAAACCATGTGTGCCAAGTGAGTGGGGTTCATTATTCTTTGTTTTAGAGCTTAAAAGTTGGTTTGCATGCATTTAGTTTTCTGCATTTACTTCTTTGTCACTATGATTACCCAATAAACCCCTTTCCCCTGATGGATGGGGTCCTTCATCTCGTCTGCGAATCCATAAAGGGTCTCAAAACCCGAGTGGTCGAGAACCACTACTTTGAATGGTGTTTTCTCTCTTCTTTTGTAGAAAGAAACATCAAGAGGGCTGTCAGGATAGACATTGCCTTTCAGATTGACTCCCTCATCTTGGACCTCTATTTGAAGAGAAACAAGGAGGTGGGTGATTTCTCTTAAGTTTACAACTCTCCATCCAGTGCTGAGTTCACAACTCTTCATCCGGTGCCAAGCTTACAACTCTTCATCCAGTGCCAAGTTAACACCTCCTCATCCAGTGCTAGTCCTGTCTTTTTTTGCATGGCTCTACAGGGAAGTTGTCTAAATTTGAAACGGCTCACTTCCTCAAGATTTATTTGTTGAACCATGGCACATAGGAATTTAATCTTAATGCCACTTTATTTGGTTATTTGTCTAGTAATTAAGATGCTGCGTAAAGAAATTTAATTTAAAGTTGTCTTATTACAGCGAAGCTGTTTATGGCTAGGGTTTAGTAGATCTTTAATGTGCAGTTACTAAAAACTCCACGCTCGCATTACTGCACGTGCATGCATTCCTCGTATAAAAGATTCAAAGTAAATAACCAAAATAAAGCGTTGACGAACGCGCGTTCAAGGTGCCATTGTAGGCTTCTGCTTTAGAACAGTTACTGCTGCAGATGCCAGCACGTGGAACACCATTCCCTGCATTCTCCTGGATGCTTGGGTAATTTAGCATTAGGTAGGTCTATTCAGTACATTAGCTATCAATAGGCACCATTTTCAAGATCAGTAGACTCTCAGGTAGATAATTAAAAGTTTCTCAAAGATTTTCCGCTATGCGACCTATGTCGGCCATGTCTACGCTCGCACCGCGCTCTCTTTGTCGTTGTTCCAAGTGCTTGCGTGCCTAGCTTCCTTTCCTTCCGCTCTCTTGGGGTGGCAATGCCGTCGCGCGTGTCTAGTTTCCTCCGGCTCCTCGGGGCGGGTCTGTGTCGTGTGCGAAGCAGCTTCGCTGGTCATCCACCATCACAGAGTGGAATGGCTCATGATTTTTCTTACTATTCCTCCTACAAAACTGGTAAGAAAAAAACAGCAGTTACCTAAATAATACTGAAAGTGTGAGGAAATAAAAAGTGGAATGAAAACAAACAGTATGCTTTAGTTGCCTTTTTAATTACACAAACAATGCAAAGCTATCTCAAATAGCAAGTTTATTGATTGCTCAAAAAAAAAAAAGGGATGGGAGAGGGGTGCCTAACGGGTGGTTTTGTTTTCTGCACCAGTGCCCGATGTCAAATTTTTCTGACCATGTACTAGGTGAAATAATGTAGTGTTTCGAGAAGCTGTGATTTGGAACATTGTTTCTTTGTTTTTAGGTGAAAGAAGGTCTGGGACGACTGGAGATTCAGGTGTTCTCTATTAAAGGCCACATGTTCCACGATGGCTCGTACTGGGTGGACACCGTGATGCTCAACCTGATACTGGACGACACTCGAGTGTCCCGCAAGGGTGGCCTCACCAGGTACTGCCTACCTCCCTGCGACCCACCAAAATACAAACTATAGCGACACAATATTTTATATTTTATTGGGTCGCAGGGTAGCAGAGTTTCGGAAGCACTGCCCTAATGTAAACAATTAAAGGGGCCCTGCAAACACTTTTAGAGCGCAGCTCTTAGGGGCCTGTTTCCGGCTTGAGCGGGGTCGCCGTTGTCATAACTGCAAGGTCACGTGACCCCTCCCCCCAGGTCATGTGACCCCCCTGAGGTCACGTTGTCACGTGACCCCCCTGAGGCCACGTGACCCCCTGAGGTCAAGTGGCCTCAGGGGGTCACGTGATTTCAGGCCTGAGATCACATGACCCCCAAGGTTACGTGACCCCCTCCCCCCCCAGGACGTGAGCCCCCTCCCCCGAGGTCACGTGACCCCCCTGACGTCACCCCCCCCCCCCCCCCCCCCCGAGGTCACGCGACCTCAAGGAGTCACCTATCCCTCACCTGAGCGCACTGAACGTAGCAACTTAATGAAACTTTTCTTTTCTCGAATTTCGCTTTATTTTAAAAGTTATAGGCAAATTAAAATGACAAAAACAAGCAAAAAGTAACCTCCTCTATGACGTCCTTAGTCCTGGCTTGAGTGTCCGTGAACTAGAGGAGGTGTAGTGAGCTCAGCGAGCAGTCACAGCTGCCACACTCCCATGTCGACGGCTTGAGAGGGCGCCACTAAGGCATATTCTGAATAGGCTGTATGAAGCGGGCAGCCAAAGGGGCTGCCCGCTTCATACGATCAGACAGTGCTAATTCGGCATGACACTTCATTGGCCACAAACGACAGCAAACACGGGGTAAACATCAGTTCAGAACGGGAGCCACTTCGCGCTGCCATGCTGCCAGAAAGCGAAACTGCAAGCCAAAGCTGCTCGCCAAAGGCCTTGGGAATGCCCGGAACTGGTCGGATCCTTCAGTCCATACAACCGCAGCGCCGCCGCGTACATCGGGGGCCTTTCTACGCTTGCCATTCGTTGGTGCCTGGTCCCACTACACTTTTCTAGTATGCGCCACCTTTTCCACCGCTCGGTGGCGGGTATGTCGACAGGTCATTTCTTGTTTTTATACTTTCTAAACTGCATTTGTTTCTTTTCTGATCTAAAATAGTGAACTAAAACTACTTTCATAAATAATTTAAACGGTTTGCGGCATTTATATTTTGTATTCAACTAAAAAGAATCTTTTAGAGGCTCTGACCAGTAGTAAGCCCAGGACCAAAGACGTCGCATATCGCGCGCTTTCCGCACTGCGGGTCGCCCCCGTAGGTGGAGGAGGTTTCCGCGTCGTCCGATTCAATATGGCGCACTGATATTTAGTGACTCTCTTCGTGTCCGCTGGCTTACCCGAACCCCGAGGGATGTGGAAACCACAAAAAAGGTAGACGCTTAAATATGATTGCAGGGTCCCTTAAAGGGGCCCTGCAATCATATCGTATACTGCCCAGAAAAAAAATTTCTGCAGAAAAAGTTGATTTTGAAAGAATGCCATATTTACGTGCACCAACATCTAGAGAGTATTCCCACAAAGTTTCATTAGTTACCACCGCATAGTGAATTTTTTTATAAATTATTTTCAGTGCTCTGATGCTAAAGAAAGGGTAGGGGTTGGAACACTTTGGATGCATTTTTCTCCGTTCCACTTTTTGGCACAAATTTCGCTTTAGGAAAACTCTCGTTTTCCTCTTACATAATAGAGAATTGTTCTTAGGTGGTTTCCTGGGATAGAATTTTGTGAGGAACATGCCTGGCTAGTTAGTTTTTCTACTTTAACATTCTTTTATGCTAAAAAAACTACATTTGTAAAAAAAAGTGCAGACATGAATTCTTTTTTAATCTTCTTGAGGCGTTATACTTATGAAAACATGTGGTATAGCAAAACAACTACCTGGGTATGTACTATAGGTATTCCTATGACTATGTTACTAAAAAAAATCACAAATTTTTATTTTATTTTAAAACTATAGTTTTCCTAAGCGAACACACTGACCTCCATATTGTAACATTCGTAACAAGTTTCAGCATTGACATAGGACATTGAACATTGGCAGAGACGGTCTTGCCACTCATATAAACTTCCACTGCAAATTCGATTGAAATCAAGCAAGCAGTACAGAAGTTGACTTTTCTGGGTACTCCTTAAGTTTCAATTGACGAGTGTTAGTTAATTACTAGTTTCTTACCTAACTGCAGTCAAACCTGGATATACTGTAAACGACTAAATTTTCACGAATTTCGCGAATCGCCTACAATTTGCGAAAAATACGTCCCGCGAACAATCGGGGTAATATGTGAACACTACGAAAAGCTACACTCGATTAGCAAAAATTATATTAAATTTTCAGCTTTGGCCCGATTCGCGAAAATTTGAGCCCACGAAAATTAAGTCGTTTACAGTATATAGAATTCAAAGGGCATTGCAAAATAGTTTGACACAGTATGGATATTTTGATATAAAGAAAGATGATGTTGCCTTGAACTCCAATTGAAACTTTTGCACATCTCTGCCAGTACCGTAGATTGTGATAAACAGGAGCTTACCAAACTGAGCAGTTAAGAACTGCTATATGCTACAGAGCATTATTAAAACGTTGTTGGCGAGAAACGCAAGCGGCGCCGCTCGCATGCGCACTTCTCCGCTCCAATGTGCAGGCGTGGCCACAACCTCAACCGCATTGGCAACGAAACAATAATAAAAAAAGTAAAAGCTGAAAGAGATGCATAAAAAAGAGTCTTTATATAGATAGAGGAAAGTCAAACAAGCACCAAAAAAAACCAAGCCTAAAATTTGAAAAGACAGCAAAACAAAAAGTTCTAAGAAAAAGGTAGACAAAGATAAACAAGGCGTTTAAAGCTCGATTGCATAAACATTGTCGACACGTTCAACTAGCCGAAGACTTTTTTTAGCACAGAATTATACAAGCTTGGTCGTGCTGACAAAGCCTGGTAAGCACAAAATGTGTGATAGGCCCTCCAGGGGAGAGGGGAAGGGCGTCTAAATGGCACCACCTACCAAAGATTTGCTCCCATCTCTGATGCATGCCGTGAGATGGCACAGCATAACAGAAAAGGCTACAAAGCTTGGAACCATGCTTTTGCATGCCACCCATGCCACCCCAATCGGTTTTTTTTGCTTGCTAGCAGCCACCGACCCTGGATAGCTCGGTCGGCGAAGCGTTTGGCTCACAAGGTGTTGAGTTCAAATCCTGCCGGGTACTGAAGCCCTTTTATGTGGTTCCATATGGGCGTAACGCTTTTCGATGTCGGTCTTTCGTTGCAGCCAGTTGTCACAGAACTTCATGAAAATCGGCCGATAGAACTCATTCTGAGGTGTCAGCGACCGAAGTCGACATTAAGTGGTGCTCTACTCTATAAAACGAACACACTCCGGGCTTTCCGAGAGAAAGAGCTCAAAAGAAAGCATCGGTACAGCAAAGAAAAACAAAAGCAAGCTCCTTTGCTGCAGCAGGTTTCGAGTGTTTGGTTCTCTTTTGCCGCGAGCTGGTGCCACGGCTCTGCTCGGCGCTGCCGCGTTCTAGTTGTTTTGTTTTCCGCATGCTCCGTCTACTGCATCTCGCACTCTAGCAGGCTCCGAGAAAGTTGCATTTACATCGCAACCGCAGAGGATGGCACCCCTAAATAAGGCATCCATGTGCCTATTTCGCACAACGCAAGGTCGCTTCGTGCCATTCAGTCTCCACAGTTATTGCACACTAACTCATCACATTCTGTGTTATTACGTATTGCCTTTGCCAGGCTAGTACAACAAAAAAGTGGCTTTTTCTTTTTTTATCTTTTCTTTTTTTATTGGGTGCTTAAAGAGTTAAGGTGGTGTTCTTTTTCTACTCTGCCTCTTTGCGCAGTCGATACCTGACGCCAGAGTCGTTTATCCTTTGTATATGCAAACTGCACAACGACAGGGCTTTTGGGGAAAAGCCTTCCTGCCAGGGGCATGGCACGCAGTTTGATGTATTCAATGTCCCGGGAGGTGCAGTTTGATGCAGACGCACTAAGCACCTATATTTTTGCATGAGATTTTCCAGGGGGTGTTTTGACTGTTCGAAATAAACCAGATTTGGAGATACCCAGGTTCCTGATAATCGGGCTCAACTGTGTTGTGACTGCCCTCTTATCGGACGTCTGCGAGTCACGACAAGTTTGCAGTGAAGATTGTATTAGGTTACGGTCACCCTCTTTTCTTGAAAGAATTCTCATAAATCGGAAACATGCACTCTTCAACATTGTAACAAAAGCAGTTTGGTGTGGTCATTAATATTTCAAGTGAGGCTGGATTCTTCCGAAGTCCTTCGCTTCGAATTCTTGGGATTAGTTCATTTGACCAGACTGAAAGAGGCTTGCTCCTAGAGAGTTATCTATCCTTTTATTTTTTTGGACCAAAGGAGTATAAAAATATTATACCAGGGAAAGCTATAGGAGGCTCTTGGCAGTGACACAGGCCCTTGGTTGTGATTGTTTAATCTGATCAGGTTTCTGACCAAGTCGAGCAAGAGCAAGGATAAGCTCTTGGACATCTTGTACAAGGTGGACCAGTCAGGCGACTTCTTTGTCCAGATGAACCTCTCCAAGATCACCTTTGTCTACTGTGTGGAGTTCTTCAACAGCTTCATGACGTTTTACTACCTGGACAACATGTACAAGCAGGCCGACGACAAGCGGCAAAAGCTGGCAGATAAGCCTGTGGTGAACACCGGTAGGTTCCCAGTACATAGTTTCAGTTTGCTCGGTTAAAGAATAGGGCACAACTTGCTTGCATTTTACTCCTTCATGTTAATGTCGAGTGCCAGGTTTCTTGGGCTATGCTTCGGTTTCTTAACCTTTATAGCAAATGCCTCTTCTAAGAAGTTTGTTCCTGTTTACAAAGTGAACTAAAGTCCCAGCCCATTCTTCAAAGTTTCATGCTGTTAACTTCAGTTATACTGTCGACCCGGATATATTGAATTCAAAGGGGATTGTAAAATAGTTTGATGTATCAATAGTTTGATATACAAAATAATGTTAAATTAAGCTCGGGTTGAAATTTCCTGACGTCTCTGCTAATACCGAAGGTCGCGACAAATGGGCGCTTACCAAATAGAGCATGCAAGAGCCGCTAAATACGGTAGAGTGTAGTCGGTGGAGACTGCGAACACCGCTGCACTTACACGCGTGCCTAGCCAGGACCTCCACACAGCATAAACAACAAAATTCAAAAATTAAAAAAAAAAAATGAAAGGAAGACTGAAAAGCGAAACGCATAAGAAACAGCTCTTGATCATAGAAAAAAGTTAAGCAAGCAACAAAAAAGTGAGCTCACTAAACTCAAGCAACAAAAAAAGAAGGCAAAATAAAAAAAAAAGAGAAACGGGGAATGCAATAACGGCAGAAGAAAAAGGTAAACAAAGATGAGGCGTTCAAAGTGCGATGTCACAACCGTTGTCGACACACTCAACTTGCTGAAGACTTTTTTTTGCTTATTGTATTTTGAGGCTAGGGTGTCGCGCAGCATCAGCAGTGTTCGAGGAAAAGGTGTAGGCTACCGTTCCGACAGCGGGCACTCCCCGCTTTCCCAACACTTGCGCGCGTGCCCTTGCTTTTGCCATCCTCCACTTTTTTTTCTTTTTTACAATTCATTGTCTTTTTTTTTTTTTTTTTTTTTTTTTACAACTGCTCTTTCACTGCGTATCTTCCTGCGTGTGGTCTGCCAGCCACGCAACGCAGGCAATGTGCTCGCCACCGGTGCAATCAGATTGCTGGAAAAGCAGCGGGCGGCCGGGCTTAGTTCGCTATATCGAGTGTCCCCACCATGGGAGTTGGATACAAAAAGACAACGCCCCTATACTATTACATGCGAGTTTCAAGGCGATGTTTGGACTGTTTGATATAAAAAAATTGTTCAAAATGCCTGAGTGTGATATAACCAGGCTTGACTGTAATTAAGTTTTTGTCACGAAATATTTCTCTAACGAACAAGCCCAAGAGATTGCCCATCCAGTTTTTCTGGCTAAACAACCGAAACATAAAATTTAGAAAAATTGCCCACCCCCGATTTCTGTCGGACGTCATGCAATGTCGGACGGGATTCGCATCATCTGCACAATCTGCGGTACCAGTACAATTAACAAGTGAGTTTATAAGCGAGTTCTTGCATTTTTGTCCGCGATCTGCATCCGTGATATCGGCTTTCATGTAAATCGCATTGCGAAATGCGAATCTGCTGTGTCCACGATCTGCATGATTCGTTCCTGAGACATGCAAGTTCGTAGCAGATTCCCGCGTTTTTGTCTGCAATCTGCTCGCGTGATATTGGTTGTCTTACAGGCAAGTTTGTTGCGGGTTCCTGCATGTTTATTGTACCATGAAATTTTAATGTACTACGTCGGCAATCTGCAATATCCGTTCCCTTGAAATCCGAGTTCTCGGCGATTTTATTGCAATAAGAAAATTGTCACACAGGTGACCGATAAAAAAACAGATGAAATAAAAGATCAGTCAGTAAAACACCATTCAAGAAGTAAAGTTACTGAACGTAAATGAAAGTGCACAAGCGGTGGCGGGTCGGCAAGCCACGATACAAAGTCGAAGACAGCTCGCGCTGCTGCACCGACTTTTTGCAAAATCTTTTTATGCGGGTGAATGCAACCACGTGAACGTAAACCAAAGTACACAAGCAGAAGTGGGTCGGCAGGCCACAGCAGAGTTGGAGATCGTACTGGGAGGATCGGTGGTCGAGTGGGCTAGCACACACCAGCTCGGAGCACGTGAAGCGAAGCCTGACGCTGCAAAACCCAGGGGTCCTGGGTTCAATCCCCACCCCTGCCCGTTTTGATCTGGATGAGCATCGTACCACCGTGCGGTCGTGTATCATTAATGCGTGGTGCACGTTAAAGACCCTAGGCTAGCGGTTGTAGTGCACTGGCTAAATTTCTCATCTACAGCTGGGAGACAAGTCGTCCCTGGGGGCAGATCAAGTTCTAGGCTGTAAAAACATTAACGCAACCTTTTTTTTTTTTTGAGAGAGAGATTGTGCGATTGCGCCGCGCAGCCGCCCTGACTTTGTGCTATCTCTTTCCGTGTGCAATAGTTCTGCCAATAGAGGGTGACACAAGAAAGCAATAAATTAAAAATACATCAGTTTTTTTGTTTTTTTTCCAAGGGAGCAAGTTTTACTTTTATTAGTGAAAACGGGTAGAAATAAATAACAAAAGAAATACCGTCAAACAAATTAGCCGGAAAATCAAGCAGAAAATAACACGAGCCAGATAGCACCGGTAGCCGAGGTTAGCCATAAATCCATATCGGAATCCATAGTAGTGAAAATGGTCCGTCGCATTTGTGCTTACAACGATCATTGTGCCGTTGAAAACTTCATCCGCAGCTTTTGTGTCACGACCACTTCGCCAACTCCGGAATCCGGACATCATGGCAAGCAGAGGACAGATTGTGCTACCCCAAATAACTTTCCAATATATATAAAAAAAGAAAAAGGAACTTAGGTTTGCCTTTTGGCTTTGTTCAGAAACAAGACAGGGAACTCGACCGCAAGTTGACACTAATCGAAGAGCTCCGCGTTATTCATAGTTTTTGAAGTATTCGAAAAACTCGAATGCTTCGAACAGCGAAAGTGCGAAGCAAACTGAATCGAATAGCAAGCATTATTCGCGAAGTATTCGAAGTTTTGAATATTTGCACACCCCTAGATAATTCAAATTAACCAGGTTCGATTTAATCGGGTTTGACTGTATCAGTTCTTGTGTCACGTGGTTTGGGGGGGTGCCCTGGTGTTTATCATTAATTTTTGATAAAGTTTTGCTGTCGCATCCCTAAACATTGCCCAACCCATGTTTTTCCCCACTTATCTCTTCATTTTGGGCGGGCAGTCTTACAGAATTTTTATGTAGTTCATTGCTTCTAAGAATAAAGTGCTGTGACATGTTATAGTGCTCGCCCTCTCCCGCATACCATGATTTCAGAATATTTTTTGTGGTAGGAAAGCAAAAATCATGCTCATAAACCCCAACAGAACATGCCTCACAGATAAAAAAAATCGCCTTCACTGCTATATAGCAATCTTTTTTCATGCTCCGAAGCCCAAAATGGTCGTGGCAACTTTTCTTTTTTACTTTGGCTGCCTCGCAGGGCGATCAGGCGAAGCAAAATGTTTTTGTGGGGAAAACATCTGCTAGCGGTAACCCTGAGCTTACCAGGGGCACTGAAATCTGTTTGCTCGCACCAGGTGCGAGTTTCTGGTAAACATGGCTTCCACTGATGTCACATCAGCAGCCATTTTATGGTGTTGCTGCTGAGCGCGTACCTTCTGCAGCGCATACTTCACACCACCAAGTTTGTATTTTTCGGCAAGAACATGGAAGAACGACTACCCATGAGCATGGTGCAAAGACATCACATGCAAGTCATGTACAGTCTCCGACTAACTTTTTCGACTTCACAGGGACCGAGAAAACATCCGAATAATAGAGCAGTCCAAAAAATCGGCAGATTAAAAAACTTGCCTTTATTACGTCTAAGCGGGCATAAAAAAGACGTCAATAGTTTGTTGCTTCAGGTTACGCCTGCGCACCTTGGTTAAAGTTATGCCTTCGCTTGCGTTCAGCCACTTTCTATTAGCTTAACAATCGCCGCCTTCTTTTTTAGCGTTATGGTCGAGTACTTTCCGCGCTTCTTAGCGGCACTTCGCGACGGTGGAAGAACAGATGGGGGCCGTGACGCTCAAGCCAGCATAGTCCGGAAACAGTTCATTGATACGTGATGAGAGTCCCGAGTCCACGACTATAAATGGCAAACAAACAAAACAAAATGGTAACAATGATGATGATGATAATGATGCGCAGACCGGTAGGGCTTAGCAGTATTCAAGTAGCGCGAACAAACCAAGCCAATCCAGTACAGCCAGCATAGAATCTAAAATGGTGGCTTCTCGGTGATCTTTCCCGCTGATCGCTCGCAACAATTTTGCCAAAACAAATCAAACGTTCAGACTTCAAGCTGTCTGAAATATCGGTCGTGAATATGTACTATTATTATCCCGCAGGTCACGGTTCCTTCTCTAGGTCTGAAATATCGAACAAGTCCGAATTATCGGAATATGAAAAATCGGTCGGCGATTGTATTGACAGAAGTTCAGTAGAGTTTTCAGAAGTTTTCTTTGTCTGGTATCTGTAGTGACCGATCTATTGCGTTGGTGTAATTGTTCTTAAGCTGCTGCTTTTATTCAGTCACAGACACAACGTCTCCACCCATGCCTCCATACCCAGTCAGGAACTTCACGGTGCAGCTTGAGATGGACAAGCCGGACATTCTTCTTGTGGCCAACATTGACGATCCACAGTCTGCTTGCATCATTCTCAAGGTAAAACACTTAGTCTAAGCTTATTTTCGTTGTAATTTTCATTTATGTGGTACCCAGCAATTCTGCAGGACTATGGTAATACAAAAAATCTATTTTCTCAAATATATCTAATACTTATATAATCAATGAGTGTGCCTTGCAGCTTTATGAGAGTACAGCTGAACAGAATAATGGCGGTTCTCAAAATCTCAGAGTGCTCCATGTCTGAGAGTAAAACCCTTCTTGTTAAGAGTGGCATTGCTTTAGTAATGGGAGCGGTAGATACCGAGAGCTGTTAACTTCGTTTTTTAACAGTTTATGAATTGTTGTTTAATTGAAGCCTACATGAATGAAGTTTTATTAAGTAATGTTAGCATTTGTCTTATTGGTGTCAACAATTGTGTGCTTTTTGTTATTTGTGTGTAATTCGAGAGAATATGTAGCCCTTGTAAGACTTTTTTTTTTTTTTTTGTGGCCAGTTAACACCGCACTGGTTTCCTTATTGTTTTGGTAACAGGTTATGTGGCCAGAGGTAGTTTGCTCACTGTTTTATAAGGGGCTATCGGGCAGTAACTGGTGTAGGGGTCACTTTGTATAGTAAGTTATAAAGCAAAATAACTTGCTTTGTATGCCAGAAAGCTTCATATTATTGAGTTGTTTGTGGTAAATATGCCTATGAAAAGTCATTGTGACTGTTCACAAAACACTGCTTGGCTAAAGACTGCTACTGAAGTTAGTCTTGGACAACACAAGCTGAAAGGACCAAACGACGACTGAAAAATACCAGTAGTGGCCCCATGTTAAGATGAGATGTTGAAATGTTGGGAGAAAGAGCATGCGGACAAAAGCGCAGCACCACTGCTTTCTGTCTTAGTTCGATACGTAAAGAATGCCTTTGGCCGATTCCAAGAAGTTTGAAATTGTACAGAGAAGGGGGGGCAAAGAACATGGAGGCAAGGTGCATTGGTGTGCATTCCAGAACACGCAAAAGGAACACGCCGAGTCACAGTGGTGTTATCCCATATTTTCAATAATTTTCTTTCGAGAATGGAAAATCGGAGAACTGAGGCTTACCTTTCGGTCGTTGGTATCCGAAACAGCCCGACTGTGCACTTTGACGAATTACCGCAGAACTTGGCACAAGAGATGGAGTGGCAACGACAAGTACTGTAAACGACTTCATTTTCGCGGGCTCAGTTTTTTGCGAATCGGGCCAAAGCTGACAATTTAAAATTATTCGCGGGTTCTAATTTTCGCGAATCGAGTGTAGCTTCTGTAGCGTTCACATACTGTCCGAATTGTTCGCGGGACGTATTTTTCGCGAATTGTTGGTGGTTCGCAAAACTCGTGAAAATTTTGTCGTTTACAGTATTCATTTTTAAAGAGCTTTTTTAACACATTGAGTTTCATATGGAGACCAAACACCCAAGAAACAGGCCGAGCACGAAGCGCTTCCTCCGCTGCAAGCAGATCTTCCAAACCCGCCTGCGTGCACCCAGACACACTCTCATTTTTCTTGAGCTGTTTTTAAAATGCGAAAGCATTAACTGTCCCATGGAGTGAGCCGACGTCATCAGCTTTTGAAGCCACGCCAAATGGCAGCTAAACTCCTTTCTCCCAACGGAGCGAAATGAAGTCACGATCTGAAGGCTCTCAGCTTTGAAGCCGCACCAAACGGCAGCTGAATTCCCCTGTCCCAATGAAGCAAAGGGAAGTCGCGATTTGAAAGCTCCCCCCAGCCTTGAAGCCGCGCAAAAAGCCACGAGAGATGGCAGCTGAATTCACCTTTCCAAGAGTAACGAAGTGAAGCCGAAAGCTGATGAATAGGCTCCCATTGGCTGGCGCACGTCATAGTTTTAAGGAACAAGACTCTCATTGGCAGGCGCACGTCAGTTTCAAGAAGCGCCACCCCATGGCGCTATGGGCCCACGCTGCAGAGCCAGCAAGGCCTCTCGGAGCCCTCTCGGGGCGGACTCGGGAGTGGCTGCATGGCCAATGTCAGCATGGCACAGCCACTTCACGAGAGTGTGTGCAAAAACGACATTCATGCTTTCGCATTCACAACTCATAAGAAGTGCTTAGGTGTACTTCGAGCCTTTTTTGTGCTGGCAAGACGGCGTGGCAGTGAGTCAAAGTAAGAAAAAAATTTGGTAAGGGTACTAATCAATGAAAATTGCTAAGTTTATTTGTAACTTTAAAACAACTTATCTTTATTAGACGTCAGAATATGGATTATCATTTATTTAAAATAAAATAATATTAGCCGCGCTTTGTCCGGAGCAACAAGCGGGAGTGATGTTTTGCCTCGATGATGACAGCTTTTCAAGCACTTCGCAGGACTGAAAAATGAAGTGCTTCATCTGTCTGGTACAATTTGTCTTACGGTGGGACCACTGGTATCTCTCATCGCTCAGTTATCTTAGCATGCATACTCCGAGACTATCAGCAAAACAAAATGGAGACCCAGTTTTGCTGATCTGGTTTCTGTTTGCAGAGCTCAATTCATTTCAAGCTGCGGCAGGTGTCTACCACCCAGACCATGATGGCAGTCATGGAGGAATTGAGGATGTTCACATCCTGTGTTGACAAGTTCCAAGAAGAGCACGTCCGTTCAGAGGTGAGAGGGCTTCTTTCTTCAGCGAAGCTGTCTATGGCTAGTTCTGGCAGATCGTCTCTGGGGTCAGGCAGAGCGTAGAGCAACAATTTTGTACAATTAATGCTGCCGGCACTGCCCGTGCGCGCCTTCCTTGTATAAAAGATTTGAAATAAATAACCAAAATAAAGCAGAAAAAAAACAGTTCATGCTGCAGACGCCGGCACGCGCGCGCTTTCCTTACGTGCGGCGTTTATTTTCCCCCTGACATTGTGCAATGCCACGCACCCCTCGGCGGCCACCTGCCGAAGATCGCGCCACTGTCCTTATCAGTTGGACTTCGAACTTCACATGGGTCGCACCCGTGATCTTTGTTCTGAAGAGGAGCAGCGGGAGTACGAGGAGCGTCAGTATGCCTGGAAGCGAGAATGGGCACGCCGCTAACATAAAACCGCCGTTGCCGCTGCTCCCAGCCCGACATAGCGAATCCCACCAGAGTGCCAGTTTTGCTGGACTTGCCTCTTCACGAAGTGGAAGGGCTCTCAATTTTTTTTATATGGCATTGTTGGCACTTGGCAATATGTGGCATCTTTCTCCCACTTGGGCCATCCTGGCGGAGCATGCAGTGTAATATAGTTTGTAATGTCGCGGTACTAGTGAAACTGCAGTACACCCTGGAAAGTGGGTAAAAGTCAAACTGTAAGGTACTGTGCAGGAAAGAGATAGTGCTGCTGTGATCTGGTGCTTGGACATAGTAGCATTTTTCTTACAACCTGTGATGGAGAAAAAGAAAGGTAGTTTCTTCCCTTTTTGCATTTTCTCTTGTGGACGAAGCATTGGGGGCAGTTTGCTGCTTTAGACCCATGTTACGGATAAAAATAACAGGGCACGAGATGGCCAAGAAAATGTGCTTTTCGTGTAAGGCTCATCAAATTATGAGGCACCAGAGAAAACCAGCCTTTTGCGTTAACTCCTTATTTCAAACTCTTTTTGTTTGCAAAGCATGCGGGAAGCGCCTTAGCACGCACTTCGTATCTCTGCACCGCAGTGTTCCCCTGCAGCATAAAGGCCGTTTGCTTCTTATTGCTTCTTTGTGGCGCCTTCTATCGGCAGAACTATTCCACACGGAGAGAGATGGAGCAAAGTCAGTGCGACTGCGCAACACGATCTTCGACTTTGTATTGTGGCTTGCCGGCTGGCCACCGCTTGTGTACCTTCGTTTATGTTCACGTGGTTGCGTTTGTCCGCGACGTGAACTAGGTATATAGTAACTGCGTTGTGGTTTGCCGACCCACCTCCACTTGTGTACTTTCATTTACGTTCTGTAACTTCACTCCTTGAGTAGTGTTTTACTGATTGATCTTTTATTTCATCTGTTTTTTTATCAGTCACATGTGTGACATTTTTCTTGTTTCAATAAAATTAACCTTTTCATAAATGTTTGTTGAAAAAAAAAATCCAGTTGTATTTTGATTGAAAATTCTTTAGTTCACATCAAAAAGAAAATCGTTGTTTTCAGAAATGTTCCTATTTAAAACTACTCTTCCTATTTGAAAATATTCGATTTGATTCGACTTAAAACCTTTAATATTCAGTTTGCTTCAATGGATTTTGATATTTGCACACCTTTACTTTCCTTCCCTTAATAGGCAAGGTACTTTCTGAGGCCACAGTCGATAAATAGATTAAATGAACTCACCTTAGAAATGGACAAGTGGAAGCTTGGGAACAACCCTCATAGTTTCAGCTGGGTTTTCATTTAAGTGAAAAGTTTAGAGGAACCATTCAATATTTAATTAAAAAATATTCGGCCAAAACCACTATTCATTTCGAATTCATAATCGACTATTTGCACATGCCTAGTTCTTATATACCAGCACTTAAAATTTTGGTATTTTAGCAGTCCCACAAAATATTTTTTTCTTAGCACCCACTTTTACAAAGGAATGAAATTGTGATCGCATGGGTCATTTGTTAGCAATAACAGGTGTGTCCAGCTGCATTTTTAGGAGCTTATTTTCTGCCACTTGCTCCACTTCAGTGCGATGGCCGGCGTTCAGACTTTCAACTCCTCTTGATTTTTCAAATATGATACGAGACTGTTTTCTCTCTTTCCTCAGATCCTAAAGCCAACTGAGATCAGTGTGAACAGCACCTTCACCGTTGAGAATGGACAGCACATGGAGATCAACTTTAGTCCGATTGAAATTCATGTGACTGCCGGAGCTGTGGAGATCCTCTCCAAGAGTTTGAGCTCTCTCAGCGGCCCAAGTGTAAGTTTTGTTCATGTATACACCAGGATGACTCAGGTTTATGGCATAAACCACAGCTTCTTATGTAACTAAAAAAAAAAAAAAAAAATAAGAAATAGCAATTACTGCTGACTCTCATTAATTCAAACTCGAGGGGGGCCGAAAATTTGTTTGAATAAAGCAAAGTTTGAATTACCAGGAGTTTCTTCCCATAGAGACGCATAGGATGGGACCTGCACGTTAGTTTGAATTATCCGAAAGTTTGAATTAAGAGATTTTGAATTAACGAGAGTCGACTGTAATAATTTCTTTTATTTCCACATTTGAGATTTCTGTGTATTTTAAAAAGCTTTACGAGATTGTCCCTTTTTACTGCTGTTCTTCTTCCTCTTTTTTTGCCCTTGTATACTGTATTTACAAGATTGTAAGTCGACCCCCCTCACATTGCACATCAGCAAAAAAAAAAAAAAAAGCATGTTTAGAGGTGCATTTTACAGCGACCACGTCAGAATGGCAGGGTACCTCTTTCGAAACCCAGCCTCCAGCACGCGATCTATGCCTTGTGGCGTGTTTTGGCTGTGCGTGCACACGTGGGACGTACGAGATGCCCAGGCACTATCGAAACTAGGAAGCTCACGCTGGACACCTGAAGCTGCTCCCTGTCGTCCTCACGTTGTCCGCAACTAGAGACTAATTGGTCTGCACTGGGGATATCATTCCCGTCGTCATCACTGCTACATTCTCAAAGCACGTCGTTGGCGTCGTCCAACGAAATCTCGCACTTCGCAAATGACAGCATCAACCGCATCTTCCGCGCTTGCTCGGTGATTGTGTTGCACGTCATGGGTAGGGACTGATTGCACACTTTTGCGGCGTATGTTGCAAGCTTGACCTTCAAATTTGGAAGGCATCCCCACCTATCCAGAATTTGGCCCGCTGGAGCCTTTTCGTTTGCCATCACAGTTAAGATCCTGTGCCATTGCAGACTCCACTGGATCACCACTTGCTCCGACTGATCGAACTTGCATCCAGCAGCGCAGTTGTTGGTTGCTTGTGGATGAAGAATGGCCATAAACAAGCACCGAAAAGCTAAACTGCCCGGATCACACTTGCCTATACAAGAAAACGTAGTTGGTGCTCCAGCATGATCTCGACACTCAACCAAACGACTTGCGACCGTGAATCATGCGAAAAACTGCTGCGGGGAGTGAGGCGTGAGGCTGTTCCAGCGGCCTCCTGAGTGGCTTTTACAAGAAGTGCCGCCACCCCCGAGAATTGGGCGCGCCATACATTTGGGCTAATTTTTGAATTGCTAACAATAATACTCTTTCGTGCAATTAAAAAAAAGAAAAAGAACATGTAAAATGAGTACACAGAATAATGCAATGCTACAGGTACAGCCGGCTGAACTTGTAACAAGCCGAGGTGTTCTTGATATCGCGATTGTTTTGTTTTTGTCAGCAGTGAAATGCTTTGGTTCATTTGTAAGTTGACCCCCCCCCCCCACTTCAGATTTTTGAAAAATGAGGCAACCTACATTCGTGTAAATATGGTAGATTGTAGTGTACCGTGAATGCAAATTTTTTCTGGCAAAAAATGGAAGTGCTAGAAATTAGTCGGACAAGGGGCTTTTGTAAAGTGAGGTATCTTTCTGTATTTGTTATGCAAACGAAAGGACGGCCCAATTTCTGTGGGATTTGTAGTCTATGTTTCTGAAAATGAAAAGGATGAACATTTTTTCATTATGTTAGGTAGTTTAAGGGGGTTATACTGTTGAATTAACAGCGCAAATACGACAGGAAGGAGAGACAAGGGAGACAGGATAGAGTGCTGAACTAACAACTGATGTTTAATGAAAAGGAGAAAGAGGAAGAACCGAAGAATGCTTTTAAAACATGCATAATGAAAATTCGCAAAAACATATGCTATAGCTTGAGTTGCCTGAAAATGAATTGCTGAGAATACCAAGCTTTAAGCTGGTCGCTTAAATGACTTGTTGAAAACGATTGAGTCCTGGGACGACGTGAATAGAGATTCCGGTAAAAAAAAGTAAGAGGAAGTTTAGGTTTAAAATATTCACAGATTCTAAGGATCGTTAAAGATTGCGACTTAAAAAGTAATGTTCTTTTTGTGACAAGGCCACGGACGGCGCGCTTACGCAGGCATCCCCACAGGACAGAATAACCTGTGCCTCGTAGAGCTCGCGAGTTCGTCATTCCCCTAAACGTTTCAGGATTTTTGTTTCCCTGAACAAGGCGGAGCACTGGCAGTCCCTGACATGTATGGCCAAGTGGCCTGCTGGCGACGACTTTAGTGACACGGCATGTTCTCTTAGACGATCGTTGACACACCTTCCTGTCTGACCCACATACACTTTCCCACAAGTAAACGGTATTTCGTATACGACCGCACATTGGCACTCGACGTATCTTTGTTGATGTTGAACTCCGCACACATCCTGCTGCTGCTGCTTGTTGTTAATTTTCGGACACAACTTCTTTAGTTTGTCCGGTGCAGACAACACGACTTTGACGTTAAACTTCGATGCAATCTTCTTAAGGTTGTGGGAAATGCGGTGAATGTATGGAAGCACAGCCGGTCGGATATTTGTGTCCCTTTGTATCGTCTGTCGTCCCCGTGTGGTGATAATAGACTCGGCGACGTCATACAAGATGGAACTTGGATAGCCAGAATCTTGAAGACGCTGCACTTGATCATGAAAGCTTTACCCCGCTGAATGTACACAGGATTTCTTTAGCGCCGCATTTAGGGAGTTTTTTACAATTCCTCTCTTAATAATCTTCGAATGTGCCAAATCGTATTGCAGGAGGCCTTTCTTGGACCTTGGGGAGTACTTCCAACAAGTATGATGTTCAAAGAAAGACAGTCATAGATCCAAGAATTGAAGGACGGTGTTAGCCGGTAGTTCATGTGTGAACTTGAGCCCTTGTCCTTTTTCAAAGAAGGTGGATTGTATGGTGTCAAATATTTGTAATTCGTTGTCTGCTGGACGTTGTGTGAGGAGAACTAGGTAGTCGTCCACGTACCTAAAAATACGGGAAACTCTGCCGATGGGAAGGGCATTAGCAATTGCCCGATCACACTGCGATAGAAAAATATCGCAGAGGACCGGAGCCACGCACGACCCTATACCAATTCTTTTCTTTTGCAAGTAAGTCTTGCCCTCAAACGCAACGACCATGGCAGAAAGGTAGAATTGCAAAAGTTCTAGAACTGATTCTTCCGAAATTCCACATTCGTTTTGAAAGGACGTGGTTCCCTTTGCCTCAATAGACTCTTTGACGGCTGCAAATATTCAAAATTATTTGCAGCCGTCAAAGAGTCTATTGAGGCAAAGGGAACCACGTCCTTTCAAAACGAATGTGGAATTTCGGAAGAATCATTTCTAGAACTTTTGCAATTCTACCTTTCTGCCATGGTCGTTGCGTTTGAGGGCAAGACTTACTTGCAAAAGAAAGGAATTTGTATAGGGTCGTGCGTGGCTCCGGTCCTCTGCAATATTTTTCTATCGCAGTGTGATCGGGCAATTGCTAATGCCCTTCCCATCGGCAGAGTTTCCGGTATTTTTAGGTACGTGGACGACTACCTAGTTCTCCTCACACAACGTCCGGCAGACAACGAATTACAAATATTTGACACCATACAATCCACATTCTTTGAAAAAGGACAAGGGCTCAAGTTCACACATGAGTTACCGGTTAACACCGTCCTTCAATTCTTGGATCTACGACTGTCTTTTTTTGAACATCATACTTGTTGGAAGTACTCCCCAAGGTCCAAGAAAGGCCTCCTGCAATACGATTTGGCACATTCAAAGATTATTAAGAGAGGAATTGTAAAAAACTCTCTAAATGCGGCGCTAAAGAAATCCTGTGTACATTCAGCGGGGGAAAGCTTTCATGATCAAGTGCAGCGTCTTCAAGATTCTGGCTATCTAAGTTCCATCTTGTATGACGTCGCCGAGTCTATTATCACCACACGGGGACGACAGACGATACAAAGGGACACAAATATCCGACCGGCTGTGCTTCCATACATTCACCGCATTTTCCACAACCTTAAGAAGATTGCATCGAAGTTTAACGTCAAAGTCGTGTTGTCTGCACCGGACAAACTAAAGAAGTTGTGTCCGAAAATTAACAACAAGCAGCAGCAGCAGGATGTGTGCAGAGTTCAACATCAACAAAGATACGTCGAGTGCCAATGTGCGGTCGTATACGAAATACCGTTTACTTGTGGGAAAGTGTATGTGGGTCAGACAGGAAGGTGTGTCAACGATCGTCTAAGAGAACATGCCGTGTCACTAAAGTCGTCGCCAGCAGGCCACTTGGCCATACATGTCAGGGACTGCCAGTGCTCCACCTTGCTCAGGAAAACAAAAATCCTGAAACGTTTAGGGGAATGACGAACTCGCGAGCTCTACGAGGCACAGGTTATTCTGTCCTGTGGGGATGCCTGCGTAAGCGCGCCGTCTGTGGCCTTGTCACAAAAAGAACTTTACTTTTTAAGTCGCAATCTTTAACGATCCTTAGAATCTGTGAATATTTTAAACGTAAACTTTCTCTTTCTTTTTTCTACCGGAATCTCTATTCACGTCGTCCCAGGACTCAATCGTTTTCAACAAGTCATTTATGCGACCAGCTTAAAGCTTGGTATTCTTGGCAATTCATTTTCAGGCAACTCAAGCTATAGCATATGTTTTCGCGGGTTTTCATTATGCATGTTTTAAAAGCATTCTTCGGTTCTTCTTCCTCTTTCTCCTTTTCATTAAACGTCAGTTGTTAGTTCAGCGCTCTATCCTGTCTCCCTTGTCTCTCCTTCCTGTCGTATTTGCGCTGTTAATTCAACAATATGATCAACCAACTAGCCCACCAGATGATAGTGATGCAGTTTAAGAAGGGTGCTCAGCCATGGAGGCAGTTCTGGCTTGGTCTGATGGTACTTTTTTTTTCTACAGTTACATGTCTAGAAAGATTGTGTAATGCTGTGTACTGGCTATGAGCGTTACCTGCTCTCTGCATATGATGCACAGCCGCTTTGCCTCTTCGCTTTGCGCAGCAGGAGCAGAAAACCGACCTGGTGGCAGAGCCTGACAACAAACATATCTGGAATGCACAACCTATTGCAAAAACCAAACTTTGGTTCCTGGAAGAGCGGGCTGTGCAAATGGCCACAGAAGCTATGGAGACAGATGTGGTGGCCGCACAGGATGCAGTGGCAGCTCGTAAGGATGAACAGGTAGCATGGCCACTCCACTTGTGGACTTGGAGAAACTTTGCATGCTGCAACTCCTCTTCATTGCTTTGTGGTGCATTTTATTTCTCTAATGTTTAGGCACTGTATTCACTTTCGTTATTATCATGCTCTTGCAATACGCTCAAGGTGCCCGAGACACTCCAGCTTTGCCAAAGATGGGAAGCTTAATTGTGCCAGAGGTGGGACAGCTGAAGCTCTTCTCTGCTGTTCTCACCTTGACAGTGACTGTAGACCTTTCCAGCTGCAGTCTTAAACGATATGATTTATAGTGCGCGTCCCCGGTTTTGAGGGTGTATGTCAGTGTTGCCTGACTGCGCTGGGCTGTAAGTTTTCTCGTCAGTCAACTGTGGCAGCCTGCGCAGGTGCAATTCTGGATGCTAGCGGTGGCTAAATTGCCGTGTTTTATTTTTTGCTTTTGTGTGCTATGGCAAATATATTTGGTCTAGATTTTTAAGAAAGCATTGTGCTATTCTTAGGAACAAAAACAAACAAATGAAAGCTATTTTTGGTGAGTCCGTGCCTGACACAACAAATGCAACTGGAATGTTTGTTTAATTTTATGTTGATATTTTTTGCAACACCATACACTCACCTGTGTCAATTTACGAAGGTCTTAACTGTCGAAAATATTTGGCCTCACAGGATAGCCGAACTGTATGGGTATTTTCCCCTCACAACGGGAAATTCAACGAGTCTCATCAATCAAGCAACATATATTGCACATACCTCGCAGTGCCGCATCCGAACAGGATTTGAGAAAGGTCTTAAATAACACAACATATCCATTATACAGTGTCGGTGACAGTCACCTCACGACGGTCGAACAGAATTTGGCTCGTTTTGGGGCACGTTTTGAAGAGAGCTGCTTTTTTTTTTCACAACACCAGTGCAAATGAACAAACATGTCTATGCCATCCCCATACCCCGGACTCAACTCTTATCAATTATTTTTCATGAAGACCGGGAACATAGCCAGGAAGGCTTTGCGGAGTTTATCTCAACTGAAATAATCCCCGAAGAACGTTGAACGGCCCGTGGTCTACCTGATGTTCACTCTCTTCGTTTGTTTTTTGCGAAGGCCGAGCTGGCTACGAGCTTTGGTATTCCCCGATTCTCACAGTAGACGATAACGCAAAAAGGGTAAGCATCCTGATCAGGCAAATAAAGTAAAAGCTTTATTTGATTGCTCAGGTGAACTTAGAGTGCACAATGCAGGTGGGGAGTCGCTCTGACATTTTCCACAGCTCAGGCGGGTGGCAGAAATTTCTGGCTGATGGGGGTCGCTCGAGTCGCAAAATGGCGGCGGCCAGAGAGCCCTTTTTTTAAATGTCTTAGAAGCTTTGTCTTGTTTTCGGTTGACATTTCTTCTGAGCAGTTGTGTCTCTCTGTCTCGTACACATTGAGGCTTACCGGCTCGTGTTTTTGTGTAGGCCCTCCTCAACGCCAAGTCCATCGTGATCACCGTGGAGCAGGGCTCTGAGAACCGCACCGTGCCCATGCTTTTGTGGAGGGCATCCCTGGAGGCTGAAGTCCTGGACTGGTCTTCACAGGTATGGCCCCACCCCTCTCGCAGGCAGGCATCCCGACGTTCATCAGAATCTCGGCAGGGCGTGACATCTCTGCGTCCTCTCTCTGTCGGACGCAGATGGCCGTGAGGGCATTCCTCGGATCTGTCGTGTTCTGCTACAACGAGAAGCTGGCCGTGTGGGAGCCGCTGGTGGAACCAATAGAGGTTCCCGGTGGCCGCAAGATTTGGGAGATTGCGCTCAGGGTTAGTATTTATAACGCCTGCATCCGTGCTTTATGCCATTTCGGTTTCTCCCAGTGTCCGAATGAATTTGGTTGCAATGTGGACCTTACAAACGACAGTAGAATAAGTGATAGCCCAGGGATTTGCAGGCTAAAGTCACACGATTACCAGCCAGGCATTTTGTGTCATTTAAGTCGGACACATACTCGTGGAAATCGGCAATGCATGCTCGATTATGGAAGTAAATTATCCTGTGGTGCTCTTCCAAGATTGACAAGCGAGTGGTTGATGAAGAAGAAGCAAATTCCGTTGACTTGCCCGCCGTCTACTCCGTCGAGTTGCTGGTTGAGGACACCCTGGAAGTAACTGTGACACAGACGTCGCTGCAAGTAATGAAGCACCTTGCAGAGGTAAGACGTCGCTTAATAAAAAGATTAGACAAGTAGTTGTGGATGGGTGGTGCATTTGTTTTTCCAATTTTCTTTCCTAGGCCTTCAGTGAAGCCCTGGTGCATGCCACTTATGACCACAGACGCCCAGATACTCCCTACGTTGTCAGGAACTACTTGGGCATCGTGGTTCACATCATCCTTCAGGGCACACCCTTCAGGGTAGGAAATATGACTGAGTTCTCTCTCTAGTTGGGATAATTAGTTAACCGATCTAGCCTTTTGGAGTTGACACAGCTCGCATGGGACGGGGATGGTGTTATGGATAACGCAAAAACCTGATGCTTTCAGTTTTTTTTTTTTTTTTAAATGACGGATGCTACAGGTTGCGGCACCCAATGTGGACGAAGACATTGATGAGGTAATCCTGGAACCCGAGGCACTGGTGCAGCTCAATTTCCGGGACACCGGAGAGGAGGGAGAGGAGAGGTTTACTGGCACACTGATGGAGCTGAGCCGCCAGAATGTCGCAGATGCCACCTTCGCCATCCAGGTTCACAATACTTTTGACCTCTATTTGAAACACTGGGGGGTGTTTTCATCTTGGAACAGAAAAGAGCATGAGAGACGTCTAAGTGAGGGAATTTTTAATGACCAGAATATTGCTTTTGAGGTTCTCACTGCCATAAAACTTGCCAGCGCGAGCCTGCCAGCTGAGGCAGGCACGTTATTTCAGGGTCATGCAGGGCTGTGGTATGGCATTGACAGAACCTTCGAGAATTTTACGGCAAATGTATGCGATGTATGGCGGGCAGCTCACACAGCGAGGGTGTTTGCATCTGCACACGCTTCCTTCATTGAGCAGCTGTCTTGGTGCCCTTGGGGATTCTATCTCATGTATATTATATTTGGGCTCTTAATGAAAAAGTTCTAATGTTCTCTTTGCTCGAGAGATATTTTAAGAAACTCCTATTGAGAAGTCAGTGTGGGATGACACCACTTTGGCGGGGCCTTCCTTGTGCAGGTGAATGAAGGTGGAGTGTCGGCGGTGAGGAAGCTGTGTGTCACCTATGCGGATAAGCGGTACTTCAAGCTGCCCATCAAGAGCTACCCTGGGGACGACTGGGCTTTCATTGTGGACACCACGTCTCACTATGGCTCGAAGCTGGTCATGATCTACTCTGTGTGCAAGGTCGGAGCCCTGCCACTTTTATTTGGGGATATGGTGCATTTGGTAAATTTATACAGTAATCCCTCGTTATAACGAAATCGCGTTTTTAAAATTATTTTACCGAAGTTCAACGTGGTCCCGACCGAAATGCATGCATTTTGAATCGGATTATTCAAAGTGTATTGGTGGCCGACCACTCTTATTACGAAGGCTGAGGTGGCAAAAGCATGCAAGCCTACATGGAGGAACACGGAGACCCCTTGCGTTCCCTCCCGCTTCTCCTCCGAGTCAAACGGCAAACTGGGAAAACGGCAAACAAGTAAATGGAACAAACAGATGACGTAGGGCAGAGCGCCACTTCCAAAGCCGATGCGCCGACACGGGCAGGTAGCAGCGGGATCAGCGTCTGCATTCCGACGCTACTCATGGTGCCCGCAGCCAACGCTGCTCGACTCCTGTCGGAATCGGGTCAAGGGAGCGGTGGAGCCTGGAAAAGATCATCTCTTCAGGATCCCCCCACTCGCGCTTGCACAGCCGCGCCTGCAGCATACCACACGTTACATGCACACGTGTGTCGTATGGGAGTGGGTGTGTTTATTCAAAGTTACTTAGATCTGTGAGGTTGAGAAAAGTGGCCAGCCCAAGTCTGAAATCGCTAATGAATACTACATTCCGGCATCGGCTGTTCGACACTGTCCACCGTTTTACTGAACAAGCAAGACGTACTGGACGGGTTCAAGAAGTTTCTCATGCAAGAGAAAGTGTGCTCGCGACCCGAAGATGAAAGATTACCAATTGCTTTGTGCATGTCGAATTTTCTCGCATGAGCATGCCCGCCGAGCCGGCGCACGATCCCCAGAGCTGCAACGGTACAGGAGTGTGTGAAAACATGTCAGCGAAGCCACGAAGAATAACTCATTCGTTCGCGCTTGTCGATGCGGACGTTTCCGTTGTTGCTCCTGCCCATGGATGCTGCGATTGTACACCTTGCGTGCGACCAGGGTAAACACGAAGTGACGTCAGAAAGACACTTCGGGTGACGCCAACGACTGCGGACACAGGAAGCATCCTACGGCTACTTCAAAACGAACTAAAGTGCAGCGGTGGTGACAGTTCTTGCGATGCCTGGAGCAGTTTGACGAGAACTGATGCCCGGATGAAATTCTCGACAAACTCCACTTAATTATTCTTTTACTCGGTGAAGCTGCCACTTGTTGTTCATTACCAAGGTTTGCTTGATTAAATATGCAGTCAGAGTGTTCCTCAGTGTTCCCATCCACCTCTAAAGCTGCTGGCGCTGTTTTTTTGGCTCTATTGCTTTATTCAAAATTACCACTTACATAAAAAAAAAAAATTTGCCATCCCATTGACTTTGTTATACCGAGGGACTACTGTATATTACTTCCAGGGGTTGCCATTGTAAAAACCAATCTGTTGGTTCAGTTTGTTTTGCAGAATGTAAGTAAGGCTGCGAGATTTCAGAAAAATTGGTGCTTAAATGAGTGGGAATAGCAAAAGTGATATGTTAATGTAGTTTAATATCACTGTGTTCATCAGTGTGGCTGCTCATGTATACTTTCCCTACACCATTTTAATATTCAAGTATGCAACCTGCTAACTACTTCTGTCCTTTTTCCTTTTTTTTTTTCAAAGTGATAGCTTTAAAGGGCAACTCCGCTAAATTTCGAAGATTTGGGAATAATGAGTGATTTCGAATTAAAAAGCCCGAGTAAAAGACACTACGTCGTTTGCTTCGCGAGAAATGGGATATATATTTTTAAATCTAATTTTAAACACGAGCGGAAATCGAAACCGAAACTTCGGCTCCGTTTGGCAACATTGGCTTTGGGCCGCCAAGAACTTGGCCATCACGGGGTACGAGATGTCATGTGATCCTCGGCCCAACGACGGACAGGAGTGGGGCGGGCGTGGGCCAGGCGCAAGTGTCGTCTGCACCGCACTCTTCGCCACGTTTTGGTGTCTACGACATTTGGCGACGTCTGAACGGCTGCGGCATAAGTCTGCACACGTGGTGTCCGTAATGTGGACGAAACTCCGAGAGGCAATAATCATAAACGATGAGACGACGACGGTGGTTGTGACATGGAAGATGGCGGTAACTGCGGGCGGGGCCGGACAAGAAGCGCGCTGTGCAGGCGCATTACGCCAACCACGTCGACACCGCTGAGTGCCGAGAGGTAACGTTGTTGACGTCATGCGCTACACTCGCCCGGAGAAGTAAAAACAAGCAAAAGAGGGCAATGGTGATGACTTTTAGCTCAATGTTTGCTACGCCCCTGCCGTAGCCTTGACTGTGCTGTTGGTTGCGTCTGAATTCGCCCGCTCGAGTCAGCCGATTTCGGCAACTTGGCAAGTAGCAAAGTTTGCCGGACCGTTTCAGAAACATTTAGACAGGACTGCGTCGTAATATTTTACCTGTGGTCTTTCTAGGCGAGACTGAAGAGGACCGCATTGTTTTTTCAAAACCAAAAATGAAGCGGAGTTGCCCTTTAAGGAGCTTCTGTTGCAGAAAGGCCAGAGTCTGTGTCAGTGGGACGGGAAATTGCAGGATTGGTTGATAGGGTCATGACATCACAGCCACATGACCTCGCACGAGAGTTTCAAACAACCTCCTAGTTTCGAGAGTAAAAAGCGCTCAAAAACAACGGACAAGTGAAAGAGACTAACAACACGGTGCACTCTGTATTGCTCGTTTCTTTCGTCTCTTTCACTTGTCCGTTGTTTTTTAGTGCTTTTACCCTCGGAACTATGAATCACCAACTAGCCCAAGTGCGTACCCTTCAGACAACCCATAACCCTCAGGTGAAACGTGACGTCGTGCGTGGAATGAAAGTAATTAAAACGTGACATGTAATGCGAAGCATGTCTTAAATGATTTTGCTTTATGAAGTAATTAATTTGATTTAAAGGGCCCCTTTAAAAAAGGCTCAAGGTACACCTAAGCACTTATGAGTTGTGAATGCGAAAGCATGCGCGCCACTCTTCGCTACCTTCCTTGCTGACATGCAGTGCCATCGTATGAGCGATCGTTCAAACTGTCGTGTGCCTTGCGGCGCGAGGAAGGAACAGACAGCAACGTAGTTCCCAGCAGAACGAACCCCTTGATTTATTCCATACATACATACGCGCCATACAACCGATAAGAGGCGAGCGAACGCGGTGATCAGTGAATACACAGTCGGGATGACACCACACAAACTGACACGCAGCGGCCGATGGGAGCCTTGTCGACACATGCCAGCCAATGGGACCGAAGTGTAAAAGGTGCCATTTGGCTAGCTTTGTGCGTGGTTTCTTAAGGTGCCGTTTTGCATGGTTTCAAAGCTGGTGACGTTGGCTCACTTCATGAGACAGTGAATGCTTTTGCATTAAAAAAAGTGTTTTTTTTTAAACAATTTGGTTGGGACAGCAAGTAAAAAAACTAATTTTATGTGCAAAAAAATTTTTTATAGCAATATTGACGGCGAGATTTAGTTGGTAGTCACCTCCTTTCCACTTGTTTTCTCTCTCGGCATTTCGGGCGCGTGGAGGAGATGTGGATTGGCTTGGCCATCACGCTGAGGTGGAGAGAGCGTTTGACCATCTCGTTGAGCTGGAAAGAGTATGACCATTCCGTAATGTCATGGACTTTGCACGCAAAATTTAAAATAAATCTTGCGCCATAAATATTGCTCTAAGGAACTTTTTTTTCGCATAATATATTTTTTTTTTGTGCTTGTCCCAGCCAGACTGTTTAAAAAAAACTTTGTTTTTCTTTTCATGGGCTTTTTAAAGAAAAAGTTTGAAGAATTTAAGGCAGAGGTGGGATTCAAACTCACAACCCGTCGGCTGTGAGCCAGACACGCCACCGACTAGGCCATGCAGACACGCTTGCAGGGCTTAGGAACGAGGGGGGGTTTATATGTTTAGATACTGTCACGTTCCACTCTTAAAGGCGAAGCTTGAGGCCTGTTCACACACTTGCAAGTCCTTAGAACCGGGTGCCTTGAAACCCCTAAAAATCTCTCAGGACGAGAGAACACACTGGCATGCTGGCGCTATCTATACAGTGACTCTGGAACTGCATTTCACTGGAGCAAAGGTTTTACACGATTTCCGAGGTTAAATGTGTGTACTACCTATGAGAAATGTTTTTTTAATAACGTTGGCAAAAGTTTTTCGAGCCTAGAAAGAAAGGATGATGCGCGAGAGAAATAGAAAATATGTGAGACCGCCAAGTTTCCTCTGCTACCCAATAGATAGCACCAATGTGTCCTGTCATAGTAAGAGATTTTAAAGGGGCACTGACACATCAAAATTATATATTTTTTTATTATCCGAAACAATTGAAAACGATGCCAGGACATTACCCTCAAAATTGGAAATTTGGGAATTCAGTATTTGTGAAGTAAAAAAACTATTTCCAAATGCCAAATTCGAAGTTCCCGCGCGATCCGCGCCGGTGCGTTGACGTGAAATATTGCGGAGTCCTGAGAGTCCACTTTCTTTCACGACTCCCTGCTGTTGCCATGGCATCCCAAAGCTAGGAGGAAAGAAGCAAGTGCCGGCGGACCGGTTTTGAGCTGTGTCGCCTGTTTTCCGTGGGAGAATACAAATCCAGGAGACGGCACCACAACGGTCTCCGATTTTTGGTATTTCAAAGAGAAGGGCCGTAGCGCGTTCGTAATTGCGTTAAAAAACATGGTTTACGATTGCCGTTATTAAATGTTATAGAAGTGTCGCCTACAAAGCTTCTAAATTTCATGATTCTTGTCGTCACGAATCAAAAGAAGCGAGGAGGCGGGAAAATCAAACGCCAAAAATAAAAAGGCGCACGCGCGCGCAGGAAAATTTTTTTTTGCGATGCCGTTTTTTTTTGCGTGTCTATGACTGCAACTTGCATCGTTTTAGGCAATAAAGAAAAATACGACCTTTGGGGTGTCAGTGCCCCTTTAAGAGGTTCCAAGGCACTCGGTCTTAAGGAGTCTCAAGTGTGTGAACGGGCCTTTAAGCCTCCTGTAATTTTTTTTTACATTTTTTTTTTCTATCTAGAAAAATGTGTAGTACTATAGTTAAAGGTGTGGAACACATTTTTTGAAAGTGAATGTCAAGTTGGAACATTGCTGTTTAGTTTACTATAGATCTTAACAGGTTAGGTGCTGCCCCTGGGTAAACAATGTTAGCCTCGATTAAGGTTTAGGACTTTGAAGTCCTAAAACTTACTCTAGGTTAAAAGGACTTTGCTCATGAGTAAATTTTCATATAAAGTTTAGAATGTGGATGTAACTTGTGTAAGCTTATTTTATAAGTGGTTTTTCGAGGGAACAAATATGCCAAATAAAACTGCCTCACAGGGGACATGTTATATTTGGATCCCATATTCAGAAAAACTATATTCTTCTAGAATACACAAGCTAATTTTGGAAGGGCTAACAGAAGGCTCACTATACTTTCATCACAAAATGATTCTTATTATTTTGAACTTCGAACAAGCATCTGTTTTTGTTTACATGTGCTGGTTTTCCCAGAAAGCGCAATTGTGAAGCTCACTTTCCGGTTTCATCTCGACTACCAAATTTTTTCATGACTTAACCGCTTCTCTTAAATGAAACAAACATAAAGGGATATTTCTTGGCGACTTATGACTCGCGCAAAGGGACTGTAAGCACCGGAAGTAGCCAAACTGGAAAAAGGGAAAAAGCTTTGCATCTAATAGGCGGTTCACGACCCCAAAGTGTCACGTCGGATACCTGGTGTCATCCTGATGAAAATAATTGTACGATGGAGAGAAGGGTCATCCTCTTCTGATTAACAGCTTCCGTTTCACGGTCGTTGAGAGCATGAAACTTGGTGTAACCTGTATGTTGAGGAAAATTTGCAGATTGCCTCGACCTTAGCAGTTTGTACATAATTGAAGGCATCATAAAGAAGGTTGAAAAAAGATTATCTGAAACTTAGCATAATGTTCCTTTTGAGTCATGGACTTTTACAGCGGAGCTGTTAAGGGCCAGGTTCCCCAGGATTGTGTCCGGTATGTCGACACAAACCTACCTGGACAGCTACCGCCATCTATAAGCGATGGCAGCAAGCACACAACCAGTATGGTTGCCGCCGTCGCTCGTAGATGGCGCCAACCTTTCCAGCTATCATAGAAGAATAAGTGAAAAGAATGGATAGTTGCGTGGCGCGTTGGTGTTAACAGCCCGAAAAACAGACGACGACGAAGAAGAAGCACAGCTCCGCTGGTCTTCCTTCTTCACAAGAGTGGAAAGGCTGAACAATCTTTTCTTTGCTCTTCATGATTTAGGAGACCCATCCTTTTCTGCAACCGTTTTGCAGGTTGTGAACAACTTTTCCGTGCCCATGGAAGTGTACTACCTGACTGAATCCGAAGGCTGCACGGAGGTCCGTCATTGCGGGGTGATCGAGCCACACCAAGTTCTGCACCTACCCGTGCGTGCACTCTACACGAAGACCAATGAGCTGTTCTTCAAGCCTGCAGGAGACAAGTGAGTAGCTCACTGCCTCGGCTGTCCATTGCTTGGCTGTTCGTATGCCACCAGTTTTTAAGGCAAAGTGCGTTTTATGGCTCGTTTTCTATGATAAAATAATGGTGAACAAGTGTCATAACAAGCACCATGAACGAGTGGCACAACGGGAGCGTTCCATACGTTAAGGTTATACAGTTGCACCTCGATTTAACGAAGTCGTCTTTTGAGCCAAAAACTTCGTTAAATCGCGAATATCATTGGACAGAGGTATTTGTTTTTTAGCAAATTGGTCTTCCTGGCTCCCAAAACCCTTCAATTGCCTCACATCTTGCAAGTGAGCATTTACAAATAAGATTCCACTACAAAATATGGCGGTAATAAAAGAAGGCGGTTCATCGACCCTCATTTTGTACGCTTATGGTATCAGTGCCTAGCAGCGCAGAAGAGCGTGCAGTCAGGAAAGCAAAACGAAACCAATGCACCACCATGGAGCGGACCGCTCGTAACTGCCGGCAAGCGTTGCAGCCACCCACTGCTGGCTTTGAAGTTGTCGCATCCAAGTATGCAAGCAAAGTACCGGGCTTTTTGTTGAAGCAGCTCTCCGCTCAAGGGCACATTCTTAGCCCGCATGTTGGTGAACCAGGTAAACATGGCCTTTTCGACATCAATGTACGCAGCGGTCTTCAAGCTCTTTTTTACAGTAGAGCTGCTAAGAGCTAGTTTCCCCAGTTTTGTGTCTCGTCAAATAAATGTTGACACAAAACTCTGGACAGCTACCGCCATCTATGAGCGACGGCAGCAACCTCTTCAGCCTTTCCACTCTGGTTTTCACACGAGTGGAAAGGCCAAAGTCAAATTTTTTCCCAAAAGTATTGCCATTTGTCTACCTGCATCTTTCTTTTGAAGACCTCCTCTGTAGCTCGCGTTTTATCTCATTCAGAGACAGTTCCAATTCGAGGATTTTCAGTTTACTCCAACTTAATAATAGCGGTTCAGGGGTAATTTTCGGGGTTGGTAAATACCAAAAACATGAAACCCTATTTATAAGGTTTTAATAAAATACAATTTATTTCAATCGTGATTTAAATAATTTTATTTGTTAGGTAAAGGCTTTCATTGCACGAAAGCTGAATAAAGAACACGTCTATCGTCAATGAGGGCAACAGATGGCTATGCATAATGTGCTGCCAATGGCTTGTGGGTACAAAATTTTGCTGTAGCAAGCGCCCACTCAAAATCTTTTCAATGGTATGAGCAGTCGTAAACATTACAGGCCGGTAAACAAAAACTGGCAATGCATCAATGAGGTATTGATGCATTGCCAGTTTGTGTTTCCCAGCTTTTAGTCTTTACAACTGCCGATACCGTTCACTTTCATAGGAATATGTGTTTCAAGTTCCCGTTTGTTTCACTTGTCTTCTTCTCGCATCCGAAGGCTACAACCCGACATGGCCGCCCCTTTCCTTTTTTCCTTTGCTTGGCTTTTTTTTCTTTACTTAGAACTATGTCTCCCTCCATGCTTGGAAGGGGTGCAAGTTGGGAGGTGGATGTCACGAAATTTTGTTCACGGAAGTGACGTTGCATAAATAAGGCCGGAGCACCAACCGAATTTCATCGCCGCAGTCCCTGACGGCGCACCGCCTGCTGCCAAGAACCGCACAGTGTGCATGCGCATCCTTTCTTATCTGCTGGCTTGCTAGTTTGCTTACTTCAACTCGACCGACGCGCTCCTGTCTGATTGTAACAGCGATAGACGCCGCTTTGGCCAGGTTTCAGCAGCCGTAGTTTCACAATCTTTGCTTAAAGCTTTTGACAACGGCCGAGCCATAAAGTAGTATAGTTACACGTAAAGAGTGGCCACTCCAGCGGCTTCATGGTCCAGCTGGTAGAGACTATGATGGTCGTTATGTGGGGCCATAATATATATTTTTAAAATTTTTCATATTTACATCTTTAATAAATAGTCATACTGGACAACCTGCTACTTAAAAATGAATAGTAGCTCTGATTACTTTTAAAAACAATTAGAACAGCTATGGCTTGGGCTGCGGCTAAGGGAATGGCTTTGGGGCTGTCGACTCGGCTAACTTGGCGGATGGCGGTTGATTCGGCGGATCTATGTTTCGTCATTTGTTCTACAGTCACGTTGTGTTGTATGCCTAAACAATGGTCTTTGCTACTCTATGAGTTGTTTTAGAATGCAGAGTTAAGCTGGGATCACGCTGCTCATACATCATACAAAAGATAGTCCGGAAACATCAGTCACTGCAGTATGCATGGTTCGAATGCCACGTGCCAAGTTTCTCCTTGAACTCGTTGCCATGCAGCATTCGAAGCACGGATCTTGTGGTGACTTGCGTTCAAATCTGTTTACAGGTTGTCTTTTGCATGATGTATAAACAGTGTGACTCCGGCTTTAAAGGACAGGTGCGACATGCAAGGAATGGCATTACGTTGTCGGTGTTTGTATATGCTGTAATATGGTGAAGTTGTTTTTTATAGGACCTACTATTTGTGAGTCCCTAATACATGTTGCTTGTCTTTCCTTGTTTTTGTAATTATCTATGAATAATTATCGAGACATAGCTGCCCATCAGATTTTATTTGGTTTCGTTTGTTATGAAAATAAATTGTGTTTACTACCTGGTGTTGTACTTGAGACAGTTGACACAAGCCTACAAATGGGTTTCCTAGTTTGTAAAGCCAGTTTTAACTGAAAATATTCTTGTGCATGGGATCTTTGTCTGGAGTAAGTGTACAGTAACTCTAACTGAAATGAAAATACTAGCATAAGTGAAATGTTGCAATCGATAGCACAAGCTACAGCCCAATACACTCAATACCTCTAAAATGGGCTGTCCATCCATTTAATCAGTCTACATCTTGTGCCTCCATTAATATATTTGGGTCTACAATGGCCACTGGGAGCGCTTATTGGCGGCCAAATCAGCCGCAGGGCCCTTGGGAGTTTCCCCTCTATACGTGTAGCTATATTACTCTATGGCCAAGCGGCCCAGCTTGCGTGCTCTGTGCCACGGGCAGTTCGCATGACTGTCGCGCGACTCGGCAAAGCGTTAAAAACAGTCTCACGCAATTTCGCATATGTGCCACGGAGATGGCGGCGCGAGGGGCTGGCTACACATTAGTCTACCGGACTCTGAGCCACGGGCTCAGAGTTCGGTAAACGCTTCTTGCCCACCCAACATTGTCATGTGGCAGGAGCCCGTAAACGCTTCTTTAGCTGCAGGCCACAAATATTTCAGTTTTGCAGTTCTATGAATATTTATGGGCAGCATAGTAAACCTATGCACGCCCCATTCTTTTTACTCTTTACACTGTGCTTATTGTCATTCTTGCTTGTACGGACAGCATGCTTGCTTTTCTTGTGTCCGGTTCCCTTGTTTCTGCTGTGTAGTTTCATTTCGTATGGTGTTTCAAAATGGTTATCTTGCGCTAGACATGCATGTCGAGCTCTCCTATTTTGCTCCAGCGTGCTCGGAGTGGCGGCTAATGCAGGGGAGTACCTGCGTTAGCTCACTGCACTCTGACATTTTGTGCAATCTTGGAGGTTGACATTCTTTGTTCATGATATAGAATGACCCCGATTTTGAGGAACATTTATGAAAAAAGGTTATTGATAGTGAAGGTGGGTGATTCTCCACAGCCATAAAATTGCGAGAAAATTAATTGCTCTGCGAGAATTCATTTCCGTCTCATCTCGGCCCTTGTGCGAGCTGCGACACCCGTGGGGTTTTCTTAGAAGCAAGCACCTACAGGCTCATATTATTTGCTCGCTTTTTGTTTGAAGTTGACGGATATGTGAAGTGTGGCATATTACACAACTTTTTTTCTAGAATATTTTATCTTTGCGGCACACCCAGTCTGGCAATTATTTGCTCTTTACTTGAATATTCGTTACCTTGTTGAATATTCGACGGCAGCTGAATATTCACAAAGTGCCGAATAGGAAGTTTTTGAGTCTACTATGAATTAGTGGTTCAAAATACTCAATTCACATTCAAATACCTGCACATCTATAGTAAAAAGTGGCATTAAGCTTATAATGTTGGTGCAATGTTACTGATATAGTAGCATCTGAGACCTACCATATTTATTCAAATATAAGTATACCTTCTTTTTGGGGGGAGGGGAAATGTGAAAATGTGAAAAATTAAGGGTAGACCTTTAATCGTGACCAAAGACTTTCGACCTACATTCGCAACCGAATTTTGCGACCCTACCAGAGGCATAGAGCTATTGAATTACCGAGCCGGCGTTGTCGTCGAAAACAACCAAAACTCTCAGGCGTCGGGTTTCGCCACCCATCGCGCTTGTAGCGTTCCCCTCGCTGGGCAAGGGGGAAGAGGAGGGAGAGGAACGCAATGAAGCTTGCCCTCCCTTCCTCTCCCTCGCAAACGCGCACAAGAAAAAAAGAAAAAAAAAAAAACCCCGGACAATATTTCAACTTGTTGCTTGCAGCAGCTCACGGGTTGCTCCCGGCAACTCGCAGTGTTGCTCGCATCTTTGAATTTGGTCTTTCGTCGCTTCGCCCGTCTCCACCTTCTTTCTTCTTGTCGTCATTTTACAGTGGTGTCAGTGAGGTAATGTTGCGAATTTGCGGGGATGTCTACCAAGCTGACGAAGCTTCGGACAACGATGACATGTCCGGAAGTTCTGACGATGATTAAGTTTTTGGCATCGCCCTGTGATTTAGCCGAGAGTGCTGTGAATAAAGATTTGTTTCTTTCTTTTGCCCTAACTTTCCCCTGTTTCTAAGAAAAAAAAAAAGGTCGACCTATATTTGAAATATTTTTTTTAAAATTCCCGGTGGGTTCAATAAAAGGGTTCGACCTATTTTCGGGTAAATATGCTAGTCTTGTTTGTAGTATGGTTCTTTGTTATTAGTATAATATGACCATATTTGCCCAAATGTGTGTCTATCCTTTCTGATAATGTTTCTAACTACGGAAACACTTGCACTGAGGTGCTGAGCATGATAGTCACATCTTGAGAGCCCTAGTGCAAATCCAATTTTTCTGCCTGAGCTTATTGCGACCATGTCATTCGCTGCCCTTCTGTGAGTTGCTGCCATGTATTGGATATCTGTGTACTCTACAGGTAGGTAGATGTACAGGCATTTTTATGTGATAGATGGATGGCCTATATTGAAGTAAATATTACTCTTATTCAGCAACACTATGTGATCTGCACCTTTCCTGTTCCAGGTACATGGTGTCCATGGAACCATTCAGGTGGAAATCTCCTTCAGAGGCTATACAGAACAGTGTGCTTCACTGCCCCTCTAAGACCGAGGCAGGCAGGTTTTTCTACATCAATGTAAGTAAGGCTTTGTTTTGTCACACTCTCAAATTTTGTTGAACCAGTTGCTTGCCTTGTGCATTCCTTGTAGTTTGTACCCTGATATTTCACCTGGTTCTACACAAAGGTCAGAAAGTTTATTTTTTACAGTGATGCTGTTAAGGGCTAGTTTCCCAAGTATCGTGTCCCCCGCAAAGAAATGTTGACACAAAACTCTGGTCAGCTACCGCCATTTATGAGCGACGGCGGCAACCAGACAACCGGCTTGCCGGCCTCGTTCATAAATGGCGGCTACCTTTTCAGCCTTTCCACTCTGCTTTTCACCAGAATGGAAAGGCTGCATTTCTCTAGGCGTCGTCCTAAAGGTCGTCCTAAAAGTCCTTGAGGTCGTCGTAGACGTTGTCCTCAAGGTCATCCTAGAAGTCGTCCTTGAGGTCAATTTGGACTTCCTCCCAGAGGTCGTCCCAGGCGTAGTCCCTGAGGTTGTCCTCGAGGTCGTCTTAGAAGTCGTCCTTGAGGTCGTCCTAGACGTCGTCCTTGAGGTCGTCCTAGACGTCGTCCTTGAGGTCGTCCTGGACGTCGTCCTTGAGGTCGTCCTGGACGTCGTCCTTGAGGTCGTTCAAGATGTTGTGCTTGAGGTGGTCCCATCATAGTGCAGTTTCGCTGGTCTTACTTCTTTACCAGAGTGAAGTAACATAAAAAAAGCTTTCAGCCTTCCCACTCTGGTGAAGAAGGAAGTCCAGTGAAACTGTACTACGGTGGGACGACCTCAAGGACGACTTCTTGGACAACGCCTAGAGGACGACGTCTAAGACGACCTCAAGGACGACTTCTAAGGCGACCTCGAGGACAACCCCAGGAATGACGCCTGGGACGACCTCAGGGAGGGAGTCCAAAACGACCTCAAGGACGACTTCTAGGACGACCTCAAGGACAAAGTCTACGACGACCTCAAGGACGACTTCTAGAATGACCTTGAGGACAACATCTAGGACGACGCCTGGGGAAATTCAACCTTTCCACTCGGGTGAGAACCAAAGTGGAAAGGTTGCCGGCAAGCCGGTTGTCTGGTTGCCGCCGGCGCTCATAGATGGCGGTAGCCGTCCAGAGTTTTGTGTCGACATTTATTTGGTACCGGACACGATCCTGGGGAACCTAGCCCTTAACAGCACCGCTGTAAAATTCCGAAACATCACCCACCCCCCGATTTCCGTCGGACGTCACGCAATGTCCGACGGGAATCGCAACTGTGCAAGTTGCTGTGCCGGCACGTCTGACCAGCGACCTGTGCACGCGATATCAGCTCCTGTAACACGCGAGTTGTTTCCACATGCATCTTGCACTCTGAGATGCGAATCTGCTGCGTCCGCAATCTGCGGTATCCGTTCCCTTGACAAAGTTTTTAGCAGATTCCCGTGTTTTTGTTTGCGATCTGCGTTTGCGATCTCCATTCTACGCGAGTTGGTCCTGCTTGTATATTGCATCATGAAATACGATCTTGCGCTCTCAGATGCGAATCTGCTGCATTCGCAATCTGCGGTATTTGTTCCCGTAACATACGAGTTTGTAGCGGATTCCTGCCTTTTTGACCGCGATCTGTGCGCGCGATATCGGTTCCCGTGACAGGCAAGTTTGTAGCGGGTTCCGGCGTCTTTATTGCACCATAAAACTTGCATCTGCTACGTCCGCGATTTGCGGCATTCGTTCCCATAAGATGGGTGTCCTCGGTGGATTTCCGCGGGTCCTTCGCATCGTTAAATGTGAATCTGCTGCATCTGCAAACTGCGGTATCCCTTCCCGTGACACTGGGGTTCGTAGCGAATTCCCGCGTGTTTATCGCATCGCGAGACGCGAATGTGCAGTGTCCGCGATCTGCGGTATCAGTTCCCGCGTCACGTGGTTTGTAGCAGGTTCTTGATTAAGTTCTGCTGTAGCGTCCCCAAAGATAGCCCACCCCATGTTTTTCACCATTTATCTCTTCATTTTGGGACTTTACGGTATATAGATTTCTGCCTCAACAAGCATATTCCAACAACAATTTCTGCTGTACCATATTTACTCGCATAATGAACACATTTTTTTTTCCGAAAAATTGACCAATATTGGGGGGGGGGGGGGGTTCATTATGTGGGGTAAATTTTTTTCATTTACACACCTTGCACAATTCTCCTTTTAGGTGCCAATATGACATGGCAGGGTACTGTGGCACGTCTCCACTGATGGAGGCGCACCCATGGCTGGTCTTGGGTGCACCAATGTAATCATGCTCTATAAATTGCAAACATTTTTTAGAACGCTTTTGGCGTTTTTTTTGCCGAAGAAAAAGCGTCTTACAAAGCTCACTCAGCACGGAGAATGACGCGACCGTTCTTAGGCCTAACCACTTTCACAATATCACTGTTCGAACGCGGATCACAACGGCAGCGTGTTTGTTGACATCAACGCACGTTATGGACGAAGCACGTCCGGGGCTGGGCAATTCCTCGACCCCAGCTTTGCTAGGTGTGCGCACCGCACGGTTTCGCGGTTGATCACTTCTGCAACCATGCAATTGCAGCATTATGAGAGCGGCTTGGCTTGGCTTGACTTGACCTGGCCATTTAGTAGCAAAAGAAAATTGACAAGCTTAGTGGCAGCCGGCTAACTAGGTTGGACACAGTTCAATACTCGCGGAGCCAAAAATTAAAAGTGTATTCATTACGCAAGAAAAAAAAAGGCATTGTGGGGGGTGCGTTCATTATGCGAGTAAATACGGTATTCTACCATCATTCTTTGTTTTTCAACCCTTCGAATTCTAAAATTTGACTTGTCCCGCAGCCAATCTAATTAATAACATTCCGAGACTAATTCAACTTTTGATAAAGATGTTATAAGAAAGTAGTTGATTATATTGTCCCTTGCACTGTTGAGCCCCATTATAACCAGTTTAACATTAATTGATATATTTTTTGCTAATCAGTAATTTCTAGGGGTGTGCTAATACTCAAATATATGAATTCAAAGTGAATACAAAGTTCCCGAATAATTCGATTCGCGAATCGAATTCCTAGTATTCGGTCACTCGAATATTCAATATATTCAACCAAAGACGCGCGGTCGGCGCAGAGCTGACAGAAAAGCCGTTTTTTCTCCCGATGTAAGCGCCGTGATGTTAGACAAAGCATGCGAGAAACACCTCTTGGCCCTACCATTCCCCAAAAATCTAACGTGCAGGTTAGAAAAAAGAAAATTACGGAACGCCACAAACTTTATAGCACGCAGATTTACTCACGATCGTGACACAATCTAACCTTGAATCACAACCGAAACATCCCGTTTGCGCCACTTGCAGAGAGGAATTTTTGGGAAGCCGGAATTACATGCCATGCCTTATTCTTTTCACGAGTAAAGTTCTACGTTTCAAATTGAAGCGCCAATGTAGAGCGCACTTGCCGCATTCACAGAGGATCACAGAGAGAAAACTATGTTAACCACGCCGAGGAAACCAGAAACCGTTCTTTTGGAACTGCAAGCGCTGCAACCCGCAAATTCTGATTCGGAACGAAACAGAACAAAAAAATGGTGTGCCTACATTTGAGAGGGTTTCCAACCGTTCGATAGCCGTGTTTGAATGACGAACTGCGAGAAGGTGACGAAAAAACGAAAGCGTCGATCGGTATCGGGCAGGCAGGGCAGGCAGGGCAGGCATCATCGCTCTTCTGTTTGCTTGCCTTCTTTCCTCGCGACAACACAACACATGCACACTTACGACTAATCTGCGCTGGAACGGCTCCAGCGCAGATTAGTCGTAATTTCAGTTTCGCTTGCTCCCTCTTTTAAATCAAGGCTCTCTAAAAAAGGATAGATAGACGGAAAAATGGATGCATAGCAGCAGTTGGACGGTGACTTGTGCCTCCTAACCACATTGTTTTTCTCTTACTTCAGATTATATTGTTTAAGCCTGTTTACTCAGTTTTAACACCTATCTGTTTATTTATGTGAAATAAAATCCCGGGTGCCCTTTTTCTTCGTTAAAATGTAGACCAAATATCGCAAAATGCCCCTTTTCTGAGATACTGTATTTACTCGCACAATGAACGCACTCGCGTAATGAACGCACCCCCAAGTCGGCTCTCAAAATTTCGACTTTTTTTTTTTTTTTTTTTTTTTTCATTTGCGTATTAAAGGCACTCCCAACTGGGACGTCAAAATTTTGACCCTCTCCCCCCACGCGGGCGAAATGAACGCACTTTTCTATCCTGGTGCAGCAAGGTCGCGAATGCATGGCATCCTGGGCGAACAAAACGCCTTACAAAAGGCGTTAAAAAAATAAAAAAAGATCCAAGGGAAGCAAAAAAAAAAAAAACATGGAGAGGAGTTTTTTTTTTTTTTGCACAGCGCAGTCTGGATTCTGTGTTTGCGCTCCGCGCTCAAGGAGATAAGAAAGATAAGCGGAGAAGCCCTCGCCTAAGCAAACAAAACAACTTGCAAAAGGCGGCAAAAAAAAACAAACACGGAACTAAGAAAAAAAAAAAGAACTTTTTTATTTCTTTTTCTTTTTTGCACAGCGCAGTTTGGTTAGGGGGTCGCGTGCAGCCCGCAAGGAGGTAAGAAAGAGAAGCGGAGAAGCCCTAGCCTAAGCAACACCTAAGCAACCAAAACAGCTTCGACAAAAAAAAAAAAAAGAAAAAAAAGCAGGGAATTAAGAGAAAAAAAATAAAAAAGCTTTTTTTCCTTTTTTTTTTTTTTTTTTTTGCACAGGGCAGTTTGGTTACCGGGTCGGCGCGAAGAGATAAGAGTTAAGTCGATTTTTCAGGATAAAGGATAAAAGGTCCGTTCCTTAGGTGAATAAATACCCACGCAAAAATGTTAATTTTACGCCCCAACTTTGCATTGATTGTTCGGAAAAAAAAGTGTGTTCATTCTGCGAGTAAATATGGTATACAAATATTTTTAAAAAGTCGCCCTTTTAGGTTGTGCTTTTAGCGAGAAAAAAAAGCACACGTGGCTGTATCTTTGTTGTTGTTTTTTGTGACGTTTAGGGTAGATAGATTGTTTGCACCATAAAATTGGATCTTTAGTGCCCAACGTCCGACAGCAACTGCTTTTTTTTCACCAGAACTTTTTTACATTTTAGCTTTTGTTTCGTACAACATGCATATTCTGCACCAGGCCTATACATGGCTTGCACGTGACGTCATTCAACAGGCGCTACGATGACCACCAGAGAGGAGGGCGAGAAGAAGCTCCGCACTTATCAGGGCCCCCTTTTGTGCCGCCCTGATTTGCCCAGTCGTCGCTATTCTCCCCCCAGAAGATTAAAAAAGATTAGCCCGTCACTCAAAATTCTTACAAAAGCAGCTTGCCTCTCCTCCTCTTACATGGAGGCCAAAAATATGCGACGTGACGTCAGTGCAACCTATGTATACTCTGCACATATAATAATCTCATTCGCAGCACTATTCGAAAAATTCCTACAAATAAAATCACTGTTCAATATTCTATTCAATATTCAGCTTTTTTTGTTTTTTGATTTGATTCGGTATTCGATTCGAAAACTACTATTCGGTATTCGCACACCCATAGTAATTTGTCATTAGTATCTAGACTTCACAAAAAAAATTTTTGATGTATTTTATTGTGTCATGGGTGCACTGCATGTAGCATTGATTTGTTCAGTGTCGTATGCTGATGTCCTATTGTTTAATTATCAGTGCATATCTGGTATTATAAAGCTGCATTTGTGTTTATTAAAATGCCAACTTGCACACTCATTTTACATAATAAGAGGTGTTCTTTTGCATGTCCTTTTACTGTGGAAATGCGGTAGAGTGAGGAACCTATGTATAACCTCCAACCAGTGCGTGTAGACACCATAAAAGCTGGGCAGATACCGTGTGGCAAAATGTTTTTGCAAGCCAATAACACGGTCGACTTGCAATCAACCTTTGCGCATCAAAGACATATATTTTGTAGAATGTGTGCTTCAATTCTGCCAAACCATGAAAGAAGGCCATACTTGTCAAAGGTGAATACATATGGATTATTAACAAGCTGTTTCAATAGCCACTCCAAGGGACATCGACTTCATAATTGCTTTGTTCTGCCACTGATGATGCTGGCAATTCAAAGTGTTGTTGAGAAGCAACAAGATAATTTCGATACAAGCTCCTTTTTTTTTTTTTTTTTTGTTCCCCCAAGGTCATGCATAAGAAGGCCAAGCCAGCTTTGAGTAATGGTGCAAAGCTGATAGCATTTATTTTAGAGCAGCGTGAATTTTGTGGGAGAAAGTTGCCTTACGCCACAATATTGGTCAACACAGTTGTTTTATATACTGTAAACGACTTATTTTTTTGCGGGCTCAATATTTCGCGATTTAGGTCAAAGCTGAAGTTTTTTAATAATTAGTTGGTTCTAATTTTCGCGACCCGGTGGGATCTCAATATAAATTTCAATGTGTTTACATTTTACCGAAATTGTTTGTGGGACCTATTTTTCGTGAATTTTAGGCGATTTGCGAAATTCGCGAAAGTTGGGTCCTCGCAAAAATTAAGTCGTTTAAGCGCGAGACACATGCATGAAAAATCCATCCAATCCGACGTCCGATCCGGCAATACGACTGCCTGATCCGAAAAGTTTGGTCGCTTCAGACATCGGATCGGCAATCCGACGTGCCTCCAACGCGCCAGATAGTTTCACGCAGCGGACGGATTGTCGGATGCGTCCAGCCAATGACAGCACAGGTAGCACGAGCGTCATGATGACGTACTGTGTCTGGCGGGATGAACAAGAAAACGGGACAGGCGACGGGAAGCCGGACGCGTGGATCCCGCTGACCCATTCGAAAAAGACGGCCCCGGCAAAAAATGCACGCGCTAGCGAGAACAAGCTCCTAACTTCGCTCATGCGAGCTAAACCGTCAATCTGGGACCAGAGATCTATGAACGCGGACCTCCGCTGGAGTGCTTGGATCTCCTGGGCGGAGCCGAACGGATCGTCGAGTCGCATGCAAGGTCGGAAGCGTGTGTCTCAAACTGTCGCGTGCGGCAATTTGGAGTGCCGTTCGGACTGTCGGATCGGATGATTCTGCCGTCCATATGTCTCGTGCTTTACAGTATCCTCTGAGCGCAAATTTATATAACATCAATTCAAATTCTTGCTTTTACCCGCATCTAAAGTTTTCTCAAATTTTCTCAGGGCTGCATGGTCAATATAAAGCAAAAATAATGCCACATTTGGATACTTTTAGCTTCTCTACACTGCAAATGTAATTTCAGTGGCTAACATTCTTTTTTCCAATAGACCTTTTTTTTTTAAGGTAATATGGTGTGATCCACTTATAACGACACCACATATAACGATGTTCCACTTATAATGATGAGTTTCTACAGTTTCTAGACCAGAAATAATCAGTTTCTAGTCCAGATACCATGATAGTCGGTTGTAATGTTTGAAATTTTGGGTTTTCTCATTGTTATAAGTGGATTGCACTGTATGCTTTTGGCATGATATATGAATATCTGTAATAGTTTATTGCAGCATGGTTCAGTAGAAGGTGCCTGGCATTGCTTTTACTTGTTGCAGGTGGCGGGTGAAAAGGAACCAGTAAAGTATGACGAAAGTTCAGGCAAAGGCTCGACCATGACGCTCCACAGCATTCAGCTCCACCCAACCGTACTTGTGCGAAACCTGCTGCCGTGCAGGCTTTACCTCAAAATGGAAGTGGGTCTCCTTTTTTTTCTTTGGCCTCTGCTTTGAATGGTATCATTAAAAACGATTCATACTAATAAGAATTGGATCCAAACCCCAAGCTACAAGAGATTGATGTGCCATTCAACCAGTGGCATAGCCAGGTTGAATGGTTGAACCTTGTGAAGCTTAAACCCCCCCCCCCCTTAAAATCATTCCAGCCGACCCTATAACATACGCACATGCATTTTCCCCCTCCCCTCCCCCACTCAAAGTCGTGCACATTCCAGCCACCAAACCCCCCCCCCCCCCCCCCCCCAAAAAAAAAAGGAAAAGAAAAACACCTGGCTACATCATCGCATTCAACAGTCCCTTCTTTGTTGGAAGGAATTGCTATAACTGTGTGGCATTAGATTCATGTACCTAGGGGGTTGAACCCTAGCTGGGGAAGCTGTGAGGAATATTGTTTCTGTAACCAGAACTCTTCAAAAACAATAGATGTGTGCTTTTGTTTAAAAAATAGCGAAGCTACCGTGTGACCTTAGCGCTTAGGCCTATGCTGCTTATTTGTAAACTGTACATATGGTCTACAAAACCAAGTGGCATTAGGATTAATATTGTACATCTGGATAATCAAAGCCTTCATGTAACAAAGCTTTTAAGCCTTTTGAATGACTGTTATATCAATAAAAAGATGCTTATTTTCAATATCTTGTTTCTTGATACCTGAATGTCTTCTTAGATACTACAGTTAAACCTCGATGTAGCGAAGTCACCGGGACCCCCCAATTATTTCGTTAAATCGGGAACTTCGTAAAGTCGAGAAAGACATTCTTCGGGATAGGCTGCACGGGGAATCTGAATTTGTTCATTAAATCGGGAAACTCGTAAAATCGGGTTTCGTTATATTGAGGTTCAACTGTATAAAGTTCTTCTACGTTTGGGTAAATGCAGCAACTTTCCCAACTGGGTATCCTGGTTACCTGTAAAGTTTTCATTGGGATAGATAATATTTCTCACCTATCCTAATCTAGAATTGTGCAGTAGTAATGGACTCCTGTACGCATGCACCCTTCGTGTGCATAGCAATTCCCATACATCCTCTTATAACATTGTGAACTATCCCTGATTTTCATTTGTGGTAGGTTATTGTGAAAGGGGAATTTAGCTGGTGTTAGCGATGCACTCGCTAACTTTAAAAGTTAGAGTGTCTGCAGCTCAATAGAATTGCCAGTCATTGAATCAAACAAAGTTGTACTTTTGTTTTGTTTTGCAAGAACACAAGCAAGTTGTTCTGTTTGGAAGCTGGCCAGGGTGTGGAGCTTTGGAATGCAGAAGTTGGGAACTCTGTCCTGCAGCTCAAGGTAACTCTTCCTTTACCCTGCTGGGACTTGGTGACATAGTACCTTCAACCTCTTTATTATCGAACCTGGGAAGGCTCTGGAGCACCGCGGGATGGTTCTTTGTCAGGCGCAAATCTATCGTATCCACTCATTATTGCGTACCACCATCTGCTTACTGACACAACTTTACTTTCCTTAAACCTCCTAATAGATCATCTCATCGAACCACTAACAGTAAGAGTTTTCAACACCTCACTGGGTCAACCAACGCGTTTATTAACTCAGTTGTACCACGTGGCATCCGCGCATGGAACGACCTTCCTGAATCCATAGTCACCATTGCCGAGACTACACTGTTCCGTGCTAAACTTGAATCTTACTTTCTAACCAATGCGCTTCCGATAAGTTCTGTTTCTGTGTAACTTGACAACTTTTTATGTTAGTCCAGTGTTTTTGTTATTGTTTTTATTTTTCGAAATTTGTACTTAGCTGGGTTTTTATTGTATCCTGTGCCTACATGACAACTTTGTGTGAGACTGTATGTGCGTTTGTTCTATTTTCTCTTCTGAATTTATGTGTATAATACCCCCCTTACTCAATGCTCTGGAAAAGAGCCTGTAAGGTATTGTGAATAAATAAATAAATGAATAAACAAACTTATTTCTCATTTTTTTGTGTGTCGCAAAGTGCAAAGGTAGCAGAAGCTAGTTGGAGGAACTCAACAAGGTGTGTACCGTATTTATTCGAATATAGGTCGACCTTTTTTTTTTTCGGAAATGTCAAAAATTAAGGGTCGACCTATATATCCTGACCAAAGAATTTCGACCTAATTCGCAACCAAAATCTGAAACCCTACCGAGGGTATGGAGCTATCATTCACCTAGCCGGCGTCCCGGTAGAGCCGCGCGGCTTCTTGTTTCAAAAAGCTTTTGATGCACAAAAACAACCGAACAGCAGCAGCCGACAGCGACAGCCCGTGTCCGCCGGCTACGGCTCTCGCGCACATTCCTCGGGCGTCGAGTTTCGCCATCACGCCTGTAGGGTTCCCCTCGCTGGGCAAGGGGGAACGGGAGGGAGAGGAACGCGATGCGCCAAGCACTTTGCCCTCCTATGCGCTCCATTCCTCTCTCCCTCGCAAACGCACAAACAAAACAAAAAAAAAACAACAACAAAAACAAAAAAACAACAAGAAAACAAAAGAAAAAAAAAAAAAAACGGGGGTACTTTCGTTTGTTTTTTTCGGCGGGTCGCGTGTTGCTCACGGGGCTGGCAGCGTTGCTCGTGTCTTTGTGTTTGATCTTTCGTCGCTCGCCCGTCTCCACCTTCTTTCGTTTCTTCTTGTCTTCATCGCGTGTTGCTCACGGGGCTGGCAGCGTTGCTCGTGTCTTTGTGTTTGATCTTTCGTCGCTCGCCCGTCTCCACCTTCTTTCGTTTCTTCTTGTCTTCATTCATTTTACAACGGTGTCAGTGAGGTTTTGTTGCCAATTTGCTGACTAAGCTGACTAAGCTTTTTTGACATCGCCTGTGTGATTTAGCTGAGAGTGCTGTAAATAAAGGTTTGTTTCTTTTGCCCTAACTTTCCCCGGGAGGCACTCACTTGATCGAATGACGTTTTAGCGAACGCCCACGTTTCATCGAATGACACTTTAGCGAATAGTCGGACGCCGCGAAGCGGCGTTTTCGGGTGGGCCAAATGAGTTCATATTTTTGTAATGAGTTGCCGCAGACTGTCGCCGCGAAGCGGCGTAAAGCGCAGCGCGACGGATGGGTTAACGCGCGCCCCCGTTATTCGCTAAAACGACCATTCGCTCAAATGTCGCCGTTCGCTAAAATGTCATTCGCTCTTGTGACCTTAAAAAAAAAAAAAAAAAAAAGAAAGGTCGATTTATATTTGAATTATTTTTTTTTATTCTCGGTGGGCTCGATAAATAGGGGTCGACCTATTTTCGTGGTCGACCTATTTTCGGGTAAATACGGTAGTTGGGCTAGTTTGTTGGTCATGTTGAAATGGTATTAAAACAGTGCAAAAAAAGACAGAGGACCAGTGGAAGGAAAACGCAAAAACAAACTCGAAAAGAAGTCTCTCAAGCCTCAGAATGATAGCCAGTGTTTTGTTAAGAGACTTACCTCTGAAGAAACTAAGCACCTTGAGGACTCGTCCCACTTAGACGACAAACATCAAACATTCCTTTGTCATCTACTAATCACAAAAGAACATGTTTGAGAATAATCACTAAGAATATCGCTCTAGGGCTCAAGAAGCTCACTTGTTTTTTTTTTTGCGGACAGAAATTGGTGTCTGTCACTCTAGTGGTGCAAGATAATTAGCGATATGTCGATGGCTATTCGAAGGCTTCAGAGAAGTTCTCTTTCGAGTTTTTTATTTTGAAGTTTTGATCGTGAACGTTTGAGTCACTGTGATGGCTACAGAATACTAGTTGTAGAGTTATAAGACAATTCTAGAAATCCTGATAAACTCCAAGTTTGACAAGCATGATGGTGGTTCTGCACAACTTTTTGAACAAGACGGTGATTTGAGTGATAGAAAACTTTAGACGTCTCGGCTGTACAGTGCTGTTGAGCACCATCAACACAGACAGGAAAGCCACCAGCTTGATTGAAGTGGTGAGCTTGGAGATTTTCAGATATTGACATTTTATGTTTGCTTGGTGTTACAGCATTAGGGGAGACAATTCCCAGAAAAAACAATTTCAGCAAAAAACTTTGATTTTGAAACATGCCATATTTACATTCACCGACATCTTGAGAGCATTCCCAGAAAGTTTCATTAGTTTACCCTGCATAGTTAATTTTTTTATAAGTTATTTTCAGTCTACCAAGGCTAAAGAAAAGGTAGAGGTCGGAGCACTTTGAACACATTTTTCTCCATTCTATTTTTGGTATAAATTTCACTTTAGGAAAACTATTGTTTGTTGATGGGACAAAAGGAGAGACTCACTCATTGTTTTTCCTTACTGAAATTTAAGGGCAATGCAACTGTGACATTGTTTTTTTTTTACTTTGTGGATGTCTTTTATTAAAGATGTCAAGATTTTGTCGACGACATAAAAGGCAAAACTTTATTAGATTTTTCAATGCGGTGTTAGCATAAAATGAATTACTTATTGGGAATTCTGTTTTCACAGTGCTCTCTAGGCATTCTGCTGCAGATATAGTGAAGAAAATCGTTGGATTTTACATTAGTTTTCTAACAGTAGTTTTTCTAAACAAAGTCAGTGTGTTTCTGATAAAAACAACTCTAATTACTCTTACAATTCATGTCCACAGATGCAACTTTGCACTGCCTTCTGCCTCGCAACTGCCAGTATACACTGTATCGTTCATACTAAGCCAAATGTTCAAAAGTGGACTCTCTTGGGTAGCGTCCCCCCTTAAGTTGATTTTTTAAAGGTCCCATGAAACGAATTTTGGGCTGGAATGAATCAATTTAGATTGGGATTTTACTAATAGCACATCGTTCAGTGGGCCAAAAAAAAAAAAAGGTAGAAAGTCAAAAGCCTGATTGTTGGTATAAAAATTTGAATGCACAGTGGACTGTTTTGTACCTCCTTCCCTTTGTAAGCTCTCTGCCTTTTCACTGTCTTACATCCGCGGTCCCCGAAGCGCGTCACCAGGTCCAAACGCACGTCACACGACACCGGACCTCACTTATTCCCTTCACCCTTAAGCTGACATTGCGGTGGAAGCTATGCGCTTGCCGGACTAATCAGCCGCCTCCCTTTCATCACCTGACCTCATTCTCTGCACGCCGGTATGCGGGGAGGTGTGTGATCACGTGGCAAAAGTGTGGCTGGCCCAACGAGCACGTAGCTTCCACAGCACTGTCAGCTTCCGGGTGAACGGGGTGGGGAAAGCAACTTTTGTCTGAATTTTGAGCAACGGGCTAATCTTCTAGGGGGACAATGGCTGTGTCTGGGTACACAAACAAAACTCCGAGCAAGAGGGGACTCCTCCCTTTCCGTCTTCTTGAACTGTTTGGTACAATGTGCGATTTATGAGTTGAGGAAGAAAGCTAATAGGAAAAAGTAAAAAAATTGTTTCATGACTCCTTTAAGATTACTATTGCAGAAGTTTTAACGAGTTTGGTTTATATGAAAGTTATCTTTTTAATTTAAAAGGGAGGAAACGCTGTGTTTGGTTCTGTGTTGGCAACTCGCACTTCATTTTTATTATCATTACCAGACTATTCCTCGCAATCGGTTTGCTATTGCATGTTTAATTTTGTTTGTTGTTTTGAGAAAAAAGGTGTTCTGGCTTGGAACGTTGACTCAAATGGTCGTTCTTCCTATGGAGTTACCAAGGGCACCACAGTTGGCTTCGAGGCTAAAAGTGTAGATAGGCCAATAATTATTTCTGTTGAAAGAAGGAAAACAGGCTAAATCTAGGTTTATTTCTTGCAGTTGCTGGAATATAGGAACCTTGAGTGGAACTGCTCCATGGATTTGACATCTGACTTGGAGGAACTTCCTGTGTTGATTTTTGAAACGAGTGATGGTGCCCAAATGGTAAGCTTGCTGTGAAGAAAGTGGAATGTGGCACCTTGCAAGGCATTATGTTGTAAATACACCAGAAAATACCAAGCATCTGCGGTATTTAGGGGTATATTTACGGTACAGCATCTTACGGTATACAGGGTGCTTTTTTACGTGGTCCAGATTTTTCTAGAAAAAGCCGTGAAATCACACCAATCTGGTCAGTGCAGGTAAGTTATACGGCCAAGGGACATAATATAGGAAGCTAATTGTCACAATACGTCGGATAATGGCACAGAATTCGTTCATGAACTTTTTAAGTAGTAAAAATAAACATATGGCTCCGGTTAGAAACTTGCTCAGTGTATTTCAAAAACCACTAAATCGGCAAATTTTTGGAAAGATCTTAAGTATGTGGGAAGCAGAGGGGTGCGCTAAAGTTGCCACTGATGGAGCCGGCGGAAGGCTGATAATGCGAAAATGTGGACAATAATCTTATCATCTGCATTCTTGCAACGCCAGCCTTTCACCTGCTCCATGAGTAGCAACTTTAGCGCACCGCTTGGATTTAGTGCTTTCCAATGACACTGAGCAAGTTTCGAACTGGAACCATATGTTTACTTTCATTAATTAAAAAGTTAACTAAGAAATTCTAGTTAAAGGGACCATGAAATGATTTTAAAATCGAATTTCATCCACCGCACGTCGTAAAAGGTGTGAAAAGAAACACAAAACTAGGGAGCCAAAAAAAATTATTTGCTATAGAACTTTTAAAAGAAAACTGGACTCTTTTGCGCCTTCCTTCCTTCGCCTGTTCACTACGATGCATCCGCGGAAATGGAGCACGTCAGCCAAATCCAGGTCGCCTATTGGGTAAGAGCCTACCTCACCAGCACCGCGATCGTAAACAATAAATAGCCGGCGAATGTTTCCTAAAAGTTTTGTTAAATAATATTCAGATCCACATTTTGTAGCATAATTGGAGATGTGTGGCGAAAATTGCAAAATTTGATAATGCTGAGAGCCAGGCGCCATCTATCGTGTGGTAAACGAAGCAACCACTGCGCGTGCGCAGTAGGGCAGGGCCGAGTTCAGAACGGTTATTTTTTTTTGGTTTCCTTCCTCTCAGAACTCTGACTGACTGAACGTTTGTTTTTCTACGTCTTCATCTCGCGCGTGCCGACTTCAAGCAGCAAGAAAAAAATGTACTTAAAACAGACCACGACGAACAAGAACGCTGGATCCACAAACACCCGAGAAGAGCGACAACAGCCGCGAATCCCGCTCCTACGAAATAGGCCTAGCAGGCACTCCGACTCGGCGCAGCGTTGCTTCGTCGCAAGACCGTCTGTCTGCCTACGACCGGCTGGCGTGCTGAATGGAATATGCCCGCGCTACCCTTGTGGACCCTTCCCGTATTATAGTTTGATCGCTGACCTCAATTTTAGGTTAAGAGGTGAGGTCAATCTCTTCCCCTTGTTTTCCGAGGCAGGGTTGACGAACACTCGTCGAAAAGGGACCCTCGTCAATTCTCTCTTCTTGTTTTGTGTGATATAGAGCTGAAATAAACGCTGTATGGATTACCTTCGTAACACGGTATGTACACTTTATTATTGGTATGCCATTTTTATTCTGACAGACTGCACGTCACTGTCGAGCTGTAACAGTTCGTGGGAGGTATACGCGCAATACCGGTCCAACCTTTCTTTGCCGAGTGTCGCGTCAGTATCGAGTTGCAATCGTAAAAGATTGGTCCCGAAGCGCTTACCAACAGCGCGAATACAGCACTTCCATCAAACGCGCGCGTCCGCTCCGAGTGTGAACAGGTATTTACGTGGCTCTTGCTGACACTCGTAGTTCAAACGTATCTTTTTTAACGTCGGCTCGCTCCTGCATCTCCGAGACCGCGAAAAACGCCGCGGCAATTTGTTTCCATCTACGTCGCTTTGCAAACGACTGACACTGGCCGCCTTTTACCAGCAATGACAGTTTGGTTCACTTCTGGAGTCTTCACCGGAAGACTCGCTGCACTTCCCAACAGGCATAACGGCGTATGGGACTAGTCCCATGCTGTCGCTGTAGCGCAACGTATCATTGAATTTCGCTCAGCTGCGATGCGGCGATGAGAGGCGCCGATTCAGAAAATACGTCGGTGACATCGGCGCAGTAAAACCTACCGGCACACCCCAACTCGTCGCCGCTAACGCTCCCATCTCCAACTGCCGAGAGAACTTCCGGTTCCGGAAGCAGCGTACGTCACGGCTTGTTTTGCGGTCAAGAAAAAGTCGATATTTCATTAATTTTTTGTGTACAAGTTAATAAACCGAGACGAAAACGGATGCCTGTTCGGCATTCAGTGAACATTGACGGTTTAATGTAAAAGTTATCTAGAAAAAGTAAAAAAGTCATTTCATGGTCCCTTTAATTTTGTTACGTATCGTGATGATTATGTCCCCCAGGTCATAAACTCGCCTACACAAACAACACTACCGTAGAATACCGGGCAAGCGCCCACTCAAAATTTAGAAATAATTGCGAGAGAATGGGGGATGGGCGCTTGTCCGGTCATCAGTTTTACATATAAATGTACTGCACATATTTCCTCAGATCTTACAAATTTGGTAATGGGCGCTTAATGTGGACTGGGTGGATGCGCGGTATTCTACGGTAGTGTAGCTTTCATAACTATTTTCTTTTTTTAGAAAAATTTAGAGCCTTTAAAACAAAACATCCTGTGTAGTATAATATGGTTGCAATAAGTGTCTGCCACCCACTTTTGAAGCATTTGGAAAATAGGCAAATGACGTATCAAGCGCCCACCCCAGCAAACGTCCGAGCCCACCATGCTAAGCGAGGTGCTCTTTTGCATCAACTGCTCACTCCAAGAAGCTGGTGCAAAGCGGTAAAGCTTGACACGAGAGCACCGGCTTAAAACGGGCTTGGCGAGAGCGGCGCGGCTGCTTTAGAAATTCTAAGTTGAAATCAAAATTAAATTGAAAAAAACCTGTTTGGCTTCTATATTGTTCCATCGAATCAAACTAGGGCCTGTCCTTTCAAGAACCCCTTCTGTTTATGTGGTCTCGAGCCTGACGAGTGCCCATCCCCATTTTTACAGCGCCAGCTGTCACGGGCTCTTCCCACCCCTGAAAACGGCGTCCATTGTTGATGTCGTAGTTGTGGATGTGGTTGATGTAGTAGTTGGCGATGTATGGCGTCCGTCGTCGATGTTGCCAAATCCAAGAAAAAGATTGTCTGTCGCCTGGGAAAAGAAATAACTGGTAACAATATGCCGTCGTAGTACTGTCAACGCTAAGAGCTTGTGCCGGAGACATGCTTTCATGTGCTTTTGATCAAAAAAGCAATAAAAGCGTTCGGAACAAAATGGTCAAATGTCTGTTTTGTTCCGAACATTTTTGTTCACGCACCCTACAGTGCGTGAACGCGACACCAATGCACGACAACTTTGCCGTGACGTGTCGCAGGTATCGCTGTGACTGTACTGTGGAATAACGCGGGACTGATAAATTTTTTATGATTATCGCCAACTTTTTTGCGGTGGTGCTGTTTGGTAATGCACGGTAAGCTTTGCAGGACAGGTCAAGGGGATCAGGATATTGGTCTCGCATGAGCTTGGGCTTACATGTGTAGGGTGAATGAGCATAAGGGTACACAAATACATAGTATGACATAAGCTTAACTTAGTATTGTCACATTGCCCTTGGAAGGTTGAGCATCATGGAAGTGGACACTTGCTGCTGCTCTTTTGTTTACCAGGAAAGTCAGTTCTGCAAGCTGGGCCCCTGGATGTTGTAAATTGTCTTCCCTCTTGGTTTCATTTCAGGATTTGGGCATGCATGTGGAGACAAAGAACAGCTGCTTAATTCTTGGGTTGTACTGTCCTTTCTGGATGGTCAACAAAACCACCGTGGACATCCACTACAAGGTCAGGGTCCGATGTCAAAGTGCTTTGTTTGTGTTGTTTGTGTATGCTGGATTTTGCGAATATTTTATAGCAATCCAAAATAACCCTATTAAACCTCTATTACCAAAAGTCGCATGCTCATGTTATAGATATTATCTAGGAAATGAGAGTGAGTTCTCGAAAGTTGATAAACAAGCACAGAACAGATATATAACGAATCCCAGAGAAAAGCTCACCGCAAAATCGGCAGATGCGGAGAAAAGCTCACTGGCCATTGAGCGTATGTGGAGTGAAGCCCGCCAATCTTTTTTTCTTCTTTTCATATGGAAACTCTTGGATCATCCGTAACATATATCAATTTATTTATCATTAAAATTCGTCGGCTTTGTAAAAAAGGAAATGTCCTTTTTCGTAATATTTGTTAAGCTTATTGGGTATATATTGCTCCCAAATGAACAATTTTGGGCAGTGTTTTCTGTGGTTTACTCTTTAGGCAACGAAAGCCTAACTCAATACTATGAACTTGAAGAACAGGAAAAAGTTTGAAAAGTTAATAATGCTTGCTTAAAAACTTAAAAGCAAAACTGTAAAATGCTGAAAATCTGAAAGTGCATGCGCAACAACACAGTGCCTGAAATTTTCTTTGAAGCTTTTTTTAACCTTTGAAAACAGGATAGAAAGGTCAGTAGAATATTAAGGTTTCTTTCTTCCACAGTATGGATGTTTTCTAGCCCTTTTTGCTGGTGTTTCCGCACGTTGCCTTTGTGCGACAGTGCCCTTCTATGGCAAGCCATTTGTGGCCTTCAGAACTGCACACTGTCACTGTTGTTGCTCGTGACCTATATAAGAACTAGTTTTCTGTAGGGTAGCGAGAGTGCAAACGTTATACATTATAAAAACAGCTGAAACAACGAAGACGGAGTGAAGAAAACAAACACGACAGGACGAAGCTGTTCTCGCAACTGATGTTTTTGTTGGTAAAAAGAAAGAAAAAAAAACAAAAAAGAACAGCGTAGCCAACATACTTATTTTTAATGAAGTGACAAAGTCTAATTGTGTTAAATATCCACGTGTGATGCACAATCTGCTAAGCTAAGAAAAAATAAAAAATGTGTGAGCTTTCCTTCACATTCGCTGAAAGGCCGGTGAGCTTTTCTCTGTATCTGCCAGTTTTGCAGTGAGCTTTTCTCTGCCACCCGCATAAAATTGCCTCATTCGAGAGCACTCAATACTTACCCAATTTCTCTGAGCCTCTGTAGTGTCAACATATTCTTTTCCCTTCTCCTCTTAGTGAGAGAAAGCAGACGGCCCTGACCTGCACTGGGTTCAGCATGTAGTGAAAAAATGTCCGATACATAAAAACAATTTATTTGGTTTAGTTGCACAGGAGCAGGTTTGACATGAGTGATCGGTCTTGGTGTTCTCTGTTCCAAAGCGAAGCTGATAGTACTCTGTTTACATAGACACCCGTGCCCTGTCGCGGCATACCGAGGCCAGCACCTGTTGCGAAACCGAAACTGAACATGTGTGATGTCCACAAGCATTTGCTTAGTGCTTTCATCTTTTCTTAGATTATTATTCTATGTGCCCTCGAGAATTTCTCTTTACGCTACATTTAGTTCTGAGGCAGTTTTTAAATTATAACAGTTTAGTTTTCAAGGGAGATCTGGTTGACATGTTTATGGCCTTTTTAATAATGAGAAGTGAGTCTTTACCACCCAGTGTTTTTGCTTTTTTTTCATACATAGAGTACTTTTTTTTTTAGACTATCTGCCATTTGGGGGGGGGGGGGGGGGACATTATTTAAGTTTGGATTCTGGTATCTAAATGTTCTGTTCTTCACTTGTAACTCGCTGTTCTATATTAGTTGGGAGGCTTTGGTGGTTTAACGTCACGTATTTGGTGAAGTATCGATGCAAGATGGTCTAGTAGCCTGAAATGGTTTACTATTTGTCTCGCATCTGATCAGAGAATAATGATTGAACTCCCGGTCATCCAAGAAAGAAAGGGTGCTCATCATCAATTAAATAAATATGACAGCCCCTACATAAAGGGGAGCTTTGTCCCAACTAAAGTCCTTAAGAGGCTCGTAAGTATTTGCCAGATAAGCTTGGTCAGACATTGCAAACCATTGAGCTCGTTAAATGTTTGCATTAACCGCAACTTCTTAATTATTTGAAATACATTCCTTAAATTTGAACAGTGATTTCTTTTCATTTTTTAAATAAAAAATTTAGGAAGTTCAGCTTTTGCACTTGGTTAAACTTTTTGTAAAAAAATGTTAAAAAACAGCTGCAGTAGTTAATTTTTTTTTTTTCCCGTTTGAAATGCTTAGAGAGGAAAGTATTTGTTACATTGTCAGCCTTGTAATTCTCATTCTAAAAAAAGGTAATGACATGCTAATTAAATAAGTTAGATTACTCTTGGTAGGGAGTCTTCATAGACATCCCATGTTTTATAAGTTTTAAAGCCTTAATAATTCTAAAAATAAATTTTTAATCATAATTTATGTCTGGTGACCAAGCAACTCTGTCGCCATACTCCATCTCACCTTAATGCACCTCGACTGCACAAACCCTCGTGCAGCAAGACTAACTGCCAGAGCTGTGAGCTCATGCTTCTCGCATTTGCCGTAGTGCATCTCAAAGGAAAGCTGAAGAAATTCTTGAAAAGAATAAGTTAGAGGTTAATTCTAGAGTATTTTTATCCCGTGAATCTGAATATCACGTTCGTTTTCCTCGAAGATGTAACTAAACGCGAGAAAACGCGAAAAACCTCCAACCACTCGTTACGTCGTACTAGGATATTTTGGCCGCCAAGTCCGTGTTGCTCGTGTGGGCAGTGCAGACATTGCAAGCTTGTTAGGTATATTCCCCCACACTGACACCAGTTGTGACGTCTTTTTTTACCTTTTTGAAAATAGCAAGAGTCCACATGCATAGCTTTGATAGGCGCTGAAGATGCGCAAGAGCGGAGATTCCAAAAGCTCCTGATATCATGTCACGCTCCGGGAAGGAGGGGCTTTAGCGGTACTTAAAATATGATTTTCTGCAGTCTCCGTGCACTAAATTGGAAAAATAATCTCGATATTCGTGATGCTGGAGGACTAATGAAGACGATGTAAATGTTTTTCCTCAAATACAGAACCGCTTCAGTTTCCCTTTAAGCGGTGTTGGGAAGTACTTTAAGTGCATTGTACTTAAAGTACTTCCCAACAGTACTTTAACTATGTTGTACTTTAAGTACAACATACTTAAAGTATGTTGTACTTAAAGTACTGTTCAACTACTTCAAGGAAGTTTATAATACTTGCACTTCACTTGAAGTACATTCTCTGAGTATGTACATGTACTTGTACTTAAAGAATTTTTTTCTGGTACTTTTGTAAGAAAGTGCAACTCATGACCTCAAAGCACATCCCCCAAATTTTATCTTGTTAAATTTTTGTCGCAAAATGATGCTTTGTCAACTCTGGAGCCACTTAACTTTTTCCAATCTTTACTGCCATTTCCGGAAATAACACATTCACCCCCGATTACCCTCGAAGCAATGCATACCAGTTAAAAAAAACAGGGTCTTGAACTCATCTCATCATACCAGTTAAAAAAAACAGGGTCTTGAACTCATCTAAGTTCAAGGGGGCAAGGGGGGGAGGGGGAAGAGGAGGGGAGCGCAAGGCAAATACCCCACTTCCGAAAGGATGAGAGCCAATAGGAAACGTGGGGGGAGAGAGAGAGGGGGGAGGGGGAGAGAGGAGAGGGGAGGGGCAATGTTCAACTATATTGAGGCAAAAAAAAAAAAAAAAAGGAACAAACACTGGTGTTTTAGATTGCAAAGCAGCTGACTGTCCCAGCGACACCCCAGATTTTTTAAACAAGGAACCTTGTGCTTTCTGCTTTTACAACGGAGCTGTTAAGGGCTAGTTTCCCCAGTTTTGTGTCCACGGACAAATAAATCTCGACACAACCCTCTTGCCAGCTACCGCCATCTATGAACGACGGCGGCAACCAGACAACGGGCTTGCCGGTTGTCTGGTTGCCGTCGTTGCTTATAGATGGCAGCATATAGCAAGCTCTGCTGCTCTTCCTTCTTCACCATAGTGGAAAGGCTGAAAGCTTTTGTGCATCATTTTGCCCTCTTTAGTTTTTATTTGCATACTGTAAACGACATATTTTTTCTGGGCTCAATATTTCGCGATTTAGGTCTGAACTGAAGTTTTGGAATAATTCGCGGGTTCAAATTTTCACTACACAGTGGGTTCTCAATATGGATTCCAGTGTGTTTATTGTTGAGCCCGGTTATAACGAAGTCAACGGGAATCGGAAATCCCTTCGATATATCCGGTATTTCGTTATAACCGGATTCGGTTAACGAAGTGCATAAGGGAATGGGAAATCGTGATATCTTCTCTGTAACCGCTATTTCTTTGTAACCGACTTCGTTATAACTGGTCTCGACAGTATATTTTACCGGAATTGTTCGCGGGACCTATTTTTCGCAACTTGTAGGCGATTCGTGATATTCGCAAAAATTTGGTTCTTGCGAAAATGAAGTCATTTACAATATATGACCACTTTGGGCCCACACCTGATGCGATAAAATTGTAAAACACCACCATACAACAGTACTGGCAGTTTTCAATAGAATGAGAGAAAGCTCACCATCATTGTCCTGTCGCACAATTCACTAGGCTCAACAGGCATAGCAAAAAATATCCATTCATACAGCAGCTTTCTTTTTCCTGGTGATTTTTATGGCAGCTTTATAAGAAAATGCTTTCATTTGAAAGGTATTGAGTGTTAGCTAGAAGCCCAATCTCATAGTTCTATCTTTGGCCGTAGCTCCTGGTTCTTGTAGCCGAGGTGCCTCCTTGAGCAAAGAGTTCGCACTTGTCTACCCCATAGTCAGATACTACAACCTAAGAAAGACAGTGTGAGAGGGCAAAGGGCGTGTATGAGAAAAGCCATTGTGGAAAGGAGGTCGCTGCTCTCCTCCTCAGCTTTTCTAGTTCCCGGCCTTTT